GAAGAAGAAGTACTTACAAACTACAATTAGCAGTTGTGCAAAACTGACTATTTCTTCAACAAAATAATAAAGACTTCTCTTGTTTCGAATATGAATATTTTTAAAAGTAAAGAAGGACATTAAAATCCCCAAATCAACCTCAAAATTTTCTTTACTTCTTACCTATTATTTAACTTATTGAATCTTTGCCATACCCTTAATTTTTACAAAAATTGTTTAGAAGTTGAAAAAGGTAAGTTAAGATGATTTATATTAAAGTAGACTCAATGCAATAATCTATCACTAAATAAAAACCAATGATCACACACGGGAGGAGTAAAAAACAGTAATTCCCTATTTAAACTATTATTTCTTTTTTCAATTTAGTGTTTAGGATATATTTAAAAATGTAAGACGATAGATAAAGTGTTTGTAACATGAAATGTTGCATATTTTAATCAAATTACTTTTTCACTTCTTTTCTCCCAGTAAATACTTAGTTATTAAAATATTTTTTATTTGAATTGAATATCCAATATACTTAGAAATTTCTATATTAGTTGTAATAAATTGGTTCTTTAAGAATAAGCTTTTTATCAAAATATTTATTGATTATTGCATTCTTTCCAAATATATCTAAGGATGGAATAGAAAATTAACTATAATTATTATTTTCAAGAGATATATTACAAAAATAATGAATAATCAGAGTAAGTTTCGAGAATTAGTGATTCCTAAAAATTTTCACAAACTTTAAAAAAGTTTAATATTTTAAATAATAGATTTTTTTGTTTCTATTATATGCAATAGAAAAGAAAGTGTGTTTTATTTGACCTTATTATGGCAATATTATTTTTTCTTTTTACAAAAATTATATATATTTATTGTTTCACTTTTCTATTATTATCGTTATTATTTCCTTCAATTTTCCATTATCTTGTGGAAAGAAAAGACCTGAAACAATTTCTAAAATATTTTATATTTCCAAGGCGAGACAATGAAACGTTCCCAAAAAAAAAAAATGCTATTAATGTTTCCATAAAAATTTCTTTATCCTAAAATAGTAATCTGGACTATTTATAGTAGTAAAAAAATAAAAATTCAACCCTAACTAAAAGGAATGATGGAAACTCATCTACATACCATACAAAATAAAAACAAAAAAATTGTTCATATAATTAAAATAACGTTTTTAAATATTATATAACTTACAAAGCTTAAAGTTAAAAGGGTTGAAGTTAAAAAGGTTAGTGTCATTCTAATAAAAGTTATTGTTATGTTAAAAACAAATCTCTTGTAAAGATACAAGGTATTAACCCTAAACTATTGACTAAACTACTCTAAATAAGAGTGAAAGTATGTTGTTTAGACCTAGAGGAAATTTAAAAAAATAAAAAAGAATACAGAAAAACTGAAAAAAAAGAAAATTTTCCAAATTTGTAATGTATAATAAAAAATAATAACAACAAAAAACTTCATTAAAAACGGACATAACAAATCCACAATCTGAAAAGGCTCGCCCCCAAAACAATGACATTTATTACCAACCAAAAACAATTTGTTGAACTTGAGAATGGATATCACTAATCTTCAAAAGCTATTATTCTATTGTTATCTATTACACAACAATGATATCTTTTCCTTTTTCAGTATTTTCCTGTTAATATTATCTTTTGAATATTTGTCTGAGAATTGTAAATAACTATAAATATACAAATAAACAAAGGATATCTTTTGTGATTTGAAAGCTAGTATTGTACATTTTTTATTACGCGTGCCACTGTATGTAGTCAGAGTAACTTTACAAACATCACACCTACCTACATTAAAAATTTGAGACTCAAGAAACCTATAATCTTATAAAATATTCGAAGGAATAAAATCTATGAATAACTGTTTCAGCATAAACCCCTTTAAGATTATTACACTAGCAAGCTACTCTGATAAGTAGCGAAATATCTCTTAAGAGTTTTGCTAACTAGAACGACTACAGACATACAAGACTATTGAATAATCTTAGTACATAAAAACCTTTTAACTTGCCATTATCAAGATTTTTCAGCGTATGATCAAGTTCGAAAAACTATGCCCCCTAAAACATCCTAAAGGTAGAAGTTTACAAATTGAAAAAAGGAAGCTTGTATAATGCCAATATATAAAATCCTAAGTAGGAAAAAGTAGTTTGAATCCTTCCAATTACTCTAGCCACTTGAAACTAATACAACCTACCTCCACATATTTCATATAGTATAGATTGGATAAATGACATAATAACAAAATATCCATGGGTTGTCTTTAAGCAGTCTTTTTTCTCCTGTAAATCCATAATGACATTATTTAGAATACAGCACTGTAACTAGAAACCTTCTAACTTCTTCTGGAAAAATGATAAAACCGAACATATAGCAAATAGCCTAAAAAAATATACATTCTAACCATAATAAAACATAAATACTGTATGCCTGAATGTCACATGTATAAAATAATGATAAAAGAACTCTACGCTGTTGTCACAATTAGCGCCTTATGTAGTACTAGTAAAGGATAAAATGAAGCATAGTATGTACTTGTACCCTCCTGTGTTATTTGTAACGCTTCCAATAAATATATTCAATCTTTATCAAACTACTACTATGTTTTCTTAAAAAACTTAGCAAAATTCTTATCAGGATTCAACCAAGAAAACTTAGACTTATGAAGAATTTTAAGAATTTTTTTAAAACCCTTTTTCAGGGGCACTTTTTGTCACAAGATTTTTTGTGTGAAAGATTGTCCGGGGATAACATAACTAACAACCTTTTTCTCGTATGTTAGACTATATCTGTAGTTTCCATACAAGGTGATATTAAATTCTCAATTTCTTGTATTTTTTTGATACTAAAAATAAGGTTTTTTAAAGTTTTGAATTATTCTAATCTTTCAAAATGTATTGTTTCCCATCTCTTTCAGTACAATAGCTATTGTTATTTTTCATTTGTTTTCCGATAATTACTTTTTTCCACAATTTTCTAAAATTTTCTTTGGTAGCCCCTCATGGGCTAAGATATCTATTTTTTTTTGCCTGTTTTAAAATTTCGTAAAAAAATTCTCCATTACCAAAAAAGGTACAAACAATTTCATCCAATTCAAGAAAAAAATTATACTTTTGAGTATTCAATATTCTTTTATTAGCCATATTGCGATCACAATTTCGTTTTCTTCCTCAATATGTATTTTTTTTTTTCTAATTTAGTTATGTCCATAAATAGTTCTTGTCATACAAAGCCCTCTGAATTGCAAATTTCTTTTTCATTTTTGTTTATTGTTACTCCAACAAGTAACTTTTGTATGTCAAGGTAATGTTGGAAAACCTACGGCACCTTAAAAAAAATTAAGGACAAAAAATTAAAAATTAAAAAAAAAACGCAGACATAACACCGACACAAAAAAGATCGGGCAGGAAACAGTATTTTGATTTTCCCCAACTACCGCAATCATTTGGAATTAGGGCTTATAAAAGAACATCTTAGAACCATCCACTTGCATGAGATCGATATATTATAGACCAGACTAACAACAATGTATTAAAATAACTCAATAGTTATTCGTTTTCGTTATGTACTTTTTTTTTCTGTAAATCTACAAATCAAGGAGAAATTTGTTTTGAATACCTGTCTACAACTAGTAAGTTTATATCTTTTTCTTAGAAACTAATGGTATTAAATACCCACCAAGTGAATAAAAAGAAAGTATTTTCTAAAAATTCACATACAATCACAAGAGGATAATTGGTAGTTAATTCCTCATTGTTTATCTTTGTATACTAAATAATCTTTGTACAACTATTGATAGATTACATTATTTCGATTAAAATAATATTTTTAGGGTCTAGTCACGAACAATGCTTGAAATATGGTAAAAAAACACTAGGGTTATATTGATTTTTCAAAAACAATTTTTTTAAAGATTCAAGTTTTTACAATACTTTTTATGTGAAAATTTTTAGGGGGACATTGCTGATAGTAGTATAATATCCGAAACACTCTTTCAACGACATTTCCCTCCAAGAAAATTTTTTCTTCAAATTCTTCGGAAAATTCATATTTTCATTTTTTTAATTTTTCTATTTTGAATTTTTTAAATTTTATTGCTTTTTTTTTTTTCCACCTCTCTTAGTTTTTTTTCTTTTATTTTTTCTGACTCTTTTTTTAACAGCACTATGTTGGGTACTATTGTATTTCCTATGCTTTTTTCTATTGTACTCTTATGGTATATTGTATAATACAATAGCTGGCTAAATTTAAAGTTTTTTTTAATGTTATTCAAAAAAAATTTTGTCAATTATTATCTGCATGACAAAATTTTCGTTTTTTTTTTTTTTTTTACATTTGTTTTATTCAATCTTGCTCCATATGAGATCTCAATCAAAAAATGATAGATGGTATTAACTGTAGATATATATCAACCCACAAATTAAATTCAATTCTGTTTCTGCAACGGAATATGTATATGATTCCTTCAAATAAGTATGCGTAAAAACTTGCTTAGATAGTTTATATTGTTAAATTTCGACACTACAAATCCTTCTTTGAAGTCAAATTCATGCCATAAGAATCTGCACACGTTATAGATTTCGTCAAAAATTTCTTTCCTCTCTGTTTTCTCTTCTATATTTTTTTACAATTTCTAATATAGGAGTTACAAGCATCTTAGTTCGTTAAATCTTTCACTTCAAGTGCATTTGGTTTGAACATTTTATAAGATATCAAAAATAAATATTAATATATATTCAATATAAATAACTTTAATAATAAAACAAATTTATTTAAATATCTATTCATTATCTCGATAGCTTCCTGGCTTTTCATTTTATTTTTTTTGTTTAAAATTCTTCTTTCTAAAACACACATGTACATGAGATTTCATTCCACCATACTTTCATACTTAATTTAATCTTTCAAAAATAGTTATTTTTATCAAAGAAACAGACAAAACCCATACACAACATACAAGAATAATATCACAATAGAATATTTGATAAAATGATAAATAGCCAAGATATGACAAATGTAAATTCAAGTGACACAAAAGATAATCAATCAATTTCAAAGCGAGAAGTGCATTTACAAGGCTTTAACATAACTCACGTCGACACCGATAACAGCGATAATACATCTAATCTAGATGATATAGCAACAAAATTTTCTCCATCACATTCATTACATTACAAAGATGGAGCATGCCAATCAAATTCAATATATCTACAATTTTTATATAGCCATGACAAATGGCCAGCTAATGTTGAGAGAGCATTTATCTCAGCTTTACGTCTAATTATTAAGAGTGGAACTTCTAAAACAAAGATAAGAAATAGGAATTATGGTCGTAATGAATTAATATCGTTGTATATTAGGTTTCATACAGGGGAAATTAGAACTAAAAAACAAATATCTTCACATATTCAAGTTTGGAAAAAATCTATTTTAAATAAACTTTCAGGTAATATTACTCTGACTCCATTAGACAGTGAAGTGTTAAATTTAATTGAAAATGGAGCTGAACAAAATGAAAGATCGTTAAATTTATTTTATACAGTTTTTAATGAAATTATTGACGCCATGAATAATGATAAAAATTATCAAAAATATAAAGACACAATAATGAGACCGTTGAGAAGTAACAATAACAATACTGGCAGATCCGATTATAACAACTTAAATATGAATAATCCTAATGGTATCAATAGTAACACCATATATTACAAACAAAGTCCACAACAACAACAAATGTTACAAGTATCCGGACAACCAGTTCTGGTGCAGAATCAGACTATCAATAATCCTCCTACTTACTCCATTTTACAAAGTGTCCCTGTTATGTTTGTACAGGATAATTTACAGCCTAATATTCTAAGACCTGTCACCTATAGTGATGGTTCACTTGTCATAGCAAATGGATCACCACCACCACCTCAAACACAACAACGACGGGTATGGGGAAACAACAATGACAACAACAATAGTACTTATTCTAATACCACCAATAGTGGCGCTTATAATATCAATTCCAACGATACGACCAAAAATGTTTTTGGAAACAATTTTGGAAATGAGACTAAATTATCCGGGCAATATCAGACATATCCATATAATTACGTGGAAAAACCTTGGACTATACCAGCCAATAACATAATATCATCAGCTTCATCTTTATCATCATCTGGATCTGCCATATCTTATCCACAATGGGGTGCACCGTCCTTATCTATCAGCAATAGTGATAAAACAGCCTCATCAACAACGTTATCAAAAACGCATGACTTATTTTCTACAGCAAATAATTCATTAACGCCAATGAGATCCAAAAATGACAAAAGATCACTATCAATCGCTGATTTAAATGATCCAGACAATATTCAAAATCCACTTACTTCTACTAATAATTATTCTCCAATTATTAATAATATGAGTAATCATTATCATCTTAACCATGAAAAAGTTAAGCTACCACCAGTAACAGAAAATCAATTCTTTAAAGCAAATGATAACATGTTAAAATCAACAGTTTTGCCATCTATTCCATATTCTTCCTATCCTATGTTTAATAATAGTAATATCAATAATAGTTCCAATAATGAAAATAATAATGAACCTGATAATTTTAATAACTATCCAATATCAAGATCTAGTATATCTTCTGCAACTAAAGATATAAGAAGAGATAGTCTTACTATGACCAATAATCCTATTCAAAAGGAATCATATTCCTCCCCACATGATATTCCTAACAACATTAATAGACGTTTCTCTACAAACGAAAATAATGTAACGATACTTCCTCCACTTTCTACATATAGATACGCAGAGAATAATAACGAGTAACTATACAACCAATAATGGAGAAAATTCGTTAGTATTAAAACAAATCGAAGATATTGAAAAGAAGAAACAACAAAAACTTCATATGTATAATTATTGAAAACTTTAAATTTCATATTATAGATATGCAGTTCTTTTTTACTACTATTTTTCTTCCTTTTTTAATGCCAAGTCATTTTTTATCCCAGTTATTTGATGTTATCATTTTCATTAAATTTAACCAGCGTCACTTAAACATTTACTTGATTCAAGATTGCCACATAAATGCATAGATGCATATAAGCACACACACACACACACATATATATATATATATATATATATGTATGTATGTATAGAATACACCTTCGCATTAGATTACCACATGATATATACACGTAAGAATATACGCATATAGAGTATAATTAAAACAATTTCAAACTGATGTTTCTATTCTTAATCATCATCCAAAAAAAATAAAGTAACTAGTTATAATTGTGGAATTATTATATTTACTAACCCCACAGCTTAAGCAATCGGACTCCGCAATCTGCAACTATCAAGGAACACTTTTATGTAAATCTTTCATCATTAAACTCTAATTTTACTTTTGCCGTCTCTTTTTTTTTCCCAAAAAAAAAACAGAAAAGAAAAACAGAGAAAGGAAACAAAAATTTCTGCGGTTTTTAGAAAAAAAAAGACTTTTAGGTGGAGTTAAAAAATTTCAAAAAATAGCGTGATATTAAAACTTTTAATGTGTAATTCTATTGTTTTTGATTTTAAAAATTTTAGAATTATCCGGTTTTTCTAAAATGATATCTTTCAGAGACCCATTTTCTTAAAATAATCGAAATTAACATCAAAATAAACAAATAGGCCAATAAAAATAAATCCTAGTAAACTAGAAGACTAAAAAATAATTAATAATATATTACAAATAAATGAAAAATATCACAGGGACAATTTCTGTTTATTCTGGTAATTACTGAATAACATTTGATACTTGATTAAGTATTTTTTTTTTCTCAAATTCTTCTTCTTTACCAGCATGTTTACACATCATCTTCTTTAAAAAAAACAAACTAACGAAGTTTTTTGCACTTATAAAATATTTTCATGAACTATATCATCAAACCATAGCGTTGTACTAACAGCTTCCTATTTCTGGGATGAATGTATATTTAAACCAATATTATTCCCAAAGTTAACTACGTTATTAACGACTACTGCGGTGGACGTTTTTCAAGCACTTAACAAAGCAATATAGTAATACTCATCTGTACCAAATAAAATAAAATAAGATTTTACTAAACACTTGCACTAGGGAAACATGAACTCTATTTGTACATTTTACAAGAACAACTGTAAAGTTAAATCAACCTTTATTTTATCTTCCTCTTTTAAAATATTTACTTCTAACCCATTTATTAAACTTTTCTATTTCTTTTAACATTATATTTTTTGCAAGTAGGCTTATTATTATCAATTAATTCATATTTACACAATTTAAATAATAATTCTTCATAAATTATTCCACTACACTACTCCATGTTACACAGTCCAAAATAATTCTAAACTTCATGCATGCGCTCCAAGAGCTATTAAGTTTGTTACCGGATTTAATCAAGGTTTTAAAGAATGATGTTTTCATTATTTTAAGATAAAAATTCCCATTACTCGAATAAATTTTCGACTAGTTCAATATATATTTTGTTTTGGATTTTCAAAATCTCTCATGGACGATTATTAGTTATCTTTTTAAGAATAACCCTTGAACATACTTGTAAAATAATGAAAAAAATTTACTAAAGACTTAAGTTTAAAGCATCTTAAAGAAATACAAATCATTGCAAATTTTTTTTATATCATTACCCCTACTCAAAAACATATTAAAATTATCAACACTTTAAATCACAAATAATGATATATCTATATACCCCAAAAAAAACATCAAATTAAGATGTTTTGTTAGAATTGCTTGGTCTATCTTTTAGACAACATCAAATAACAAATCTTTCATAACTAGGAATAATAAAGATGAGAAAGTTTTATGTGATAAGTACAACCGACTACGCACCAAACAAATATACTAAAAAACATTAAACTATCTTTATTATCATAAAATTATCAGTGATAGCGATACTTATTATTATTGATAGTTTTTCTCTACCAGTCACATTTATATAACAATTTTAAAACCGTTTTATATTCGATTTTATTCTATTATGCTTGAATATCAATAACATATTCCTCTTATCTTAACAAAGTAGAACCTTATCTACTTTGTTTTCCACTTTATATTTTAATGTTTCTATTTTTATTTTTCTCCCAATTAAAAAAAAAATGAAAAGTGTGTATGAGGGAGAAAGGCATAAGTTTAAAAAAACGGCAAAATAGATGGATGACCTCTTCTTTTTCTTAATGACGTCGAACATATTCGGCAATAAATCATGATGATTCTCTGAGATACACAATAATAATATGGAGTATGCAGTAAAAACTATGTGGATCATAAAAGTATAATGTTCTTATCTATACATATTTACTTAGACATCTATGGGAATCGAAAAAATTAGCATACATAGATATATACACATTGCTAACATTACTATTTTACAATTATGGTGAATGCTTCTCTTCTATGTTATTTCAAGAAATGTGATTTAGTCATTCAATCATACCCTCAGTTCAGCTTTGTCATTTGCCATTTCCTTCTTTATTTTTAAAGGAGTGCTATATTTAGTATTAAAAAACGAAAAAATACCAATCAAGAAAATAATCACTGAATACATAATATTAATTGTGTTAACACCTAAGTATCATTCTGTATTATTAAAAGGTGGGTATACCTTCTTTGAGTTTATATAAACTGAAAACCAAAAAAAAAAAACTCAAATCAAATCAAAGTAAAACAATTAATAAAAATATTTACTAAATCTATTTAACTATACAGATCTTATTCCATTGGGTAATGATTAAAATAGTATACATATTATGTTAAGGGAACATCAAAATGACACAGAAAAATCAAATTATAAATCTGCAAAAATGAATTCAAATGGAAACAATAACAATATGGATAGTCAGTTTTATAATTATGTTTACACTGATAATTGCAATATTACTACAAACGGTTATTTCACAAACAATAATAAAAATGAGAATAAGCATATGCATAAAATTGTATCTTGCACATTATTCCCACCCATCAATAAGGAACAGTTTATTCCAGGAACAAAGCAATTCATACCAGTAGTGCATGATAATATAAAATAATATACTATTTTTTTTTGTCATAAAAGCAGTAAAATAATTTATTATCATTATTAATAAAAAGGTATACTTCACATATATCAGGAACTACCGAAGACAATGCAAATGCAATTCTATTAATTAGAAAAGTCAATTCAATTTTCTCTTTTGCCGCTGTAACGAATAAATTCTAATATATAAACACATTCATAATATTTTTATATATTCTTTGTCTTTTTACTTAAGCCCTTTCATACTATCTTTCTTGATTCTGCCTCCCCCGCCCATTTACTATCATAACACAATGAGAAACTTCAGCATTTTAAAGGAATTCATATAGAATGTAAGGATGTTACATATATAGTAATGTAATTTTGTTTCTCTCTTTTTTTTTTTCCTTTTTTTTTTTTTCCCTCCTGTAAAGAAAATTTTTTTGAGGATTTGAGAAATTGCGATGACCTTTTGTCATCAACTGCATCGATCTAACAAAAGTTGTTAAAGAACAGAAGTTTTTAAATAAGTTAAAGGTAAGAAAATAGTGAATTTGTTTGTTTCTTTACAATTTGAAATTGAATAAAACAACAGAGAAAATTTAGAAAACTGCTGTCTGTCAATACGTTGTTCTTCAGGTGCCTAAAAAATCACATTTCTATAAACTTATTATCATTATTCAATTCCAACTACATTTTCTCTTTTAATTATCTTCTTCTAATCTCACTACATTTATATTCAATATACCTATATACAAAATATTTTCGTTGTTATAAATAATGGCTAAATCATTACGTGCAAAGAGTTGTCTAAAAGCTAAGTCCGTGAAACGTAAAGATGAATTCCAAAATGCTGTTAATGCACGTGAACTAAGGATATCAGAGAAATTGAAGCAAGACTTGATAAATCAAAAGTTAAAAGAATTAAAATCAAAAAATGGCACAGATGGAGAAAGTAATGAACCAGCCATGGAGATAGATGATTTAGCTAGTTTAGAAAAGAAAGAGGAAACGAAGACTCAAAAGATCAGTACTTCTGGTTGGAGAGATGCAAGACATCTTAATTATAAGAGAGCAAAAAAGATGAAAAAAAATAAAAAGAAAGGTTCATTCACAAGATTTTAAAATATAAATGATAAAAACATAATTACTATTATCTGATTATTCATATCGCTTTTTTTCTTTCTTTTTTCATATAGCCTTAATAATAGCATATCACCCTAGAATTCACAATAAATTATTATGTATCATATATACAAATGTCCCCAATTTTTTACTTAATAAATATGCCACATTGTAGACAAGTATTAACACATATACATAAGTATCTAGAATATATCAAATCAATTGAACATTTACAAAAGCAAACATAGATTTAAATACTCATATGTTATATTCATTTAATTATACATGTATATATTGGATATTTATGATGTGTAAGCAGTGATCATTAATTATTATTATTATTTTTTTTGTTTGTGACAAATCCGTTATCATACATTAACTTTATTAATATTAGTTGAACAAGTATTATTATTGTTTGAAATAACTGGAAGAGGAATATTAATATTACTAACAGCATTTGTATTAGAGTCCGAACTTTGGGACAATTTTCTGTTTCTTTTCCTTTCTTTCCTTAATCTACTTTGCATCATAGAATAAGTTGAACGTCTAATTATTGTTTCTAGGATAGATTTATCATAGTATGGATATTTATGTCTAGTTCTTTCATATAATTGATTAATCAGTCTTTCTCTTTCACACTTTGGTGTATCTCTAATCCATGTTTTGTGACCTAACGGATATTGCAACTCATTTTCAAAGATATCAAGTATATACCTTTCTGTCGCTAATGCTTCATCCAATGAATCAACTTTAAGGACCTCAGCTAAGGCAGCCACTGATAACCTTGAATCAGCAATTTTCTTACCTGTCTTTGGATTTTGAAGCTTTGAAACATGGTTATTATTATTATTGTAGTTATGTCTTCTTATTCTTTTAACCCTATCCACTTTAGCCCAATGATTCTTTTTGGTGTTTTCGTTGATAACATTAAGACCAGCTGATTTATTTTCTTCTTTTGTTATGTCTGTATTATTAACACTATCGTTGTTAGCGATGCTAGAAGTGGTTATAGATATAGAACTGGTGGTGGTACTAGGATCATTATTAAATAATAAATTTTCATTGATATTTTTATATAAATCATTAACTTTCTGTACTAATTCAGGGGTAGACACTACTGAAGAAAATGGTGAAATGGTATTCACATCACTATTTTTGTCACTAGCCCTGTTAACGGTAGTAGAGTTAGCTTTTATATTTTTGTTAAATGTTAAGGGTAGAGATAAAGTCAACATAGAATCATTAGAAAAAATAGAACCATTAGATAAATCAGAAGAGATTCTCTCTGAATAGCCTGAGGGCGAGTTTAAAGTATTATCTGAATTTAGGTCATTAAACATGTAGTTAATGCTATCAAAAATATCATCTCCCAACAAATTTGGGGTTTGGTCATAGGAGTAATTATAATTACAGTTAGAGTAGCCATCTATACGATCATTATTATCGTTATTATTGCTCATCTTAGTGTTAGAATTAGCAGCAATGTTATTAAAAGATTGTACTGAATTAGCATTTAAGAAATAGTTATCTGATTCTAAAAGTGGATCTTCTTGCAGGTCTTCGAAATAATCTTTACAGCTAGCGTAGTTGTTATTGTAGTAAAGATTTGATTGTTGAGTGTTCTCGAAAAAAAACATTTTCTATTTATAGATATTTTAAATGGTATGGTATGGTGTGATTATGTATATGAATGTGATGAAGAATATTGTTGTATATTTGATATATGGTGTTTTTATATAAATCTTAAAATCTATATTAGATCTCATGTTTTATATATACATACATATATATATATACAAGAAAATAAGGTAGTACACACCCACACATACATACGTATATATATATCTTGGAAGATATCAAACTCTTTAAATACCCATTGACCCATCAACCCATATTTGCACGTAGCGATAAACCTATCCACAAATAGATATATTGTTTTTCTTTTTGTTCTATTGTTTGCTCGTGAATTAACCTCCTTATGAATGAAAGAAGAAAAACAAAAAAAAGATACACCCAACACACTTAACTACAATATTGTGGAGTAAACAGGTTTGACGTAATGACACATATCTCCTCAATTGTATGTATGTTTTGTGATTATACAGATACTAGAAGATAGGTTCTCCATCCGAATAACAAAAAACACATATCCTTTCTTCTACCTATTGTTAATGAAAACAGTCCCACAAATATTACGCTTCAAGTGAAACGGTTAGACACTGTTTAAAGGAAGCTATTAAAGCTTCTTACTAGTAATAGTGCTCGTCGTTCTTATCTTAACATTCTCCACACGGTGGATGCTATTCATTATCTACAAAAGAAGGAGAAAAAAGAAAAGAAGAAAAAAAAAAGAAGGATTATATTGCGTGGGATATCGTAATGTTTTCCCAGTAAAGAATAGGTGTTTTATTTTCTTATTACTGCCGCAATGACAACATCATAGTTAACATTCTTGTAATGAAAAAAGGTCCTATATTTTTTTCTTGACACTAGATCTACATTTTACTGAAATAGGAAACCACGCAGGAAACTATTTCTATAATAAGAAAAACAAAGCAAGAAAAAAAAAACAATTATGCTAAGAACGTCTATTATGAGCGGGGAATTAATTTTCAATAATTATATTATTCGTATAAGCACGGATATCTTTTCTTTTTTTCTTTTTTCTTTCTTACACTTCTATTTTCCCTTACTTTTTTCTTAAAAGGTCATCTACCCACCCTCTCTCCACTTTAGACAATAAGAAGACACACAGGAAAATGCATTATTAATTTATAACTTTTTGATAATGTTAAAAATACACTATAACAAGACCAACATCATAACATACCATATTTATCTAAATACCAGTTTTAGATTTTTTTCAACAATGAAATAGAGATGGAACTAACCGTATCAAATAAATTTTTTAAAAGTAAAGAAAAAAGGATTCATATTTTTTTCTTCATAATTTACAAAATATTATTCTTCATAAGAAACACAAGCACTAACATCGTTGAAAGTGAAAAGAATTCCTCCGATTATAATTTTATTAGCATCTTTTTCTCTTTATGGCACTTCTCTTACAATATACAAAAAAAAGCTTAACAATCGGAGCATTAATAACTTTTTTTTGTTCTTTTATTAGGCATATAGTTTTTCTTTTTCTGTTATTGTCTTTAGTTTTCATATACGTAAGTTTATATTAAAAAAGTTTTTTCCCTCTTTTGTTCTAAGCAAAACTTTATTATGTCTTCAAAAAATTGACTCAGTTATTCTTATTATTGATTATATAGTTTTCTTTATATATATAATCCGCCACCCTTCTATATAAAAAAAACAAAGAAAAGAGGAGTGGGCGATAACAATAACCGAAGAAAATATATTAAATTTTTTTTTGCTTCCATCGGCCCGCCCAGACATACAATACAATATAAATGAAATAAAAGAAAATAAAATAAAAAAACAAAAACAAAGACAAAGACAAAGACAAAGACAAAGACAAAAACAAAAACAAAAACAAAAACAAAAACAAAAGAATATTTTCGAATCCATGAAATTAAACTCCGCCATTCAAGTAGAAAAATAAGGCCAAGAAAAAGAAAAAAAATAAGGGGGGGGGGGAGAGGGAAAAGGAGGCGTAGAAGTAAATATTTTTAAGACTTTCATTTAATCATTAAACGCTCTTTTGATACAAACAATCGCATGTGCTCATCTGGAATTTCTGGTCAGTCACATATCAAAAAGCTAATAACAAAAATACCAGGTATTTGGAAATTACGACCTACAGCCTATAAATCTATAATCATTTAACTATTAATTGCAAAATCAAAAAAACAAGAACATTAAAACGTAGTATATAAACATAAAGATACCATACACACAATCACACACACACACCATATATATATATAATAATAAAAGAATGTTTTTGTTCATACCTTTAATATGTGGGATGCAAAATTATGATTCAAATTATGATAGTAATCCTAAACATCAAGGATTATATTGCCCCAAATGTCATAATTTTAGTGTGGTACCTGTGAAAAGAAGAGAATTTTTTTCCTTTTATTTCATCCCTTTAATACCAATACATTGGGGAAAACAATTGCGTTGTTCAATTTGTAATTGGAGACAAGATTTCAGATCTGAATCTGATTTACAAAGAGTGGTAGATGAACAAAAATATTATAGGAACAATCCAATATATACTTCACCTCAATATTGACATATATATATATAACCTAGGTTTGTTACATCCATTCATTCATCCTATTTTTTTTCTATTTTTTTTTATATATTCTTAAATATAATGATAACTAATATAAGCACAATACAATTTGAATAGTTATCTTTTCTTTCTTATATATATGTATGTATGTATGTATGTATATAATGTATAGTATTTTATCTCCATGCTGGTCTTGTTTTTAATGAAATATTACAATTTTTATTAGTCGTTATATGATCAGATAATCCAGATGTTGTTTTAGATCTACCAAATTGAATTGTCGATGAATTACTACCATTAGAATTTTTCCCTATGATTTTGTTATTGTTTTCATCCATATCTTCATGCTTTTTAATAGTCTTATTACTTGTTACATTATTCATGGATACTGATCTAGAAACCGTGCTTTGTTTATATAATCTTTCAAATACAGATAGAGATTCGCTTGAATTTGAAATAGTGTTTCCTGTGCTCTTTACCCTTCTACCACTTTTTTCTTCACCAAATATTTTTTTATCTTTATTTTGAAATGAAGAGTACATAGTAGCAGTTGTATTATTAGATACAATTTGCATTCTTATTTTTTGTGGTCTAATTTTAGAATTTATATCATTCATTTTATCCGATCTTTTCATTTTATTCAATGATGTGATAGTAGGTCTCAAAAAACTTGGAGGTTCTAAGGGTTTTTGTGGTTTCGTTATTGGCGTATTCTTAATCTTGCTATTAACTATGCTTCTTGAATCATGGTTACTACGTAATCCATAACCACTTCTACTATTACCACCGTTACTACTAGTATTAACAGTACTATTATTATTATTGTTGTTGTTGTTGGATAACGAATTTCTTAACCTTAATCTACGGATTCTCCTTGTTATATCCAAGATGGGTGGTGGTGTACTCAATAAATTTTGTGTGGTCTTCAATCTTTTAATTGAATTGGATTGTAATTGTTCGGTTTGTAAATTTTTTTTCAAAGGCGTCTTATATATATTGCCATCAATAACATTATCATCGTTATTATTAGGATTTAAAAATTTAACACAATAATGACTATTTAAAGATTCCATAGTCTTGAACTGTGAATTATGAGCAATATTGAAACGTTCACTAAATGTAAGATCCATTAATGATTCAGTATGGTCATCATTAGACACGAATAACTGCTCAAATTTAGCATTTGTTCTAGAATCCAATTCGTTTAACACTGAGGATCCCAATTTTTTAGATACCCCCAAAGTATTAATTAAATGGTCGTGTGGATTGCCATTAATGTATACATTGCCAGAGTTCTTCTTTAATTCTAAATTTGAATGTTTCGACAATTCTTGTATATCATCCTTGTTATTAGTACCATTAAATAATTCTTGTTGATCCATCCATTAAACTAATTATTTCTTTGATTTCCATTAACACCTCCCCATAGATATGACCAATTTGTATTCCAAGTAAAATATATGTAAGAACATACATATGTTAATCTACGCCTATCTTTGATCAAGTCTTCGAATATCACATTTTCTTTTTCTTTTTCTTTGTTTTCTATTTTTTTTTATTTTATTTTTATTAGATTTTTGACTGTGCTGTATGGGTGTTCACTAAATCTTAACTTTTTCCTCTTAATTGTAAATCAACTGATTAGTAACGAAAGTAGTAGAAGAAAAGAGCATAAACCATATATATATCTTGTTTTATTTTATTTTATTTTGTTTTGTTTGGTACAATTTTTATTATATCTACAAATATATATATATATACTACTTATATAAAAGATCTCTATTTTATAGATGGATTTGGAAAGGAATAGTAGCAGATGAGATAAGAAAAAGAAACGAGTTATAAAAATAGTAGAAAAGAGATAGGTTCAGAATGAATAGAGTAAAATAAAAAAAATGAAAAATAAAAAAAAAAACAACCACAACAACGAGAAAGCTCAAGACAGTGGGATGTTATGTTCAGTATGTCATATCTGCATCTTCATTTGAGTTATTTGAGTTACTTTCTCTTTCATTACGTCTTTCAATTTCAGTTTGTAAATTCTTTAGTAACATGGTCTCAGCCAATTTGATTTGTTTCATAGAATTACCGATGATAGTGAAGGATCTACATGGTTCACCATTTTCATTGAATTTTTGTGAGTGGTGTGCAGATTCTGATTCATGTTTTTCGATTATGATTCTTGTTTTTGTGAATTTTCTCAAATTAGCGATTCTATTACCTTGACGACCTACCACTGCACCGACGTAAGCTTCAGGGATAAGAACTTCTAGTTCCGAAATGTCTATACCGCTACCACTATGGATAATACCGCCATTACTACTGCGAATATCGTTGTTATTGTTAAGATGGTTTCTTAAGTGTGGGAAGTAACGTTTATCAGAGGAAAAGGTAATATCGATGTCTTTGATTAAAATTTCGCTAATTTCAATCAATGTGTTGGCGACAGAACCGGGAAACCCTTGGATTTCCAAAATACGTTCACTTGAGTCAGGTAGGAAATCTCTTGAAGCCACGATTTTGACACCATGCTTATCGATCAATCCCTTTATGGTGTGACCGTTCTTACCAATGATGGAGGACAGATGGGAATTCAACATTATCAATCTGAGGGTACCAATCTTGTTTAAATCGGATTGATCGTTTTCACAGATTTCATTGATTGAAGGAGGAGGTAAAATGTGATTTAAATAGTGGAAGGGATATTTTTTGTTATTCAAATCAGGATCCTCGTTGATCAAAGTCATGACGTCGGCTAATGCGTTGGCTACATTGACCACAGTACCTGCACAAGATAGAATTCTATCTGAACAACCTTGGATCTTTTCAGATATACCGATTTTGACACTATTATCAGTACGGATCTTATCTATGGTGGAACCTTTTGTACCGATAATTTTGGCAGCTTCAGGTAGAGATAAAAGGACTCTATGGTTCACTGCAGATTGCATAGCAATTAAGGAATCATTTGGTGCTGTGCCGTTGTTTATGAATGTACTCATTTCTATATTTCTTTATTTTTTTTTTTTTAATTTTTTTTATTAATGTTAATTCTGCTGCCGCTGCTGCTGTTGTTGTTGTTAAGATGGATACTAGTTCTATTAATTTTTCTTGGGCTTCTCCTTTTGCTCTAGGACTTCTTTTTTTTTTGTTTTTTCTTTCTTTCTTCATCTTCCTATCTCTCTCTTTTTTAACAAACACACATACACACACTCAATAAACACTTTCTCTGCTTTTTTCTTTATTTTTATCAATTCTCTAGATTACTAAAAGTTGCTAAAGAAAAGAAAAAGATCTAAACAAAGTATTAGTAGATGGAATTGGACAAGACAAGACAAGACAAGAATTAAAGAAGAATTCGAGGTAAACAAAAAAGAAAAAAAGAAGGGGAGAGGAGGAGAATAAAAAAGAAAAAAGAAAAACGAAAAACAACATACAAAATAAACGGAATTGAGTATTACAGAGAAACGCCTTTTATTTTTTTGGTTAAATGCAAAACAAAAACAAAAACAAAATTTTTTTTTTCTCTTTTTCTTCACGTCTCTCCCCACCAAAAAATTCAACTCCAGAAAGACAGAAAAACAAAAAACAAGCAAGCGAGAAAAATCTAAAAAAAAAAAAAGAAAGAAAGAAAGACGGGTTGAATAAAGAAAAAAAAATGCAGTTTAGTCTTTCCTTCTCTCGTCAAGTATATCAAGAATCAAGAGAAAGAGGAAGAACAAATAGAAAAATAAATAGAATACTATGGTAGGATCTGAGGTTAAAAATAAAAAATAAAAATAAAATGAACGAATTATTTCATTATATATATTACCCTCTCCATTTTTTTTTTCTTTTTTTACAAAGTAGTCCTATGTTAAATAGGCAAGTAAAAATCAGTAAATGTTTTTATGATTTCTATCAACTCAACTACCTTTTTCTTTTTCTTCTTCTTTATTTTTTTTTTCTTTTCATTTCACGATACAGTGGATTCTAGCAAAGAAAAAGGCTAGGAAGCAAAGTTACAATTCCCCTCTTTCAACTTTAAAATGTTCAAAGAGATATATTACCATTACCTTCGTTCATCGTCTCATACACACATACACCAGTATAGTTTGAGAGGTGGGAAAAGGGAAAATAGTGATGGTTGCAAACAAATGCATGGATCTACGTCAAAATCAACCTACACTACTTGTATGTAGAAAAAAAATAAATGATAGAAAGGAAGTAATAGAGAGGAAGGAAGAAAGAAGTGACAACAGTATATGATTCTCTCTACTTTTAATAATATGATTGATCGAAAAGAAAACCCCTTGAACGTATAACCTCTTGCTTACTCATCAAATACAAACAAGAAAACAAAAAACAAACAAAAGAAAAATACAAAAACTCTTCCACGGACACCCATACACCCATACACAGATAAACAAGCATAGTGTAATTAAACAACAAATACAATATCCTCGCCACTGTTGCTTGTGATTCTTTTTTTTTTTTATTTTGTTTTGCATTTTACTCACCCGTCAAAGATGACATCGAAAGAGAGAGAGAGAGAAAAAAAAAAGTGGAAAAAAACAAAAAGAAATGGACGAGGCAAGAATGCTTACTTGATAAGAATAACAATGATATTAATAATAATAATAATTAACGATGATAATAATGGTAGCCCATTTATCACTTTATCGCTCCGTTAATTACTAATTTATTAACTCTTGACTGATGACAAATCATTATTACTTTATAATATTTACTCAACTTGTTTCTTTTTTTTTTTTCCCTTTCTTTCTCTTCTTTTTTTTTTTTGTTTTTAGTAATTTATCACTAAGATTTCAATAAATTCATTACAAACTTATCAATTTCTTTTTTTTCATATAGTGTTTCTTTCTTTCTTTTTGTTTTTTTTTAATATATTGCCTTGTCTTTTGATATATATATATATGTGTACAATACAAAGGAATAGCACTAATTAATTGATCCAAATTTTACTTGTTTGATCCCTTACTAGCAGCACTCAAACAAACTAACAAGAGCAAACGAAAATCCTCATTCCCAATACCCCTATCTTTAACACTACACATTAATAAGCACAATAGATAAGTGTGTGATATAGCATAAGACTGTTAAGAATAACTTGATAGACACTCACACGCATACATACACACACACAATATATATATATATATTTATCTACCTGTATTAATTAGAAATGACTACTACTATAGATCTACCCGAAGTCTTTTGTGTGGCAAGAGCAAGAATACCAACTACACAAGGTCCAGACATTTTCTTACATTTATATTCAAATAATAAGGACAATAAAGAACATCTAGCCATCGTATTCGGCGAAGATATAAGGTCTCGTTCCCTTTTCAAAAGAAGATCACCTAATGAGTCTCAACAAGATAGAATGATTAGAGGTGCCTACATAGGGAAATTGTATCCCGGCAGAGCCTCTGCAGATGTGGATGATAAATTAGGCCTGGAATTAAATTTTGACCCAGTTACAGGCGACCTTATATTCGATTCAGAAACGACATGGGATGGGACCCATAATGACACACTGGTCAGAATCCATAGTGAATGTTACACAGGTGAAAACGCATGGTCGGCACGTTGCGACTGTGGTGAACAATTCGATCGTGCCGGGAAATTGATAGCTTGTGATCATGAACCAGAAACAGGAATAGTCGGTGGCAATGGTCATGGTGTGATAGTGTATCTCAGACAGGAAGGCCGTGGGATTGGTCTTGGCGAGAAGTTGAAAGCTTACAATTTACAGGATCTAGGTGCAGACACTGTTCAGGCAAATGTGTTATTAAATCATCCTATTGATGCTCGTGACTTCTCTATAGGTAAATCTATCCTATTGGATCTAGGCCTTAAGAACGTTAGACTGTTGACTAATAACCCAGATAAGATTGCACAGGTGGAGCATGCTGACTTACTTCATTGTGTGGAAAGAGTACCCATGGTCCCAATCCACTGGCAGGATGAAGCCAGAGGTATTGATTCCAAGGAAATTGAAGGTTATCTAAGGACAAAGATCGAGAGAATGGGCCATCTTTTACAAAAACCTCTACATTTACATACAAATACTTCAAAAAGAGACTCTACCGCAATTGTATAGCGAAATATATATATATATATATTTCTTTAGAACTAATGAAAAATGAACAAAAAAAATATATATTCATGGTCTTTTACTATCATTATATACTTTCCCATCTCACCCTTTGTTTTCGGTATCAATAGCATTTAATTGTTTGATTCAAATATATATATATACTCCCCACGGAAACTAATGAAAATAAAGCAATTTCTTTCCTTATTTTTTTTTTTTAAATTCATAGAGAGCAAAGGGTGGAGAAAAATAATATCATTAAACATTCATGTATAAAAAATCTCAAAATATTAGTGCATGTGTCATGTAAAAAAAAAAACAAATCACATGTTTTCTGTTTAATACTATGTACTTATAAATTCACTGAAACTGAAAGAAAAAAAAAAGCATATAGATAATTAAAAGAGAGATTCTGTAAAGATTTAGGAAGATAGTTATACATTGACTGTTCTTAGTACGAAAGTTCTGAAAATTAATTTTCTATAGCTTTGTTTATAGTCATTATTATATTGTCATTTTTACTATCTATTCTATGGCCTTGTTTCCTAGTATTGGGTAGTAAAACAACATTGTAATGATGACATTTTGAATAATTAATAAAATCTTTGTATTCTTCAACTGAAGACCTTTTTTTCTCCTTTTAAAAAGATTGTTTCAAGATGACAAATTTGCAAAGCTATACTCAAGACTAAATTATATTACAAAATCCATTGATGTGACATGCATCTGCCTTCTCGTAATTACTAGTGTCACCAACAAATAAAAAAAAAATATTTCACTAGGTAATGATTATTTAATTTTTTTTTTTTGGTTAGTCATTTTGTTTTTAATTTTTGGTTCTCTTTGTATATCTGTGGATTACTAAGCTACACACCCTAATGCAGTAATAAATTGGTTATTAAATTTTTTGGAAAAAAAAAAAAAGAAAAACAAGTTATTATCCTATAAAATATATAAACCCTAAATACAATTTCACATTAATAAAAATAGAAAATGTGAACCCTAGTTGTATAAAGCAATTATAGTTGTGAAACTATTATAACCCTACGGTATTTCATTTCTATATTATTTTTTTAATAGACACTATAGCTAGTGTACACAAAAAAAAAAAGAAGAAGAGATAGCTGGAAATATTGTTTAGAATAAAATACTAAGACAAGCTTAATCTACTCTTATGAATATCTAATAGTCACCAATATCCTTTTGTACGTCACAGGATTAAGAATTAAGATACGTTTACAATTTTGGTTGACTAAAATATAAAACAAAGCAAAACAAAACAACATTATATTCTCTTTTTCTTTTTCGTTTTTTTTTTTTTTTGAGTGGTGGACTTTCATAAAGTAAATATTCGATGTCAGATCTAAATCATTCAAGTAATAATCCTAATATTAATAATGACAGTAGGAATATTTTCACCACAGTTAATGATAATATCGATAACTCCACTATAAATAGAACAAAAAATCAATTCTTTGACATTTATGAAAAGATATCCAGTGAGAATTTAACCGTAATAGATAAACTAAATATTTTGACAAGATTCAAAGGTCATGTTAAAAAAGAATTAGTAAACACTGATTATATACAATTGTATTTTAAAACACTATTATACATTCCTAACTATATTAAATTGTTGAATCAGAAACAATCCTATAAAGATGATCAAGAGGAAACCATAAAGAATCTTCTTCTGACATCGCACTCTGCATTATCTTATTTAGTTAAAAGAGTATCATATCAATCTCCAAATTCTATCAATAATACTATAGTTAATGATTTATTATCTTATTTTATTGAAATTCAAGATACTGTAAATAATCAAAGCATCAACATAGCGAAATTTAATTTAAATAAAAAAATATGGTTATTGTCAAATAAGGCTATTGAAATCCTTTATTTAACCGTTCCATTATATGTAGAGGATGCTTTATTGAAACTTTTTAACAATTTAAATGAATCTGATAATTACTTATTAGAACAGTTAAACAATAATCATTTGAAATATTTATTATTAATTATTGATGATTTAACTAGGATAAATTTACAAAGTAATAAAACTAGTAGTAATACAACAATTTTTTTAGAGATTTTTTTACCTCATTTCATCCATCTATTGAATAATAACAAACTTTTTGATCTTAATGGTACATATCGTGAAGATACAAACAAAAAATTGATTGTGGAATTAATTAATGATATCCTAACTAAATATCTAGATAACAAGGTATTTTCTGAATTCAAATCTAAATTGAATAACAGTAGCATAAGAAACTATTTTATGAAAGAAACAACTACAGATAAATCTTCAGATACAGGAAAAAATAAAGATAACAATAACATTGATAATAATGATGAGAAAATATCGATCGATAATAATGCTACTTCGATCCCTTCACTTGGTTTGTTTGATTTGGAAATGGAGTATAATATGTTGCTAAATGATTATAAAGCGCCGCAGTTGACCAATTTACTTAACCAAAACCATTTAAAATATAAATCTAAATATGAAAACCTAACAACCTTAGTGAACGATTTAAACACGTTATTGGTTCCATTTCATGAAAGAAAGGAAACTGAATCTAATTGGAAGGTTAGACAAACGAATATTATTATGATAAGAGAGAAGCTATTAATTAACGAACAACTGCTCAAAAATAATAAAAGTGAAATGGTTTCCGCTTTAAAAGAAATGAATTTCGTTGATAATTTATCAAAAGCTATTTTATCTTTAAGAACATCATTATCTTTAAACTCGTGTCAATTATTAAAAGAACTATTAGAATTACTAGGTGATTCTATGCCATTAGTATTGCTGGATCAAATATTCACATTATTAAAACAGCTTTTATCTTCAACAAAAAAAATATCTTCACAGATGGCATTGCATTGTTTGATGTGTTTTTTCATATGTGTTAATGAATTCCACAACAAACTGTTTCAAAGTGCATTCACTTTAATGAATGAAAAGAGCATTGTTCCAAGAAATTCTTCGACAATTTTTCTTAGAATTTTCATTATTAAGTTTAGTAAAACTGTGAAATTAGAGAACAATTTATTATATGTAGAAGAGTGGTTGAAAAAAGGTTTATTAGATGCCCAAATAATTGTCAGAGATTCGATGAAGTTAACTTTTTGGTATTTTTATAAGGCATACCCTGAACATGGGAAATCTTTATTACATAATTTCTTTTCCCCACAATTGAAAAAATCTTTAGAATCATCTATACCTTTGCATCTATCCATTGATTATGAAAGGCCATCAAACAGCTCTTCTTCGAATAATTCAAGACGCTCAAGTTTGCTAAATGCACATTTTCAAAACAACGGAAGTAAGAGGAAATATCCAAGTTATGCACAACCGACACAGTCGTCATCCATCTTGCAAAAAATCAACAATGTAACTCATGGAAGTAGTAATGGAAATTTTGGCTATAGATCAACTAGTGATAATATTAGTCATTCGAATGACTTTGTTTCCAAAAAATTTAAATCTAGCACATCAACAATGAGTAGAATTGATAATAATTCATTGATAAAAAGAAAAGTTAGTGCGCCAGTGAGGCATACTGGTAGTAATAATAGTATATTAGACGTTGAGAACATGAGTCAATTTGATATAACTGATGAGATAAATAGTCCACATTCCAATCCACTTATCCAAAAATATTTGGAGAATTCTAATTCTAAACAAAATACATCTTCTACAATTAATAAAACTCCTCTTGATAATAAATATGGCCTTATAGGATCAGAAGAAGAATCAAAAAAAATTATTGCTTCATTTAAATCTCATTCGTTACAAAATTTTATACTGAACCCTCAAAATTACAAATATCCCTTGCAATTATTGCAAAATTTTCTTTTACGTAAATCTGGTAAGCTCCTGATAGAGACGACTCTATCCACAATTATGCCATATATGAGACAAATCTTATTAAAGGTTCCGATCGAGTTGAAAAATCTACTTTCATTTCCTGTGTTTGTGCAGTGTATGCCATTAAAATTCATAATTGAACTATGTTCCATTTGTAATATGAATATTGATGACATAATTTTAAAATTGAATATAAGTGATATGAATAAATTCATAAATGAAATAAGTTCTCTTTTCAATGATATGACATCTGAATACTCTGATAAAAATGTCTCTCTATATTATATGAAGTACAGAGAAAAATTTTTTAATTTTACAATGAATGTATTGATCTACTTATTTGAAGATAAAATTCATTTTGATATCCAGGATCCTGATTTTAAAAGGTTATTGAAGTTGGTATCTGATATTTATGGAGATGAGTTTGATAATACCATTTATTTCAATTTAATATTTCAACTTTATATATACAATAAAAAAGTATTCTTAGAATATTTGAATACTCTCAATCTGGTTTCCAAGAAACTTAAAATTTCAAATGAATTACAAATGCGAGATCCGACATTCGAACTAACAAGCACCAGGCTATCAAAATCCGTCAAAGAAAAACAAATAACTACAGAAGTGGAAGATAATTCATCTCAAGATGTTTTGGCTATAGATAATCATAATGATGATATTACCATAAGAAAGTACATGGATATGACCATGGTAAATCCATTTAAGCAAAATAACTCCCTTAATGGAGAAGTAAATCAAAATGATGACCTTGGAAATAAAATAAAACCTGAAGATAGTGAGAATGGTACATCACATAGTACGTTAGATAGTACAGAAAATAAATTATCTCAGATGACTAGAGTTGTTAGTGTTTACCAGACTATTGATTACACAAAGTCTAATCCTAAACCACTAAATAATATTAAGGAAGAGGAGGATGGAGATAAAAATGCTATTAAATCAGAAATCGATCTAAGTGATATTTTCTCAAAGAAAAAATCTGTAAATGAGTTGAATATGATGGTCAGAGGAGTCAATCAAGTAGAAAATAATAAATTAGATAATATCAATTTACGTAATGAGGAGGATTTCAAACCGGAGCAGGAACATACAGTTAAATTTAGTACTGATCCACCAAAAGTGATCAATGATGAAATGAAGACCTTGAGAAAGGAAAACGAAGACGGTACATTAACTTCTAGCCCAGAGATAGAGGTCAGATCACCAGATGTTAATTCAAAATTAGTTTTAGTGTCTAACAATTCAGAAAAAATACAGCCGAGAATTAAATTAGAGGAACAATTAGAGATACCAAGGGATGTAACTGTTCATCATGGAGATAAATATAATTTAATGCATTTGTTGCCTGCAGATTCATTTATTTTATTTGAATTAAATGTAATTATTGCAAGTAATTATGGACAGACACGTGATTTCACAATTAAGAAGCGTAATCAATATGATCATCTTCTGGAGGCAGTGAATAGGATAAAAAGTGGTATGTTTACCATGAAACATTTGATTTATTTAATTGAACCTTTAATTGAGTTAGATCTGAATGATACCTTATTGCTTAAATGGTTACAACAAGAGGGTGGATTTGCAAAGTTACAAGATATTTGTTTAATGTTACTACAGTCTACTGATGAAACGATGTTGATTCCAACGAACATGACAAGTAAAGCATTGATATTACTACAGTGTTTATTGTTAATAAATGAACATTTTTCAGATAAGATGCAATTATCATCTGGGTTTGCTACAGAGATATGGGATCAGTTTATTATATTGGTTGATAAATTATCTGATTATAATAATGAAATTTATAATCTTTTGATAGAGACAAGGCAGTTGATGATACATTTAAAATATTTTGATTCTAAAAGAATAACAAGCATTCTGAATAAATTATTGTTTATGATATATGAATATGAAAAGAATGTGCCTTCTAATTCCAACAATTATAATCCACAGCAATTAGTATATGTTTCAACAAAGAAGAAGGAAGGTATGGTGGTATCATTTCTATTAGGGACATTATCAGATATACTCAAAGATTATAGGAGACAGAAGAATCCAAATAATACTGTTGTTATTAAAAATAACCAGTTTTCTGAAATTATACAATCATTAATATCATTTACAGAATTTGAGATAACTGAATGGAGATATGAGAGTTGCAATATACTTGCAAGCATCCACTATATTCTAAAGACTATTAAGAAATTACGTCAAGAAGAGATAGAAGGTCTATTTGGTCAACTAAGTAAATTTTCTTATAGATTGATTAAGTCCATGGCATCAAGTATTTAGAATATTTTCTAAATACGAGGTTTTAACTCTTTATCATTATAAGCATATATACATATATATATATACATGTGTGTGTGACACAAAAGAGGCATACAAATAAAGTGTATTGATCTGCATTCAACTATTATATTATGATAAATATTAATCATATATTCTCTGTACGTCAATTTGTCGATGGTCGCTATTACTGTCAGGCATTTTAAAAAAATGCAAAAAAAAAAAAAATAAAAAAGTTTAGTGTGACGTGGCAAGAATCTATTTTTTCCCAGTTTTTGGGTTCCTTCTTTTTAAAGTAAAATTGGTTCTATGGAATGGACACCAGGAAAGTTTGCATGGCATATCTAACCCACTGAAAACAGTCTATAGTTTGAGACATTTTTTTGAGAAGACATAGTACAAAAACAACACATATAATATCAGTGATTAACATTTTCAATCGTATGTTGTTTGTTCAACACAACTTCTCTGGGTGAGAAGTTTACTTGACTACATTATTTTAAAACACTATTTCTGAATACCACTTCAGTTTTTTCTATATGTAGTTTTATGTAATATCTTTTATTTTACTCTTTTGGGTTAAGATAAAACGGAGCTTAAAATGAATAAGTTCTCTCTTTTCTCCTTTATTTTTTTTTGTTCTCTCCCCACAAAAGATATAAAGAAAGTATGTAGTGAGAAAAATAAAAAGACATATTGTTTAAAAATATAAAAAATAAAATTGCCTTTTATATATTGCTTTATTTGTCCCCAAGAATAATGTGGTTGGTTACAATAACTATATACTTTTTCTGTAGATAACGAATCATTCGATAGTAATAATATTATCGATAGCTATCTCATCGATAATATTAATGAAGAGAGGTATGAAGTTGAAAAGTTGACCAGAACTATTGGCTATTAATGTATCAGTTGATGATGTTGCTTGTTTGTTTTTACTTATTTAGTTAGCTACACAGATAAAATGATAGCATTGTATGTTTTATTCTATTCATTTTTTTTCATTTATTTCTCACTCTTTATCACCTGAAAAAAAGAAAAGAAAAAGATTTCGTGAAATATTATCCATTTTCCCTTTTTGGCAATACTGGAAGAACTCCATAACTAAAAAAAAGGAAAAAAATAACACATTCGCCCTTTTTTTTTGGCGTTTCTTTTTTTTTTTTTTTGGAAATCTTTTCTTTTTCCAATTTTCGATCGAAGGATATCATACAATTAGAACATATGCTGATTATGGAATTGGAGTCTACGTGTTTTAGCTGCTAATTGGGTGGATTCTTTATTGATCTATAAACTATAAGTTGAAGACTAAGGTTTATGCATAACCTTTTAGACTTTTATCTACCTTTATTATTTTTTTTTCAGATCTGATGTAGAAAGTGCTCCATCAACCAGAGAAAACACAATGACTACTAATGATGAACTTATTCAATATTTTGGACCAGAAGTATCTAAACCAGAAATAACTTCTGCACTAAATAATCTACTTAGGTTGTATGCAATCACAGTTGAAGAATTATTTATAAAATGGGAACAATTCTCCCAGAATGAGAGACATGAAAATCAAACTGCCCTGACCGTAGCCAATATTGATCAATTTAAAAAATTTTTGCAAGCTAAAATAGAAAAATATGCTAACTCAGTGGGTGATCGTTCTTTTAATGGTGGTTTAAACAATGATAGTGTGTCATCTTCTATAAACAAAAAAATTAGGCCTGTTAGAGTACCAAATAGTAGTAATGGTTCAATGTTTGGGTTTAGTTTACAGAAATCGCCTATGGTCACTAAAAAACGTAAGGTAGAAGTAAAAATAGAACATGATAAAAGTAGCCAATTAGATTTTAAAAGTGAAGGCGATAATTCTTTTAATTACGACACAGAAGTGAAAAGTGAATCCTCGGTTCAACTATCTTCCACACCAAGTACACCTTTTATGTCAAATTCAAAATCGTCTAATGTTGTTTCAGGAAGTATTCTTGATTCATTAAATCCCCAAAATATGGAAATTTCCCAAGGGTTGCTCATTCCAGGGGAGAATCCAAAACAGCACATAAAGATTCAACCTTATTACGACCCATCAAAGTATAAATTCAGAACGATGAGACAAAAACTGGTAGATGTATCGGATGTACTAGATGAGCAAATTGAAATTGCAACCAAATTAATACAAGACCATTATAAAATTTCACCTACAAGCTTTGGTGATCCTACAATTCAGTCGCAAAATGAAGTATATGCTGTGGGTAGAATTGTTCCAGATTCTCCAACAGCAGATGGATTTCTAAATATTCAGTCTTTATCACTAGAAACATCTCGGATTGGCGGTGTGGGAAGAAGGATAAGGCTTAATTTTGATAATATAGAAGAAGTATCTTTATTTGCTGGACAACTCGTAGCATTTAAAGGAAAGAATGCTAATGGGGATCTTTTTTCAGTCAAAGAAGTCTTAAATCTTCCTTACCCAGATGCTCCTGTGTCTATAGAAGAAGATATTATTAATTATAAAGAATTGTTAGATAACAATTCATCTAAAATTGTTATTACTTCAGGGCCATATATAGCGGAAAACTCTTTTGATTTATCTCACCTTATAAATTTTGTTGAAAGGATAAACACCGATGTGAGACCACACGTTCTAATAATGTTTGGCCCATTTATTGATGTTACAAATGCCATGGTGATGAACGGTACCATCCCCGAATTTCCTGAATTGAAAAATCAGCCAAGAACTTTAGATGAATTATTTACAAAACTTATTGTACCCATATTGAAAATGATTGATCCAGCAATTCAAGTTATATTGATCCCTTCTACAAGGGATGTAATCTCTAATCATGCATCATATCCACAGGATTCTTTTGATAGAAAGTCATTGCAATTACCTAAAAATTTTAAATGTTTCACTAATCCATCAACTTTTCAATTAAACGAAATATATTTTGGATGTTCAAATGTTGATATATTTAAAGATATGAAAGAGATAATTAAGGGTGGGAATACATCTATGCGTAATAGATTTGATAGAATTGCTGAACACATACTTCAACAGCGTAGATTTTATCCGTTGTTCCCAGGTGCGATCCGAAAGATAACTATACCTTCGGAGGATAGAAAAGTATATAGACATATATCTGGTGCAGATTTAGAAGTATCCTATCTAGGTTTAACTGAATTTGTTGGTAATACTGCACCAGATGTGGTTATTATACCAAGTGAAATGAATCCTTTTGCTAGAATCATTAAGAATGTTTTGTTTATCAATCCTGGAAGGTTCATCAAGGCTAGAGGTGCAAAAGGCACTTATGCTCAAATATCTACATCATGCCCTTCGACAGAAGGAGATAGCCTTACTCGATTAGATGGAGATGAGATGTTATATTTGCATAATGCATGGAAACGTTCAAGAGTTGATATTGTGACCAGTTAAGGGTTCGTAAGTATATGATTCAAAAGAAAAAGACAACAAATTATTTAAATAATAATATATAGAGAAAAAAAGATTTGGGCATCTTAATATATAATTATAACTTGATTTTAATTTTCTTAACTAATTGTTTGATTGGAGAAGAACTATGTAAATTTTTAGTATTACTATTTCCTATCCTTTGAGGGAAGGAGTCGTTTGTGGCATCGCTTGATTGTTGAGTTAAAAAAGATTTCCTTGAAACTATTGATCTTTTTCTGAGAGAAAGTGACCTTCTAATATTAGAAATATTTTCTAATGGTTCAACTTTTGTGTTTTTGTTTTCCTCGTCACGTTTGTTAGATAGTTGTAATGGGGTAACTGGTACATCTTCTCTTTCTGCTTTAATAACTGTTGCTGCTGCTTTAGTTGCAAGGTCCTTATTGTTATGGATAACAGATACATCATGTTGTTTTGGGTATACCTTCACTGGATTTTTCAGGGTTTCTTCCTCGTTTTCAAAAATATTTTTATCGTATATTGCAGTCTTAGTTTGTTGATGGTGAGGATCTCTAAGAGGTAGACTAATCGTCATGGATAGTGTATTTGTGTCATTATTTATAGTTCTTGTTATTGCATTGTCTCTCTTATTACTTTTCAGATGATAATTATTTGATATTGAAAATTGATCAGGTAGAGTTGCACTAACAACGCCCTCATAAAGATCTTTTTCAGGTGTGTCTGGTGTTTTATTTGGAATACGATAGGTATTTATTATTCTCGGACTAGTTATTATTTTAGTGAATTTTGGTGATGATCGAGTTTTTTTATTATGTGTAATTTCTGACAGTATATGGCTGTTGGGAGTATGTTGTACGTATTTTCTAGGCGATATCTGAGGCGTCGATTCAGTAAATTTAAAAATATCCTCTGTGATATTTGCCTCTTTCTCATTTGATGAAGTGTTATTTTTGTGATTTATTCCATTCTTTTTTAAGATCTTAATTTTCATGCTCTTCATTTCATTTGTAATTTCTTGCATATAATTATTAGTTTGCATTACAATATCTAATAAATTAGTTTTTTTCGGTAGTTGTGATGTGCTAATAATAGGAATATGCCCAACTTTCGGAGTTTCTTGCAATGACACTAAAAGTTTGTAAAAAAGGTAATAAACAAGCAACGAAAGGTGTTCTAAAAATATACTAAATCTCAAAATTGTGCTCCAGTTGTACTTGAAGGGGTACCAACAATTCCATTCATCTTTTGTCAATCTTATGTTATTCTTCTTAGTATTTGCCAAGTCAGAATTAGAATATATCAGAGTTAAAGTAGGAGAAATAACTGATGATATAATTAAAATTATTTCCATTATGATATTCCAAGAATCGGATGTAGATGCAGATCCTTTGAAGTCATCTTCTAATTCAGAAGTTTCTGTAATATTGGGAAAAGAGACTGGACTATATTTTTTTATTGATCTCCACAAATCTAATTTAAAAGTAATTAGATTGAAAGTTAATAAGATAAAGGGTACCAGTGGCCAAATAATAGAAAACATAGAGATATAACCAAACTGAAGTACTAACTTTTTCATATTTTCATTATAATCAAATGACCCCCAATCGTTTTGTTGAAGGGAATTTATATAATCCCATGTTTTAAGGTCCTTCTTGAAATGAGTTTCAATATAATGTCTTAATTTTGGGTATATATTATGAGAAGTATCTTGAGCTGTATCTGCAGATATTCTATTTGCGTTAGTTTTGAAGATATGGATTCCTATTGGAAGAAGATTTTCTATAGCAATAGAAATAATTTGGTTAGTGACAGTATAATATAGAATTTGATCTTTAGACCTTTTAATATTCATAAAGAATTCATTTGATACTGTTGGCTCTATACGAAAAATGTTGAAGTAGGAAGTTGTTTTATTTTGAGTCACCTCAGTAGTAAAAACATAACCATAAGGTATGTATAAGAATAGAGTGATGATTAATGGGGCATAACTAGTAAAAAAGGTGATAACAAAGTCTTTTTCGATTATTGATCCATTTGGGTTAGAACTATTCTCCCATTTGACAAATTTCTCAATTAAGGCTTTTTTATATATTTTTGTTAATAATGTTGTAAGAAGATAATTCAGTAGAGATGGAAATAGTAGAAGTGAATTAATTGTCAAGGAGTCAGGAAATAATTGAGTTATGAAAACTTCAACCTTTAAACACAGCAACTGAATAAAAATTGAAAGAATTATAAATATTATGGCAATTGGAATAAAACAGCATTTCTTTAAAATCACTTTGTAATGTTCGTCGTGTTTCTTTTTTCCATTGCCAGATTGAAATAGAGTCACCTTATAAATGCCTTCAAATAAAAACACGTAATGTTTTCTTGACTTATAGATCCAAGTAGAGATAAACATGATGGACCAAAAGAATAATAAAAATGTGTATAGTTTATTGAATTCCCAAGAGGGTTTACTTCGGAATGCTATACGAACAAATATACCAATTATTGAAAGAGGTATCAACCAATGAATATAATATTTAAAATAAGCAAAATAAAGAGATTGATTAGAATTTCCAGAAAGCAAAGCTAATTCTACTAATTCCTTTTCTGTAGGAAGACTAAAGGGTATCCTTTGCATGGAATTTTTATACAGTTTGTCTAACCTTTTCAAAGTCCTCTTATCGTATATAGGAAAATGTGTTATGATAAAAGGTAAATCTTGTGAGAGTGAATAGATATAGTCATTTTTGATTTTCTCTACATCTACTCTAGTGAAGACGAAAACACTCTTAGCATCAGGGCCCGGTCTAGTCACTGCATCTAGTCCTCTTATTGATAGTTCTGCTAATAATTGTGCTAAATTATCTTTTGAATAGTTGAATATAATAACATAATTGGGATCTAGGTGGTCTAAACTTTTGTTATTATGTGACATGCTATGACAATGAATTCTGATGTCTATTTAAAAAGTTTGATTAACAAAAATAATATTGATGTGGTTGGTTCCCAGATATAATTATTTGCTGGTGTAAATAATAATAAAAATGATAGTATGTTTGGGAATTTCAGATATTTTATGACGTAAATAAAAAATATTTAAATACAAATGGAATATATACATATATGTTTGTATGTATATGTATGTATAGTCATATTCTATATCATTTTTGCTTAATTAACAAATCGTAGTAGGCAATAATAATTAGCGTGTTATGTTACACTTATATAATATATCTAATTATTAAAGATTGCTTCTGTTATTGACCTTTATTTTCGCCCTTTATTTCAAAGAATATGTACGAGATTTAAAAGAAGGGGGGCATTCATTGAAAATTGTCCGGTAAGGGTTAAATGAACCTTTAACACTATTTTATACCCTGATCTAATTCCTCTTGATATTCATTGAGGCCGTTACCCTTTAACAAAATCATTGGTTTACAGTCATCATGAAAATATGAGATACAATTAATACTTGTATATGAGAATCTATACAATTGCATATATGTACATGTTGTTATAACATATGTAGAGACTATATATAATTAGTTTGAGATAATCCATCTTAAACAATCTACTACATAGGTGGCTAAAGGACCTGCGAGAGTCGTCTTACATGTAATATTCACTGTATAATCTTGTTGACACTGCAATTTCATTAAACAACCAAAATTGCCATCTGTCTTGGTATGAACGATGCTAGCAACAAAAAGTGTATTGGATACATTGGTTTGTTCGATTATGTTCATACCAATTCTTTTCAATCTTGTTTGTAAGATTGTAAGCATTGATTCTATGGAGTTATGTCTTTCTTGAGTTTCATTTGTATTGACCATTAATATGTTTGCCACATGACACTCTGCCTCCTTTCCGAGAGCTGTTCCTAAAGTTCTCCAACGTGTAATAAATTGGGGCAATGTAACACTTGTAATGGTGTTTGAGTTTAATTTCTCACTGTTTATAGTGGAGATTATTGCTATACCTAATTTTAATGTAGTATGATTCGAAGTACTACCGCAATTAAAATATACGTTCATTAAGGGACATTTTTCTATATTAAAGGGTTTTCTTATGACAACCTGAACATTCTGTTCTGTTCTTTTGTGTGGCTTAATATTTGAACTTGTTAAAGCTTCTATATTTTGGAAGATATATTCAGGATTGTTTTCGATATGAGCAGCAATGAATTCAGTAGATAGACCTGTGATATCCCATTCAGTTTGGTTAATATATGTGAAACCTATCTTTATCTGATATGGTTCGATATGTGTTATACGATATAATATTTTTATTAAAGGTGAAGAATAGAAAATACCTTGTTTATGTTGAAGCATTCTAGTAAATCCTTCTTTCCAAGTGGAAGTCAACATTTGTTGAATGTACCTATTATTTAATCCTTTAGCATTGGTATTATTGTTATTCTCTTGAATTGGAAGTGGTAGTCTATTATTTTTTGCAGTCCTACTTTTTATTGAAAGTGGTACTAATGGTGGCTGTTGCATGCTTATATTGTTTGGAACTGAGTTAAATGGGCCTATATTTTCTGCATCTTTTGAAGAATCGTCTGAAGATATTTTATTGGATATTGTTAATTTTGAAAATTCTATATCACTATCATTCGAATGATTGTCCTGTTGTAATCCACCCAATCTTTTCAATAATGGATTTGATTTAGTATTGAATGAGGGCATGGTTTCAAATAATGTATTGATCAAAGTCATATTACCAGACATTTTAGAAATTTGGATTATCTTTAAATATTCATATGCTCTTGTTTGTAATTCGATATCTAATGAATTTAATTCCAGTTGAAAAAATTTGATTACTTTGGATCCAACTAAATTAGGTTCAAATTTATATAGTTGTATCATAGTGGTCAAAATCATGGCTTTTGTCATATTGAATACACTGTAATATTTTTCAGCAAAGATTGAAAATAAATTGTCTATTGATATCTGCTTTACTATTAAGGAAGGATATTGGCCTAACAAAAAGGCAGCCGTCTTTACGATATATTCTGAAGTATGTCTTTTGACTAAATATCCAAGCAGATTATGACAGGTCAGCTTTCTTAATTGAGGATTATTTACTACAATCTGACATAATCTATACCACAGCTCATTATTATCATTTAAATGATTATGGATGTTGTCATGATGAAATGAATTATCAGGAGTTAATGATAAGATTTTCAAAGAGGTTTCGATATACCAATTTGGATCTGTTGCAAATTTTTCTATCAATACTGCTATTTTAACCGAGACATTCGATTTTACTTGTGGATCAGAACTTTGTTTCATATTTGAGATAAAATTCAAGTAATGGGCTACTATAACTTTCACAGTATCTACATTTGCTAAAATATATAACAAATCGATGGTTTTTCTCAATATGGACATATCCCTTTCGTTATTCATTAAGTGGACAATTAAATCTAAATTCTCATTACTTACAGTATCAACAGCTACCCTTCCACTATCTGAACATAATTGGATCAATGAATCCAGAGTCAAATATCTGATGTTAATCTCAGAGGATCGTAACAATAAACAAAGAGTGTTAACTGAATTGATTATTGCTTCATTAGATGGATCCAATTTAGGTGCAAATTTAATTAGGGAGAATAATACAGTATTTTGTACAATTCTTTCTATTGGATCACTACTTTTTCTGTGGCCTAAAGAAATTGCATCTACTACACATTTTCTTAATTTATTTAAAGTTTCTGGGTCTAGATCTGAAGGGTGTAAACATTGCTTATTCATATTACGTGGAGGATCAATCTCTTGATATGGGGGTGCTATCAATTTGCTTAAAAGGGAAACTACTTTAGTTATTAGCCAAGGGTTTGGTATATTAGCAAATTTGTATTCTATGGGGAATCTATATATCCCTGAGTCTTTTGTACCCAAAACAACGCATGTATATAAAATATCTGTTAATTGAGGGACAATCCTGAAACAATATGAGGGGTCGATATTTGAAGCGATATACTCTACTAAGGGTAATGCAGTTAGAGTGACCCTATAATTATCTGTGTCGTCTAACAAGGCAATGATCTTCTGGATCCAAATTTGTTTCCTTTGGAAATTGTCTGTTAATATAGATAAATTATTTTTTAATAAAGATAAGAACGTTAAGGTTGATTTTTTCTTCAAATACTGTGATGAGGTTGGAGATCTAATGATTTGGAACACACTATTTACAATTTCTTCGTTGGATGCTAGATTGGAGTGTAGATTACCTACAGTCCCAATAAAATTTAAAGCCAAAGAGGTGAAATCATCTTTATTTGCTGAGAGATCAGAGAGTAGTCTTTGTAAGAACCTTGTGTGGTTGATTAGTGTGATTATCCTTTCATGTTCGAAGAAAAGTGATAGTATTAGATAACCCATGAATTTTTCAGAATAATGATTCGAATCTATAAGATTAAGTATTTGGTCTAATCCAAACAACAATTCATTTAATTTTGAAGTATTTGTGGTGATATAGATATAAGCCAACTTAGCTACATATTTTTTTCTTTGGTATCCGTCTAATTTAAGTGAAGTAGTAGTGGCAGTGGCGGTGGTGCTAGAAGGAGAAGAAGAAGAAGGATCTGATAGATTGGCATATGGTTCGAATTGTTTCTTTATTTTAACTAATTCATAATTAATTCTTTTTTCGTGATCCTGTGAATGTTGGGTGGTTCTGAGATCTGCTATGAAAAGTTGTAAACCTTTAATTGTATTCTTGGTCGATCCAATTGGGTTTTCCATAAAAGACTTCTTTTTGTCTATATTCATTTTGGATCCAATAAACCCATGTAACTAACGCAGTTGCTTAGTTAGAGACAACAATTCCAGTGGTATTATAGCCTAGTATTTAAGCTTTTCTTTCTGGGAAGATATTTCGACAGATAAGTATTTTGTGGTCACTTTCACATTGTATCCAATGGAAAGTAAGAAATACACATGCATACACATATACACAGTGCTCTTTCTTTGTTGCTCCTTCATTACTTTCAAATCAGCAAAGTTCTACAAAGCAGATTTATCCAGACCCAGACACCCAGGCGTCCTAATTTGGAAAATACAGAGAGATCATTTAAAGAGGGGACACCACTATTATTATCCACATGAATATATATATTTGTGGGTGTGGGTGTGGGTGTGTACAGATAGGTTTATTATAAAAGTCGATTCATAAGCAATGTTAATAATGATTTAAGTGGCAAGTTAAAAGATATAAACACTTTCTCTCTTTTTATATATATCGTTAGATGTAATATTTAGAAATGCAATTACACATGCTATTATTAACTAAGTGATATATACACCACAGACCGGTTTATCTATTATTGGTTACTCTTGTTTACACTACTTGTTTCACCTGTATTTCTCTGGCGTGCTTTCTGTGTTTCTCTGTTGTTATTACTGTTATTACTGTTATAATTTATATAATTGTTATTCTTATTATCATTTATTCTTATTATAAGTAAATTTTGTGAAAAATAGAAAAGAAAAAAATGAAAGGAAAATGGAAAGACATTTCCTCGAGGAAAATAAGTGAAATGTAAGTTAGTGAAAATTTTTGATAATCTTTTGATGAGCCAACACAACATAGCTTTGTGCTTTTTAATATTTGATCTGCACGATTTTTTGAACTCAGGTTAAAGAGAGCTGTTAGAGAGTTAAAGCAACAAGATCAGGATCAACAAAAGAAAAAAAAAAAAAAAGAAAGAAGGAAAATCAATATGTCTCTATGGGTAGATAAATATAGACCAAAGACTCTACAATCTCTGTCACATTCTGATGAGCTAACTGAATTATTAGAATCACTATCTAAACAACCAAGAGATTTGCCTCATCTTCTTTTATATGGGCCCAATGGTAGTGGTAAGAAAACTAGATGTATGTCTCTGTTGGAATCTATCTTTGGTTCAGGTGTATATCGACTTAAGATCGATGTTAGGCAATTTGTGACACCATCAAACAGAAAATTGGAATTGAACGTAGTAAGTTCTCCATACCATCTGGAGATTACTCCAAGTGATATGGGTAACAACGATAGAATTGTGGTTCAAGAATTATTGAAAGAAGTGGCACAAATGGAACAAGTCGATTTCTCTGATTCAAAAGAGGGTGGATTGGCACACAGATATAAGTGTGTTATTATCAATGAAGCAGACTCATTGACTAGAGATGCACAGGCCGCATTAAGACGTACAATGGAAAAATATTCTAGAAATATTAGATTGATTATGGTCTGTGATTCTCTGTCTTCTATCATTGCACCCATAAAGTCCCGTTGTCTTTTGATTCGTTGCCCATCCCCAGGTAATGATGAGATGGTGAAAATTTTGTCTGATGTCGTGTCTAAAGAAAATATTAAACTAGAATCCGGCTCGATATTAAACCAGATCTCGAAGGAAGCTAATGGAAATTTAAGATTGGCTTTATTAATGTTGGAATCCATGGCTTTGAGTAACGAATTACAACTGAAAGTTTCTACTCATATAATTAAACCAGATTGGATAGTAGTAATAAATAAATTGGCAAGAAAAATCCAAATGGAGAGAACAGTAGGTTGTCTTGTGGAATGTAGATCTATTTTATATGAATTGATGGCACATTGTATCCCTCCAAATACAATATTGCAAGAATTAACGTTTGCATTATTAAAATCAAATGCAATCGCAGATAAACAAAAGGGGAGGATAATTGAACATGCTAGTGTATTTGACGAGAGATTGTCACTGGGTAATAAGGCTATCTTCCATTTGGAAGGGTTCATCGCTAAAGTTATGTGTTCTTTAAATAATGATTAAGGTAACAAGAGTGAGAATAAGAATATAAATAAACAAAGAAGAAAGGAAGAGATATACTGGAATGAGAATAAATACAAGAAAAAGTGGATGTTTATGAAACTGTAAATCTATACTGAGAGGGAGAGGTCAGGGAAAAGAAGAGGGGTGACACATAGAGAAGTCAAATGTTTATATGCGTGTATTTATTAAATATCTACAAGAGGTTTGCTATTATTATATAGAATATATAGACTATTTTTTTCTTTATTTATTTGCTTAATGATTTGGCATATTACATTGTGTCTTGTCTATGCGCGTTTTTATTGAAAGAAATCTTTTTTTTAGTATCTCTAATCATCATTATATCGTCGTTTATGTCTAGATTAATAAATATAGGAAAGTCAAGAACATGAAGCAACGAAATACTATATTAACGACCTCTATAAAGAAGATATTCAGGTTCTTTTGATTTTTCAATACTTATTAATTTCTTTCTAGTTCTTTGGGATAAAGAACCTGGGACTATTATTTTTTCCCTCTTTACGGTTTCTAAATCTTTAAAAGTATGTAAACCGATTCTTACTGGGGCTTCTCTTGTAACAAACTCATAGACACCTGGTAGTTTAGTACCAGCTTTGCGGAATGCTTCTCTAGCAACTCTTTCGTGAAGATTGTCACCGTCTATTTCAAAGATTATTTTACCAGTAGGAACCCTTGTCATCCAATGATCAAATGCACCTTTACCTTTGCCCATTCTAGTCTCATTACCTTTAATACAGACAGCAATATCTGTCACGAGGCGTCTCCATAACCGACCGTTACTTAGAGGCCTAACATATCTCATAATAGCATTATCAGCCTCTTTTAACTGAATAGCAGTCAAACGCACACCTTCGGATTTTAATCGAAGTCCATATTTACCAAATTGTAAAGTGGAGCCTTTGACAGATCCACCTGTCCTTACTGGAACTCTACCTTTTTGTTTCTTACTTTGATAGTTGAATCTTGGAGCATATTCGTGCTTTCTACGGGCAATATTTCTAATTGATAGAGATATTCTACCTAATTGAACTTTTTGAGAATCAAATAACATTATTTATATTATTACAGATATGTGTGGGTGTATGTATATCTTTGTTAAAAATTTAATCACTTTCTCTTTAATACTTTTTCCTGTCTACTTTTCTGTTAAATTTGATTAATGCATTAACGACATAAACATACTCTTGGAAGGAAAGTGAGTTGGGAGATGATACTGCTTTTAACTCAACTCTATATTCTGTAAAACTTCTGTTAAACAAAACCTCTTCTTCTTTTTCTCCCTTTCTTAGTCTATTTTATTCTTCTTTTTTTTTTTCACTTTCAGATTTTCTTTTTCGGTTCTTTTATTTCTTTGAGGGATCTGATAACCAGTGGTTTCTCCCCTATTGTCTTTTCCCTCGAGGGATCTTATTTTAAAACCAATGGATGAAATAAAGTAAGAAGTCAGAGCAATACTGATATTGATGTACAGAGAAGTAAGGTGGATAAACAATGCCTTCAGAACCTTTGAGTGATATTTTGAAAAGGTGAAATTAATAATTTTAGAACTAAACTGAGGACTATCAAAATATAGGAAAAAAAAATAGAATAATAGTGCAGAAGGGATAAAAATAATCCATAATAATCCATAATAATCCATAATGAAATTGAACAAGGTTGATCTAGTAAACCAAAGTTTTACTCATCTGATTAGACGATATAAATTGACTGCATTCACTCCAATTAGAAGGCCTTTGCCTAAAACTTTAGAGATTGATGGTAAAACATATAATACACATTCTGATTTTACTAATGTAACTCCAACCATAACATCCCACTTAAGTAGACAATTACATCTTAACAAGGATCATCCTATCGGTATATTGAGGGAATTGATCGAAAAGAAATTAAATTCTGTAGATAAGTCTTTTACCACTTTCAACAATTTTAAACCTGTGGTCACCAAATTTCAAAATTTTGATTCTCTTGGCTTTCCTGAAAACCATCCAGGTAGATCAAAATCTGATACATACTATATTAATGAAAACTATCTTTTAAGAACACACACCTCTGCTCATGAAGCAGAATGTTTTCAGCAGATCAAAGAAGGTTTAGATGCAGAATCTAAGGGATACTTAATCTCTGCAGATGTTTATAGAAGAGATGAAATTGATAGAACACATTATCCTGTGTTCCATCAAATGGAAGGTGCAAGGATTTGGAAACGTAATAACTCTGAACTTTTACAAAATGATCTTAACAAATTAGAAAAGGTATTGACTGAGTCACAAAAGAATATTGTCCTAAAATGTGTTAGAGACGATCCAGAGATTGATCCAGTGGAGAATCCTAAACAAACGTACATGAGTGATCAGGAGGTCATTTTATGTTCTAAACATATGAAGAGATCTATTGAATTGATTATATCCGAAGTGTTTAATAGGAAAGTACAAAGCATGAAGGACGAAAAATTGGTTCCAAAAGAATTAAAATATAGATGGGTCAAAGCTTATTTCCCTTGGACTACACCATCTTGGGAAATCGAAGTTTGGTGGCAGAATGATTGGTTAGAAGTATGTGGTTGTGGTTTAGTACAACAGCAAGTGCTCCTCAATGCTGGTTTTGAAACAGATTCTACAATAGGTTGGGCATTTGGATTAGGCTTAGACAGAATTGCTATGTTATTATTTGAAATTCCAGATATTAGATTGCTTTGGACATCAGATGAAAGATTCCATAAACAATTTAAATCAGAACATATTAATAAATTCAAACCATATTCTAAATATCCAGGTTCTATTAGAGATGTTTCATTTTGGTTACCAAAACAGGATAATAAAAATGTAGGCAATGTTGTACAGAACATTGAAGTGCATACTAACGATATAATGGAAATTGTGAGAGATGTTGCAGGTACATTGGTAGAAAGTGTCAAGTTATATGACACTTTTGTACATCCGAAGACAAATCAAAAATCAATGTGTTATCGTATAAATTACCAATCGATGGATAGAAATATTACTAATGCAGAAGTTAACGAATTGCAACGTAAAATTGAAAAGGAACTTGTTAGTAGATATAATGTAATTTTAAGGTAGTGGGTATACAATAAAATAAAGCTTGTAAATAATAATTCAATGATCAAGATAATATGACTTATTATGTTCTTTTACAACGTGTATACATCTGTAAAAGAGGAGAATAAGAATATATAATTGTATTTCCTTTATAATGAATATTATTGTATATGTAATCTATAAATAAAAAATAGTTAGAACAATCAATATTTGAATGTACGAATTCACAAAAAAACCATTAGTATTATTATGATGAGCATGGTTATTTATATTTTTCTTCTGTTATTTAATTACAATTGTCCGGGAACGAGTTCTGCGGTAACTTGATAACATAAAGATTGTGTTGGTGTTTTATAGGAAGATCGATTAATGTCCTGTGTGTTTAATTCCTTAATGGTTAGTATTTTTCCAATAAACCAATCTCTATTTTTTATAGATAAATTGTTGTTATCCATTTTCAATAAATACCTTGTTCTTTCATTAAAAGCGGTAAATATCGCCCATAGAGGTGAAGAATTATCTGAGTTATTTTGATAAGACTTTTCAAGTAATAAATCTTTTTTCTTTGATATATCTTTATGTAGTTCACTTCTATTCATTATTGTAATATTGGGTATAGGAGGAGTTGATAAGTCCACAGAAGAGAAGGATGAAGTGAGCAACGAAGAAATAGACAGATTTGGATCTTTTATTGAGTATATGTTTTCTCTGGTAGGGAGAAACAATGCCAAGTCTCCTATTTTGAAATCTGTCAATGTTATTTTTTCTTTCTTATACTTGTCTAATAAATTTTTAAATAATTTATTTTCCTTTGTTAATTTCTTAGCAAGCATTTCCATATCGCTGAATCTTCTTATTATGGCCTGTTCATATAACTTTGTTTCATAAATCTTTTCCCAGTATGGTTGTAATTGAACAGTCAAGGTTTGTATAGAAGAAGTTATGTCTTTAGTACTATCTTCAAGATATATTGCAAAGATGTCCTGTAGTTTATGGTATACATCACTTTGAATATATTTTTGTTCATCATAGGTTATTATATTATTAACACTTTCATCTAATTTTGTTTGGCTAGAATTTTTCCTCAATCCCTTAACTCTTTTAATTTCTATGGACGCAATATCGTTGTCAGCGCTGTTGTTAGTCAATAATAATCCCATGTTTTCTAAAATAAATGTGTTGATCTTAAAAATCCTAAACAACTTATTTTCAACATCATGTATAATTTTCTGATATTGTACCACTAATGAGGAGGATTCAGTATTAGTAAATTCATATGTTTTATTTCTATTTGTCTTATTCTGAATTAAAGTGTTATTTTCTATCTTTAAATCTATATTCTCTTGAGTTATTTTTTCATTATCTTTCATCAAACTTTTATTTTCTTTTTTTAATCTTTCATTCTCTTTCTCTATAGCTTCCATGCATTTTTTTAAAGATTTATTGGTATTGCTTAATTCTTCAAGTTCATGTTGATACTCAGATTCACGTCTACTCCATTCGCCCCTATTAGAGTTGAATTTTAAATTTTGTTGTTTATTTTCGTGTTCTAATATTTTAATCTTTTGTTTCATTCTATTTTGAATATCTTGATTAGTCCTATTAAAACTATCTAAATTGTTTCTGTTCACTTTAAGTAAATTGTTTATGTCATTTATAAATTGGATTTTGTTGTTTACTAGCTCTAATTTTAATTCTTCTTCAAGATTCGTCAGTCTTAGAAGTTCAATATTTAGATTTGCCATAGTTTCTTTATATGCAGCCTTTTCAAGGTTCAAATCTGATATTTTTGAAATTTTGTCATTGAGGTTTCCTTTTATTTCTGAATTTTTAACTTTCAATGATTCAATTTTTGACTTCAGATCTGTAATATTTTCAATTAATTGCAATTCTCTTACTTTATAAAGTTTCAACTCTGGTTCATCTGCATGATTTGTATTATGATGAATTTGAAGTGGTCCAAGGTCCATTATTGAAAATTGTTTGCTTTCTGCACTATATTTTAAAAATGAATCATTGATGAGGGTTGTAGGCCAGGATGTCAAATTTGAATATTTTGACTCGTGTAATAATGATTCTAATTTTTGTATTCTTCTCTTATAAGATTCAATAAGATTTTTTGATTGCATTTTATTTGAATCAAACGGTCCTTGATCAAATTTAGCATGTTTTCTACTATCATTACAGTATCCGTCGTTTTTTTCAGTCACTATTTTCTCAGGTTGATTATTAGATCTTGGTATTGCCAATTCAATATTACTAGAACAGTTTATATTTTTTGAAGTCTCGTATTCAATATCTTTAAGATGATCTGTTTGTGCTTCAAGCAATCTCTTCTTTAAAACATTAATAATCTCTTTATTATCTGTTAATTTGTCAAAAGAACTAATGTACTTTTTAATAAAGTTTAAAAGTTTCAGACAAGTATCATCTAACGTTTTAATAGTAGTTTCATTATCATTAAAATCAATAGTGCCAAGGATTTTCGATTTCAAACTTTCTATATCAATCAAATAATACGGATTACTATTACCATTATTATCATCGCTGATTATTTCTCTTGAAGAATTTTTTCGGTTTGACGAATCATAATTAAAAAAAATCGAAGAAATAGATCCAAATATTTTTATCCACTTATTTCTTGTCAATAATTCCTCTTCAAGATATATATTCATTGATTTAAGATACTTTGAGTGTTTCATTAGTATTAGTAATGCCCAATTGATTTTTCTCCATGTTTCAATCATATATAATCCATAGACGATAGGTAGGTCTTCTATGTGTGCAAAGGCAACATCTAATGACTGAAATTGTTTTAAATCTTGGTTTAGATGGTCTAATATGAACTGTTTTAGATCAGTAATATTTTGTTCGATTTGATATAGTCTAGATGATATAGGTTTGGTTTCTTCTTTTAACTGTTTTTGGTAATCTAACAATTTTAAGGATTTGCAATATAAATCTTGAGACGTTTCAAATAATGGAAATAAATGCTTATCTTTTAAAGACTTTAATTTTTGGATCATATCTTCATCAATTTTAATATTAGTGTTATTATAGGCAGGATCATTAATAATGTTTCTACTGAAAGTTTTTGCAAAATTGATTGAGTCTTTAAATTGAGAAAATTCTGTGTCATTTGTCACTTTACAGATATCATCGTTATTCTTTGATTTAAAAGTTTGGTTCTTTAAAGAATTAAGATCTGATTTAAGTGTCTCAAAATCCTTTTTAATTTGTTTAAGATTAGAATTAATCTTATTGAATTTTTCCTCAATGATCACTCTTAGTCGACTCATTTGTAGATCATAATTTTTTAAGGTATGAAATTCAACTAAATCTTGTAAAGTCTCTTGGTCCGTATTTTTCAATTGATAGAGAGGCAATTTATTTAGAATTTCTATATAAATCTTTTCCCATTGCATATTTTCTCTATCATTTAATAGGTCATTGAAAAAATTATCATTTTTCTTTAACAATTTGGTTAGATCATCAATTAAATTTTGTAAATATTGGATAAAGATAAAACAGCTGCGTATTAAAATGGGCAACTTATTTGAGACTGAAGAAATTACATCGTTTAAATAATATCCATCGATTTCTAAAGCACTTAGCCAACCTAAGTTTGTTGTTAGTAGGGAAAGAAGACTGGAATAATTCAAATCAAGTATGATAACGTCTGAAAGAGGTGAAGATAAAGGTTTAATAAGAGTTAAATTATTTCCCCTGTAGTCTTCTATAATATTATTTTTACTGAATATCCAAATCTCTAGTGTATTTGATTTATTTAGGGTATTTAATATTTTCAAATAATTGAATTTATCTAATTTAATACCCATGGGACTCAAGAGTAAGCAGATATGATCCTCCTTCATTGACCATTTGGCATTAATAAAATTACATAACTCATTCCAAACAATAAAATATTGTAAATTAATACGTTGGGAATCACCAGTCTGAGAATTAATTAGTATAGCTGTGTAATCTGCAGGATCTTTATTCATAATTTCACTCCTTCCTGTATATTTAAAAGAAGAAAAAAGAAGAGAGAGAGAAGTAAAAGAATACAGTATTAGAAATTGTCTTTTATTTAGATGTGTAGAAATTGACTTATTTTTTTTTTGTATTTTATGTTGGAATGCTTTGAAGGATATGGATGTATAACTGAGACCATAACCTTCCCTATTCTTAATTATTACAATTATTATTAGTAAAATTATTTTTTGCACTTCCTCTCTTTATTAATTTTTCGTTTCAGTTGTTTGACACTTATATATTCTAACCTTATTACAAATTTATTTCGGGAATTCCAGTCAAACCATCAGACAGGTTCATATATGTGTAATATATATTTGTGTGTATGTGTGCGTCGATATGTATATTACATACTTCTTGACTGAACAACTAATAGGATAATAGAAGTTTTAACAGTGATAGAAACATGTATATAGATTATATGAAGAAAGTGGTTTGTTCAGATGTGCTGATTCCACTATTTTCCCTTCTTTGTTCTTTCCCGCCATCATCTCCCCCTTTCATCCTAAAGAGAATTTTTAGATAGATCAAAAAAAAAAAATAAAGAGACAAAGAAACAAAAAAAAAAGACGATGTCGACCAGAACCCACATACCGGGGAACTGTGTATAGAGAGAGAGATTTGTAGACATAGTGTTACTTTGTATGCTATTATAGAGTAGTAAGATGGAATGAAATATGGATATTTATGATGAAGAATTACATTATGAAAATTCTAACCAGAAACAAAATCTACTAGTTCAACAATAAACAAACTTCATTGTTATTGTTTTTATTGTTATAGTATTATAGTATTATTATTACTATTATTATTACTATATTTCGAATATTAGTAAATTGAATTTCTCAAATAGAAGTATTAGGAAGGTAGGCGATCCACATGACTATTGTATATAAACCATTAGATATTAATAATTTAAAACATTTCAAAAAGGTAAAAGAATTGATTGATATCGATTTATCAGAACCTTATTCAATATGGGTATATAGATATTTTTTGAATCAATGGCCAGAATTGGTATTTCTAGCATTTGATAGTGACGGAAAAGATAGTGATATGCCAATTGGTTGTATAATATGTAAGAGTGAGAGTCATCGAAACGCTAGATTAAGAGGTTACATTGGTATGCTTGCTGTAGATAGTCTGTATAGAAGACGTGGGATAGCTAAAAAATTGGTTGAGATAGCTATAGATAAGATGATTGAGAACGGTTGTGATGAAATTATGTTGGAGACGGAAGTTGAAAATAAAGTTGCACTAAGATTATATGAAGGTATGGGATTCTTAAGGATAAAAAGAATGTATAGATATTATTTGAATGAAGGGGATGCATTTAAATTAATATTACCTATAACAGAAAAGTCATGTGTTCGATCTACGTTTTTATTAAATAATGATGAACAATGTGTATAAACAGTGGGTAGTTATTAACAATCCATAAGAATTCCAGTTACTTTTTTGATGAGTAAAATAGTATACGGTATATAGGAAAGAATGACAATAAAAAGGACATACATGTAGTATATATTATAAAGCGATAAGAATACAATTTAACAGACTATAAATATATATATGTATGTATGTATAGTATATATATATATTTATATTTACATTTATATTTATATTTATATTTATATTTATATTTATATTTATATTTATATTTATATATAGATGAATCTGAGGGACTAATTGATGGGTTGTTTAATTAATACAGAAATTTAAATATAAATATTAAAACAATTAATAAAAAAGAAGTGGATAGTTTAGGAGAGATAAATTGAATTAAAATAAAATAAAAGTAAAAGTAAAAGTGAAAGTAAAAATAAAAGTCAGTAAATTAATTTACCATGAGAATATGGAAAAAATTAACTTTGTTTAGTAGCAAGATATAATTCCTTTTCAGATTCATATCTTCTCTTGTCAGCTTTAGCCTTGGCTTCATATGGTTCTCTTTCCTCTGGAGACAAAGCCTTCCATTTTTCACCTAATAATTTACCAACTTGACCAAAGGAGACATCTGGGTTTTCAGATTTAATAATATCTCTATTTTCGTTGGCAAAGAACATGTAGGCAGATAAGGCTCTCTTTGGAGCATTTGGATCCTTCTTTCTTCTGGAAGATTTCTTTCTTTGTTCGACCATTTTTAGTTTATAGCTTGTTGTTCGTAAATGTTATGTGTGAAACAGAAGTAAAAATATATATATCTAATTGTGTTTACAACAGATAAATAGATAGATATGTGTTTGTTTGTTTATTTGTTTGTTGGTGTTTTATGTATATTATAGATGGTACATAAACAAAACCGACACGTAAAATATTTATTAAATAATTTGTGACGCTTTCTTAAACACTAGTAAAAAACTCTTTATAGTGCGAAAAACTTAATCTAGTATAGTAGAATACTAATAGTATGTGAAGAAACACTAAGATGGGTACTAAGAGAAACATAGTGTATAATAGTAGTACATAGATACAGTAGATAGATAGTAGTAGATAAGTGGTGAAACAAGGTTCTGTGGATAGTTTGGAAATGGCGAGTAATAAAAGAAAAATTTTCTTTGCTCTGCCTCCCTGAATAAATAAAATAAATAGAGAAAGAGATTCGACGACGAAACAAAGAAAACAATCCCACGAAATTCGGTGAGGGGAAAACGCGTCGTTGCTGGTGATATGTTGACGTCAATACAATAGGCTTTGCGTTTATTGGGCGTTTCTTTTGTTCTTTTTTATCTTTTTTTTTTGTTTTTTTCGTCTTCTTTCTTTTTTTAATCATGTCGCTTTTCTCGAACTCAAAATTAAGAGATAAGGCTTGTTGTTTTATTTCCGCAAGCGGTAGGAGGTGTGCCTTATCAATTTCCCTGTTTTCTTCTTTTTGGTTCGTTTCATTTTCATTCTCCCCTATCTCCTCCTTTTTTTAAAGTTTTTGTGTGTGTGGATGGTAAGTGTTGAAATCACCTGGACCATCCATTTCGCGTTGTCAGTTGGTGTCTGGTGTCTGGGTGTTAATCCAGACATTAGGTTATCTGGTTCTTTTTTTTTTTTTTGATTCAAGTGTTGGTAATAGTATATGTGTCATAAACCATATATATTTTTAAAAGCATCAGTCTTTCTCTTAGGACGTAACCATTGTATTTCATTTTCGAATTTCGTATATTTATATTACGACAATACTAGGTATTTGTGGTTTAGAAGAAGTATATTGAATTAGATATAGGCTTGCTATGATTTTTTTCTTTTGATAATGTTGGCAATTGATAAAAAAATGTATATAATACAATCATAAATTAATAAATTTTGGGATATGTTTGTTATGTACCATGTTACAGAGTATTGTCTTTTATATATTTTTTATGTTTTTTTTTTTCATAATTGATTGCATGTAATTATTTTAATATGTGTGTATGTATATGTATGGTAATTTTATGTGAAACAAAAATGCCTAACACCAAAAATGAATTGAATTGATAAAAAAGAAAGTTTTTTTTTTCTTGAATTAAATAATAGGATAGCCATTGAACTGGAATCTTTCATAATTGATAATTGTTAAATGCAAGAATATCAAATATTTAATACAGTGTAACTTATGAATCAAAATCTTATGCTTAAAAAATGCATAAATATATAATCAAATCTTATTTTTTTTTATTTATATAATAGAATTTATAAAAATCTTCAACTGTTATTGCAAAGCTTCAATAATGAAAATTTGATTAAAATTCCTTATAAATTTAATATGCTGAAATGGTATAAACTACTAATAGAATATCTGTAGTATTATAAGTTTTTTGGTTTATTTTTAGTAGAATGTTAGTAGTACAATAAATCTAATTTACATTGCATGGTTTTTTTTTATTTTACAGAACTAATATATAAGACACAGTAATGTATAGTGTAACTCATTTCATTTTAATCATCTTTTAACATTAATATGGAGTTATTCTTTTAATATAATTTTAAATATCGATTATAGTAGCCTATTTCTTTCATTTTTTATCAGTTTTCCTGTCTTGTGTCTAAGAGTTTGTTTATTTTGTTTTAGTGTTTTGTACGTATAGCAGCCGTTTTGATATTTATACAATCATTTCTTTTACAAAATACTAAAAAAAAAAAAAAAAGAATAAAAAAGAGAAGAAAAAAAACAATACAAATTTAATTTAGTGTCACAAATTATACATCAATTATTTATCAATAAAAAAAGAAAAAAGACAAATACAAATAATAGAATATATATCGATTATTTCATATAAACTTTATTCTGGACCTTTAAAAAACATAAGTATATTCGTAACCTTCCTATCAACTATCCTTTGACCAAGTTAACCAATCTTTTACCTCTCTCTTTCTTTTTATGATATTCAAACATTGTTAATGTCCTCCAATTATAGTAACTCACTAAATGATCATAATTCATTATTAAATATTCCAAACCAACCAATTAACACTTCAAATCCAAAATACAAAAACTTTAATATTCACAATACTTATAAAAACAACAATGATAGTAATGTTCAAAGAAGAAACTATGTTGATATCAAATTCTCCGTCCCCAAAAGATACGAAATCATTAAATTGTTAGGCAAAGGTTCTTATGGAGTAGTATGTTCTGCAAGGGATAAAAATATTAAAAATGGTGATTATGTATTAGCAATTAAAAAAATAACAAACATTTTTAATAAAGAAATATTATTAAAAAGAGCAATCAGAGAATTAAAATTTATGTTTTATTTTCAAGGACATAAAAATATTGTTAATTTAGTTAATGTAGAAATTATCTTTAATCACCCTTTTGATGGGTTATACTGTTATCAAGAATTGATTGATTATGATTTAGCGAAAGTTATCCACTCTAATGTAGTATTTACAGAATTCCATATTCAATGGTTTACTTATCAAATTCTATGTGGTATTAAATATATTCATAGTGCTGATGTTATACATAGGGATCTGAAACCAGGGAATATATTATGTACTATTTATGGTACTTTAAAAATATGTGATTTTGGTTTAGCAAGAGGAATTGGTAAATCACAGAGAAATGTCCAAAAATCTTTAAGAAATGATATTAATATAGGTCCAGACGTTGTACCACATATCACTAATTATGTAGCTACTAGATGGTATCGTGCACCTGAATTAATGTTGTCCAATAAACCTTATACAATGTCAATTGATATGTGGGCTATTGGTTGTATCTTAGCAGAATTTTATCATAGAAGACCCATATTTATGGGAAAAGATTCTATACATCAAGTATCAGAGATTATTAAATATTTGGGGACACCAAATGAACAACTTCTAAAACAATTTGGATCAATTAGGAGCTGGAATTTATTAAATAACATTACCACAACAACAAGAAATTATACTGGTCAAAGAAAATATGCACATGATTGGAAAGAAGTTTTCCCATTCGCCTGTAATTTAGGATTGAACCTATTATCTAAATTATTGATTTGGAATCCAGTGGAAAGATTGACAGCTGAAAAAGCCCTTGAACATCCATTTTTAAGTCCAGTAAGACGTAAAAATGATGAACCTAACTGTCCACATGGTTCTTTTGAGTTTAAATATGAATTAGAATTAAATTCAATGTCCAAATTAAGAGAATATTTGATCAGTGAAGTTATCCAGTACAGGAATAATAGAAATTCAGGATAGAATAATACAGCTAATATCATTTCTCCTCTTTCTTTTTTTCTTTCTTTTACTTATTAACATTTATACATATATGTATGTTTATATATATACTATTTCTATATTTCACCTAGTCTATTGTATGCCATCCTTCTTTTTAAACTATATATAGTCTTGGATAAAAAAATTTTTATTATTACTTACTCCAAATGTTCACTTGTGATATTATATACGTATATTCAGACATAGGTACATATGGTGCAGCTATTGCTCATACCCTTCCATATTATTCTTTGTTTTAATCGCTCCATTACACTTTTCTAAATAATCCTTTTAATTATAAATTTCTTAAACGTTATTCCAATTTTCCTTTTAATTTATAACAACCGAGTGAAAAACCATTTTATTTTAGATATCAAACAAGTTCTTTAAAGTTTTTCAAACAAAATTATTTTCACACAAAAACATATATACCAAGCATACACGTTATAAAAAGTGCTTGCAACATATATGGTTGATTTTTGAGCCTTCCTCCCACAATCAACTCATTTTAACTGTATTCAATTGACATAACTTTTTGAACAAGCCTTTTTAGCTACCATGGATGGATTTAATCAAAAAGACCGACTTAAAGTTAAAACAAGGCGCAGGCAATTAACTGTAACCTCCTTGAGTGAGGATCAAAAATCTGCAATGAATTCTTCTATAGACAATTTACAAAACGATTTGGATTTGGTCAAAAGTCAATGGCATAATGTGTTAACGAAGGATACAAATCCATTAGAAATTGCATTGGCTTTTTTGGATACAACTTCTGTTGGATTAGGTTACAGATATAATGAATTTAATCAATTAGAGAGCACTTTGGGTAATCACCTGAAGGATGTTGTAAATGAGCATTGTCAAGCATTCAATTCAAACGTTGCTTCATATTCAAAAACTGTTTCTGCTTTAACAGATGCACAAGAGAGAACTACACAATTAAAAAAAGATTTCAAAGTAGTTTCAGATATGATCACCATGAAAAAAGGCTCATTAGAAGAACTGGATCAAAAATACCTTCAGTACACAAACTTGCTTTCTTCATTATCACAAATCGAAGAACTGATGAAGATTCCAGAACACATTGAGGATAGTATTAGAAAAGAAGAGTACAGAACTGTTCAAAAATTGATTCAAAGAAGCTTCATTATATTAAATTCACCAAATCTAAAATCTCTAAAACAACTGGCACCTATTAGGCAGCAAATTGAATTACAAGAGCACATTCTTTTTGAAAATATTATCCAAGAAATCCAGTCAATTATTTATTGCAAAAAAGGCTTACCTGATAAAGACTCCAATATACTTAAAACTATTAGTATATCTCAAAATGGATTTACAAGTTTAGAGAATTACCTTTTTAATATCGCTAACATTGATATCAATAAACAATCTGGAATATTAAATGAAAACTTGGAAAAGTTTATGAAATTACTAGATGAAAATAATGGGTTTCAAAAAACCGAATTAATTAAAGAAAATAATTCCCAACAATCTGATTATTATAGACTTTTTGATTTACTGTCTCTTATTAAGGGAACAAATCGATTGCCTGCTGCTTTAAGTATTTTAACAGACCGTACTAAAGAGGAAATTCACAATATCATAGTGAAATCTATGGAACAAGTACGTATTAAACATCCTGCTTTAGTAAAAATTGTTAATAATTCAGTTACGGAAGATATTTTTGGTCCCTCAGTGAATCAGCTATTTTCTTTAGTAATGAGAGAATGCTTTTGGGAAATCTTTTTAAAACTGTTGACTGCTGTTCAAGGACATAGAGCTATATTTGAAATTATTTCCTTTTTACAGAATTCTCAGTCTATTCATAGCGTTTATAAATTTGATAAAATATTAGAAAAGATATTAGATGAAGTCAAGACTTTATTACATAGATATTTGGTCAACACACAATTAGCTTCAAATAGCCAAAATATTAATAGTGAAGACAAAAATATAAAGAATGAATCTCAAAAAAAACATTTTGACAAAATATTTTCGTTACAAGATAACATTGAAATGGATATTCTTTCAAAACAAAAAGTCAGTGGTTTAAAATCACTTTTAAAAGATATCTTTCTTGGATTTACAGTTGATTCAAATATTGATCTAGATAATATTTATTTAGAAGATGATTCATTTGAACAAGAAGAACCTTTAATACCACCTTCTGTTTTTAACATGAAAGTTATTTTGGAACCATTTTTATTGTTTTCTCAAGCATCTTCCAATTTAATTCCACCAACTCTATCAACAAAAAAATCTGTGTCTCCCCTTACATTTTTCAATAAATTAATGGAAGAAACCTTTTACCCTAGGTTGAAAGACACATTAAATCATCTTTTCATATCTAAAGTCGAAACTAACAATAAGTTTAGTATAGAAACAATAAATGATACAAAAGCAATTCTTAAGTCCGCATTTGACTTTCAAAAGCTATTTTATAACCAAATTTCAATTCTAAATGCTTCAAATACGTTTAGACCTAATATGGTTAGTTTATTATTAGAAATATTATCGAAATTCTTTCAATATATGAAAAATACTTTTTATGTTATATTAGATGGATCAGATAAAAACTTAACTAAAAACATACTTAAAAAATGGTTTACAGATCACAATTTGATAAAAACTGAAGAATTAATTGTTGCAGGCAACTCTGATCCCATTAGTGTAGAATATGATATATTATACCAGCATTTTATGAATTTTTATTCAAAAAATAACCATTTAACTAATAATGATCATTTAAATGAAAATATGTTTGACTCTCTAATATATCTTAATAGTACTTTGAATTGGATTGAAAGCTGGTTACCTAAACTAAGCAGAACCATGAATTCTTCAAAGGTTGAAAACTTCGATAATGCTATATTAATAACTGCAGATCAATTAAGGAAAAAATGGTCCTTTTTTGAATTTTCAGACGTCAATACTTTAGATAATAAAAACATCAATGCTTATATTCTTTTAGACGATGAAAGTCTAACCAAATTCAATGAAATCCTGTATGGATTCCAAGATTTGAACATCAAATCCCTCATACTAATGAGATTAGAAATTCGCTCAAAATGCATTCATAAAATTGGTAGATTATTTAATGGTAATAAGGATTGGAATTTGGAAGTCAGTAATAATGAAATTGATTTGAATATAGCAAGTTTACTATCTGATCTACGAAGAATAGAGGATAAATTAAACAAGCAAAGTACAAAAGATGTTAAAGATATCGTTTTCAGTGGTATTGATGTGATTATCGATATGTCATTTATTAAAGGGTCTAGGCTGATCTCTATCATAAATCAAAACGGTCTCAAGAAAGTTGAAAGAAATATTGATATTTTACAACATGGAATTAGAAATATGTATCATGAAAAAAACAATGTTAAAAGCCCCAAAAACAATGCTATTACCACATATTCATCTGCCTTAGATTTCTACTATTTAATTGGATCAAATGAAAATAATTTAATTAATAGGTTGAAGGCAGGTGAACTCTCCGTATTTTCTTCTGATGATGTGAAGACAATCTTAAGGTTACAATTCAGCGAAGAATTTGCCAAACAGAATAAAAGGGTTAGTGCTATGGCGGGAAAACCCCTTTCAATGGCGAAACCATTAAATAGAAGATACGATACAGCATTAAAGACCATTGAATCACTCCTCAAATGACCAAGCACAGCTTTTGTCTATTATAATTTTAAATAGAATTATTTACGTCTACACCATCTTCTAATGCACACATATCATATACATATTTTTTAGGATTTATTATACACACATATATACTCAAAAACGAATGTCTTCAAAGTTGCTAGATAGAAGTATGAAAAGAAAATCTGACCCTCAAGACGTTTGTCTTACCTCCTTATCTCCTATGGGTTTTCTTTCTCTATTGTTTATTTTTTTTTTATTTTTACAGTAACTAAAACTAATAATATCAAATTAATCACTTCTTTGAGCCCAGAAAGAAAAATAAGAAGAGAAGACAGAAACTTACTTTTATTTCTTCTTAGAAACATTAAACACTGTATCGAACGGTACGAGTTATTACATAAGAAGATAATTACGAAATTAAGATATCACAAAAAAAGGAGAACATCAGAGAAATATCAAAAAGAGGCTATTCTAAGACATTGAAGAAGAAACCCTTATATATCTAATTAACTAGGGGAAGAAAGGACAAAAAGAACACAAAATTTTTAAATATAAGACACATTTTAACAATGGATGCTATTGCTGACCCAACATTCCAACAAACAAAGGCAAGATCGATACATACAGAAGAATTACCCTCTTTACTTACTGTAGTTCTTGATACATCACCTAAATCATGGATCAAATTTGATGAGGAAACCGATAAAAAGGATAATATTCTACATGTTTTGCAAGCATTAATTGTATTTTTGAATGCTCATCTATCTTTCAATACATCCAATCAGGTCGCTGTTATTGCAGCGCATTCACATGGGATCAAATATTTATATCCAAAGAATAAAAATAACACTGATAGCGGTAATGGTAGTACTACCACAGATAATAACGATACTAAGATAGATACTGTGTCTAATTCAAATGATCAATGTATTATAAGTCCTGGAATGTATAGAAGATTTAGGAATGTAGATGAAACTCTAATTGAAGAAGTCGTAAAATTATTTAATGAAGAAAAAGAACGTGTAGATAAAACTATACAAAAAAGCACGTTACCAGGGGCTATGTCAGCTGCTTTAGCTTATACCAACAGATTGCTAAAGGAGTTCGAAACATTATCGTTGAAATGTAGAGTAATGGTAGTGACATGTGGTAACTCGGATCAAAAGGAGGAAATTTTCCAATATATACCAATTATGAATTGTATATTCTCGGCTACAAAGATTAAATGCCCCATTGATGTGGTGAAAATAGGCGGTTCAAAAGACTCAACGTTCCTACAACAAACGACTGATGCTACAAACGGTGTATATTTACATGTGGATTCCACAAAGGGGTTAATCCAATATTTAACTACTGCAATGTTTATTGACCCATCTTTAAGACAAATTATTGTAAAACCGAATCAAGGTTCAGTAGATTTCAGAACATCTTGTTATTTAACGGGTAAAGTCGTCGCTGTAGGATACATTTGTTCTGTGTGTTTATGTGTCTTATCCATAATTCCACCTGGAAACAAATGTCCTGCTTGTGATTCTGAATTCGATGAACGTGTGATTGCTAAATTAAAAAAGAGACCTGTTGTACCCAAACTTAAGAAAAGAGTCAATAAATCAAAATAAGTACCTTCTTATGATTCCTCACAGATAAATGTATACTCATTAATACACACACATAAATATAAATTTGTATATACATGTATATTATGCATAAATAACTAAGATTGTTTTTCTATATTAAAATACAAAATAAATTGACAACAGACGTATGTAAAAAGATTTTTTTCTGAAGTTTTAGGTCAACTTTTTTCAGATGGCGGTATGATGAAGGAGATGAGATAGGGAAGAAGATAATAAAGAAACTAGAAGAAGAATATAGGAAATTAGAATAAAAGTTACATACTATAATGTCTTGGCTAGATATCATTAATACGTTTATGTTTTTATACTTGAATAAAATAATTATGGAAGGAAAGTATAACGGTGAAAATGAGTGGAAAAGTCGATCCATTATTTGGACAAGCTAAGGTATTCTCCATAGATGATGAAAATGTTAACCCTGATGTAATAAATTATTTAAGAAATGTTCGAAATGAGGCTCTTACTACTAGTGCAATTTCTATGAGTAATATAAGAAGTTATGTCAATAAATCAAATACAATACGACATGATGCATCTCTATATGATGACAAGAATGATATATCTATGAACGACAATTCAAAGAATAATAGTAATAGTAATACCAAAACCACTAATTATGCAATAAAAAATTTAATAGATGAAAGTTCAGCTAAGAAGGAAGGAGTATTGATTATGAACAAAAGAAGGAAAATAATGAATAAAGATACATCAATGAAATCCTCGATGCCTAAAAATTTAATTAATTTTAATCAAAGAATGAAGGCTGTTATGGACTGGTTTCGAGATTTACAAGATGATATTTTTACTTTACCATGCAATTCAGGATATTCTTATGATCATAATACACTAGAGTTATTAATATTTAATATTCAAAAAGTAGTAAATGATAAAGAGACAACGAAACAAAATAATGGTGTGTCATTACATTTATCAAACTTATTAGAAAATTGGGCTCCATCAGAAGCAATGAAACAAATAAAAAACAACAATTATACGGTTGATACAGAATGGATACAAGAATTGTTAGTCAAATTACAATGTGTTAGAATACCAAATATTGATTTTTTAAAATGTGTGATCACAGGAAATTATTTTGATTTTGAACCACATGGATACCGTGCATGGAATCAATTTCTATTAAATAATGAACCATGTAAGGATATGTTTAACACTATGATAAATGGCAATAATATATGGTTATTGGTTAAGTATATGGCCCAATCATGGATAACAGAGATAAGTGGAAAACAAAACCATAACATAAAATTATGGCTAATTTATATTTTAATTTATTTACCATCTTCAGCAGTAGCAAATAATACAAGTACACTTCGTGATTTAGGTAAAAAATGTAGAGAAATCATACAGGCATATTATTACCAGCCATTTCCTCTAGATAATATAGATGAACAAATCAACAAGCATAAAGCAAGTAATCCTCTAGTACCCTTACAAAAAAGTATACAACTAGAGTTTAAACAATTTACTTCTAAAGAAATTCCTAATGATACTACCCTCTTAGAATTGACTATATATATCATTGCCACAAAATATGGACAAATGGATTTAATCCAATGGGATTCATAACTAATATAGAAAGAATTTTTTTCAAATAATACCACATTAAGAAGTCAATAACAGTATAAATGATAACAGTTATTATAGATATGAAGTTACGTTTTTTTCAATATATTGTAAGATTATATTATCCAATTTCAGCAAGAATTCAGATCTTCTTATAATCTATTATATCCCACTTTATAAACAACTCCTATCACTTGAAATTAAATAAGTAATAACTAGACAGGAGCATAGAACTACAATTACTGAAAAAGAGACTGACACCATAAAACTGATGCAAGGATGAAGAGCCGGCTATTTATCATATTATATATTAGTATATCCTTTTACACTTCCATAAGTCATAAAAGTTATTTTTAATATTTTTTACTGAAAAATAAGGGCTATGCTTATTTTTCCACAAACTATTTCTAATCGAACAGAAACAAATCAGGGTTAATATGAAATTCCAGTCCCCTTTGTTTTAATAATTTCATATTTTCCCCCTTTGCTTCTTTTATTCTTTCTTTTCCATCTCTCCATAACAACAAAAAACAATGAAAAAAGCCAGGTCTTGCAATTTTTTTAATCTTTTCATTAAAAAAACATTGATCAAAAAATTCTCGATGACATTTTAAATTGGTTAATTTGATGTTAAGATAATCCACAAACAAAGAATACCTGTGGACGTATAATATACCAACATTGTGAGAATTAACTATATCCTTGAGTTAAATGATGCTTTTATATAAGTGAATTGATCCATTTAATATTTGTGACTTTTTTTATTCGAAGAACACATTTAAATAAAAAGAAAATAGCACCAAGCATTACATATATATATATACATATCTAGTATCTAACTCCTAATATTCTTAACTTATTTCATTTGCTTATACCATGTCTGAAGAGTTCCCAACCCCTCAATTGATTGATGACTTAGATGCTCACCCCAGTCATGACAACACCAGAGTGTTTAAGGACTTACTAGCAGGCACAGCAGGCGGTATTGCTCAAGTTCTTGTTGGACAACCATTTGACACTACCAAAGTTAGATTGCAAACTTCTACTACACCTACTAATGCAACATTTGTCATTAAAAATCTTTTAAAAAACGAAGGTCCTTTAGGTTTTTACAAAGGTACCTTAACTCCGTTGATCGGTGTAGGTGCTTGTGTATCTTTACAATTTGGTGTCAATGAAGCGATGAAGAGATTTTTCCATTCAGTAAATGCAAAGAATAATAATAATAATAGTGTCAACAATAATGGCTTACTAACATTACCACAATATTATATGTGTGGTTTGACTGGTGGTGTTGTCAATTCATTTTTAGCATCTCCAATAGAGCATGTAAGAATTAGGTTGCAAACCCAGACCGGATCGAGTAAAAATGCAGAGTTCAAAGGGCCACTTGATTGTATAAAGAAACTGAAGCTTCAACGGGTTTTAATGAGAGGGCTAACTTCAACTTTATTAAGGGAAGGACATGGTTGTGGTACATATTTTTTGGTTTATGAAGCCCTGGTAGCTCATGAAATAAATAAAGGTTGTTCTAGGACAGAGATTCCAGCTTGGAAGTTATGCATGTTTGGTGCGCTATCCGGTACTGCTTTATGGATGATGGTTTATCCAATTGATGTTATTAAGTCAGTTATGCAAACTGATAATCTGTTATCACCAAAGGCTGGTAATTCTATAAAAGAAGTTGCTAAATACATTTATAAGAACCATGGTTGGAAAGGTTTCTTAAAAGGGTTTGGACCTACTATGGTTAGGGCAGCTCCAGCAAATGGTGCCACTTTTGCCACATTTGAATTGACTATGAGATTGCTTGGGTAATTGTATAATATATTTCTGTATTCTTTTTACTCATCTTCTATACACAAATACATAAATGTATATATCATATTCGTTATATATTAATTTGGATCTTCCAATCTTCTTAATAAGTATTCTACTTCGACTTCTTTCGTGATTGGAATAACAAATTCTTTATAAATCTTGACTAAATACTTGGGTGTTATTCTTCTTTCCCCTTCAACGTTAGTTGGATCAACACCATAGACTTCTGCCTTTTTAGTCAATCTTTCCAAGATCTTAGCTTCCACTTCTGTATTAGTTATATTGTGCATGATTCCATCAACGTCCTTCTTAATGATTAAATCATTATACAATTCTTTATTAGCTTGGTATTTAGCTTCAGCTACAAATTTCCCAAAATGGATTCTTCTACTTAGACTCTGTAAACATTCAATATCACAAGATGCAATTGACCCATAGTTGTTTGGATCATCTTTATTTACTTTGGAGATAAGTGGGACCATCTTTTCAATATAGATTTTTTTAATTTTATCATTATAATTGATTTCGTTCGAATAGTTTGCCAATATCTTAGGGTAATTTATGCTTGGCAGGATCGATTTAAGTATTTTATCAGGGAAAAATGGGGTTTGATCTGGAGACTCAAATCTTCTTAGTTGTGAATGCGTGATCTCTAAATGCATCAAAGCCCAATCTAGGAAAGAGCCGTGGAAATCCGAGCCAAGAGTGAGGTTTGGGTTATCGATTTGATAGACACCATAGCAAGTAGCAAAATGTGATCTTTCGATAAATTTGAAGATAATAGAATCTTCCATCTTGATCAATTCACCTCTAATATTTTGTAAATTCAACACAGTCTCAGGTTTAGTAAAATCCATAATTCTTCAGTACCTATCTATATGTGTATGAAAGGAAAAGGTATAAAAATATAATTCCTCTCTGTTACTTTAATTTCTATTTTAGTTAGAGTGAATAATATTAGAAAATGTATATATATATATATGTGTATGTATGTATGTATGTATATATGTTTGTATTTAGAATATAAATATTAGCTGACTGAATATATTTATCAATTTTTCTGATCTTTTGTTTTTTTTTTTTTTCTTTTTCCTTTTTCCTTTATTTCAATTTTTCCTCGACAGTTCCTCCAGTAACCTTTCGATGAAAAGATGATTATTTTTCAGAGAAGCTTCCAACTCAGTTTCGTCCCTTGGACTCTCTTTGTTCCACAACCTTATCCAAAGGAACCTATGGATTCGATCCATCTTGGACCCAGTGAACCCAATATATTTCTCGTACAATTGTTGCCAGTAGACTCTTTGGATATCCTGTTTTTCAATCGTCTGGGAATTCACCGTATATTGATTAGACAGATGAATAGAGTCTTGCAAATTATTTAAATAGATAGAACCACCCCATACAACTAACGTGCCTATTGCCATATACAATATATGTAGTGGATTGATGTCGGATACATCAGATTCACACTTTTCATAGATTGGATATGGTTGATAATTGTGTGAATATGCATGAGCATAGAAATGAGGGTGCGGGTGGGAGGAATAAGAGGAATAAGGGTATATGGGATTGTTATGAACATTTTGTCCAGTTAGAAGTTGTTTGTATGCAACACTTATAGATTTAAATCGTTTTAATTTTTCACGTGGAGATAGAATGTTATCGTTTTTTTGGTCAAATATAATAATATTTGTAGAGATATCAGGATGATACAATTTAACGTATTGATGGTATATATTTTTCAAATATTTAGATCTTGTCAGCGAACTGCTACTACCACCGCCACGATCACGATCACGATCACGATTATCATTATCATTATCATTATCATTATTATTATTATTATTTCTTATTTCAAAATCCTTTAAATGAAATATTTCATATGGGGTTGGATTTAAACTACCTGATGGCCAAAGATGATCTATATGTGTTTTTGTTGTAGAATAGAATCTAATTTTGTTCATAGCAATTATATATATATGCTCTATAATTTATATTTATACTTACGTATATAAATATATATATGTATAAACTAGCAGAAGGAAAAGAAAAAGGAGAAGCCGGAGGGCAGTGTAAAAGAGTAGAACAAAATCACTAATGATCGATATATAGAGAGAATAAAAAAAATGCTTCTTCGTATGATTTTGAGTGTTGTGTGAGGTTATGATGATATAAAGCATGTTAACTATAACTATAGCATTAGGTTGAGGGGACATCCCATTTCCGTCACTGCTAACTCCGACGAACCAAAAGGAAGGAAACAAAGAAAAAAAAAAACACCCATACATCCACATTTTGAAGCCGGGTAGTGAAAGAAGAAAATAAAAATAAAAAAATAAAAAAAAAAAAGACAAGTCGAGAAATTTCAATTCAATTACAAATACACTTATACATATGTGCACAGCTATATAGGAATCTCTGACTGGCGAGTCGTTCAATTAATATCTTATTGACGCTTATATTCAAAAACAGATACACATTTATAGAGAGACAAATTGACAAAGAGATATTAGTGAGCAAGAATGTCAGGTCAATGGGATTTGAAAGGTTTACAGATTGCTTATGAAGAAGCTCAAAAGGGCTATGATGAAGGTGGTGTGCCAATTGGTGGATGTTTGATCAATAACAAGACAGGAGAAGTACTTGGACGTGGTCATAATATGAGATTCCAAAAGAATTCTGCTACTTTACATGGTGAAATATCCACATTAGAGAATTGTGGCAGATTACCTGGTAAGGTATATAAAGAATGTACTTTGTATACGAGTCTGTCACCATGTGATATGTGTACTGGTGCCATTATTATGTATGGGATACCTAGGGTTGTAATTAGTGAAAACGAAACCTTTAAGAGTCCAGGTGAAGAATATTTGAAGACGAGAGGCACAGAGGTCGTTCTTGAAAGAGACCAAAGATGCATTAATTTGATGCAAAAGTTTATTAAGGAGAGACCACAAGATTGGTTTGAAGATATTGGTGAGTAAGTGGAACAACAAAAAAGTAAAAAAAGCAAAAAAAGGACCAAACCAATCAAAGTGACAGATATAAATACAAATATACATATAGATAGATATAAACATACATATACATATATATATATAGAGGAATAGAAAATAATAAAAGAGAAAAAAAGAGAAAGAATACTATGCATTTAATTTTAATTATTTATTTGATTGTTGTTGAAGATCTTGTGGGAATATTAGATTTAGATAACAAACAACTAGACCAAAGAAACATAAAATAATTTTGAATATTGGTGACTGATCTAAAAAATTGTTTGGATTATTAGCCAGATTATTTTTCAAAACAGATAATTGTTCATCGGATATATTTAACATGTAGTGGAAACTTTGTATAAAAGAAAACCATCCGACAAATTTATTTCTTAAAAACATTGCAGCCATTGGCATTGATTGGTTTACAATACCTGAAACACTTGGTTTTGATGGATATAATTCCTTTGGCGGTAAAATTGGTTTATATCTAATTTATTAAACAAAAAAAAAAATGAAAAAAAAAACAAAATAAATATAAAGAAGGGCAAAATGAGATCAGGACTTGTTAATATCACATGTTCATCAAATATTGATATGAAATGATACTTGAATATATTTTTCAAAAATGAAAATAAAATAAAGAACTTTTTATACATACTTTGAACATAAATCTTTTCTTTTAACGTTATTGATTGGCATTTTTTCTCTTTTTATCTTTTTGTATGTGTATATACGTGTGTATGTGTGTTTACCTGTACTTTAATATACTAATTTAACATGAAATACACTAGAGAGTCTTATATATAAATGTAAATCTATAGAAATCAATCTTTTTCTATAGGAATGGTATAATGCACACACCAATAGATGTGCGAATAAGTACTGCCTACTTAGGTTAAACTTCTTTTTTTTTTTGTGTATGTTATTCTTTGTGAAGAATTATCAATGAAAATACAAAAAAAAAACCAGAGGATATATACTATGAAAGTACTGTAACAAGAATCGAACTCTAGAAAATGAAAGAAATAAAAACATAACTGAGAAAGAAAGAAAGAAAAAACGGAAGGAAAAAACAAGAAAAAAAAAGAAAAGAAGAAGATGACACACTTCTACAACACCCATACATCAAACCTACAATTTTATAGAGACACAGTTTCGCGTCATTCGTATTTTTTTTCTCTTTAGTATGGGTATTGTTTTTATTTTTTATTTTCATTTGTTTTTGTTTTTGTTGAAAGAAAAAAAGGAAAAAAACCCATTATTTTGTCGCGCCATAGAAAAACAAAAAACAAAAAACAAAAACAAAAACAAAAAACAAAAACAAAAACAAAAACAAAAACAAAAACAAAAACAGAACGAAATAAACAAAACAAAACAAAACAAAGAAAAACAGAGGAAACGAAAAAAAAGAAAAGAAAAAGAAAAGAAAAAAGAGAAAAAGGCGAAGACAACGACAAATTTATTTTATTTACATTCCATTTTTTATTAATATATAAATACAACAGAAAATTTTATTTTGTTCTGGGTTCTATTATTCTTTCCTCTCCTTTTCCTCTGTTTTGTTTTAATTGAATGGATAAATGAATAATTGAAAAAGTCTTTATTCTATCTTTTTATTTGTTTCTTCATTCGTTTGTTTGTCCGATTTTCTTTCTTCTTTATCTCATCCTTTGTTTAGTATAATAAAAAAAGCGTTTATAACAATTTTCTGTTGCACTTAATTCTTCCTTCTTTTCTGGCCCCGTTTTCTTGTTTTGTTTTGTTTTGTTTTGTTCTTTAACAACTTTTTTATTTCTTTCTCTCATTTGTTTCTTCCCTCGAGGTTCGTATTTCTCTGTCTATTTTTATTTGTTTATAGGGGTTTTTGGATCTTAGCTTTAATTTATACTGTTTACACTTCTCCTCCCCTCCCCTCTTTTTTGTTTTCTACTTTTTATTTCTTTTTCTTTTTTCTTTTGAAAGCGAAACAAAACAAAACAACAAAACAACAAAACATAAAATATAAAATAAGGAACAGTTGCCTTTATTGTTAACCTCCTTCTACTTCCACACACACGCATAATAAATTAATTGTTTATTATATTATTATTATTCCTGTTTTTCCATTTGTTAGATTCAATAACATTCTTTGTCTTTCTGTCTACATCTGCTTCTTGTTGTGTCCTTTTGTTTTATTTGACTTTACTTCACTTTCTAAAACAAACAAAGAAACAGAAACAAAGAGAAGTATCCCTTACAAGATCACAACTGATAATAGGGAATCATAATTACTAATCATCTGACAATACAGTGTATTGTATTATTTTTCCTACTAACGCTTTTGCTATATATTTGTACATATCGATCGACATCTCTTGCATAGAGAGATCTTCAACACACACACACAAAAACACATATAGACACTTATTTACACTTCAACAACAACAATGTCCTCTATTCTAGGCGATACACACAATGTTTCTTCTACATCTTCTTCTTCTGCCATGATCCATAATACAAATCTCTCCGATAGTACCGGTGGTATTGCTGCCTCAAGCACAAACACAACTGGTAACAACATCAACACTTCTTCACTTGTAACTCTAGAGTCTCCTTCACCACATCATAACCATCATCATCAATCTCTTCCACATCACCATCCACAGCAGCAAGGCCTATCTTCCTCTGCTGCAAACAGTGATATAAACAACCCTTCTAATATCTCTAATCCTAATGGCAGTCTGCTTGGTAATGTCACTAACACTACTGCTAACAACAACATCAATACCACCAATAATACCAACACCAATAACAATAATTCTAGTATAGCCACCAACTCTTCTTCTACTGGTAACACTGCCAACTCTTCTTCTTCTCCCTCATCTTCCAATAACACCAATACAACTAGTAACAACACAACTGCCAACAATAATAGTATTAATAGTATCAATAGTAACAATAACAGTGATACCAATAACAACAAGAACAGTGGTAGTAGTAGCAGTACTACTACTAATAATAATAACAGTAGTATACGTACAAATACAACCCCTGTTACTGTACCACCAACTAAATACAATCCCAAAAATAATAAGATTCCAAGACCAAGAAATGCTTTCATATTATTTCGTCAACACTATCATAAAATCTTAATTGAAGATTGGACTAAGAAAAATATGGATATACCACATAATTCTAAAATATCCAAAATATTAGGTACCAAATGGAAAGAAATAGATGAAAAGGAGAAATTACATTGGGAAGATATGGCAAGACAGGAAAAATTGGATCATGAGAGAAAGTACCCTCTATATAAGTATAAACCTGTCAGAAAGAATAAAAAGAAAATGTTACACAATGCTGCACAAGCACAAGCTGCTGCACAAGCCCAGGCCCAAGCCCAAGCCCAGGCCCAAGCCCAAGCCGCTGCTGTAGCTCATCATCAACAACAGCAACAACAGCAGTATCAATTACAGGCACAAGCCCAACAACATCACAATGTACAAGCACAGTTGCAAATGTCCCAAAGTAATCTATTGAACGCTCAAGCCTTAAGAAATGCCGCCGCGGCAGCAGCTGCCAGTGGTGGTGGCGGTGCTGGTAGTCAACAACCATTAATGAATATGCTTAATTCAACAAATGCTAAATTACTTGCACAACAACAAGGTTTGTACAACCAACAAAACGATCAACTATATCAACAAAATAGTCAGAATACTAATGCTACTACTGCATACATACAACAACAACTATACCTGCAACAACAACAGCAACAACAGCAGCAACAGCAACAACAGCAGCAACAACAACAATACTATAACCCATATTCTTTCAATACACTGGGTATTCAATCTAATCAATTCATGAACCCATACGCTCAACAACAAAGCAATAACAGCAGTAATAATAGTAACGGCAGTACAAACAATAGTAACAACAACAACAGCACCAGTAACACTATTCCATTCTCTCAATCATCGTTGAGTTTATTAAACGATAAGTTTTTGTCTCGTTCGAATAATAACAACAGTAATAGTCATAGTAATAACAACGCTACCACTGCCAAGGATTTTTCTTATTTCACTCAACAACAATACCAGCAGCAACAAGATTATAATAATGTGACATCCTCTATCCCCCCACCAAACCTCCAAGTATCAGGCAATGGGGATGCTTTTGATTTAACTGGTGGTAACAGCCATAATAGTAACAACAATAATAACAACAGTAACAGTAGAAATAATTCCAATCGCAACAACAACAGAAACTCTAATCTATCTGCAGACCAACAGTTTATTCAAAAAAATTCAGCCAGCCAATCTACAAATGGCTATGGCAACATGAATTATCAAAATTATTCTAATTCCACTAGCAACAACGCCAATGCCGGTATTTCCAACTCATCTAATTCCCAAAATAACAATAACAACAACTCGTATGGTAGTTATATGAACCAATTGCCTTCTTTAAGTAACAATATCAACTCGGGTTCTAACATTCCAAATGATAGATCCATCTCACCACCACACCCTTCATTTTTCACAACAGGTATTTCAGGTAGTAACACTGATCATAACAACTTCGATTCTTCAAGATATCAAGGTTTTTTATACAGTAATACTGCTACTGGTACTACATCCGGTGGTAACAATACATCTACTACTACCGGTACAAATAATCAAGGTTCTGGTTCTTCTTCAAATACAACAAATGGCAATAGCAACAATATATCCTCCCTACAATACCCTTTGCCACCACAAGGTGATTACTCATCCGGTAGATCAATGGCTAATAGCTATAATGCTGGTGCCTCTTCTACCTCTAACATGGTACCTCCACTAACCTCAATGATCCATAATAACGGTTCTAACAGTAATAACAATAACAGTTAGTTTATGATTAGTATAATTGCCATACTTTGCTGTTATTCGACACAATTTATCTTTGTTTTTATTTTTCCTTCTATTATATATATATTTATTTATAAGCTATTACTTTACTAGTAATGTTTTTCTCTATTTGCTTAGAAAGTATATATTAAATAAATGTAATATATTAATATGTTCTACATTTTAATTTAGTCTGGTAACAAAGTAAGTTATGGCTTTGTCTTATTTTCTGTTCTTATTCTTTCAATAAATGTACGTTTATCAGTTTTTATCTTTGATGTCACATCTATTCTTCGTTCGTTCACTTAACATCAAACAGAAAACAAAGAAAAAGAAAAAAAAAAATTTTTTTTGTTAATTTTAATTTTATAATCAATTTCTTCAATACAAATATGCTAGAATACAAGAGATGGATAAACATTAGGTACAGACACATGCCCAGAAAAACAGCATTACAATTAATATCAATCGAACAAAAGACAATAAAGAAAAAGAATAGTTTATCTTCTTTTTTTTTATTTTCTATTTTTTGACCTATCTAATTCCATTAGATTATTATTGTTTGTATACCGTCACCAACCTGAAGGAAGCCACCCAAAATAATAAGCAATTGTAGCTATGAACAGTCAGTTAAGTAATATCCTTATCATGTTAGGGATGATGATAATTTCTCGTTTCTTAGATTTCGAAAACAAATTGATCTTAAATTCTGTCAGGTTCATGTATTTCACGTCCATTCTTTCGAGTCTTTTAATATTACAATTGACTAAATGGAGGATTCAAAAGGCTAATAATTTAACTGTATTAAAATACGTATCAAAAGATTCCAATTCATTATTTGACATGACATCGAATTATGAATTGGAAGGTTCTGCAGAATTCAGCGGTAGCGGCGAAAGGTTACATGTTATTACGATCAAAGACTATGATTTAACAGAAATCAATTCTGCTTTGAAATCACTGTTTAACAATTTAATGATCATGTTATTTATGCATTTCTATCTCGGCTACACAAACCCACTTTTCATGCAATCCATATCACCAATTAAATCCACTTTAGAAAATAAAGTTGTTAAGATTATGTTTTTCAACCATAATGATACTGGATATCTAAAGAGACCATTTAAAACTGAACCAATGTTTGGTAGTGACAGGTCCAAGAATAAAAACTCAATGATGAATATGATATCCGATGGGGATATAAAAACTGACAAGAAGACTATTGAAACCTTTGAAAAGGCTGGTAACGGTGGTATCAAATATGATTAGATTAGTATATATATGTACATGAAACGAAGTGATTAAATTCAGTAGGACAACTTATCTTTTTCTCTTCCATTGACAATTTTTTTTAACAAGGTCTGTTTTTTAATAATATTTTCTATACTATTATCATTAACCTAATCTATGTAAACATTCTATATACAATAAGCCATCCTTTTATGTTTTCTTTAAAACTATGATAAATAAATACATATAAATTTTACGTGTGCGTATATCTAAAGTTTGTCCTCCTGTACTATAACATACAACATGTTATGACCTTGCAACAAATATTCAAACAACAGATCTTAACATAAAGAAAATGATCTCATTACCATTAACCAACAAAATAAGTCCAGCATAAAAAGAGAAAAAAAAAAGAAGATAGAAAACTGTTTTGTTTTATTTCATTTCATTTTAAACAGACATGCAGAGCCTAATTTGATTGATTGTGTGCACCTTAGTCTCTGCTCATCAATAAGATAACAAATTCAGTTAACAATGAATATATTAATCCTAGGAGCTGGTGGCTTAGGGTGTGAACTGTTGAAAAATGTCTCTATGATGGTGATCAGGCAAGAGATTCAAGTAAACAAAATCACTATCATAGACATGGACACCATAGAATTAACAAATCTAAACCGCCAATTTATGTTTACAGATGAAGACATTGGTCTGAATAAATCCGAAGTAGCAGCTAAATATATATCGAACAAATTTAAAAAAATGGTTAATGTGGTCCCAATAGTCCAAGATTTAACTCTTTTAAACAAAGAATTTTATCAAGATTTCCAGTTAATATTATCTGGCTTGGATTCCGTGGAAGCACGTAGATATGTTAACCAGATATGTGTCCAGATTGCCTACGAGAGCCAATTTAATAGCATCATTCCGTTGATTGATGGCGGTCTAGAGAGTCTTAAGGGTCATGTAAAGTTGATTATCCCCGGTGTGACTGCATGTTGGGAATGCTCAATTTCTACATTACCTACGCAGGGCACGACAGAAAACTCAACTGGACCAAAGATCGGGAATGTACCATTATGTACCATTGCCACGAATCCAAGATCGATTGAACATGTTATTGAACATGTGTATATTAAAGCGTTGGAGAACAGTAATAAAGATAAAGACAAACAAAACTTCTATTTACATGAAAATTGGGATCAAGATGATAATGTAATTAAAAGACTGTTTCGTGAATGTGAAGAACGTGCAATCAGATATAATATTCCAAGGGACCAACTAACAATACACCATATGTTAGGTATAATGAAAAGAATTATACCAAATGTCTGTACTACAAATGCAATGATTGCAGCAGAATGTTGTATGGAATTGTATAAGATATACAACGATTTAATAGATTTTGAAGGTGAACCAAAAAACTTCTTAATGATGAATGGAAATAGAGGTCAATTCTATTATAAATTCACTTATCAAAGGGACCCAAGATGTCCAGTTTGTAATATTATACCTTGAAGGTCGTCTCTGCACCTAATCATGCGTTACTCCGTATTACTTTGTATTACTTTGTAATATTCTGGATCAGCCCACTGACTCATTTTGACATGCCATCTCTCTTTCAATTATCTAATTGCCCAACAATCTGTGTTTTTCCAATATTTTCAAAAAGTTAACTCTTGCAGAAAAAGATAGAAGATTTTGTAATCTCAGTACCGAATTGATTAGTAATTGTCTACTGTGAAATTTCATGGTTAAAAGAGAACTTGCGAACTACCAAGATCAGAACCACATTAGCAGGAGTCTAATTTGTTTGTTAAATCTGCTTCATCCTTTTTATTTTTTATAAAATACCTTTTAACTGCAAACAAGATAAGCAGTAGTCAAAAGGGAAAAAAGACAAGACAAGGTAAGACATGAAAAGGAAAGATGTTGTCATTATCTTCACATTTATTATCAATTCCACAAAACCATAGACCAGTTTTATTTTTAAGAACTATTGGTCTAAAAACACTATCAAAAAGTTTAATTTCCCAAAGAGCAGCCAATGTCCGTATATTCAATATTAGGAATATTCAAGAAAAATTTTACACTATTGAAAATAAAACTAATGATATTTTAATTACTCCTGAGAAGATCTTAAACAAACCAAAGGATACTATTTTATCAATCTCAGAGAGAGCAAGTCACAGATTAAGTGAGATTTACATCAATTCGAAAGAAATTCTGCAAATCGGTGTGGAAAGTGGTGGTTGCCACGGTTATCAATACAGTTTGAAACTTATACCAGATATTAAAGATATATCACCTTGGGAAAAATTAGAGAAAAAAGAACTTAATAGTGAAACCAAAGCGGATCCTTCAAACCAACATGATGAGTTTGATGAGTTTGATGAGTTTGATGAATTGAGCCCGGAAAAAAACGTACTTTATATACTTCCGAATAACAAAGGTAAAATATTGATTAACAAGATGTCTTTAAAGATATTAAATAAAACTACCTTAATATATACTACTGAATTAATTGGATCAAGTTTCAAAATAATTAATGGTAAATTAAAAAGTAAATGTGGATGTGGATCTAGTTTTGATTTGGAAGATTAATTTTAATCTTAAACTACAAATGAAAGAAACAATAATAACATCAATAACAACAACTACTACTTATTATTAATTTGCAACGAAGAAACAAAAAAAGAAATAAAGAAAATAGGTACTTAAAATTTTTTTATTCTACTTTATATTCTTGTCAATATTTTTTTCCCCATCAATTATATACTTATCTTAGTCATTTATTTATGAAAGTATGGATAAACACATACAATACTATATTCAATAAAAAAACATAATAGATAACTTAAATATTACTATCGTTATTCTTCTTATACATCATGAAAACTAATTCAAGTTATTTAATCAATTAATCACTAGAAAATTTACTTACTTACTCACTTTGCATAAAAAATGTTGTTTAATAATTAAGTTACGCAATATAAGTTAATTTTCATATTTTATATGGTAAATGAATAAACTGTTTCTTGATACTTTTATCATCTGAATTTTTAAAGAGTAAAGATACAAAACAATAATAACTACAACTTATTATTCTTACTTTTGTCTTTTTACAATATGTGTGTGTATGTATGTATGTATGTATTTATTGGTTTATTTCCTTATCTTCTTCTGTTTTTTTAATATCTATTTAGATAGTAAAGATGCGAAATCAGCTACACTGATTCTACCAGATCCATTACTGACTTCATTAAACATTGCCTCTAATTCTTCATCGGACAATTTTTCACCAATAGAATTGAAAACTTGTTTTAATTCACTTAATGATATGTACCCATCTCCATTCTTATCAAATACCTTGAATGCTTCGATGATCTCTTGTGCAGAATCTCTAGTATTCGATTGTCTTGCCATTAGAGTCAAAAATTCTTCAAAATCAATCTCATGGTTTCCATCCTGATCTATCTCATTCATTAAGTCCGTGATTTCAGTCTCACTAGGTGACAATCCAAGTGATTTCATCACTGTTGCTAACTCACTAGCGGAAATGGACCCACTATTATCTCTATCAAAAAGATTGAACGCTTCCCTATACTCTTCGATTTGTTCTGGTGTCAATGAACTACTCATAGTAAATATTCTTAATTATAATAGTGACAGTAATATAGTAATAACAATTGTAAAAAATAGGTATAAGAGGACTTCCCCTTGAAAAATTATGTCAGTTTATATATATAGATATGAATACGGTTGATATAGTTTTGAATTGGAGTTTAGATACTTGTATGTCTAAAAACTTGCCGAAGTTCAATTCCCCCATTTTAGTCAAATTCACACTAACAAACAGAGATAAAGACACCCATATATATTTATATACATATATATCTACATATACGTACACACTGTTTATTATATTTCTTATTTACATAAAATTGTGTGGCTTTGATCCCCCCCCTCCCTTTCCTCTACAGTAAAAAAAAATTTTTTTTTATTTTTTTTCCTCCACACTGTTTGGATGTAAACAAAACAATGCAGGATTAATAACTCCCCCCTCTTACCACCATCATCAGGTTTATCACTGTATACACCATATCAAATGGAGATTAAAAAAGAGTATTAACTGATTAATACGAATCAAATGATCCAGATACGTATGTATAACAGTTATTAGATGCATGCAGACTGTTTATACACCAGATACTTTATCACTATCTTCCTTCCATTATTTCATTCTTCGGTTTTATTTAGGATTTTGACCAAAACGACGTATTATTTATTAGAACAATAATAATCTTTAAATATAGTTATCATCGACTCTGGATTTTCATTCTTCAATGGTTTATATAATGATGTTCCCTCTTGTTCGTAGATCCAAAATTTGTAACATTCTTTATCTCCATAAAATTCGTTGAACTCATGGTCTGGGATCAAAATATCGTATCCTATATTCTCGTTAGATTCATTCTTTAACTCATAGCCAGTGTCTGTTTGCCTACTCTTCTCTCTTGATATACTTTCCTCTTGAAATGGATTATCTAAATATGTATCACCAAATTCATTCAATAAAGTCCATGTCAAATACGAATAGAACCGACTAGTCAAAGTAACAGTATATCCACCTCCACCAAGTAAAATGACATGACACTGAGGAAACCATTTCATAATCTTAATAATATTCCTAGTTAACCCCTTAATAGTCAACTGCCATTCATGGAATTTATCCCCAATAATTCCATCTGAACCGCATTGTACAATAATAAATTCAGGTTGAAACAGCTCCATACATGGATGAATAACATTATCAGTCAATTGATCCAGGTTTTCATCATCAAACCCATGATTCACTGGTAAAGTTACTGTGGTATTGCCTCTTGAATCCTTCAGAGATCCAGAACATGGAAAAAACCCAATCTCATATAGATGTAAGGATACAGTTTGAACATTTTTAGAATACAACATTGCTTTCTCTACCCCATCTCCATGATGAAGATCAAAATCCAAGTATGTAATCTTTTGAAACCCGTTTTTTCTTAATCTTTGAATTAATAACACAATATCATTGAAATAACAGAAACCACTAGCTTTACGTTTCATTGCATGATGCCGTCCACCATCCCAGTTAATCCCAATAAACCTATCCTGGGTGACAATGTCTGTAACCGGTTCTAAATTAATGTCTGGAATATCTAGTAATCTTAATGTTGCACCAACTGTCACTTTTAAGTACAAGGAAAGAAATGGGAATATTGGACAATCTCCTTCTAAATTATATAGCTTTTTAAACTCCCAATCATTGTAATTTGTTGCAATTCTTTCATATTCATCATTTTCTAAATCTGTGTCCTCATGAGATCTTTTTCTTTTTAAAGATTCTCTCTCACTAATTATACTCCCATCTCCCTTATCTATATAATTATTATAATACCTTAAAAGATCAGAAGGTCTCATACAAACTTGAACCTTGTTTGCTGCATTTTTTTTATTATATGACAATTGTGCCATATGCACCCATTGATCTTCATACTCAGTTTTATTAGCCCATGTGTAGCAATTCAATGTTTCATTTAGTAGAATATTCACATAAGCAGAATCATGGAATTGACATATCTCATTCTTCGAACAGTATGGTTCACTAATAATATAGTCAAAATGATCCAACAAACCATATGCCTTTAATAGACCAAAGACTAATTGAGATTTGCAACCTTTATTACAAGGCAGCAAATCACTCACCTGCGATTGAAATAAAGATGTAGATATTGCAAATTTCACTTTTTGTTTCATCTAATGATACAATATACTCTTCTAATACTCTTTCTCCCTTTCACATCATATCATATCATATCATCTCAATTTTATACTATCCAATTTACAAGAGAAAGATTATCTTTTTTTTTTTCTTGCTTTACAATGTCTGCATATATATGTACATACCCTGCTATACAAATGCCAATTAACCAGTCTGTAATGCAACTAAAAGCAGCTGTTTTCCAATCCAGCACGCTGGATACATCCCCTGTGTGTGGCATCACTGATCTTATTAGTGGATATAATTTACTTTTTCTCTTCTCAAAGTCTCTTTTTACTCGAGAGAAAAAAGCTGGTAATAATTTTTTTTTTGTTAGCAGGACCTTTAATTTAATACCAGAGATTATGCCAACTGATTTTATAAATGCCATTCTGTGAACAACTCTTGCGTTAAATAAATCAATAACAAAAGCAAGTATACAAACATCAAATATATACATACATATATATATATGCGTGTGTATATACGTGTGTAGGTATATTACCATAATAACTTTTCTAATTCAACACGTATACAGTTTACTGTTATAATAATTGACCCAATAAACAGTTGGTCACCAAAAAAAAATATTCTAAAAAGACTAAGGAAACAGACATGGCAGTGGATTCTTATATGGAAACATTGAACCAGATGGTTCAATTGTTTAAAGAATATAAACCTGGATCTGTGACTTTGGAAAATATTACTAGACTCTGCCAAACTATGGGACTAGAATCTTTTGTTGATGATATAAGTAACGATTTGGCAAGATTATCAACCGCCTCAAAAATTATTGTGATTGATATTGATTTTGATAAGATCAACAATAAAGTCAAAGACGTGAAGTTGGTTCTTGCCTCGAATTTTGATTACTTCAATTATTTTATCGACGACTATGATCAGAGCAAAGGTGAAAGTAATAACGTCCTTTTGAATTCTTTAATCTTATACAATGATTTGAAACAGTTCCATAACAATTTGCAATTTTTGAATCTTTTAGATACTTACTCACAAGTGGATATAGACAATTCCACATCTGCAGGTCCCACAATGGGAAATATTTTTAATGGCGCGAACCATAGTAGCAACACTAATAATCACGCAGGAAGCATTGGTTTTTCCTTTGATAATAGTAATACCACCACTAATCCTACAAATAATGGAAATTCTAATAATAATATTCTTAGTACTGGAACAATGAATGATTCCAATACTCTGACAAATCAAAATGCGACGAATAAAAATGGCAAACTTGATTTATTCAAATACTTCACTGAATTAAGAGAACATACAACCAAATACGTCCAAACTTATAATAAAAATCTAAACGTCGTAGCAAATTTAGGTAACAATATTGGTGTGTACATTATAAAACCAAATAGTGACCAAACTACAACTGACAAAAAATATGTAGAAAATGGTTCAAATATTTTAGCTAAGATTACTATACAAAAATCTAAAAATCCTCAACATCAGTTATTTGAATATATTTATTCTGACGCTACCAAAAATTGGATGAATGAAACACCAAACAACAATATCTGTGGTGCTAGTCTTATTTTAGAAATATATAACGAGGATATTTATTTCCCTGAAAGTTTTGTTACTGATGACATGATCTATGATAATTCTCCTGAAAATACCAAAGAAAAGAATACATATATCTCACAATTATTAAATAACGTTATTATAAATACCAATAATACTACTGATAGGATTTCTAATGAAAAAGAAATCGTTCTTTTAAATAATTTCACAACAAAATTAATCAATGTCAAAAAAATTGACATAAGTAACGAAAATTTAGACTTACTCAGTGATATATTGAAATGGATAGAATGGTATAATGAAGTGTTAATACCATTGTTTAATATGCTTGAAACAACTATCAAGGGCACAAGGAATATAAATGAACAAAACAACTCATTCAATTCGCATCGTCTGCACCATTTTCATAATCACAACAAAAGAAGGCTATCAAATATCATTGTTGGCCCCAATAATCTCCCACACACATCAATAAGACATAGAAGATCATCATCTAAGAACAAAAAACCCAATTTGACAGAATCTACCATACTTAAAGAAGAAGGATTACAACAATTTAATTTACATGATATTCTATCACAACCTGTTGTAGAAGAAACGGAATTAGCTTTGTCAGTTAACCCCAACAATGAGGAAGCATTAATTGTTGACGACGATGAATCTGATAAAATGGTAATTGATGATAATGGCATGATGTCTTCCAATAATACTTCGATAAACCAAAGTACACTCCAATTTATTCTATCTGAAGATAATATGGAATTTAATAATCAACTGAGATGTAGTTTGTATGACGACAGAAATAATTGGGACATATTTTTGAGAGATATAAAAAATTTTATAGAGTAATTGCCTCAAAATAATACGTGCTGTTTTAATAAACTATCATATGTTTAAAAGAAGGTCTTTATATATATACACTTATATAGTTTATTATTATTTCTTCTAAATTCAGAGACGAAAATAGATATACAATATCATATGTTTAACAAACAGTTTTCAATAAATTTACAAAGATTATATATGAGTGTTTTTTAACAAATCCACACGCTTATTATACCTTTCATATAAGACTTATTACTTTCTATTTTAAATGATTAGGCCATCTAGTTAAAAAGGGTTTTAATATCCACTTAATTGCTTTCAAATTTTAATTAAGCCAACATAGACTAAAATTATTGTTGCAAATAACAATATAAGTTACAATTATTCGATAAAATAATAAAATTAAAATAATTAATTTTATACAAATATCCTATTTTTTACTTTCAATAATTTGTGAATATATAAAAAGAAACAAAATTTAATTCTATAAATAACTTTATATTTTTTCTTTCTTTCAAACTTATTTATTATATTTCTTAACAACACAATCAATCTTAAGTATAAGCGGTTTATGCTAGACCAAGATATTTTAAAAAAAGCGATATGTAAACTACAAATTCCCAGAATATCACTTTCAATAACTATTTCCATTTGTGTTAAAGAAAATGTTTTGGGCCAAAAGGGTTACATTCGATAAAAAAGTATTATACGAAAAGTTCAGTATTTAAAGAACTGATTAACCAGTAGTCCAAGATTTAATAACAAAAACTGCATATAAAGCTCACCAATCTTAGAATTATATATCGTGAATAGAAATTAAACTAAAGGTAAAAGAATATAACAATACAGCCTAGTAAAAATTACAAATAATGTGATTCTCTCTATACAAGTACTATACATCATTCTAACGTAACCAAATGTTTTCATCTTTCTTACTCATCATAATTTTCATCTTCTTCTACTTGTCTAACTACATTTTCCTTTGCTGTATTTGATTCTTTACTGAAATCTTTCTCAGATGTTGCCATGCCATCGGTTGAAGATCCATTCTCCTGTTCAAGCTTTTCTTCTTCACGTAGCTTAGCTTCCTCTTGTAACTTTTCAATAGCCTCTGCTGTTGGTTTTATCACCGTCTCTTCTTCCTTCTTCTCCTCTACTCCATCTTTATTTTCACTTATAGCTGAAATTTCCTTTTTTTCTTCTGACTGGTTTTGTTTAGAAGTAGCTACTATAGAATTCTCACTTTCAGAATTTTCAACAGGTACCACTTTTTGTTCTATTATAGTTGTTTCTGTTGGTTTCTCTGATTCCTTTTCTGAAGAAACAGGTTTATCTGGAACATCATTCTCTTTATGCTCTGTTGATTGTGATGCTTCGACTGTTGACACAGGAGTTTTTTCCATTTTATTTTCCTCAACAGGGACATTTGGTGTCACTTTAACACTTTCTGTCATATTGGCAACTGATGTTGGCTGCTCTGCAGCCAGTTGAGTGTTAGAAGATGATGGAGCTGTGGTAGTTGCTGTATCCCGTTCTGCAACAACTTGAGATTCTTCATTTTTCTCCCTCTCTTGGTCATTCTCTTTATCAGATTCTGCTTGTTTAATTCTCTTCAATTCAGGTTCTGATTCCTTTGCAGTATCGTTATTCATTAAAGAACTTACTGTGTTTTGATGATAAGTTGGATGTTCTTCTTCATTCGACGAAGACACCGCAGCATTGACTAAAGTGTCGATATTACTACTGCCATGGACAGCATCAATGGATCTCTTTTGTGGTACTACTTGTCCTTGATTAGGCACTGGCATTATATCATGTTTAGTAGAAGTAGGTTCGGAAACATTGGATGATGCATTTTGTTGAGGTAATGTAACTAAGTTACTTACAACTTGTTTTGGTGATTTTGTGTCACTTACAGGAGCCACTACTGAAGAAGCAGTTACTTGTGTTTGTTCTTGTGTCTTCACAGGTACTACAGGAAGAGGAGCATTTACAGTTGTTGGTAATAAATCAGTTTGAATATGTCCTGTAGTAACTTGTGACACTGGTTGTGTAGGTTTTCCAGCAATTGGAACCAACTTAGCTGGTGGAGATGCGGCATTTTGTGTGCTAGGTGTTTGGTGCTGTTGCTGTTGCATTGGGACTGAAATTATAGATGGTTGAGGATACTGTTGGAATTGTGGGACGACTGACAGTTGGTGTGGTTGGTGTTGGATGGGTTGTGATTCTTGCAATGGCTGACCTCCTTGCTGATTCTGACTCAATGGGCCTGATGGATACATGGTTGCTATAGGTGGTCTAACGTTTAATGGATTGGTTTGATCATTCGGTTGTAGTATTGGTTGCAACATAACAGGCTGCTGTTGCTGCTGCTGTTGTTGTTGTTGTGGGTCTTGTAATTGTTGTTGTAATGCTACCTGTGGAGGTGGGGGTGGAGGTAATTGTTGTTGCTGTTGTTGCTGAATAGCTTGAGACGCATTAGGATTAGATAATTGTTGTGTCAAAGCCTCCAATCTCTTTCTTATATGAATATTTTCTGGATCCAATCTGGCTGCTTGTTTATAAGCATCAAGGGCATCAGTCAATTGGTTATTACAAGTTTCATACAATGTACCCAAATCATACCATACCTCACTGATATATGGATTTAATCTAATAGCTCTCGTGTATGCATCCAGAGCATCTCTATATTGAGATATTTGGTAATATAAAACACCAATTGAACACCAAAAGATTGGATTTCTTGAATCTCTGTTAACCGCTTGTTGGAAAGCATCATATGCAGCAGTATAATCACTTCTAACCATATGAACACGACCTAAATGGTACCATGTGGTAGCATCAGATGGATCTACTTCCAAGGATTTTAAAAGATAGTTTAGAGCCTTTTGTGGGTCATAAAATTGTACATTGTTCATGCCATATAGACAACCTAACTGTTGTAACACTTTTGCATGATGTTCATTTTGTAAAAGTACGTGTTCATAAGCCTCTCTTGCACCTTGCCACTCACCCATACTTTCCAAAACAGATCCAAGTTGGAACCAAATGTCCCATTCTTGCAAAGGTGCAGGTGGCTGTTGTAAGATGTATCTGAAACATTCTAAAGCTTGATTCCATTTCCCACGATGCTTGTATATGATACCTAACCTAAAGTAGATTTCATTGGCCTTTTCAAAATGTGGATCTAACTCCAGAACTTTTGCAAAGGCTTCTTCTGCATAATCCAAAGACCCATATCTGTCATAAAGAATACCAATCCCATGCCATAACTTAGGAACATTAGGATTAGACAAATGGTATAAAGCTTGTTGATAAGCATTATAAGCACGTTGTAAATCGTCCAACATTAAATAACAATGACCCAAAGTTGCCCAGACGTCAGATAGTTCAGGATTGATTTGCAAAGCTCTTTCAAACAGTTCTGCAGCTTTTTGAAAGATGTCTCTCGATCTATATAAATGAGCTAGAGAAGTCAAAGCCTTCGTAGAATTTGGATTATACTGTAACGTGGCATCATATGCCAAAGCTGCACGGTCTGTATCACCAACAGTCTCAGCCAAAGAAGCAATGGATAACCAAGTCTCTGCTGTCGACTGGGTCAATGGATCATTTTCGATTGAGTCCTTACCACTAGCATTCGAATCAGTTTTACTGCTGTTAATGTTGTTGTTGGAGTTGTTATTTTTTTTTTTTTTATTATTGGTATTAGAGTTAGTCTTAGTACTGCTGTTACTATTCATATCTTTATCAGTATTATGTTGAGGATTAGTATTTAATTTTTCCACTTTATTCCTATTATTCCTTTTACTACTCTTATTGCTATTTTTAGTGGTCATAATACGTATATGTATACTTATATGTATATAGAGATATTTGCCAATTCTAAATAATATACTATATATTCATGAAATATATTATAGTATATGTATGGATAGATGGTTAGGAAAATTTATATATGTGACTTTTTTCCCTTTATCTCTTAATAATGATAATAATAGTAAATAAACAAATATCTATCTATTTATTTATTTTTCTATTTATTTAATATTTTCTTAATTAGACTAATTTTCAAAATAACTTTTTTTTTATATTATTAGTCTTGGTTACTAACTTGTAGAATGCGATTCGATATAAGAAATTCACAGAACGTTAGCTAGAGGGAAAACAAAGACCAATTGAAAAACCTAAGAGCGACTTAAATAGTAACTAAAGAGTTTGGCCAAGCGAGTGGAACACCAAGAGACTTTATAACAAGCAAAGGGACACTAATTGGAAAGGAAAAAAAGGAAGACAAAGAGAAAGAAAATTGAGACGTTGGGGTGAAGAAAAGAAGTATATCCTCGTTGAATCAAGAGACCAACAGGAAAAAATAACAGGTCTATTTATTAATTTATTTTTGTTTTTTTTTTTTTTTTTACTTTCTTGTATTTATATAAACAGGTAAACAGGTTTATGTAAATATTGTTTATATAACCACCTAATCAAACTCAAAATTAATTTTAGTTTGTTTTATTTGTTGTTTATGTTAACAATAACAATAGAAAAAAGAAAAGGAAAAAGAAAAAAAGAAAAAAAGAAAAAAAAAGAACAAGACAAAAGACAAAAAACGCAATAAAACAAAAAGAATGTCTCCTTTTTCTTTTCCTTTAGCTTGTGTCTTTTGTCTCATGTTGAGTATATTGTTACAATCTATTGTACTGGATCCAACAATAGGAGAGATTAAAAAACTTCTTGAAAATTGGGAAATTTTTATTAAAACAAAACAATATGGCGGTAACAAAAACTGTGCTCGTATGAGACAATAGAAAAAGAAAAGACGTAAAATTTTTCTTATTTTTTTTTTTTAGAGAAAATCTTGTATTGTTATTTTCGGGTTTATTTTCCTCAAAAAAAAAAAAACAAAAAGAAAAAAAGAAAAGAAAAAAATAAACAAAAACTAAGAATGGGAAAAATGATCTCAGAATCTAATTACTGCTTACGGATTTTACCCATTGCCAAATTACCGGTTACTGAACACATGGAAAACCATCATATCACACGGTCGACAACATACATAAACAAAAGTGATACATACACATACACTTATACATAACGTGTTAAAAAGACGTTTTCTAATATCCTTTTCGTATTGTGTTCTTGTTTTTGTGCTGTACTTATTTTTATGTTTTGCTTATTTTTTTTTCCTAGGTGTAAAAATGAGTAGCTTAGTATAGTAATACACGTTATTTTTATTTTTCTTTAACAATACCTACTATCTATTGGTCATACAAATACCTGTCCTTCTTTCTAGGACTTCTTGAGACCGTAAGTAATGTAGTAGTTTTTAACATGAAAAAATGTTACAAATAGGTATACACACTACGCTAAAAAATAAATAAATAAATAAGGTAAGAAAGAAAGAAATTAATAGCAATTGAGGTTGAGTTATTCGTACTATGTGAATTTGAAGATTGCAAAAATCTCTTTTAAAAACTGTACCCTATTTTGCTTTTTTTTTTTTTTTTTTTTTTTTTTTTTTTAGTTTTTTCTAAAAATGGATCTGTATTAACATTGAATACAAATGGAGAAATTTAGGTGTCGCCACCTTCAAAACATAATTAGCCCTACTTAAACTATTGTTGTCACAAGCTTTAAATCACTTTTTAGAATGTTGTATAATATACAAAACTTTTATGAAGATATCAATTGCTTCTTCACGTAAAATCTACATTAATTAGAAAATTACAATAGGTATTTAGTCTTACTTATGTGTACTAAGTTTTTGTAACAGATCAGGCTTATCTACAAATTACAAAGAGTATTGGAAGAGAAGTCGTTTCTTGTCTATCCAACAATATTTCTCAATAACTAAATTGTCCACCTTTCGCTTTCTCTCTACTTACCCCCCCCATTCTGTTTCAGATTCAATGCTTGTCATTTATTGTTGTCTTTTAATAATAAGGTATAAAAAAACGAATTTTTCTGTCTGAGATACCTCACACACCCTTACGTGAAATACAGGCTATCCTTGAGCATAAGCCTTTAAAATATACAAATAGGTTTTAATAATATATTCTAAAAATAAAAACAAGTATATATATATATGTATGTGTATACATAACTCCCGTATCAAATGATCCTTTACACGTTTTCTTTTAAGGGAGATTGCAATCTTTTTCGCTTTTATTTTGAAGACAAAAAAAATTAAAAAAAATTTCCGAAACACAAAAGAAAGGAGGAAGGAAAAATGGATTTCTTTTGTCTTTTCACATTCTCTTTTGTTTTCTTGTAAAAGTGTCTTCGTCTTTTGTTCTGTGTACCATCCTCTGCATCATTCGACCTTTGCTTAAAAGTGGGGGAGGGCAGAAGAAAAATATGAATAATATGAATAGCACGTATATATATTTATGTATACAACATATGTTATATCTATATGCATATTTTTATATTTAGATAGGTACAGCACGAGCAGTTGGCAAAAATACAACACAAAGCAAATAATAAAGATAAATATGCTTTACTGCATAGATATATATATAAATAGATAGATTGTTTGCATTAAGGGAATGAGAGTATATATAGGGGACATAAGGTTTGTTTCTGTATATTATAGATATGTCTATCCACCATAATGACCTTAAACCCTTTTCTTTTTAACTGATCTTTGTCTATTTGAAGGCTTATTTATATTTAAAAAAGTTTTTGTCGAATAGCAACAATTAGCTATATATATATATATATATATATTGCTGGACGTATGGATATCTTCCACAAAATATGGCTCATTGAAATGTAAAACACATCAATCATAAAATGATCAACTGATTTCTTATTTGTTTCTCTAGTTGAATCAATATAGTTCATCCTTTATTATCTTAAAAAAAATGCAACAAAGTATATTTATAGATATAATTGTATAGTTAGAGACCTGTTGGATGTTTTCTCGTTTTAAGCCTGTATGTTTTTTGTTAAACCTGGTAATTATTGGTTTTTACTACCTTTAATCGCATTTATTCCGTGGTATGGAATGCTAATTACAATGCTGGTATGTTGGGCTGCACAAGGACATCCGATATATTGGTTTATGCATACTGACCAATTTCCTGTCTATATATCAGATATTGGTGCTACCAATCTGAGACCTCTATTTATTGCATGTTCTGCTTGGCAAGGTATTGGTTATGTATTGGTGGTATTTATGGAATTTACACAAAGATTTTTGTACCTCATGAACCCATGGTTCACATACCATGAAAGAAATCTGATCCTTGCATCCCTTCTTCTTGGTATAGTGGGCCAATTAGGCCTGTTGTTCTGTACTATTTGGTCGACTGCTTTGCTTCATAAAGTACATATTACAATGGTCTCTATTTTTATAATTTTCATGTTCTTATCAATTATTTGTTTAACTTCCCAATATTTGTCAATGGGTAGACATTACGCCCTAATCCATTATAAGTCCGGAAATTCAAATGTTTTGGATAGTAGAGATTTAAAATGGTGGCAATGGAAAGGGTACAAATGGAATAAGTTTACAATTAGCGGTCTTTTCAAGTTGGTTTGGCTAATTTGTTCAGTTGTATGGGCCATTTCCTTTGCCTCTTTTCAAGACAGTAATGACTCTATATCTGCCTGTTTTGAATGGTTATTGGCATTTTGGTTGGGTTTGATCTTTATTATTATATCTATTGACTTCTATTTAGGATCAACGTGGAAGACTTCCAAATACTGGTCACAGATTAACTATTATAATAGTTATTATAAGTTTGAAAAATATACTAATGATCCAAACTGAGATAATCCAGTATAATATATATATTATTATAAACAGTTATTTGTATAGTAGTATGTAAAGAACATAATATTGCCTTTTGCTATCTAAGAAAGTAAACTAGAGATATATATAAGCACATATGTAGTTATATGGTGGGTGACAAAGGCGAAAAAGAATGGAGTTGCGAGCGAAAAAGAAAGGGTGGTACTATCGCTATAGTTAAAATACCTCTTTGAAAAGACTCTTTTCTCCATTTGCAGTTTCATCATTTTTATTTAAAGAATTTACATCGTTAGAAGATGATCTAATATATTTATTTTGATCATCATGATCTTTTATTGATCCTTGAGAAAATCCACTAAAAGATGGTGAATTATCTTTTAAATCACTCGAATTACTAGCATGACTTTCATTTTCCCAGTAATTTTTTTTCTCTGATGGTAATGATGATGTGTCTGTTTTGCGTGCAACGACTGCAGTAGTCGGTTTTCTTGAGCTGTAATAATAGGATTTTTGGAATATTTTCTTCTCATAATTCATTTTTGATTCTAAATTGACATTATCTTTTCTAGGTTTATTTTTACCTAGATTTCTAAAAGATTGTCTATTACTATTAATGGAAGGATGCGTATTCAAAACACCACTAACACCTGTCACTGATCTGACAGACGCAGATGCTTCAGCACCATATGAACTTTCCTTATCAAAACTGTGTTTAGAATTATCATATTTACTTTGATACAAATTTGGACCTGTAGTTATTATAGTTGCCTTTCCTTTGTTTTTTGCTCTTTCAGCTTTTTGAATCCTTGTAATATCATTACCTTCTCCAGCAACTACGCTGTCATCGTCACTATAGTCATCACCTTTTATAACATTAGCATCACCTTCTTTCGCGATATCATTCTGTCTTTTAATTATCTCATACTGACTATAATCACTATTAAAGTCGTTATCAGCATTTTTAAACACTCCATTTAATTTAGAAGAGACAGTATTTTGATTATCATCAATTTCATCTGATTCTTTAATTGATTTTAAAAGAGCTACTTTTTCCTTATTTTTCAATAAATTTGCTTCATTAGTTTTTAATTTATGTTCACGTTCAATGATCGTTTTTTTCAAGGATTCTAGTTTTTCTCTCTTCAATTCAACCAATCTTTCCTGATCATGTTTCTCTTTATCTAAACTTATCAATAAAGATTCATGCTTCTTCTTTGATTTTGTTTTCCCCTTATGACTAATAGATATGATAGATGTCAATTTCTCATGATCTGTCTTATTAATATTTCTCTCCCCTATGTTTTTGGAGGATGCAGGTATCTTTTCCAATTTCAGTCTATCATCCATTTCTGATATGTTTTCATCATGTACTTGGATCTCATTTTCTAGATCTTGTATTTCAATCTTTATTGCTTCTAATTCATTTTGTAATTTTGTTTTGATATCTTCATTTTCATCTAAAGTTTCAAAGTAAGGGTTTAACAATTCTATTTTATCTCTATCTAATTTATCAAGATCTTTAGAGTGTTTCTTCTGTAAAATAGTCAATTGGTCAGTCTGCAATTTTTCTAAATGTATTTTTTTATTTAATAATTCAGTTTCTAATTCTTTTGATTTTTCAACAAGTTCATTTAATTGTTTTTGTTTCAAAATCAGTTTATTTTCCATTTCTTTAGAAAAATTTTGCATATCCTCATTTATTAAATTTTGATTTTCTTGTCTTTCTGACTTTATCTGCAAATTTGTTTCATTGACTAAATCCTCGTCATTTTTATTTCTAATAATTTGCAATTGCTTCCATCTTTTATATTCTTGTTTATATGTAGATTCTCTACGATCCAGTTCAATATCCAATTTTCTTTCCATTTCTGTTTTTAAATCAATTTTTTCAATTAGTGGTTTCACATTATGTCTCGAAATATCGTCAACATCTCTATTTGGTATCCAAAGTCCACCACCAGTATATATCTTGCCCCTTGTTTTTTCTAACGTTTGATTTTCCTTTTCTTTGTTTAATTGCATTTGTTTGCGCGCGTACTGAACAGCTTTTATATTGTAATCCATGTTATTAAATAATACACCTTTAGTAGTCAATGAACGAATGTTCTTATCAATTGAATTCAATTTCGATGTTGTGTTGCTTGAAGCTAGATTCCAAACTTTTGGAGATACCATAAAGTTGTAAAATTCTATTTTTTGTTTTTCCAAATCATGCACATGTTTACGTTCTTGCAATAATGAATCGGGTAGATAATATGTTGAGTTCACTTTATATGCAGCATTTAATGCATTTTTGTTTCGTAAAGTTTTAGTGCTCTCAGATTCGGGCCTAAACCTTTTATTAATCCTGATATGTGCTTTATTTTCTGCACTATTCAAAACTTTAGATAAGTTTAAGTTCTGATGAGAAGCAGCAGCAGCGCCAACGGTGACAGTGCTGGTGATAGTAGTAGTAGTAGTAGTAGTAGTGGGTGATTTTGCTGTGGTTGTGGTTATAGATGTTGTAGGAACATTAATTGATTTTAAAGAATCTGAGTAAGCCTTACAGGCCGACTTTTTTGAATAACCTGTATGAGAAGTGTTTAAATCGGTTGGATGAATCAATTTATATTGTTGACTAGTATTAGAATCATGTAAACTTCTAGTTGCAGCGTTTAAGGCGTAAGCAGAAGTGAAATTATGAGAGTAGTCATACTTATTGTCAATATTATTTGGGTGGGTGTTAGAGGATTGAACAAAAACGGCAGCTTTCTTTCCAATATCCGGAACTTCATCACTGAAAGACGAATATTGATTAGCTGGAGAATTATAATGACCATACTTCAAGTTGGTGTAATAAATAGCTTCTTTACTTAAATGATCATTTAATTCACCAATAGAGTCGTAATAATGATAGTAGGGATGATGAAATGAATAGGTAGAAGTAGTGGATTTGCGTAATTTTATATTTTTTTTTAAATTCCAAATTATTGATATGTTGATCGGTATTATAGTCTGTTAGCTTAGTTTTATAATGAGCAGATATCAACGACATGATGTTGTTATGGTTGTGGAATGTGCACCAATATGTATAGACCCTTCTTTGGTTTTTTTTTTTTTGGTTTTTATTATTGATTCTATTAATTCAATTAATGTTCCTATTCAATGATATTAAAAAAATGGCTGGATCAAAAATGATGAAGTAAGAAAAAGAAAAAGATGTACATATTAATATACGTGTTTATAAATAAATGAACGAATCAAGTTAGGCGATGCATATAGCAAAGAATCGTCAGTAGAAGGGATAAAGAAGGGCTGGAATTAAGAAAAGAAAAGAACCAAACGAACAATACAATACGATATAATATTATGAAAAAAGGGAAGAGTAAACAGAGAATAGCAAAAAGAAAATACTGACAATACATAATGAATAATGAATAATAATAGTAACGATTGTTGACACGTTAATTTGAACCCTTGAACAGTTTGGTTCTTTTCTTTTCTTTTCTTCTTTTAATTGTTGTTGTTTGAATGCTATAGTTATTTGAAATAAAGGGATATAGGGGTGAGCAAAAGACATAAAGGGTAGGAAGAGAAGAGAAGAGGAATGTCAGGGTACACGTAGCAGATATTGATTGTTTTGGGCAATATGTAGTGTTAGATGAATTGCCCTCTAATACGTCTTGCTAATTGGATATCCTTTTTCATCAAAGTTATCCTTTTGCCATGAATTGCCAATAAATTTGCATGTTCTAATAAACCGACCAAATAGGCTTCACTTGCCTCCTGTAATGCTAAGATTGCCATAGAATGCCAGTGCAAATGTTGATTCTCATAGACAAAATTGTCTGTTATCTCTTTGACCAATTTGGCAAACGGTATCTTCGATATTAGCAAATCTGTTGACTGTTGGTATTTTCTAATCTCGTATAACGCCAGGTCGCTAGGTCTATACCTTATTGTCTTTGACCCTTCTACATCCCTATTTTTACCAACTCTATTCTTTTTCCTTAATTCTCCACTTAGCCGTAGATCTGTTCTATTGTAATCCCTGGAATCCCCTATTTTTGCCGACTTGTCTAATCTATTATTAGTGAAGACCCTATTTTCATAATCTTCATCGTTGTATTCATAATCGTCATATATACTGCTGTCATAATGACTATTATAGTGAATGTCTTCTGCTTCTTCCTCTGCCTCTTCGTCTTCATATGAAAATGATTGTTGTTCTTGATAATAGTCATTGTCATATCTACGGTCATTCCCTTGTTCTTCCTCCGCTAAATAATAGTAATCATTGTCAATGGGGTTATTATCAATGTTTTTTTCATTGTTCAAATGCAGTGGCGACGGTTGCTCTGTTTCATAACGTCTACTGTTGTCTGTGAGTCGATAACGAAAATTTCCGTTATGATTTTTATTCTTCCTCGTTCTTTCCAACAAATTTATTGCCCTCGCATTAATTAAATCTTGGTTTGATATGTAATTTGGCCTAATGGTGCTTAATGAAACAGATTCGTTGTCAAAGTTATTGTCGTCTCTCCACTCTTCTACATCTTCTACATCTGCCAGATCTTCTTTCTCTGGATGTCGCAGTGGCCTGCCAATATTAGTATTAGTGTTAAATATGCTGTTGTGATATAATGATGTAATGGTACTATTATTTGTTGAGGTTGGCGAGTAATATCGTTGGCTTTGCATCTTTCTATAACAGTTTCTATGAGAAGAGGCAAAATTTTGAACTTTGAAAGGGTCTTAAAATTTGATACTTTGAAATACTCAAAACGGTACTGTTCAAATAATATATGTGTATATATGTGTATATATTTCTCGATTCTCTTTGATCTCTTCGTCTTTTTTTGTCTTCTTATACGTTTATTAATTCATTTATTTTGCATCTGATTGAAAAAGTTATAAATGTTTTATTTGTAGTCGCTTTTTGTTGTTTTTCATGTGATTTTTTTTTTTTTTTTTTTTTGTATAATAGATTCAGACGATGAGTATATGGGATGCGAAACTGAAAAAAAAAAATTTAAAATAAAAAATAAAAAATAAAAAATAAAAAATAAAAAATAAAAAATAAAAACAAGAAAACAAGAAAACAAGAAAACAAGAAAACAAGAAAACAAGAGCAAACTGTAATGTAATTTTCACATTGATATAGTCGTATATTCGAACTTATCATACTTTACTACTTCTTTCATATATGTTATATATGTCCTGTTTATTGAGTGTCCACATACATATACATATTAAAAAGGAAAAAGAATCAATTAAAGTAATATTGATAGATAAATAGGGATATTCACATAGGTGACTTTCTTTGTTGATTATGGCTCCATTTAAATTAGATAACATTTTAATTATTTATCCAAAATCTGAAACCACTTTGGTCCAGTTTGGTCTAAACGATGAAACTTTTACGGTCCCTGAGTTCGAAATCCCAACTAAAATTTACAAGTCCATAGATAACAATAACCAATATTTCTCAACTCCTGAATATAGAACATATGAAATTTTTCCCATTAGAAATGGTTCAATTGTTAATCTAAATGCTTTTTTACAATTCTTAAAATTGGTCTATGGTTCAATTTTATCCAAAATTAAAAACGATAATAGGAATAATGATAATAATAATAGTAATAATAGTAATAATAATATAATATTACCTGATTTAACCAATATACCAATTTTCATAATATCCAATTATTCATGGACTAATTTTCAAATTGAAAAAATCATACAATTTTCTTTTGAACATTTGAAATTCAATAATCTATATTTACTCTCCAATTCCTTAGCCACGACATACGCACTTATATCCCAACCTAATTCAATAGTGATAGATATCGGAGCTAATCATACAGATATTGTGCCTATTATCGATTATATCTCTTTGAACCATCTTGCATATAAATTGAAGTTCGGTGGGAACCATATTAATAAAACTTTACAAAAACTGTTACCACAATTCAATAATGAAACTATTGAAATCTTGAAAAAATCTAACATCTTCGAAGTGGTCAATGATGATATGAAAAGGTTACATAACATCGGTATCCTAAGCACACCAAATGATGCTTCCAGTGGCTTTGGTGCGGAAGGTGATGATTTATTGGATGGATCCTTAAACGTGGTCGATATTGTCACTTCAAATCGTGATACAAGAGAAATCTTGGCTGAAAGAGAAAAATTGAAGAATGAAAAGCATAAAAATGTTAAAAACACTGAATTGGAATTTAATACTTTTTGGGACCAAAATGGTAACGAGTTACCGGTCGGAAAAGAAAGATTTCAAGGTTGTGACGATTTAATCTCAAAAATATCAGAAATGGTCGGATTTGTCATGCAAAATGTTCAGGATATCAGTAAAGTCAAATTAGCATGGGATAATATCATCATCACAGGTGCAACTAGCTCCATAGAAGGGTTTAAAGAGGGTCTGTTGGCACAGCTGATAAAGGACCATCTAATCATTGAACCTGAAGAGGAAAGAAATAAAAGAGAAAAAGAATTGCTCGATTCTTTACCCAACTATAAAAGAAACAGAAATAAATTCATGGATTCTTCATTTGTACCAAACGTCGAATATAGTCAAGTACCCAATTCTATTAAATTAGCCAAATATCCAGAGTATTTCCCCAATTGGAAAAAACATGGATACGCTGAAATCCCATTCCTGGGTGCTCAGATTGTGGCTAAACAAATTTTTACTCATTCAAGAGATGTATTATATATTACTAGGGAGAGATATGAAGAAGTTGGTCCTTCCTGTATCTGGGATATCCAATTATAAATCAATATTGTTTATATATCTATATATCCATACCAATATATAAATAAATCATTAGAATATTTTAGTTGTGACATATACTCTTAATTCAAAACTTCATGATAAAATCTATGAAAAGTTTCATTTTGAAAAATATCTTTTTATTCACGCACCTTTCGCTAGTTTGTTTTAAAGATGTATATGGTCTATATTTTTATCTATATTATTGTTTAATGACTTTCTTATTTGGCATAGTTCAAGTATTCTTTAATGTCATCAATTGTCTCTCCAGAGTCCTGCTCTTCAGAGTTTAACACAGCCTTGAAATTCATTATATTATTAGAGATTGGAATACTTCTATTTGTGAAAGTTAATTTATTTGTTGAACTATGGTGTCCTCCCACAGAAGTTCCACTAATATTTGAAGAAGAATTCTTCTTCTCTGGTGTATTGTTGATACGAATCATTTTTTTTATTGGTGTGATAACTTCTAAAGACGTACTGGATACCACTGTTTCCCTTTTCTCCAACTGTCTTTGTGGTGACCTAGATAATTGATGGTCCAATTCTGAAAGAGAATGTGTATCTCTTAATTGTTTGATTTCTTCATAATCTTCATCATATGTATCTATCTTGTTTTTAACAGAAAAGAGATCTAATGGATCTGTAACTAATACAGGTTCTTCCAAATTAGATATCAATGACGTCATATCAGAAGTACTTTCAAGTTTTTCAATATTGTCAATTGTCATATCTCTACTATTGTTACTATTATTGAACATTCCATTTTTTGTTGCTAAATCCTTTGATTTATTACTAATTGATACTTTTACTTTATTTCGATTTTTCTTGTGCCATATTTTATTAATCAAGTTTTTTAATGTGGAAGTTTTTCCTTCTTGTTTCTTTGTATTTTTTGTTAGATTGGGTGACAACACTTTTATCTCCTTCAACAACTCCTCAATACATATTCGCTCATCAGGTTGTTTATTCAATAGTTTATTTACAATTAAATCTGATAGTTGGTCTGTTTTAGTTATTGGACAAAAAAGTTTTTTTGATATTATTTGGTGATATGTAGCAAATTCATTATCTCCAGAAAAGGGTAACTCATTAAACATGATACAATATAGCATTATACCAAGAGCCCATATATCAATCTTATACCCATCAATAACTTTTTGATTGTTTTGTTTTGATAACATATCAAAATGACATAATTCAGGCGGTATAAATGCTGGGGTGCCAACAATTTTATTTAATTCACGTTGAAAACAATTTAAGATAGTCGAAAACGGTATGTTCATATTTTCATAATCAAATAGACCTTGATCACCAGGTTCTATTAAACTACAACCATAATCAGATATCTTTAAAGTTCCTGTTCTGCTGTCAATTAAAATATTAGCAGGTTTTATATCTCTATGGATTATCTTGGATTTTTTCAAAAAGAATAAACCCTGTGCAACATCATGTAATACTTTTATCACAATATCATGCACAGTAATATTATTTTTCGATAATTGGTTGTTTTCGTGTTCTCCATTTGAAGATAATATTAATTTCCACTGATTTAAAATTTCTTCTTTACTACTCCTTTGCCACTGTAATTCACCCAAATCACAGCATTCATATATTAACCAAATATCGGAACTATTATTATAATCTACACATTGAATAAAATTAACTATATAAGGAGATAAAGATGTATTTCTTGTTAACTTTTGCATGACAAGAATTTCCCATCTAATTTTAATTAAATTTAACACCATAATAATTTCATCACTGGTCCATTTTTCAGACCATCCCATTTGTTTCCAACGTTCTTGTTGTCTTAGTATTTGATTCATTCCGTATATAGCAATATTATTGTTACTGTACCCACTTTTTGATAATCGCTTCACTGCATATATTTTATTGTTGGTGTTGTTGTTATTTAAACTCTTACATTTATAAACTGTGCCATATTGACCTCTTCCAATCTTTGAAATAAATTGGAAAGTGGTTCGAGGGTCACCTTCAACAATCACTTCACTAGTTGTCTTTTTAATTTGAGGTAAAAATATTTGAATTAAATCATTATATGTTGTGATAAGACTTGGATCAATGTTATTGAAAGGGCCTAATTGTAAGGATGAGTTTGGTAATAGAGACGGTACTTTTGACTGTCTTTGGTGGTACATTTGGTTTTTATAATGATTTAAAAGCTATTCCACGTAGATGTTTTCTTTTATTTTTTTGTTTTAATAGAGTTGTAAAAATACAGTATTAGTATTAGGTTGTATTTACACTAGGTACTTAACACAAACATAAACAAACAATCATGTATGTATGTGTGTAATGAGTATATGTATGTATACTTTTATCTCATCGCTGTTCTTTTATTTAATATTTTTCAATAACGGATTTATTCAATTCGATGAAATGTGCAAGGATCTTGATAAAACAGTGAAATAGTTTCCGCAAATACTACAACTATGTTTCAAAGTTGATGTGAGAGGTGTTTCATTAGTATGTCTATATCATTTTATAAAGTCATTCATATATATATATATATATATGTTTGTGTATATGTATAGGTATATGTGTGTAGATTCAGTAGTATTTATAATAATATTGATGGATTGAAATTCCTGTATTCGTTACAAAAAAAGACTAATCTCATGATAATAGTGTGTACAGACAAACAAAGAACTAATCATTAGTTAAATTTATTATACTGCTTACTTAAAAAATAATGAACACAAAGGGAAAGTCTTCCTGATTGGCTAGTCATTATGATTAGAAATCACCGTGTTTCTTGTGCGTCTTTAGATGTTGAGATAAATTATCACTTCTACTAAACTTCTTCTCACAAAGAGTACATGGAAATGGTCTTTCATTTGAATGAACAGATCTAATATGTCTCTTAAGGTGTTCACTTCTTTTAAAAGCCTTAGGGCATTCTGCACATTGGAATGGCTTCTCTTCAATATTCTCATGGTCTGTGGAATGAGATCCAGATGTAGGGCTAGCTAAAACATTCTTATTGTTTGTTACAGCTGAAATTGATACATTTGGTGTCATTGCTGATGATGATCTTACCACACCAACGGTTGATTTTCTTCTTGCATTAGTGTATGCATGTTTATGTATAGTAGACCCACTTGAGGCCATTGAGGATACCGATTTTCTTTTAGTAATCCTTGTTGGATGGGTATATGGTTGTGTATCTATTGTAGGGAATGTTTCAACTTTAGGGATTCCTTTGATAGCCAATTTAGCTGCAATTGAAGCTTTTTCAGATAACATCATTGATGGTTTAATAAATTTCTTTTCCATCGATGTGTCGTTCAATTGATTAAAAAAATCATTTATATTATTATTAATGAATGTTTCATTGCCGATCTCCGGCCTTCCCGGTGTAGATAAAACATTATTGTTTAGTGTAGAAGAGTTATTCTCATTAATAGTATCAGTATCAAAAAGATTGTTCTTAAATGCAGTCATATTGAAATCGTCGTTATTTAAAGTTGGTAATGGTATATTATCATCATCAATACTGAATTTGGGATTAAAACCGATACTATTATTATCTACTGTCAATATTTGATCATTATCGTTACTGTTTGCATAAAATGAACTATTTAGAGACTCAGATATCAAAGGAACAGAAGTTCTTTGTTTATGTGAGGTATTTTGCTTTGGTGAATATAAGGAATTATTAAAATCTGTAGAGATTGTATTACTGTCATTATTTCCAGTAGAATTAGTGGAAGTGTTATGGATAGTACTGTTAGATTTGCTAATATCCTTTGAAAAATCCATATTATAACCACTTAATACCTGAGTAACATTATCATTAATTGGCTGTGTGGAAATAGAATTAGTGTTTACATTATTATTGCTATCAATGTTTAAAATGTTATTAGAAAACTCTGTATTCGTTGGATCAATATTCATAGAAGAAGAATCAATCTCGTTAGATTTCTTTGGGTTCATATTCCAAAAATCTACATTATGAGATATAGAATTTCTTGTACTTGTCAAACTTGGGAATTTATTATTTACCACGATACTTGTTCTCCTATTAATAGGTAAAGTATCATTTCCAAATACGTCATCTAGTTGAAGAAAATCATTTTCTGTATTATATTGCAATGTTAATGGGGAGGAATCATCAAGGAATGAAAATGGCTTATTATTATTGTTGTTACTATCATTACTATCAGCAATTTCTGCAGTAGTTGTATCCAGTATACTATTATTTTGTTGTTTTTCGGTTTCCTTTGCATCTAGTAATTCTAATAAATCATTCATAGCAGAAGGACCAGACAAATTATTAATTGGTGAATCATTAGTTAATGTTAACCCATCTATATTACTATTTGTTGAAGGAGCAGAACTATGGATTTTATTATTTTCATTAGTAGAGACTGAATTGTGATCATTATTTGGATTTGAAACAGTCTTGTCCGAAGAACTTGTAGTAGAAGTACCATAATTCAATCTAAAATTTAATTTTGATAAATTTGCTGTGCTATTACTAGCAGTGTTTAATTTTGTAATAGAAGAAGAGATAGAGGAAGATGATCTATTAGATGGATTGTTAATAAGGTAGTTATCTTTTGAACCTGAGAAATCATTCATTTGGTTATCTATAGGGAAATGGATAGTTGCAGCAGGATCTAGTTTGTTATTGTTATTATTACTGTCGTTGTTATTGTTGTTTTTAGTTTTAGGGCTTGATATGTTATTATTATCTGATTTTTGTGAAAAAGGTGGATATAGATTACCACTAGTAGTTTCATTATTACTAAAAGGTGTAGTTGAGGAGTCTGTAGCCATGGGAGATTCGACAGAATAATTTAAATAGTAGCTATAATCTGGAGAATTAATATTTTTATTAAACGTGGAAGTGGGTGCAGAAGTAATATTTATATGATCGGCTTGTTGGTTCATATTAGTAGCATTAGTAGTCTTATTTCTATTCTTATCAGCTATGTTTGTACTTAAATTGACGAAGTTGTTGACAGTTTTGTCAATGGAAACGGGTTTATCGCCTAATGGCCTAATAGGTTGTTTTGTAGCTGCCAGCATAATTGCGTGTATAGATATTTATATATGTATATATATATATTTGTAGTTTTTTTTTTCAGAAAAATTTATTAAATAGGTCGAGAAATATGAATGATTTTTAATCGGGAATCTTACAAAATTTCCTATTTGTTTTTTTCTCGATAGACGTGTGTGTTTTGTTATCTAAATAAACAGAAGAAGCAGGAAAAAAAAAAAAGAAAACAAAAATTGAACAAAAGAAGGACAATAGAGGATAGTGTAGAAAACCAAAAGAGAGGAAAATCTTTAAATATCTGGCTTGTATTACGTTACTTGCGAATATCAAATTGTCCGTTGTCACTAATGTGTTTAAACGAGGGTTATATATATATATATATATATATATATATATGGCTTAGGGATAGTTGTGTTGTACAGGTGTTCTATTCTTTTTTTTTTGTGTTTTTATTTTTAGTTTAAATTTTGCAACAGTTAGAGAATGGATATAACTATCAAAATGTTAGATTGACAATAGTCGTAGTTACTTGTAATATTGATAGTTGTGAAAATCGTTAGTATCCTTGTAAAGTTCAATCATTAAGAGAGGAGGGGGAAAGAACAAGAAAGAGAGAGAGCTGAATAAATCCTATTAAAAGTATCTTATAAATAAAGAAGATAAGAAAAGTGAATATGAGTATAGGGAAAGAGTATATAACTGGAGGGGATAGGTATCAGTTAAAAAAAAGAAACTACAAGATGCTGGATAGTACGGATCTGTTTGTTTGGCCGTTATGTGCAAGATATTTAGCTCAAGAGCTGGGCGCGGTAAAGCAAATTGTCTTTTATATTGTTACGCGTTCTTGGCAGTACGAATATGGATTAACACTTGTTTCTTGCTCTTGTGTTTCTACCTTTCTTACATCTTTATTTAAAGCTAGGTTATTAATCAGACTATCTTGTATTGGTAAATTATCAACATTAGATATTTAACGGATTTCTCTTTTTGATTAATTCAATAGTTTGACGATTTATTCATTCATTTGTTTCTTTGTGATAATAATAGCAATATTTAGAGCATATTGTTTATTTTTTATGAACGCTATTATCTCAAACAAAAAGTGTCAAGCGATGAAATTTGTGTAATATTTATGCAATTATTTTTTGTCTCCCCTGTTTTAAGACCTCCTAATATTTAATTGTACTTTTTTGTTTTTATTATATTGTATTAATTTTTTTGGGCTGAATTGAAAAGAACGAAAAAGAAAGCACGTAAAATGAGTTTTCTACATCCTTTCTAGGTTTGCAATAAGATCTTCAGATTTTTCTGTTTATCCTGATTAAACTTTATATACTATTTAGATTAAGGAGCGGAAAATAGAATGAAACCCTAGTTTTTTTTCATTTTCTTTTTTAAAAAAAATGCTGTCTAGCACACGAAAATACACTATAATAGTTTATATAAATAAGTCTTACAAAATATAGAACATTGCAAAAGAATAGTATAATAACATTAAAATCATCATAGTTAGCTAAAATTTTTCAAAATTCTGTTAACAACCAGCTTTGACTTTTAGTTGTCTTCATATATGTCGTATTAATAATCTTTTTGCTGCTAACTAAGCCCACTAATTCATAAAAGAAAATTATAGAAAATCTTGGGAACCCCATAAAAAATATCTTCAACTATCAGAATAAAAAAAGGAAAGATTTTTATTCACCCTAAAAAAATTAAAATAAGAAAAAATTAAACAATTTTTTTCCTATTTCATTATAAAAGTCTCCGTATTTTCATACACCGGGCAGAGCTCTTCTTACTAACAAAAGATTGCTAGAACCCTATTATATTACAAGAAAACTAAAGTTATTGTTTTATTTGAAACAATATGAATAGTTACGTGTTTTTATTTTTATTGTGGAAATTCAATAAACCTTCAGTTGATTGGTCAATTTTGCATTATTTATGGTGAAGTCATTTTCTCTGTTATTATTTAACTGGTGTTAACCCCGCGGGAGGAGTGTTAAAATTCACCCACTGTATTGTTATGGTATAGTCAACAATAGATATTATTGTTTTTTCTACTTTTTTTTTATTTTTTTGTATTTTACCCTACAATAATTTTAGTAATTATTTCGTAATTTCAAAAGTAACCCTAGTTTTCGAATTCATTTGAAAAAAATTCGTGCAGAGTGATAATAGAATGAGTTTAGGAGACTAATGAAAAATGAAAGAAAAGATTAATTTTGCAGTCTTTTTTTTTTTTTAAAACCTTGGTTGAAGTTGAAGATTACCAGTAAACATACAAGTGCTGTAAAACTCTAGATTAATCCAAACGTAAAACAAAAATAAAAACCATTAATTTTGAGAAGTAGTTAGTTTAGTAAGGTCGGTCCTCATACTTTAACTATATTCGTTTATCGCTGTTTACTGATACAGCAACCCATTATTGTTTATCTATTTTTCTACAAATATGCAAGGTGGTATTAGAAGAAAGAAGGATTTGTTACCTCGTTATAAGAAAAATGGTGGTTTTAATAACAGAAATAGATCATATTTGACTACCCCAATGAAAAAAATATTGGCATACATTGGTCTTCTATGTATTGTTTATTTAGTCTTGAGAGTGGCTTATTCTGATTTAAATAAAATCCCAACATATGAATTAGAACGTTTAGAAAATGATAAAACTAATAACAAGAATAATAATAAAAATAATAATAATAATGTCAATGTTAAATCTAATAATGAAGATACTACAATTGACGAACTTTTAAAAGATATCAAGCAAAATGACAATAATAACATAGTAGATCAAATCAGTAATAATAATAAAGATCCTAAGAATTTGGATGAAAGAAAAAAAATAGCAAAGGACAAATTTAATAATGAAGTTGCTATGCAACAAGAAACTAAAAACCTAGAAAATGACTTAAAACCACATGTCGATGCCAAAGATATTCCAAACAAAGGGTCAGGTAGTGTTGTGGATGAATCCGCTGTTAGAATGGCACAAAAAAACCTAATAATATAATTCATATACACAAACTTTGCGTGTGTTAAGTATTTATCGGTATATATTGATTTATAGAGAATATTAATATATTTATAAATGTTTGAGATGTATTGTAATCTGAAAATTATCATTTTAAAAGCCGAACCGTCTCTTTGTGTATACAAACGCACCATATGCTAGAATTATCATACAGAGGAAGATGCTGCAAAACCAAGTTAATGATTCGTTAAATTGGCCTGGGACAATAACATTCATTCCCCACAAACCTGTAATTACATTCATAGGCAAAACAATAGTACCTAGGATAGTGATTTTACCCAATACATCGTTCATATCATTATTAACTTTTGTCATATCAATATTGATCTGTGCCAAATAATTAGAATGGGATCTACTTAATAGCTTTTCATAGTGGTTTAATGATGAAACCATTGTAATAATATGATCTTGAATATCATCAAGATACATTCCAATTTCTGTCTGCGGCACTGGATCCCATTGCCCATTATATCTCTTGGCAAAACCTTTAATAACATCTGCTTTAGCACCAAGCAATCGAAGAATACTCATAACACGTTTACGACAATCTCCAATACGACGTAACATATCTCCTTTTTTCTTCCACCCAATTATATTAGCGTTAAAAGTAGAAATACTTGATGAAGAACGAGTACTACGAGTGCTTCTGGTTGATATAGATCTGAAGTTTGAACTTTTACTGCTTCTTGATGTTCCAGATGATAACGTACCTGTCGTGTGTCGTGAAAAAATACTCTTCCTTCTTCTTGGTGGACTTCTTCTACTAAATAAATGTTGTGATGTATCACTATTATCATCATTTTCATTATCCAGGTATATTATATTATCATCCGAGTCTGATGAGTCTGACGAGTCTGATGAGGAAGATGTGTCATCAATTTGATTCATTTTTATAATCGCATCCTCAATATCATAGACTTCATCTTCAATCAATTCTATCATAGGCCCAAATGCGTCTGTAATATCATCTATTAAGGCATAGGCAATCCAATCTGATGTAACATTTAAATAATCCTTTAATAGCCTTGCTCTTCTTCTTACGTTAATAGGGTGTGGGGTAGGTGCAAAATGGAATGTTAACACACCAGTGCGGAAGACAATAATATAGACATTTAGTGGCTCTAATTCACCAGCTCGAGGTTTATGTCTATCACCTGATTTACGTTTAAATTTTTCTCTTTCTTCACGTTTTTTAAGTATACTCTGTCTGCGTCTCCTTGTAACACTGGTGTGATTAACTGATCCATAGTCAGATTTAGAAGAGTATATAGATGATCTTCTTCTATTTCTCCTAAATAATGAATGGAACCATGACACATTGTTATTATTCCTCTTATTTCCAGTGTGTAATGATTTATCAGAGGAATCATCGCTGCTATCAAAGGTTTCAGATTTGAATTTTTTTCGTCTTGTATGTTTCTCAGCAACGATATCGAAACTTCTAAAACATATTAAATAATAATCCTTAAATAATTCCACTTTTTCTCTTATTTCACCCAAGAAAATATCTTCTGTAGTTAGGGGATGGATACCAAATGCTTTACTTAATACTTTCATTTCTTCCTCTGTTGGATTAATCACATCTAGCCAAAATGGATGGATGTCTTCCAACGCAATTGAGGGGGTCTTGCCCTTAATTCCACTTCCTGTACCACTATTATAAGTAGTGAGATTTGTTCCACTATGGTTAGATGATATATTGGTTGTAATTTTGTTTAGTACCGAATGGACCGGTTGTGATTGTGGCTGTGGTTGTGGTTGTGAAAGTAAAGTTGAATTGAGAGTTGTGTTTACCATATTGGCATTTGATGAATTGTGACTATTCAACGTTGGATTATTATTTTGTGGTGAGGAAGGTGATGTAACTTTGGTTGATATAGTGTCCTGATTTAAATTATCTGGGTTCATGTATATCGAACTGACAAAGAGATCTTCAAATTTCTGTCCTGGTTGCAACAATCCAGAGATGGTTGGGGAATGGACTGTAGCATCTAAATCCATTCTAAAATAGGCAAATCTGAAATGTTCGGGGTTATTAGAAATTATGTGATGTGGATATTGAATATTTCTTCCTACTAAAAAATTGTCTCTCATGGTAGAATCAATATTAGAATTCTTAAGTTTGCTTAAATTTAACGGTGTCCCAGACATATTTGTATTTCTCACAGGACTATGAGGTAGTTCACCATTCAGTAATGTAGTTTTAATATTACTGGGTCTTTGCATTAAATGCCATGGTGCTACTTTCTTTGGTCTCAGCCTACCATTTTTGGATAAATGTTCAGCTTCATTTACTTTTTTGTTTTCCAATTCAGGAACGTCAATATTAGTTACAATGGGATGAGAAAAGAAAATACCACTTTTCTTACTTTGTTTATTGATGCTTGTAATATTTCCTGATTTGTTTCTGTTGATAATATCATTATCATCAGTTTCTTCTTCGGTCTCATCATAATGAAGATGAAATCTTTCTGCGTCTTCTAAAGCTTGTCTTCTCAATCTTTCAGTTTCTTCTTTAGAGAATTCCTCCAACACAGAGACATCAGGCCAAATTTTTTGATTATCATTTGTAGTTTCATCTTCAAGGACAAGACAAACGTCATCTAATGATGAATGTGAAGAGGAACTACCTCTTGAAGAGGGCCTTGAATTATATTCATCTTCTTCTGAGGATGTGTAGGATGAAAAACTTGATGTGGAGTCGTATTCATCATCTTCTGCAGTTAATGATACTAAAGGATGAGTGATATTTGAATACTTATTGCCACTACTATTATTGTGAAGGTGATTATTATTATTATTACTGTTACTGTTACTGTTACTGTTACTGTTATTGTTACTGTTACTATTCGCAGTGATAGTATTTTGTTGTACATGTTGTAATAAAGCATCTACATCGATGACTACATCACCTTCAAGTTTTTTTGGATTATTAGTACCGTGGATATTTTTCTTTTTATTCTTACCACGATTATTTTTATTTTTTTTGGATGATTTCCCATGCGAATTATATTTATAGGATACCAAATGGTTTGGTATCTGTGATGATTCATCTTTTGAGAGGGTATGTGTGTGATCTATGAAAGCGTTATGCTGGTCTGTATCTCTTTGGATTTGTGCGTCATTTAAAAGGCTGGAATCCATCAACCTGTCACCACGTTCCAAATCATAATTATAACCAAAATCTGTATCCGATTCATGTAGCATCCCCCATGAATCCACATGGTCGAAATCAGACGCTAATAAATCAGTGTTGTTGTTGTTACCGCCGATATTAAAAGAAGAGACCCTTTTACTTGAATCAAATTGTTTGTTAGAATTTTTTGATCTGTTCTTGTATTTATATGTATTGGATGATAACAAAGGAACGGATTCATTCCGTTTTTCACCATAATTAGACATTTTCTTATTTTCTTTTTTTTTTAAAAAAAAAAATCCTCTATTTGCGTGTGTGTTTATGTGTGTATGTTCACTATTTTGGTTCTTATGGAAATATATTTATTTCTTCTTGTTCAAAATCAGATGGCAAAGTCATCTATCAATTTATATTCAGGTAAGTTGGTTTCAATCGTTCAATTTAGTTACAGTTATTTAGTCTCTTCATTTTGAAACTGCAGCTCCCATTGAAAGAGATTGTTCTTATGCATAGTTTAGTATATAATGATTATATATTTGTTGCTTCAATGTATATTCCCGCATTTTTTGTAAAATCGGTTTATATTTTTGTTCTTTGTTAATTTTTTTTTCTTTTTTTTTCATTTAATTATTAGAAAGAAAAAGAGAGGGCCATACAAAAAAAAAAAAAAAAAAAACAGAAAAATGCGGAATTATGATGGTTTTCTCGGAATAAGTTTCCGTTAGAATCCGCGTTGTTTGTAAGAGTGTCAAATATCCACGTTGCCTGTTAATGTGAGTGTATACGTGGCGGAAGGGAAAGTGATGGGATTCAGAAGATAGAAAAAAATAGCAATGGGTCAGTCACACTGTATGGTTACGGTTAACGGTTAATGGTTAATGGTGTACGTATGTATGTATGTATGTATGTGTTTAACATACAACAAATGATCACTTTATGCGGTCCTCCCCCTTTATCCTCGATCAATCTCAATCAAAAAATCTATCTATCTATCAATTCATTAGTCTACCTATTTGTGTATGTATGGGGTCGTCTCTTACACTGGTGTTTGTGTTTTTGTCGGTTGTATATGAATACCGGAAGGTAAGGGAAAGGTCTTGTTAGTCTCTTTTTTTTTTCATTTGTTCTTATAATCTCTTTTTTTGGTTTTTGTTTTTTTCCTCCTTTTTTTTATTGTACGTACAGCATATGTATTACATATATGTTACATATACATTTGTATATTTGTATCTTTGTATCTTTGTATCTTTGTATATTCATATACTGAACGAAATTATTTCAAAGAGGAAGCAAACGTTAAAACACAAGTATTATCGTACTTTAAAAATATTATAACGTTACATAATCAAATAAGTTTTATTCTATCAATCTATAAAGAGATATATAAAAAAAAAAAAGATATCCTAGAGATTTATAAAAATAATAATAATAATAATAATAATAAAAGCAATCAATTTAAGAGTCAAAAGATGAGTTTATATTTTACTTTATTATTTGCCTTTTTAATATTGAAAATGTGCATACTTTTCTTTATTGTCCTTCCATTGCCAAACAGAATCAGAAAATTGGTTTACAACATCTGGAATAAGCTAAGTAACAAACAAGAATACAGAACCGTATCATATATCCTATGGGTCATTGTCGGTTTGCTATTTATAGACTCATGGAAAAGAGCCAATGTTCCAATACATCTACATTTTCGCTCTAGCCGTGGGGATAATGATGTCAGCGGATCCGGTAGCACTTTGGATGACCCTGTTACTTCTATTCAGGGGTTTGCTACTAGGGCATACAACCAGAGAAATGTTTATATCTCGGGATTTATTTTGTATTTCATGGTTGTTATCCCATCTATTATGAGTTTGATTAAAAGATTGATTAAATATCAAGATTTGATCGATAAGAAGAATGCTGGGAAACCAGAAGAATTGGACAAATTACAGACAGGTGACAAAGATTTAGATGAGTTAAGAGATCAGTTGAGAAAGAGACAAATCTCTTTGGATGGATTGAGAATACAGATATCAAATTATGAAAAACATTTTGATGAATTGGTTAGAAGTAACAGTGGAAACGAAGAAGACCCGGAATTAAAGAAAACAAATTAAACTAATATTAAACAGTGATTACATAGGCATATGTGTATACATATGTTTATATCTATATCTATATATATATCCATATCTATATATATATATATATATAGTCACAAGTTTCTTTCCTTTTCATAAATATTTCTAATTTCACTATCTTTATTTGATTTATATTTCATAAATATCCCCCATGTTCCAAGAATGGTACCCATGCTAGTTGCCAAATAAAAATATGGTCTAGTTGAACCCTTTTGTTTAACTTTATTAAAAGTTTTCTCCATGACATTAAAATATTGTGAACTATAGAATCTTTTACAAAGAGCCATCATATGTATATATATACTATTACTACTAAATATTAACATTCCAACTATATATCTACTAACATGTATGTTATTACTACATTAGAGCACAAGTATATATATGCAGCTATATATGCATATATATATAGTTATCTAGTATGGACATAAGTGTCTATTAGACAATATTTACAAAGAGTGTATTAATTATAATATGTGTGTTAAGGGTAATAGTTAAACAAACAAACAAACAATGTTAGAATATATGCATAGTGTGTAGACACATATGAATACATAGACATGCCCTTTATTTTCTGATTCTTATTGTTCTGGCAATAGTGGTAATCAAGATATAATAAAAAGAGGGGAGAAATAAACTTAAAAAAAAAGGGTGGAGAATGGCCATGTGTTTTGAAAGAAAAGAAGACATTGTTGTTGTTGTTGTTATTGTTACTGTTATTGTCATATATTGTATGTATACTTATAGAAGATGAATGAAGTGTAATGATAGCAATAGCTTACAGTACATTCTGAAAGAGAAAACAGAAATTCTAGATTCTTTAGGCTTGTTTGTTGAATAATAAATAACACTCGGCATTGATCACAACGATAAACTAATAACAGTGTATATACATGTATACTTCATTACGTTACATCATATTATACTATACTATATTATATTATATTATATTATATTATATTATATTATTATTAGATTTACATGTAAGTTTTATTTGTCTATGTCATTCATTCATTCATTCATTCATAGATCCATTTAGCTTGATTAGATTCCCAATTGATTAATTCTTCTGGTTTAAACCAAAGAGCAATTTCACGATTAGCACTTTCCACAGAGTCACTACCATGACAAACGTTTCTACCTAAGTCAATGCCAAAATCACCTCTAATAGTACCAGGAGCAGAGTCTGCTGGATTTGTAGCACCTAACATTACTCTACCTTGCTTGACAACATTCTTACCTTCCCAACACATGGCAACAATAGGACCGGAGGACATGAACTGAGCCATCTTTGGATAAAATGGCTTGTTGACATGTTCAGCATAATGTTGGGCCAATAGCTCTTTCGTGGCTTGCACCAATTTGAGACCAACTAATTTATAACCTCTACGTTCGAATCTACCAATAATGTCAGAAACTAGACCCCTTTGGACACCATCTGGCTTGACTGCAATAAAAGTTCTTTCTTCAGACATTGATAATTGTTTGACAGATTGACTTAATTGTTCGCTCATTAACTTATGCATATATGTTATACGTACACTTGCACAGTGATCAATTGATATGATTATATTTCTTTTAATTAGTAGTCAAAAATGTACACAAAAGGCACGTAGTGACAAGAGATGTCAAGAGAAAAAAAGGGGAAGGTAAAAAAGCCAAGACAAGACGAGATAAGACAAATGAGATCAAATTCAGAATCTCTTCATTTAAATATTGTATTTTTTCTTTGTGTGTGTGTGTGTGTGTGTGTGTACTCGGTTTTCTGTTCTTAAGAAATAGTGTCCTTCTTTTTTAGGACATTCATCATTGTTACTATGATGACGGCTTCTGGTATTATTGTTGCTATTATTATTATTATTATTATTATTATTATTATTAAAACTTTTTAGCCTTAATGGGAAGGTAAGCGGGGTGGAAGTAACAAAAAGAATTGTATGGATTTTGGTTGGTAGTGGTTACCAGAAAAGAAAACTTCCAAGTTCGGCAAAAGTTGACAGGAGGAAAGTACATTGGAGGAAGGGAGGGGAAGGTGAGGAATGAGGAGAAAGGTGAAGATTCAAAGACGTGTCATACACCGTATTTTGATTGGTTTTTCGACGTTTTCTTTTTTTTTTTACGCGTTTGGAGGTTTAAAAATATGGATTTCCTTCGTTTACCTGAAAAAATTAGGAGTGTGAACTATCCGCGAACAAATTCATTACTATTAGATCTATATTTTATGACCATATGTATTGACTACACATAATTATATATACAGACAATATCCTCAATATAGTTATGTATGTTTGTAATATGTATGTATGTATGTATGTATTTATGTATCTCTTTAGAGGAGAAACAGTAACTATAACAGTTTTAAGACAATTTATTCATAAGTGGAAAATAAAAAGTTAATACAAAATAAAACAAAAATGGTTACGTTCTGTAAGAATAATCATTCTCTTTCTTTTCTTCTTCGTTTATTTATTAGTTTTCATCTATTTTTATTTTTCATTTATTTTGTTTGATTCTTTCTTTGTATATGTTCTCTATATGTGTAAAATTAGTAATTTTATTAAAATTGAGGTTGTTGTTGTGTTGATTGAAAATATTGTTGATACACTGGGTTATTTGGATTGTTGTTTCCATTGACCGATGAGTCTGGCTTGTTACTATTATTATTTATCATATTGTTGTTGGTTGGATTGTTTCCCGTGGTTGGTTGATTGTTTGTTTGGCCAACATTTGGACCTGGGAAACTGTCCATAGTGAAAGGATGTAGATTCTCATTACTACCCTGTTGTAATTGTTGTAATTGGGCTGCACTTTGAGGTGGTATTTGATTAGTAGGCATTGGGATTTGTCCTGGCTGTTGTTGTTGTTGCTGTTGTGCTTGTTGTTGTTGCTGAACTGTTATTTGCCCTTGTTGTTGTGCATGTTGCATAGCAACTTGATGTTGTTGAACTTGTTGCTGTGCCTGTTGTATTTGTTGTGCTTGTTGTTGTGCTGCTATTCTCTGTCTCCGAGCCTCTGGATCTTCCTCCTCCTCTTCCTCTTCTTCTTCATCAGGAGCATTTAAACATGCTTGGATCAAATTTCTACCCTCTTGTTGGGTGACAATAGGTTCAAATTTAGGCGTGCTAAAAGTATAAACTAGCCCAGTTTCAGAGACAACCAACAAAAGCACTTGAGTACCAGTCAAAACAGACAATTCAAAGGCTTTCTTCATGATACCATGTTTACGCTTAGAGAAAGTGACATGTCGTCTTGTTTTATTTTCAATAAATTTTATTTCGATTTTTCTCCTTTCTTTACCATTGCCATTTGTGCTTCCAGCATCACTGACGTCGTTGTTGTTGACTATTGGATTTTCTGAATTTAATGAGGTTGCACTTGGTGATAGTGACACGGCTGGTTTGATATCTTGGTCCGACATTCTTGTTTTTATTTATTTGTTTAGTTATCTATCTATCTATCTATCTATTGTGTTTTTATTCAGAATAAATTAATGGAGTTGTAAATTCACTAAAAAAAAAAAAAAGAAAGAAATCAATAAAAATTTGATCTTGGTATAACTTGTGGTACAATCAGTCTTCGAACAGGTTGTTTCGTCTTGACAAGACTGAAAAAATGAGGGGAATAAACAATAATTAATGGTGGTTTTAATAAGTAATCAAGAGAAAGACGACAATAAAGGTAAACAGAGCCAAATATGGCTTTTAAAATAATTGATAACGAGAAAAGGAAAAAAAACCAAAACAAGATACCAAATTGTTTAAAAAGGAAAATTGGGTAAAAAGGGGGAATGGTGATGTGTGATATTTACACAAAAAAAAAATCTTTTTTTTAATAACTGGAAGAAAAAAATTTTTCAAGGAATTTACGTGAAGAAAAGTTAAGTTTTCCTTTTTCAACAGAATTTTTCTAAAAAGGGCTCGTATTTATATAATTTTCTGAAACGGGAAATATTACTTTTTTTGGATTGCATTGTGGAGGAAAAGAAAAGAAGGGGGGAGAAAAGAAAAGCCAAAAGAAACACACTAATTAGGGTATGGCAGCCCTGTGTGATTAACAAAAAAAAACATTAATGGAGAAAAACATACGTTTATTTTTTCCTTTTTCTTTCACAATTTCTTGTTGTTGCTGTTCTTTATTTAGGGTTAACAAAATAATTATCTGTTTTTTTCTTCGAAATAAGCCTCACTTATACTGTCACTAAGGCACCGTAAATGAGGGTTTTGTATAAGTAAAGAGAAAAAAGTAGTTTATTATTTCATTTGATCATTCCTGTGACATCAATATGGATGTAACAAAAGGGATAAGTATATTTTAATATTCATAAGTATAGGTTTATGTGTGCCTTTTATTTTGATAGACATTATAGGAATAATAAATATCCTGGATATCTTTATTTGATAAAAACATTGATTTGTTTATAATGTATGCTTTTTCTTTTGCTTTTATTTTTGTTTTTAATTTTTTTTCTATTTTTTTTGAATTTTATGATATATCTGTATATATAGTGAACGTGTTTCTTCTTACTTCGCTTATATATTTTATATACTTGTCTCCTTTTAACCTATACATTTTTAAGAGTCGTTACCTTAATTATACATTTTGCGGTAAAAAAAAAAATACAAGATGGAATTAAGCTCTCATATGAGAAACAATGATACGCTAAATTAAGACTAAACAAGATTCTATTTTGGAAAAAAAATGCAGTATCTACCTATTTAAAAACATTGAAAAAAACCTTTGCTGCATTATGTGGGAGGTTAAAGTCCCTACTATAAACAGCTAGATATTCCTTGGTCAAAAAGTGTTCATTTTATCAGTAATTACTAATATTTCCATCGAAATTTTTTAAAAAAAAATAGGCAAGTTAAGCTTATAGTAAATGATTATAACTCTTGGTTATTACTTTCCATGTAGTATATTTAAGCTATATTATATACAGGGAGTAGCCGATATAAATAGGTATATAGAAAAAACAATAGGATAGTCTTTGGTTAAAAGGTTGGTAAGATCGTTATAGTAACATTGGGACAATTTATGTCACAAATCAGGGTTAATAAAATACTTTCGTTACCCAAATTCCGAACTTATCAAGAATTGTATATGTAAAAAAAAAACATATTACGTACAAAATGACAAAATATATATATCACAATGTAAAAACCAAGAAGAAAATGCCATCTCCTGGAATCGAACCAGGGTTTCATCGGCCACAACGATGTGTACTAACCACTATACTAAGATGGCCAAACTTGTCGAATATTGTTGTAGAATAGAATAGTGATTACCATGATTAGAGAATTGGGGTGCAGTTCTAATTCACTAGTGTATCTAAATTAATGTAATAAATTTTAGGGTTTAAATCAGTCAGATCATTAATTTACTAATCTGAATAATTGATCGAGCTTCAGAAAACACATAAAAGGACAACGTTTTTTGGAGATAAAAGATCATCTTCCATAACCGTTTTTTGTAAATAATCTATATATTGTATAAAAACATAAATAGAAAAACAAGCAATAATCCTTAATTCTCCTATATATAACGTTCTTATATATTTGTTATTGCCCTTACTATTCGTTCAATAGTCCTGTTAAAGAATTAGTCCTAAGTCCAAACTATAACAGATGTTGTTAGAGAATAAAAAAGTTATTACCATCAAGATTACATAAGATCCTGAATGAATCTAGAACTATTTATTGTTTTAATAAGCCATACACGTGCTACAACATTAGCTGCTGCATAATAAAAAAGATTAGTTCCATTAAGATTACATAAGATTTTGACAAATCTAGAATTTACCTATTGTTTTAATAAGTCACACGTGTATTACTAATAACCATAATAATTGTACCATTTATCAGTAGTGCACCCAATTACCATAACTAGTGAATTGGGGTACAGTTACTAATTCACTAGTGTACCTGAATTAGTGTAATAAAATTTAGGGTTTGGATCACTAAGCTCATTGCTGGAAAATAAGAGTTTATTACTGTCATTTCCATAAGAATTATTTTTAATTTGTTGAAATATGATTAGAGTTATGTTTGATAATCTAAATTCATCGTACTAAGTGATCAAAAGCTATGAAAATTTATATTAAAGAAGATTCGAAGATAAAATGAGTATACTGTATAATATCGTATCTTGTATATTACTTATGTAGAAAGAAAACAACTAAGCAATACAATAACAATTTATAGTACCATTAATTTTCTTCTATAAATAACAATAAAACTTATAATACCACCAATATCCTATTGTAAGTTATATTATCTTATTATATTAGTTTAAAATGAACTCTACTAGAATTTTTGATTCCGAAGCCTTGCGTCAACTTAATTAGTTTTTTTGTATATTATGTGGTGTACGGATGTACCTTAATATCAGGAAGACATTTTATTTTTCACCAAATATGCTTTTCAGAGATTTGAAGAAAAATGAAAAACTTTAAAAGAAAGGTCAAAATGAATGAAAGAATATATACTGTATACACTATATAATAAGTATATACATGTATTTAGTACACAATACAACAAACATCTATAACTTAATAATGTTTACCATTACCATATACGCTGAAGGCTCCAAATTCCAACAAATAGGAATTTATGATCTTTCCTAATATCATATGTAATTTCTTTTTTTGTAAATAATTTATATATTATATTAAAGAATAGTGAATAAATATATAAGTTCAATAGCTGTTAATATATAAGATTGCATAATAATTGCTTGACCCCTGTAACAATTCCTGTTTTTAATATCCGATTGATATCATTTGCGCTTCTTGACTAACCAATAAACTAAAGATTATTTGCATATTACAACGGTTATAAGAAAAACTATGATCAGCATTTTATCATTTAGTATCTTATAAAATCTCATTAGTTCCTCTATTTTGTTTTATAACACCATAAATCAGCAATTTTTGTGCTAATCACTATGTTTTTTTCATTTATCTATAATAGATGTTACATGTTAATGCTTTGTAAATGTAAGAGTTATTACAAGTAGCATACTAAAATATGGATATTAATTATATACATAAATACTTACAAACTATATAATTGATTAATGCTAATTAATAAATAGTTGATCTTAGTTATTCGTCTTATTCTTTCTCTAGGTGGAACATATTAGATAGAATATTAATGCTAATGCTGATAATTACTTCTGGCACCATCTCTCAATAATCAAAGGTCTCTTAAATAAGCTTCGTGGTGATCTGCCACGCATGTTAATCCTACGATTGTTTGTTCAAATACATTCACATCCTTGGACCTAGAGTTTTGACCTTTTCAAATCCGTCACTTCGATATTTGGCATCATCTGCAGACTAAGTATTCCAGGGTTTTCAATTATGGTTCCTTACAAAAAAACTTTTTTTATTTATATTCTAAAAATTAAAAAAAATAAACAATTAATAAAAAAAAATAACAAAATTTAAGATGCATAAAGTAAACAAATTATTATTTTTTTATCTTATTGCAATCAGTGTATAGATACACATTTATGACATTAGTAAACACAAAAAGCATGTCAATTAACTAACATAAGAGCTAATTATATAGTATTTAAAGAAAAAATTCTTGTTCTCTACATATAATGTATAAGAGGAAGCACGAATATATACAGTATAACATAATAGAAAATGATTATGAAGAAAGATAGCCAAAAACAAATATACGTAGAATCATATAAGTATCACTTAAATGTTTGCTTGAACGATTGTTACAGCCAAATATGTAACAGTCAGTAAGATAGTGGATTTAAATGAAATTTTCTAGAAAGTTATATCTATAACAAATCTTTTTTGGGGTGATCTTTGCCTATTGGGCGTGCTGGAATAATTCATATATTCAAATTTTTATTATTCTGATGCTATATTGTACAAATTCACTTAAAAGAACTATAGTAAATCAATAATATAATTTGTATAATAGTAGTAATAATAATACTAAGTATACTCAAACGAACTTTCATATTACTGAGAAGCTTAACAGCCTAAATAATTAGGATTATTTAGTAAATTTTCTATATAAATCTTTGAGTGTACAATTAAGCTATCGTAAATACTACATATAGTATCAACAATAAATTCAAAAAGCAAACTATAAAAAACAACTAGGATGTAGAAACAACATAACATAAATATTACCATAATATTTTGTTAACGATGATTTAAAATATCAAGTAACAACTATGAACTATGGAAAATGCAATATTTGATAATCAAGTGAATATTTATAACAAACATATAAAAACTCAGTGAATATTATGATGAGGTATACCATTTCTATATTAAGTCAATAAGAGATATTAATTAGAATATTAAAAATCGTATTTTAAGAGATGTATCCTGCACAATGAAAATGCAAAAAAATTTATTAAAATCACAATTTAATAACTAGGTTACCACATTTGGAAAAACATAAACGGTATTATGAAACAAAGTAGTAATGATATTATCGAAAGGATCCTTTGAAATTTAACCGGATAGATATCATTTTGATAATATACATAAAAAATTGTGCGTAATATAGCTTTTAAATGTAATTTTTTACCACATTTTAGATTTATAACTTTAATTTTCTTTTATAATTCTTGTACATCAGTTTGCTATATATCTTATTTATAACTATTTAAATAACATATAATAACACAACAGTAAATTTAAACTATACAACAACAATATTATCAACTGTGAATATGTATGTCCCTGACTTTGGATCATAGCTTTCAAAGTGATTCAATGGAATATTTTTCAATGTCTGAATATGTTTTTTGACCATTGGATGGTTTGAATCCCTGATAGGTTCTCTAGTACCTTTAGTATATGGATAGCAGTTAAATAATGTCACACGTGCTGAAACATTGATACCTGTATTAGGTTCTGGTTTAACAGATGAATTTTCATATGCTGAGAAGGAACGGTTTTGAAAATTAATGATAGAACCACAAAGAGAAGTTAAAGGAATGTTAGATAAATCCACACATTTTAAAAATTGAATTTTTCCATAATCTTTATGACCTATCACTAAATTAGATATTTTACGCAAAGCCACTAAATCTGTATTTTTTAACGTTTCTAAAGATGGTGAAATATAATATCCATCATCAGTAAAAGATACATCATCATTTAACACTACTGGTAGTTTTCTGTGTTTTGTGTCATCTATAGATTCAATAGATGATGCTGGTGTAATTGGAGTTTTGGGCAATGGAATAGATATGATGGATTCTGATTTGTCCTTATCAGAAGAAGCTTCACTTTGAGCACGACTATAAAGATTATTACCGGATTCTGACTTTGAGTCATTCACAGCAAAGGATATTCTTTTGATGGAATCTTCATCACCAGTAGAAGGTAAATTACTAGCTGTATTTCTCTTAATAATCAAATTTTTAAAATGTGCTTTATCTGGATTAAATAATAATTTATTACTATTTCCCGAAGTTATAGTAGATCCTGAAATCGATAAGGATACTGCATCATTGGTGAAATTAGAAAAGCTGTTATTATTAGTTGCAGTATCTGAAATGGACAAACTTGCATTAGCCAATAATTTCTTAGATGCAAATAATGACTTGACAGCTTGTCTACGCAGAGGGTATATTCTATTTTTTCTACTGATATCAATATTTAACACTCTATCTGACCCAGATTCTTGCTGTGTAATAGAAGGTGGAATATTGATTTTGGTAAAAAGACTCTCATCAATAGTTGATGCAGATGAAGTTACAGAATTCCCACCAATGTTTGTAATTTGATTTTGTTGTAATAAAGAAGGTTGTTGAGTGAGGGCACCCCCTGTATTCAATGGATTAGTTGTCTTCATCTGACTACCAAAAAGACCTGTTGATGGTTGTTGGGTGGTGCCTAACTTTGTGCTATTTGTTGAGAGAAGACCTCCTGTTTGACCAATTGGCTTACTTCCAAATAATCCTGTGGAGGGCGCGTTATTTCCAAAACCTAAAGAGGTTGTATTGATGTTAGCATTAACATTATTACTGCTGGATGAAAATAAACCTGTTCCATTTGTTGAAGCAGCAACATTGTTGTTGTTGATATTCGAACTGAACAAACCAGTGCTACCAGTATTTGCAGAAGCATTATTTGTAGCTGCAGACGTATTTCCAAATAAAGATGTACTACCTTGGGGTTTATTGCCAAATAATCTAGAATTGGAAGAATTTTGGAACAAATTATTATTAGTATTACTTGAACCAAATAACCCCCCAGTGGTTGATGTAGAAGGTTTATTACCAAACAAACCACCAGATGAAGCAGTATTACTTAATCCTGTTGCACTTGAGTTGCCAAATAAGCCACCAGATTTTTGTTGTTGAGAATTATTTTGACCAAATAGACCTCCTGAAGAAAAATTTTGAGTAGTATTTTGACTAAATAAACCACCTCCAATTGTATTATTTGGTTTTGCGCCAAACAACCCTGAACTCTGCATATTATTATTATTATTATTATTATTATTATCCATGCTATTATTTTGGCCAAAGAGGCCCGTGCCTGTTTGATTTTTAGTAGCCTGATTAAATAATCCATTGCTCTGCTGTTGATTTGATTGTCCAAACAATCCATTATTTTGTTGCATGTTATTATTATTTTGTCCAAAAAGACTGTTATTTTGATTTTGTTGGTTTTGTTGTCCAAACAGACCACCACCTTGTTGTGTATTATTATTTTGTCCAAACAAACCACCGCCCATAGGTTTATTCTGTTGGCCAAACATTCCAGAGCCACTGTTAGTATTACTATTAACGTTTGCATTATTACCAAACATACTATTTTGTTGTGTATTTTGACCAAAAATATTATTAGAAGTACTATTATTTTGACCAAATAGGCTTCCAGTTACCATTTTGTTTTGTTGACCAAATAAAGATGTGCCTGTATTACTACTACTACTATTATTATTATTATTGCTTCCGAACACATTATTAGCTGTGTTAAAGTTATTGTTATTTTGGCCAAATAACCCTCCAGTATTACCATTATTATTATTATTTTGTCCAAACATGTTGTTGTTACTGTTATTACTATTCTGCCCAAACATACCATTATTATTAGTTTGTCCGAATAACCCTCCTGAACTACCCATATTTGGTTTATTACCAAACAACCCTCCTGAAGACATCATGTTATTGTTGTTATTTCCAAATAGGCCGCTACTATTTTGTTGAGAATTAGATCCAAATAAACCATTATTATTACTATTATTATTGCTGTTGTTGTTGGTACTGTTTCCAAACATATTAGATGTATTATTTTGTGACTGACCAAATGAGTTAACATTCTGTTGATTACCAAACAAACCCATCCCACTGGAAGTATTATTGTTAGTATTGTTGTTATTATTGCCAAAGAGAGACCCATTAGACATTCCAGATTTACTGAAAGAACCAAAAGAATTAGTTGTGTTATTAACCTGGTTCATTCCACCTCCGAATAATCCGCCAGTTGATGAGTTATTGTTATTGTTATTATTCAGTGTACCAAATGGAGAATTATTTTGAGTTTGGTTCGACCCAAATAATCCACCTTGAGGTCTATTCATATTATTGCCAAACATTGAGCCACCACCGTTGTTATTATTAGTTTGCGTAAATCCACCAAATCCAGATTGTGCAGTGTTATTATTAATACCATTATTATTATTAGGATTACCAAAAAGCGAATTATTTTGAACACCAAATGTGCTATTTGTACTGGATGCTGCACCAAAAGGCTGGGATCTGCTAAACATTGAATTTGAATTGTTTGAAAACATTACGAGCACAATCTACTATAGTGTATGATATAATTTTGGAGAATAAGTAGAGATGAAAATAGGTGAAAAAAAAAAATGTGAACGTTTTATTCTAAAGAAAAAATAGTAGATTGCAATGGTACACCGTCAGATTACTTAGTCCTTGACAATAAACAAGCAAGTGTTATTAAAAAAATATGTCTACTTTGTGATATATGGAGTTTCTTTCTTTTTATTTTTTTTTTTTCTCTTTTTTGTCGATGTGTATTTTTCACTCAGATCATCTGAAGAGTTTCAATGATTAAAATGGGTTTTCTTTAATTTTTTTTTGTTTATCCATTTTTTTTTTTCCATCAATAATATTTTATAAACAAGAAAAAAAGAAAAGTTTTTAAGTTCACCAAAAAGAAACGTGTAGAATGATATATGGACTAAAGAAGAAAAACGTTTAAATATGAAGACTCTCCAAGCAAGTGTAAAAGAAATACACTATTTCCAACAACAATTCATCGAGCATAATGTATTTTATATATGCATACTCGGATCCATTTAGTTGGAGAATAATATAAACCTTATTTAAATCCATAATATTCTCCTATAGATGAAAAAAAGATGCTATATATTATGTTAGATTATATTATACATAAATATAAAAACAAAGACTTATAAAAAGTAAATAAAAATGCAAATATTGTGTTGAATGTTTGTTTCTCATATAGTCATTAAGACAAAAAAGAAAAAACGAATGAAAAAACAGGAACTAGAGATATGCGTATGTGATTAGGAATATTATTATCAGTATTATCTTGTTTTTCTTATTAATTAATTATTCATTTTTTTTTTAAAAAAAAACAAACAAAAAGCAAAAAGAAAGGAAAAAAAGTCAAGGATAAAAAAGATTCTAAAGGATTCAAAGCTTTTTCATCTTTTGAGTGATTTCACTTAATAGGTTCCAGCCTTGTAAAGGAACAGGTTCTAGGGAACCAGAGTTTAAATCCACCACCATATCTTCTTCGTCATCATCGTTGTATTCTTCCTCATCAGAAGATGTGAAATGGTTATAATTGACATTAGCGTCCATTGTGTCTTGTCTTATATTATTGTACTGTTTTGATTTAGTTGGGAATAAGTAGGCTGGATTTGTGCTTGTATTGGCAGAAGTCCAAACTATAGAGTGCATAGATTGATAATTCATAGACATTTTATATCACTTTATTATTTATATGTATTCAGAATAACACGGGTATTATCTCAATAGGATCGATAGAATACTTGAATATGTAGTTGCTTCTATTTGCTTGACTACCAGAAAACAACAAAAAGATGAAAAAGAGGAAGGATACAGGTGTCAAAAGACTAACAACCCAAGTGGAATGGATGTTAATAGTAGCATTACACATGGTTAGTATATCTATTTATATATATATTTTGCAAGTTTTAGTATCTTTAACAAGATTAAATAACTTGTGTTTATCTAGCTAACATATGTAAATGTGTCCTGTTTATGTCCACATGCACACTTTTGACAGAATACTGGGCCTTATTATTATTATTATGATTATTGTTATTGTTATTATTATAGTTTGCTAAGTGTGGTATTCTTTTATTTCTTTTTTTCCCGACCATTTGAAACAAAAGACAAAATGAAATGAAATGAAAAAGGTGCCACAAATTGCCACAAATAACAGCAGTAACAAAGAGTGCAAGGGACAAAACTGTGGAAAATAGAAGCAATGCCCGAATTTCTCTTTTCCTCTCTCTTTCTCTGCGACAGAAACGAAGAATTGAAGCGGGGGGGGGGGGGGAAGGAGGATGAGACGAAGTTGTGCAACGACTAACAAGAAACAAAAAACAAGAAACAAGAACAAGGACCACAATACATACAACAAAAGCACAGTGGGCACGTCCAAAAGAAAAACGGCCGAAATTATTCACACACTGTGTCGTGCTCTTTTTTGTTTTTGTTTTTGTTTTTGTTTGATTCTTTGCCTTGTCTTGTGTTTGTTTTCACAAAACTGTGAAGTTCTATTGTGTGAGGTATATGAATGTGTGGAAGTGTGTCATGGGTGCATGGGTGTGTTGAATAAAACAACAAGTTGTCAGAAGGTATCCGCTTAAAAAACAAAAAAAGTCTTCACTCCATCGGTCACCTCAATTCTTTTTTTTTCTTTTTTTCCTTTTTTTCTTTTTCTTTCTTTTTTCCCTTTTTGTTTATACTATTAGTGATAATAACCTAACCCAACATCGATAATTCTGTATGGCTAACATATGCTATTTAAACCAAATTTATCTATATTATACATTATTAAATACACACACACACAAACAACTATATATATAAACGTATATACTTGATTCACCTATGTAGTCCATAAACGTGCTGTGTTGTCTGCACCTGCGGTAAATAACCATGCTTCTCTTGGATGCCAAATAGCATCAAGTACACCAAGACTGTTAACCACTTTATGTCCGGTCAATTTCTTCAAAGGAACAATCAATGGGTTCTTCATCATATCATCGTATACTGTCGCATGGAAAATATGTATAGTACCATCATCTGCTGATGAACTAAATAGTGGCAATCTCTTATGGAATGAAATATCTCTTACTGCCTTTTCATGATATCTTAACGTCTTGTATGGTGTACTAGATAAATCCAAATCATGCCATAATACTCTTTTGTCAAATGAAGATGCAATCAAATTGTCTCCTCTTGGATGGATATCAATCTTAGATAGCCAACGGGCACCTGGTAACAATTTCTTGACTAGTATCTGTTGTGATAAATCATAGATTCTGATATATCTCTGGGAACATACAAACAATTGTGGCTTGAATGGATGGAATTTAGCATCCATAATAATACCTTTCGACTTTCTAAATGGCGATTGAGTTAGATGCTTCGATAATTGATGGATCAAAACTGATGTATTTCCAGATTCAGGTTGCACTGTCACAAAATAATCACCCTTTCTATGCCATGACAACCTTTTCACTGTCTTTTTACAAGTGATCGTAATACATATATCCTTCTCTGTCTGTCTCTGACCTGGTTTATTCCATTGTACAACGGTCTTCTTTACAGATGTCGTCTCTTTGGCATCTTCCTCCTCATCACTCTCATCACCAACTAAATTGGATTTCTTTTTCATACCAAACTTATCAAATCCAAACCCATTTTCAATCTTTGTCCTACCATTATTTTCAATATCAAAGCCAAAGATAGGTGGCACAATCAAATGGATTTGCTCACCAACTGCCACCGCAAGGATACCTGTACTTGGATCTGGATTCCACTCAATACATTCAATGTGATCCTCCGAATTCTCCTCTTCTTCTTCTATAAAATTCACCTTATACACCTCTCTACCGGTCAGAATTTCCCAGACTCTAACTGTACCATCATCTGACCCGGTAGCCAACCATAGACCAGATGGATCAATAGATAAAGTACGTATCTTACCCTTATGACCATTGTATATAGTAGAACAACGGATTGGAAATGGTCTTAAATCCTTTGGCGAAGGTAATTCTGGGATTAGTGATTCCGGATCGATATTCAATTTGTTTTTACGCACACGTGGTGCCAAATATAAATCAAGTGATCTTTCAAATCTTTCTCTAATCGATTCAGTATAACCTGGGACTTTTCTTAAAGAATCATATTTTTGTGGTACAAAATTTCTTTCTCTTTCACCGATCTCAGTGTTTTCCCACTCTTTCTTTTCTTCTTCTGTCAATAAATATTCTGCTGGTGGGTTATAACTCTCCTCATTTGTTGGTGGAGGTAATTTTGGTGCCCTTAGATTCATTACATGATCGTTTGTCTCCACAGAGTCCCCCCATAGATCGAAATTACGATTTGCTGCTTCCTCTTCCTCTTTCATCTCTTTCAATTTCTTTGGTGGGATGATACGTCCTTCCCTAATAGCTCTAACAATCTTCATTATTCTCTTTGCCTCATGTTTTGATGGAACAAATCTTCTCTTTGGTTCAGGAATGGCTGTCAATGGCATAACTTCTTCGTGTCTGGTAAACCAATCAATTAATGGCTCATAAGGATCAATAGAATCGTCTGTTTGTTCATTTTTTTGAATTTTAGCGATCAACTCCAATTCCTCCTCAGATATATTCAAACTTGCACCAGAGTTCTTGTCAAGTAAACCAGTCCAACCCTCAGGTAAATCAATAGTCTCCAGAAGTTGATCCAAAGCTGACCCCCTAGCAGGTCTCATGATTCTCTTACCATTAATGTCGTAACCAATATGAGGCATCTCATCATAAGCAGATAATGGAATGTTACCAATTGTGTTATAGGTCTCCACGTCACTATCATCACTGTCGTAAACAGGATTGATCTCTGGCTTTATGATTCTTGGTTGACCATCTGAATACTTGGTATAAATATTTGGATCAGCAATAGTTTTTAATTTCATTCCAGAAAGCTTATCTGTAAGAGACTTATCATCATCTGCATCAGAAAAATCAGATGTATTGTATTCTTTATCGTCTGATCCTTCTTGGGCTGCTAGTAACTTGTTTAGTTCTGCATCAGAATCTTCATCTTCATCCTCTTCTTCATTGTCATTCTTGTTTTTATTAGAATCTTCCTTTTTTGTTTTCTTTTGTTTTTCACCCTCTTCATCATCATCAGAAAGGATACGCTCTTCAACTGCAGAAGTATATTCTTCGTCGTCATTACCATCAGCATCACTATCACTATCACTATCTTGAGCATCCAATAAACCATCAACCATCAAATCTTCAGCAGCATCTGATGTATTATCTTCACGTTCCTCATTGCTCCTTTTTTTAGATGAGGTATCTTTTATAGTTGTCTGATCTGCTTTCATTTTGACTGTATTTTACCTGAGGACATATACTAATTGAAAAGAACTAAAACTTGGTAGGCAAGTCACTCTAAACAACCCCTCAAAAGCCAAGATTGTATTTATAAAAGAATTGACAGTCTTCTCTTTACTCAACTCATCGAATAATTTATTTTTCATTTCAAAAATTTTTCTTAGTCCTTACAAAAAAAAAGAGTTAAAAGTAAAAAATAAAAAAAAATTTTTTTCAAGAAAACCCAAACACCTTTCTAGCTATTATAAATCTTATGCTATAGAATAGATGATGCACCATTTAAACTTAAATGCAAGTAATGTAAGAAATATCCTTCAATACGAGATCAGATATAAATATTGACATATAGCCAGATAAATACTAACTTGTATAGAGATAATATTGCATATGTGATTGCTTCAATTTAGATAAAATAGTAGTTGTTTCGTCTTTTCTCTTTCAACTTTGAAAATTACAAGTTTCTACTATTAATTTAGCCAATTCTTCTAAATATTTTTTATCTATTTCTCCAAACCCGTTATAGTCTAAGCAATCTAAATCAATAACACCTAAAGTTTTGCCTTCAGAAGAGATAATTGGGACCACTATTTCAGATAAAGTTTCGCCATCGCATGCAATGTGTTCAGGAAATTTATTCACATCCATAACCACTTGGGTCTCCTGTGTAGATGCTGCAGTACCACATACACCTTTACCAAAGGCTATGGCTTGACAAGCAACTTTACCTTGGAATGGACCTAATAGCAGCTCATCCTCCTTATCCTTTCTAGTAATATAAAACCCACTCCAATTTATATTAACATTCAGGGATGTGTATGCATACCAAAGCAATGAGGAAGCATTGGACAAATTACAGACCCAATTATCCTGTCCCTCACTGAGACTCTTATATGACTGTATCAACATTTTTAAAACTTCTTCTCTATCATTTCCACCTTCAAACTGTGTGTAATCAGCATGATGTTTTCCGTCAATTTGAACCATTTTCTTAGTAATTCTTTCTTTCTTGAGTAAGATTTATCCTTCTAATAGGGAAGATTTTTTAGTTAAAATGTTTTACACATTTAGTTTACTGAAAATTGAGATATTTCTATGAAGTTGAATTAACTAAAGAATTTCTCCTTCAATAGTATCTAATCTATGCAACTGCTTTCTTCCAATTGCGTGCTATTTTTTCTCTTTCTTCTACTTTTACACCGATCTGTTCGACTAGAATCATCATAATGTTATTATTCCTTATTATCCTGAAGAAAAAGAAAAGAAGATTAAAAAAACACAAAAATTTATGCGGAATTTTTTGTATTCCACCCTACTTAAACAATAGTCTCTAGTACAGAAATAAGGGAGAGATTGATTATTGAAAAACAGAAAAAAGCTTAAATGAAGAGAATTGGCAGGTTTTTCTTTACATTTCTACTAATTAACTTCGGAATTCATATAAAAACTAAATGGGAATAACTGAACAACACACATTTCTGATGTAATCAGTCATATATATTTTTACCATGTTTATAAGAGATACAGGTATACATTACGAGAAATATACTCCTCTAAAAACTAAATGAATAAAATAACCAATTCTTAGTTGTCGTTCTTTGTATACAGACAGATCAAGCATACTCTATATACAGAATAACATAGATAAGCCAATTTACAGATTATTAACAAGGATATCTAAATAGTAAATCCCCCCAAAATTGGCTATTAACACTCTGTATTATATTTGACAGAAAAGATCTCCCTAAGTAGATGTTCTTGATCATGTAATAATTCTAATTTTTGATTATAGATGCAGAAATTTAAATACTTTAAAATAAAAGAGATAAGTCTAGTTATAGGATTCAAAAGACATATGTACATATATTCCATTTCTTTTGCCCTCTATCCATATCATTGTCCAAATCGTCTTATAGTAACCTCTTGATATACAAGTCTATATCACGTGTTTATAATACTGCAAATAAGCTTTTTTTGAATAACAACATATTACAGAAAATTCTACAAAACAAATTGGACAATGAATGCTATTAATATTCCCTTAAACTCTTCTTTTTGAAAAATTTTACAAAAAAAACTCTGATATCAGAAATATAATGAAATTATGGAGAACTAATACAAACATGTGGAGTAGGAGGTAACAAAGAGATAAGAAGAAGAAGCCAACCAAGAATAACAAAGATTAACTGTGTCAGTTAAATATATTATACATAGCACTTGGTTCATATTAGTTACGTTAACTCAACTCTTTTTCTAACGATATATTTAAATATATACAAAGAGTCTGTATGCTACATTTATTCGAGTTAATTAACAGTTGTCACAATTTCATAACCAAAAAAAAGTTATCACAAAAAATCATATTTGAATACCATTTCGTATTACATGATATTTTATCGGAAATCTTGAAAAAAATGAAACGGACAGGAATTGAACCTGCAACCCTTCGATTGCAATCTTTCCACTCAAACCAGGAATTAACTGGAGTCGAAAGCTCTACCATTGAGCCACCGCTTCATCTTCGAAAGCTGTTGTGGAATAGAATAGTTATAACCATCAAGATTACATAAGATCCTGAATGAATCTAGAACCAATTAGTGTATTAATAAGCCATACATGTGCTACAACATTAGATGCTGCATAATAAAAAGATTGGATTACATAAGATCTTGGCAAATCTAGAATTTACCTATTGTTTTATTAAGTCCCACGTGTATTACTAATCACCATGATTAGAGAATTGGGATGCAGTCCTAATCCAGTAGTGCACCTAAATTAATATAATAAATTTTAGGGTTTGAATCAGTCAAGTCATTAATGTAGTAATCTGAATAATCGATCGAGCTCCAGAAAACATATAAAAGGACAACGTTTTCAGGAGATAAAAGATCATCTTCCATGATCGTTTCTTGTAAATAATTTATATATTATGTATAAACAAAATAGAACAAGCAAGTAACAAGTCAAGTAACTTCGAATAAGTACATTAGCTCGATATAAGCCGCTTAATATATAAGACCGTTTTAGTAATTATACTATCGACTATAGTTGATTACTGTCTCGATTATTTGAATTACTATTAATATTATTTGCGCTTCCCTGGAATACACAAAGAACTTCACCATACCATACTACAACAAAAGCTGTTGTGGAATAGAATAGTTATAACCATCAAGATTACATAAGATCCTGAATGAATCTAAAACTATTTATTGTATTAATAAGCCATACACGTGTTACAACATTAGATGCTGCATAATAAAGAGATTAGATTACATAAGATTTTGGCAACTCTAGAATTTACCTATTGTTTTTGTTAGAATTTGGAGCCTTCTGCATCCATGGTAATGGTAGACATCATTAAGTTATAGATGTCTGTTGTGTTTTGTACTAAATACATGTATATACTTATTATATAGTGTATACAGTATACATTCTTGTATTTACTTCAAGTTTTTTTTTAAAAATTTTCATTTCTTTTCAAATCTTCGAAAAACATACTTGGTGAAAAATAAAATGTCTTCCTGATATTATGATACATCCGTACATCACATAATATACAGAAAAATTAATTAAAAATAATTCTTGTGGAAATGACAGTAATAAATTCTCATTTTCCAACAAAAACTGTTAAAGTTATGAAAAAAGATTCATTGATACTATTATTTAAACAGCATAAATTTTTACTTTGTTAATTACTATTTCTTGAACTGATTAATAGTGTTGACTTCCTGGAGATAATATTCCGTAAATTCTTGATTTTCTAGACACTCATCATCTGGAGCAACATGAATTAACAAGATTTATGACGTTCTGTTCGGACCACAGAGTACATCTTAGGTGCTAATCACTAACACTAATCTTGATGTCATTTACAGTAATTTCTGACCTCGAACAAGATCACTTCTTAGAAAAAGGTACTTACGACAATAATCTCTTACTATATTTCATAATTTTTTTAAAATGTTTCACAAAAGTACATAAGAAAGTATTATACAACAAACAATAGTTTACAAAACACTAAAATAAACCTTCAATAAAAACACAACAATGCCCCCACTATATATTGTAACAGTGCTGACTAAAATTTTTTAAGTGTAATGAAAATGTTCACATAAAAACTATAAAAAAGAATGATCGGATTGATAATCAATTATACCTGAAATAATTATGATGTATAAATATATATGTATATTTATTTGTCTACTTAATTATTACATTTTATAATATAATATAAATAAAAAAATCATAATTCATCATGAATAATATCTTCAGAAGTTGGAGTCTCAATGGTAAATGATATCCTGCTAGAAAATTCTGAAGAAACCACATTAGAATATGAAATATTAGACGACTGGAACTGTGCAATAGTAGCATTAATATTTAACGAATTCTCCTGTTCCAACTTCTTTTTCTCTTTTTCTAATTTTCTTGTATAGGCACGTACTTGCCTATGATACAGAGTTTTTAATTTATTTAGACGGTATTCATCAACAGATATCAAAATATTCGATTTCTCTGCAGAAGTCAACAGTCTATCAAAGTCTACCTTTAAATCGTACAATTCTAAAAGAGATAACTTATCAAAAACCTTTTTATTTGATAGCAACTTTTGAATTATCTGTTGTGTTTCATTTAAAGTGATAACAGTTTCATTAAAATCGGTAAAAGACTTCATTAAATGTTTAGGTAATTCAATCTTACTATATTCTTCTGTAACGTTGAAAGGTATTTTTTCAGAAATTGTTTCAATGAATAAGTCGAATTTCTCTTTAGAAATCTTTTTTTGAACTTCAAATGATTCAAATATATCTTCGGATATTTCTAATAATCTTTCAAATTGGTCTCTTCCCAGTGGTTCTTCAAGGGCCTTTAAATACTTTTCAATTTGTTTTTTCAATGTTTCAACCTTTTTCTTCTTCTTATTAATTACAGTTTTGGTAGCATCATCTGAATCATCTTCTAACCATTCAAGGTATTCTGAAACAAGATTATTTAATTCTGTTAATTGATCCTTTGGTGCATTAGAGATTACTTCATCTTCTGTTAAGAAATTTCTAATTTCATATAAACTACTTTCAAAAGTATTTCTTGCTTCTTGCAATTGGAACCTCTTTTTATCTTTATCATCAAAAGCTTTGATACGTTTAATATGTTTAATTCTATCCTTGTACGAAAAAGGTTCTATAATAGACCCTGTTTCCTCAAAAGTAACATCAATTGGTGACTTAAACTTACGTTTAATAATCCCACTTGCCGTAGTAATGGGAGATTCATCACCACCGCTTGTGCTTCGCTTTTCTGGATTTCTTTCAGTGTCTTTTTTCAAACAAGTAGCTCTAACATTTTTGACAGATAATGTTCTTATTTCATTTAAAAAAAACGTAATATTATATTCTATACCATATGGGCAAATCTTAGAATCAAACATTTTGTCATTATCAATAGAAATATCACTTAAAGTTGAACCATTTTCTTTGGACGTTATATTAATTCTTCTTACATCACCATTTTCAGTAACCACGAATGATTTCTCTATTGGGTAAATAGTACCTTTAGGGAATAAAATATGATCAAATTTACCTGTAGAGTTTTTGAACTCAACAGAATAATCATAGATTGAACGTTCGATAACATTCAATGGTTTTGTTTTAAATGCCTGGAACAATTGAACACCTCTTAGAGAAACACCAGAAACAGCTGATTCATCTGCATTAACATTTTTCAAAATTTTATCTATATCAAACATTTCGTTTAAACATTTTTGAACAAATGGAAGACGAGTTGATCCACCTGCTAGAATTATACCATTCAACTCAGACAATGTGACCAAATCAGTACTATTATTGACTTGAGATTCTAAGGCATCTGTTATTGGATTTATTAAGTACTTTTTAAATGATTGCAAGTTGGATTCGAACTCTTCTCTAGTAATTTCAACATTAAAATCGATATCATCAATTATGGATTCAATAGTACCTGATGCATCAGTATTAGCACTTAATACTAGTTTAATCTTTTCTGCCAATTGATTAATCTTAGCTAAAGATTTGGGATTTGTTTCCAGTTGATCAGCAGTAATAGAACTATTGTATTTTGCTAAAAATTTTTCCTTTATCATATTTGATAATAGGAGAGTAAAATCAGAGCCACCAATAATAGAAAACCCATAACCTTTTGTTTCAATTGTTATTGGATCATTATAATCACTTGGATTAGACAGTTTAATCAAAGTGGTCTTAACAGAACCACTACCAATATCATAAATCATAAAATTATAATCTTTACCTGGTTCTAAATTTCTTTGTTGTTTATACGCAAAATTTAAAGCAACAGACAAACCATCACTGACTAAATATGCACCATATGCACGATCAATAAAAGAACTAGCATCGATGAGGGCCATACGTTGTCTTTGATCAAAAAAATCTGGTACTGTCATAACAAATTTATCCACATAATCTTTACCCGTACGATCATTTTCTTTCAATAGAGAATTGGATCTGTGTGTAATTTCTTGTAAATTCATAGCCACTAATTCTTCGATAGCATATGATACACCATCTATAGCAATTGCTAAACTGTTTCTATCTGTAGTAGTGACATTAACACCAGGATGTTTTAATATATAATTATCAATAATTTCAGTATTGTTAATAGTCTTACCTAACAAGGGTTTCAAATTTAAAGCTATATTATGTGGAAATCTTGTTTCCAAAGAACCAATGGAATTACCATAGGTACGCTCAATATCCTCTACTTTCTTGGATGTCCCATCCTTAGATGGCAATTTTTTAATAGCTAAACCGGATAAATCTTTTCTTTTGGCTTCTGGTGTCAAAACCAATTCTAATGGAGCATATGGTGATACCAGCATTGCCTTAATAAATTGTTGCCCATAATCTATCCCCAAGACTGCTGAGAGAACAGGGCAAAAAACTGTGAAAGACCATAATACCACCCACAATATTTTATTCCGTTGCATGATATCGTGTGTATCTGTTCGCCACCTCACACTTTGTATGTATATATCTATTAACTGATTACTTGTTATTATATATTGAGTTACACATATATATACATGCGAAATAGTTACACTACACGTGTCCTCAAAAATTGTAATTATTTTATATATATCAAATTTTCCAGTTTCTCTGTGCAAATAAAGTCGTTTCTAGAAATGTGAACAAAAGAAAATTTTAGAGATGAGATATGGAAAATTAGCAAAGACCACAACTTCAATACGATGGTTTCCTGTCAATAGTTATACATACATGTACTAATTATATCAAGAAGATTAAAATAGTATATATATATATATCTTTATCTGTATGTTTATACGTATGTGTATGTATATATGTATACGTTTTTATGTATCTAGGGATAGCAATAACAAGTGTGAAATATAGGAAGTAATTTATTAGCAAATAATGAGTGAAAACGAAAAGACTTTAGAAGAATTAAGGTTAAAAATTCTTTCATCTATTGGAAAATCCAGTGATACTAAAAGTACTACTACTGTTGTTACCCCCACTACCGTTGCCACAGATAACAATCAAATCAAGAGCAATAAGCGTAACTTACCACCATCTCAACTTTCTAGTGACACATATAAATCTTCTACAAAGAAATACAAACCTGAATTAAGAAACAGTAATGTGACAAAACCATACATTCCAGACTACCTCCCAACAGTGACGCACAATTATACTTCTAAGGAATTAAATAGAATTGAAGGATCAAACCAACTACAAAAAAGGTATCAAAAGAATTTTAAAGCCAAAGACAGATATTCCTCGAATAATGTACCATTGAATGAACAAAGAAATAGGGTAAGACCAAATCTAAATCAAAGGTACATGGTAGAAAGAAATAACAGTAACAAGAACAACACCTATTATAATAATAATAATAACAATAACATTACTAATTCACCTAATAATATTGGTAATAATAACAGCTACTTTACCCGTCCAAATAAGAGAGATCCAAATTATGTTCTGCCAGCATTCAGAGATAAATTTAGATATAACAACGCCACATGTTCGAAATTAAATTGCAAGATTGTAATTAATGATCCATTAGAAGGAAAATTAGATCTGTTAAGAGAGTTAATTGAAATGTTTTTAGTAAAACAAAAGGAAAATTTAAAAGAGTTATACTCTGTGATTCAAAGATACGATAGAAATAATCCTATTGAAGAAGATATAACATCATTCGATATAACTTTAACGGGATCAAACTGTATTTTAACATTTGACTCGTTTCAAAGTTCAACTCTTGTATTAAGTTGTCGTTCATTTTTCAACAGACAATTGGGGTTACCATCTTTGATGTGGTCAAGGTTAAACTCATATATTGAATTTGGTGATCATATTATAAAACTATGTAGTGGGAACATTATTACTATCGAGAATGTCTCATCACCAGAGAGTTGTACGAAAAAATATTTATCTGAAAAGACAGGCAATAGTAACTTTGAAGTATACCCAATATATTCTTCTGTGAAGATAGAGGGTGATAGGATAGAAAAGTTTACAAATTGTGTTATAATAGTTATTAACACTGATATCAATAACAATGGATCAAATTTAGATGATAGAATGTCACAAAAGTTTGCTGACGTTTTAGATGCATGTGATATGAAATGGTTCAAACCAAATAAGAGTGAGTTTGGATTAAGACAAAGGACATCCAAATGGTTATATTCAGATATTGTACAGTTGGTACAAAGTAGACCCAAGGTAGTCACCACGCAGCAAGAGAATAGGGTTTTATTATTATTGAATTGTGTTGATCCCATGGATCTAAAGGATAATGAATTTGTAGAAGAGATACACGACACTTTATTAGGGACACTGGACGGTGCAGAAAAAGTTAAAATTATACAACCCGGTGCAGGCTATAGATTAAATTTATCACATATAAGTGATTATGTTGGCTGTATATTTGTTCAATTTAAAGATTCTAAGACTGCTCAAGAGGCTCAGAAATTAGTCAGTGGTACTGAATTCAATGGCAGAACTGTGATCTGCTCTCAATTCAATGAAAGCGATTTCGAAACATTACAATTATGATAGCTATACTCTATATTCCGTATATATATATATATTACGAAAATTATAGAAACTAACAATTAATAGAAGACAATACTTTAATATTATACATGCAAAGTCAACAATAATTGGAAAATTTTCTTTACTCTATTCATATTAATAAAGGAAAGTGATTCTTCCAGGTGTTATTTTTTAATGTTTATAGATTCGTTAAAGCTCAACTTCGAAAGCTAACATTATGTATTTATTTTTGTGTATACTGCTAAGGATGAAACCTATAAGGGATCTATTGGATGTGAAACGTCTTTCCACCTTATCAATAATATCTATACCTCTTCTTCAGTAAGTAAAATTTTGCTGCCGGAATTGTTGGTCTTCGAAACCGAGAAATAGCCTGCGCGGCTTCCATAAAGAGTAAAAAAAACAAGAAAAACCAGAAAAAGAAAAAGAAAAAGAAAAAGAAACAACCAAAAGAAATGGTGCACGTCACATTGAACCCTAACAAATTCTATAGAAAGCCCTAATACACATATAGGTGTATGGGTGTATGTACAACTGGAAAAAATATCCAGGCGGAAAATAATTTCCACTCAAAATTCCGCATTCGGCTTGCAGGAAATTTTTAAGTCACATGGTGTCCACCTCTTTATCGTACAAAATGTTTAAATATCGCAACGATTCCTTGTTTTTATATTTTTATTTTTTCTGATTTTTTATTTTTTAAATATATAGAATTACATTCGCACTGGATATGACCTAAAATGTTCGTTGCGAGTGAGAATTGGATATTGCAATTATTGTCTAGAAAGTTAATGAAGAGAAGAAACGGATGAGTTGAAAGTAGAGATCATCCCTTTCAAACTTCAGAAGTAGTTTAACTGTGTACACTTTGTAGCAAGTAGCGGTCCATCAAATTTCTATTTAGGATACAGTTGTTCTATTTTTTTTTTTTACTTTTCTTTTCTTTTATATTGAAGATAAAATCGATAAATTAATAGACAATTGTATAGCATAAATAAAGAAATCATATATTGTTAGTGAATTGACAAAAAAAAAGTCTCCAACCACTGATTTTAAGTATGACTGATTTCTCTACAGTGTCTAAGGATCAGCCAGAGGCTACTTCTGCAAGAGTTCCACAAATTCAAAGGAAGCACTCTACTTCTTCTTTAAGAAGAAGTCGTAGAAATGGCCATGCAAGAAGGGTCCCCAGATTCAACTTTAAAAAACAGATGGACATGGAAGGTACAAATTATGATGTTATCACTTCAGTAGCATATTTGAATGAGAAATATGGGTTAAGAAAGAGTCATTACATCGAGAAGTTTATTAAATGTATTCATAGAAAGATCAATATAGATGCAAGTAAGATTAATAACAAGTACGTGGAGAATTTGGATCCATGGGTGAAATCTAAACTTTTCCTTTTACTGGTGGCATTGTCTGAAAAAGGTGGTCCTGAATACTGGGTGGATAAAGAGGACCAAAAGAATGACAATAAATATATTGAGTCTAACAAGATACACATTGAGAGCCCAAATTTAGAAAGAAATAATAATAATAGTAATAAGATTTCACCTGCCATCAAATCAAATGAGAGCCAAGATCTGGCACCCTCAGAAGATACCATAGATCAACATGCTACTACTTCTAAAGAAAAACACCATGAAGATGAGAATGTCTATTCTGATATTGATAACACATATTATATTACTACCTTAACTGAACATATCATACAACAGAATATTAATCATGACTTCAATGAATCTACATATGACGAAAATTATGTATTTTCATCTATATGGGCAAATTTCATGGAGGGTCTGATTAATCATTATTTAGAAAAGATTATTGTTCCACATTCGGAAATGAAAGTTTGCCAACAATTGTACAAACCTATGATGAAAATAATATCATTGTACAATGAGTATAACGAATTGATTGAAAAAAGTGAAAGAAATGGCTTTTTATCCACACCATCCGATATTAAGGAGAAAGAACAGGATATAGATAAGGAACAAGAACAAGATAAAGATAAAAAACAAATGGATAATTCCACTGAACAAGGCAAATCAAACGATGAAAGTCCCGATTATAAATTGACATTGGCGAGTATACATGAGGTAGCAGACAAAAATAACGATTTAGTATCCCAAGAACGATTAGAAAGAGCTCAAAAGTTGTTATGGCAAGCAAGACAGGATATTCCAAAGACCATAAGTAAAGAATTAACACTACTATCAGAGATGTATTCCACATTGTCTGCAGATGAACAAGACTATGAATTGGATGAGTTTGTTTGTTGTGCAGAAGAATACATTGAATCAGAGTATTTACCAGGATTAGTTAAAGTTCTTTTCGCTAATTGTGGCTCTATTGCATTTTGGAAAGTTTTGTTAGTACTTGAACCTTTCTTTTATTACATTGAAGACGTTGAAGAAAGTGAGGAAGAAGATATTGACGAAACCACTGTGATGGATAATGGTAAATATGGAGATAAGAAAAAACAATCTTTTAAACCAGATCCAAGAGTGATAACATTAGAAAAAATATGTGAAGTGGCAGCAAAACAAAAATGGATCTAATAAAAGAAGAAGAATAAAACCATTGTTTTATTAGTATATCCAATTCACACATCCAAATAAATAAAATTGTATTACAATTAACTGTTTATTTTAATTTGTGTATGTACGTACATAAGACCGTGTCCAATAAAGTAGCGAGCATATATATATATATATAGTTCTCATTTAAGTTTGTTTCGTTGATTTTTTATTATATTTTGGTAATTCAGAATATTTGTGGTTCTTTATGTTTTTATATTTCTTCATCTTTGCAAATGTACCTAGAACACGATGCTTTTTGGATAAAACATCTCTTGTAACATCTGAAATATCTCTATCACCCCTGGTCAGTTGTAAAAAGAAGTACATCACGACAAGTGCGACAACAACCACAGTTGGAATTGTTAAAGCAACATAATACCATTCTTGATCATATATGACTGCATCTATCCGAACTCTATCCTCTTCAGTTTGCTTAGCGACTTTAGACCCTAACATGATATGTGTCATTACACCATTCTCCAGTGGATCGAAATTATCATCAGAGATATGTGATGGTTGAACTGAAACCACAATTTTACGATCAAAATACCCTTGTAACCAATCTTGTTCGATAGTAATTGGGAAAACACCATCCACATTTTTAACCCATTCAGAAGAAAAAAAAGTAGCAGAAAGATCTCTTTTATTGTAACCTTTATCTGTTAATTTTTCCTTAACATAAGAAAGATGAATACGAACGTTTTCTGACACCTTATCGGAATTTTCGTCAGTTAAGAAATGTGTGTACCAAGTGATGAAATAAGTTTTACCAACCTTCCATACTGAATTTTCTCTTGGAGTACAGAATGGTTCACTTGAAATATCTTTAGCTAAACCCTTTTTAAAATAACGATCTGGAGTACACCTTATAATGGGGTTTAAAGAAGTATAAGTATCATCTTCATCAATAAAGACTTCTTCTTCATATACATCATTTGGATCCATGTTGTGGGCCTTCAACTCTTCATAGGAATAGGTCTTTGTAGTCAATGTTTGGAAGTATGTATTATAAGTTGGACTAGCCCTGTTAGTTCTACCATTCTTAATTTCTGGTTTGATGGTCTTTGGTGAACCATCTTTTTCTAGAGAAATCCAAGGTTCCAATGGATCAGGTGTAGGTAATGGTTTCTTAGAGAAAGTGACTCCTCCAATAACTGTTGGAGTAACAATTTCCTTTTTAGAAGAATAAATAGTACGGATCCATGGTTTGGGAACTTCACTGGTAGTCTTTTTGTCTTTCTCCATAGGAAGATGGACATCTTTCCAACCAAGGGCAACTGAATTTAACAGCCCAAAATATAAACAAACAATGATGGTTCTCATTATTCTTGATCTGCTTTTAATATGGTTGATCTTTCAAAAAAAAAAACAGATTATTATACTAATATAAAATAATAAAATACCGAACAGTATTGTGACTGTTATCACCAAGTAATAGTAAGTTAATAAATTAAGTAATACTTTTGTTGTTACGAATGTACTTCAAGTATTATGTTTATTTATCTTTTTGATATTTTCGTAAACAAAGAAGGAACTTAAAGCGATGAGTAAAAAATCCTTTCTTTTTTTTTCTTTTTTTAGTGCTTGTTGTTTCTTTTTTTCAAAATTTTTTGCAATATTCCATTTCGGGTTTCCGAGGTATTTTAAATCCGGAGACGGAAAACGCAAAAGCCGAAGAATATAAATCTTGAATATTCGAATAAACAAATAATTGTAGAATTGATTTTGATGAATTGATAGCAACGTACGGCATCACAATATATAGAAAGAAGAGAAAGTTCGAAATACATAGCTAAGAAGAAAAGAAAAGTACGATGCAGAGAGAGGTTGAAATTCACAACGACCAACAATAAGCGGAGTACATTTTAGTAGATGTCCACGGTATGGAAATTCATAGCAGTGATTCTAATGACAGATCTGTGATAGAGACATTAGTTAAAGAAAATTTGTCTTATTTCCAATATTGGACTGATGTTCAATTAGAAGACAAAGCACTTTCATGGAGGGGTACAGATTTAAGACTTGTAAGTGGTATACCCCCAAATAAATTGAGTAATGATGATTCAGAAATTCAAAGAGAATATATTTTACCTGTAAACATGACGCAACATAAGGAGGAATTCATTACTCTGGAATGTTTGGATTTAGTATTTGAAAAACTTTGTAATAAGGATACCAGGAGAATTATTCTTGGAATTGTGAATTCAGATGGAACAATAGTGTTTTACTCTATTTACAATGGTATTCACAAACCAAAGAAAAACTGATTTATATTTATCCATACATATAGGCAGTTATATCTGTATTATTAGTATATAACTCATGTAAATTTTTTACACAAATATACATATGCATATACACTATATTTAACTTGCAACTTTTTCTTTTACAACTGCATGTCCATTTGTCACAATTTCCTGTAACCACGAAAGTTCAATTCTACTGACATTTCTGGCATAACCTTTCGTAGTAAACACATATTCCGTGTACATAATAGCTGGGCACGCTTTATTTAAAAACAGTAAAGATGAAGGATGCACACTTACTGTTTCACCAGTGGTAACTGTTCTATAAGATCTATCAGGCATACCAATGGCTATATTTTTTGTAAATCCAGTTAAGAAACACTTTAGTATAGATTCAATTTTATCTTTATCCTCACTGAATTTCTTATTCAAAAAAGGTGTGCTATAAAAATCGTCTTCTTTATCTTCTCCTATGTTGGTATTAATACTATTTTTTTTTATCTTCTTTGAAAAGGTCTTTGAATTACTATCGAATAACCATTTGCAGTATGTTCTTAATTGTTCACGAATTTTCACTACATTTTTAAAACCACGGTATGATATGCATAATTCCTTACACCAATCTTGTCTTTCCACACTTGATGCCACATCTTTTCCTAAATCATAAAAATAAATATCAAATAATTCCTTTAACATTATTAAATCACCATAATGTCTACCACTATTACAAAGTGACAATCTTCTTTCGTTAACCTCATCCCTCTCCTCAGGTTGTGGATTCAATAGTAAGTTTTCAACACTCAAACACGAAACTATATCGATCACCTCAGATAAACAGTTGCATTCGCTAGCTTTAATTAGCACACTACTCAAATGTGGTTGAATTGGTAATAATGACATTTGTTCCCCTCTTTTAGTTATTTTACCAAAATCATCTAATGCCCCTAACTGGTACAATTCTTGTAAACCCATAATAATCGCTTCTTTACCTGGATTCTCAAACCAGGTCCAATTAATAATATCTTGAACACCATATTTCTTTAACATTAATACTGGAGAAGTCACATTACTTCTTGCAATTTCTGGTTCTGTTTGATCAGGCAACTTTTTATAATCATTGGTTCTATATAATCTATAACATTTCCCCTCACTTTCTCTACCAGCACGACCACACCTTTGCATAGCACTTGCCTTTGAGATAGGAACTGTAAGTAAAGTAGCTAAGCCTAATTGATGTCTCCAAACTTTAACTTTTCGCAGTCCAGAATCCACAACAAATTTAACACCAGATATTGTAACAGATGTTTCTGCAATATTGGTACTAAATATAACTTTTCTTTTAAACCCTTTAACTCGGTTAAAAACTAAAGCTTGTTTTGCTGGTGGTAATGCTGCATATAATGGATATGCTATCATTAGTGGGACTGAAGTCTCCTTATGGATGATCTCACTGATCTTATTTAATATGGTTACAGCTTTATCAATCTCTTCTTGGCCTGGTAAGAAACATAAAATGTCACCCATTTGTTCTCCCTGATTAATTTGAACACATGATCTAATAACACTATCTACAATGTCATCACTTGGTGCCTTCAGATAATATTGTGTAACGTTAAATTTCCTCCCTTCAACAAACAATATTGGGGCATTATCAAAAAATTGACTGAATTTTTCTGCTTGTAAAGTGGCAGACATCACAATGATTTTAAGGTCAGGCCTTGACTTATGTATTAACGATTTCAAAAACCCTAAAATTATATCAGTTAAGACAGTTCGTTCATGTGCTTCATCTATAATTATTGTATTATATTCTTTTAATGTTGGATTCATCATCAACTCTCTTAATAACATACCATCAGTTAGATACTTCAACTTTGTAGTTGAGCTTGTGGTGTTATCAAATCTAACAGAATAACCAACATATGATCCAATATTACAACCATATTCACTAGCTACACGAGTTGCTAAATTAATTGCAGCTACTCTACGTGGTTGTGTCACAGCAATAGAACCTCTGATTTTGTTTTCCTGAAAAAAATTCAACAGAAATTGAGGAATTTGTGTAGATTTACCTGAACCAGTCTCACCTATCAAAACAGTGACTTGATTTTCAGTCAAGTATTTCATTATTTCATTTTTGTTTTGATAAACCGGTAAAGTCTTTCTAATGCTTAATAGCTTGTTAGCTTTCTCTTTTAATTCTGTTTTAGTGTTCTGGTGATGAACAAACTCATAGTCATCATTTTCATCATCAGCATCTGAATTATTCTCTATGAATTTAACTATCTTTTTCCCATTATTATTTATATTGATATTGGCATGATTCCTTTTTGGCCTGTTGAAAGGATGAACTTTGGATCTATGTTTACTGCTCTTTTTTGTGGTTTTGCTATTTTTATTCATATGTAATTCAATTGTCTCTTTATAATTTCTCAACTCTATCACCTTCTACTAGAACTGTTATCGCTAGTTACTATAAATGTATGTTAAATGAGTCTCGATGATTTCATCTCATCGCAACAACAAACACGTCTATGTATATTTTTATATTTTACGTAAAAGTTTACTTATAAAATTTTTCATATTTTCCAGAAAGCCGCCAAAACCGTAGAATCCCACCATTATTTTTTTACGAAAAATGATGACATTGATACAAATATCCATAGCTAGTTGAGTTCTTATTATATGGTGATAATGGAGGAAGAAAAGGCGTCGATTAATCTCTCCACCTTCCTTTTCTTATATTAAATGGCTACGTAACTTATCTCCAAGAGAGAAAGTAGAATGGAAAATAGTAAGTTTTAAATGATCAGATGCTAAAATAATTACTTTTTTTATTGCTGATAGGTGAATTTTACTTGAAAAGGAACATGAAGTACTTTTTACGGAGTTCTAGCTTTGTATTCTCATCTTTATTATCAATATATTAAATCTATCTTATCTTTACCATGATATGGTTTTAAGATTTCTTGAGAGGATTTGGTAATTCTTCTCATTCTTTTTGTTTTGTAATATTTCACTGAAGTACATGAAAGTACATGGAATTGTGAAAATTAGAAAAAAAAAGTGCTCATAATGCTTAAAAAGAAAAAGTTACCTTTCAGGTATTCTGTTAGAGATTGGTATATGCAATAGTATGCTTTAGTTAAGATGATAAACTGTTTTTTTACCTATTTAACGGTTTCTTCTTCCAATTCACCTTTGAAATATTAAATGACTCTTACCTCACGAAATTTTATGTTTGAGCTGACTAAACCAGTAGATTCCAGTAAAATACATATATAAATATTAAAAATATGTTACAAAGAAAACATAACATATAGATGTATAATTTTTTTAAAACAAAAAAAGATTCACTTGAAAAGGAACAACAGACTGATACTTTTATCAGTAAACATATGGTGGAATTAATTCAAGACATATTTTTAGAGAACAATTAGAACCACAGGGATTATTTTACAGAATTGATATGTATGTATATATAATGTGTAGTTATTAGGTTGAATAAATTATCCGATTGTTAATAATCACAAAATAAATGAAAAGTCTAAAAAAATATAATTTCAGAAATAGAAAGTGAATATTTTCCATTCACCAGAAACGTAATTCAAGATATAAATGTAAGGGTTATCTCAAGTGGTATACTAAAATATGGATATTAATTATATATATAAACACTTACAAATTATATAATTGGTTGATTCTAACTATTAGATAGATTAGTCTTGAATATTCGTCTTATTCTTCTTAACCTATTAGATAGATTATGAATATTAATGCTGATAATTACCTCTGGCATTATCTCTCAATAATCAAGGGTCTCTTAAGTAAGCTTCTTAATAATTTACCACCAATGTCCATCCAACGATCATATGCTCGTTCGAACACACTCACAACCTTGGGCCCAGAGTTTCGGTTGTTCCAAGTCCTTCGCCTCGACATTAGGTGTTACCCACAGACTACGTATTTCAGGATTTCCAGTTAGGGTTCCTTACAATAAAATGCTTTCTCTTCAGCAAAAAAGAAATAACAAATAGAAACAAAATTTGTTACTTTTCTTGTACCATTTTACATTTTAATTAATTAACTACGCATCAAGAAAAATTCTTTAGCTTTATTTCTAAAAGGATTATCACAAGTAACATACTAAAAGACGGATATTAATTATGTATATCAACACTTATTTTTTTATTAACCATTAGTCAGTGTTTTCATAATTAATTCAGAAATCCCTTAAAAGTATATATGGAAAAGTTTCTAGAGTATTCAAACTCCTATAGAAAATAATCTGCTCTACCAAATTTATATCACGTAACTGTAATAGATGAAAACCCGATTACGAGAGCTATACTCTTCTAGACGCTAAAATAGATAGATATAGCTTGAATTGTTCTCCATATATGACATATAAATTATACTTTACGTAAAGAATAAACTAATATACACAGATATACAGATAAACAAAAAAAAACAAGAGCGTCGTCGTCGACCAAGGAATCCACAAGATCGTTTATAATGACATCCGGATTTCATATGTTACAATTTTTCTAAACTTACCTTTTTGCAAAATTTTACAAACACACATAAAAACAGGAGTAACCAACATAAGTACAAGAGAGCAACCAAGAAGAAGAAAAAGGAACCAAGGACTACCTAGGTTTAGATATAGTATATAAGTGTATACTATTAGGTCAACTTAGATTAAGGATATATAGATATATAGGAATATTACAGCTAGAGATATAGAAAGAGTCTATATCTTATATCTATCCAAGTGAAATATTATTGAGATTTCAATAAGAACTACTGTTATCAGAAACACATAACCTCAGGGTTATTACAATTACACTATACAAAAAAATTTAACAACAAAAAAAGGGGCGAGCTGGGAATTGAACCCAGGGCCTCTCGCATATTCACGTATTCAACAATACCCAAAGCGAGAATCATACCACTAGACCACACGCCCAAACACCTTACAAGCCCTGTTGTGGAATAGAATAGTTATAACCATCAAGATTACATAAGATCCTGAATGAATCTAGAACCAATTAGTGTATTAATAAGCCATACATGTGCTACAACATTAGATGCTGCATAATAAAAAGATTGGATTACATAAGATCTTGGCAAATCTAGAATTTACCTATTGTTTTATTAAGTCCCACGTGTATTACTAATCACCATGATTAGAGAATTGGGATGCAGTTCTAATCCAGTAGTGCACCTAAATTAATATAATAAATTTTAGGGTTTGAATCAGTCAAGTCATTAATGTAGTAATCTGAATAATCGATCGAGCTCCAGAAAACATATAAAAGGACAACGTTTTCAGGAGATAAAAGATCATCTTCCATGATCGTTTCTTGTAAATAATTTATATATTATGTATAAACAAAATAGAACAAGCAAGTAACAAGTCAAGTAACTTCGAATAAGTACATTAGCTCGATATAAGCCGCTTAATATATAAGACCGTTTTAGTAATTATACTATCGACTATAGTTGATTACTGTCTCGATTATTTGAATTACTATTAATATTATTTGCGCTTCCCTGGAATACACAAAGAACTTCACCATACCATACTACAACAAAAGCTGTTGTGGAATAGAATAGTTATAACCATCAAGATTACATAAGATCCTGAATGAATCTAAAACTATTTATTGTATTAATAAGCCATACACGTGTTACAACATTAGATGCTGCATAATAAAGAGATTAGATTACATAAGATTTTGGCAACTCTAGAATTTACCTATTGTTTTTGTTAGAATTTGGAGCCTTCTGCATCCATGGTAATGGTAGACATCATTAAGTTATAGATGTCTGTTGTGTTTTGTACTAAATACATGTATATACTTATTATATAGTGTATACAGTATACATTCTTGTATTTACTTCAAGTTTTTTTTTAAAAATTTTCATTTCTTTTCAAATCTTCGAAAAACATACTTGGTGAAAAATAAAATGTCTTCCTGATATTATGATACATCCGTACATCACATAATATACAGAAAAATTAATTAAAAATAATTCTTGTGGAAATGACAGTAATAAACTCCCATTTTCCAACATGTCTCCTTAATTGGTTTTTCTTATAACTTCCTCCTGTTCACTATAACTTAATGATTTCCATTACCAGAATTCCAGAGGACAGTGATTGGAAGCAACTCTTTGGGTGTCAATTCATGTTGTAGAATCACTTTCAATTTAGCAAAGACTCTTCTACTTATAAATTTTGTTAATGGATCTGGAAGTTTTTTTTTCATTTATTTGTCCTAACTCCTATTTATATCTATTGATCCTTTTTCTAATCTACTAATGAAACTGTTCATATTCAATAGTCTTATGTTCTTTTCAAAAATAATTCTTATGACAAATAAGATCAATAAAACTTTCACTTTTCAACATTAAAAGATCTAAAATAAATAAAAGAGGTCAAAATGAAGAAAATACATATTTATTTACGTACACTAATAAATATATATTTATATGTTAGATAACAAGAAAGAGTAGGCCAAATATAAACTAACGATTAATATGCTTATTACTTAAAACCACTGACATTCAGTAAATTACTGGTTCACAATTATTTACTATTTTATTTTTTGTAATTGTGTAATTGTGCAGAATATCTTAGTAACTGCAGGTTGTGCATCGTACAGATTTCTGATTAGAGAAAGATTTTTATTCTTGGTGTGCTAAATACTAAATATATATAACAATCATTCAACAATAACATCTTGTTATGTTCAGTTCCTCTGATCCAGTTAATATAAAAACTTCAAATACAATAAATAGACACTGTTAATTTTTAATAAACTGAAATTAAACTCAGCATTAAACGAACCCCTTCACACATCTTAAATTTGAAATTTAGTAGGTAAAACAATACTATGTTAAACATATCGCAATTGTTATAAACATAAGGTTGAAAAACCTCAAACAGAGATTCCCATTACAGCATTTAAATATATGAAGATAAGTAAAAAGACCTTACTGATATACTAATCAGAGATTCCATTTGAATATAATTTTGAGATGTGCTTAATGGTTATTAACGACCACGTATCCCTTTACCCATAATAAGAAATTATTATATTTTTAATAGTTAAAAATGTTTACAATCCTATGTAAATGTTGAAATGTATTAACCCAAATAAAGTAAAGCAAATACTAATCGTATGAAAAAAAAAAAAGATCAAAACTGTTTATTTTACTGAATATTTAATACTACCATATATATAATATAAACCTTTTATATAATCTGAGAAGTAAATTTATGATTACTTCAGTAATATGATTTCAACAGTTAACATCAAGTAACAATCTTCTATAAACAACTCCTAACTGATCTATAATGAGTCGGATGTTCCAATCTTATAAAATTAGCCATTTTTCATTCCTATTATAAAAATTTCTCATGTCGACATAAACTAGTTCAATATGAAGCTTCTAGTTGTATTAACAATGCCTTAATAACAATATCATTAAGATTTATATATATATATTTTTTCATATTTGATACCTTTTATCACTTTAAATCAGAGGATAGAAATAATTATATATATTTCTGTCTTCTTAAGAAGTTTATTCAGCAATTTTTTCTTTAGATAATTCTGATATTGGATTAGACACTACACGTATAGAATTAAGATTAAGACCGTGTTTCAAAACTTTTGGTTCAGAAACGTGATTTGACAGCTTTGGAATAGATTTAGATTGAGTTATAGAGTCTTGAGATTCGATATGTGAGTGTTTGGTATTCTTCCAAAAGGCTGTTTTTGTACCAGGAAAACTCCAAGATTGACCTCTTTCGTTGTTTGTATCATTCTTAAGGGTATCTTTGTTATTTAAATTATCATCTTTCTTTAACTTTTGTTCCAATCTTTGTATTTTTTCATTTTGATTCTCTACAAGATTCGTCCATTTTGAAATTTCCTGTTTCAACATTGCATTATAGGATAAAACGCTTTCTAATGATCTCGTCTGAGAATTTACCTGGTCCAGTAACTTACTATTCATATCATGAAGTACAATTTCTCTATCATGCAATTCATTTAACTCTTGTTGATAGTTTTTATTTGCTAGTCTTTCTTTATCTAAACATAACTGTAATTTAACAATTTCTTCACATTTTTCTAAAATAATTTGCATTGCATCTTGTGTATCACTATTACTCCTATCCATATCTCTTGAACTATTTGATTTGACATCAGATGATGACTGTGCCAAATTGTCGATTTTAGTGTCTTTATCTGATTCATCATCCTTTTGGACATTACCACTACCATCACTACTAAGTTGTTTAACTATTTTAATTTGTTCTGTTAATTTTGCATTTTCTAACTTTAATTGACTAATGTTTTTATCAACTTCTTTATGCTTCTGTTGAATATTCATGACTGTCTCTAACTTCTTTCTTAAAAATTCAATTTGCAACTTATAATTTTCTTCTTTAAGTTTAATTTCATTAACATATATATCAAATTTTGCCTTTGAATTCAAACCAAATTTATTATGATAAATATATGTCTCCAATTTAGATAAACTTGATGCAAATTTCAAAGAATCTAAAGTCCTTGTCAAATCATTTTTATAAGTAGAACCACATATTATGAAAAGATTTTTATAATTGTCCATTAAAGAAGAATAAAGTAATTTAGTAAATACTGAATCCTTAAAATGAGTATGAACTTTTTCATTACTACCCAATCTATCAATAATCAACTTAAATGAATCAATACCTAATTTTATTTTTTTCATATCTTCTTGACCAATATCGTTCGTCAAACCTATATCTTTAAAATCTACTATTTGCAATATACTATTTTTCAAAATATCTTTATCAACATTTAACTGTTGAATATTGATCTTAACGAAAACATGGGATTTCCTTGACTCATAATAAACAGATGTCAATTCGAGCAGTTCATTAAGTAGATGATTGAGATCCTTAATATTGATACATTTCAGATGTTTTATACTATAATTATTTTTATTGATTTCTAATACAGTTTCATCGTTCTTATTAAGATGATATAATTTCAACGGCTTTCTACTTGTCACTGGAACCAGTAAATCATAGATAACTTCTGCATACAACTCATATGCTGAAAGAGTAATTTTAAAGTTTGAACCATTAGGCTGTTGATGATAATTTTCTGATAATTTAGTAAAAAGCGCTTTACAGATAGTTACTATATAACCTTCATGTTCACAAAACAGAAATCTCGTTTTCCCTGTTTTAGCTTGTCCATATGTCATTATGTTATAATTATACCCATCTAAAAGATCCTCTACAATATTGCCAACATCACCCTCCTCCTTTTGGATATTATTAAAATGAAAAGTTTCTCCATTAATTATCCATGTATTATCGTCTGGTGTTTCATAATCAAATTTTAAATTGGATTTATCATTAGGTGGCATCAAACCATCCCAAATTCTTGGTTTCAATCTTATCATAATATTAGACGGTACATTTTTTGCTACACGTGGTAATTTAAGTGATTGCATATCTATATTCTCATAAATAGGTAATTTATATTGTTGCTTAACATTATTTGTATATCCAATATATTTCATTTCCCAATTTTTTCTATTCTTCTTATTATTTTACATATATATATAGTATATCTATGTAAATACCTCAAAGATGGCTGTATTCTTCAATACTTAAAACTATTCGCTTACCCTCTTATAACTACATCTATCTCTTCCAGCATTCATTACTGCCTCTTAACTCAAACATCGACAAAGGCAGAGATGCTTCATGCATCTTTTTAATTTTTCAGAGAACAATTTTTGTGTCTATTTCTTTGTCCTCGAGGATACAACAAAAAAAAAAATAGAACCCCACATTTTTGTATGAAAATATATATACACTGGAGAAGATATTCGTCAAATATTCTTTGTAGGCAAATAAACGTATGTGCTCATAACTATAATGATTACGATACAGTCAATTAAGAAGAAATATAAATATCTAAACAGATAAAGGAGTGCTATTACGTAATTGAAACAGGGATATGTAGTTTTGGATTTTATATTAAAATATAGTTAAATAATATATATAGAATAATAATAATATATATATATGACAATATAAACACACCACCAAAGAGAATTAATATTGAAAATAGGTGAAGTAAGGATTGTCATTATAAAGTGATAGTATAGATAACAAACGGTTCATATTCTGTGTCAACTAGAGATGCATATTGATGTAAGGAGGTATCCCCTTTATCAATTTTTCCTTTCTTATCTTTAACAAAGGCATTCCCACCTAAATAACCAAAGGAGTCTAATAATTCAGACTTGCACTTTGATAAAAATTTTGGTGGCACTGCAATTATTTTACTGTTAAAATGTGGTGGTAAACCATAACGTAAAACAGATTCAACAAATACTCTTAATGCTTTAATATGGAACCAATTGATGAAAATGTCAACATAAGCTGTCTTTGCTAATCTGATCAATTGGATCCTTAAAGATTGCTCCAAACTTGCAGCTGAATCATGTTCTTGTTTTAACTGTTCAATTAATTCTTCAGAATAGTTAAAATCTCTTGGTATGAATTTTTTCTCTCTACAATTAGTTATGAAATCGGGAACATTTTTCTTGAAAAGATGAACATTATATAATAAAAATTCAGAGTCTCTTGATAAAATTGATGCAGAACCAGGAACTACGTTTGCGGACAACCTTTCATAAGATGATTCGAAACTTTTCTGTAAACTTTTTGGAACTGCTATCAATAAAGTAGTCAAGTGTTCTGAATTTAAGATAAAATCCTTGGGTTTAACGATATCGTGTAAAGATCTAACAGAAAGATCACCTGTTTGTTTCCTTTCAGCTGCAGTCAAATTTGACTTGGCAGTATTATAATCGGCAAACGTAGATCTAACATCTAAATCTAATTGGCTTGATTCATTTGATATGATCTGAATCAATTCCTTTATGCTTTTATCTAATTTGAATTTACGTGACTGCCATTGGAAATTTTCCAAGTATTCTGGGATTGGCATGTTATTTATTGGAATAGTGGTATAATCGTTAGTACCGGCTTCATTGAATTGGGAAAGAATGTCGATAATTTTATTTATGGAAGTATGGATCTGCCCATCAATCTTACTCAATTCTTCAGATTCAACCAAAAGACTATCTAATGAACCTATCTTGAATTCTGGAATTTCAAAATTTGTCACATATGCTTTACCTTGAATTAGGGACTCTTTTAACCATGTATCGGTATCTAACTGAGCAGAAATCAGTCTATCATCATTGGCCAAATGAGCAGGTTTGGAGTTCAATGGTAAGGATAAAAGTATAAAATCTTTAGCTGTATATAATGTAGTAGTCATATTTTAAAAACTAGAAGAAATCAAAACACTAATAAAATTGATATTTATGTCAGTTTTAGAAACTCACTAAAACTAGTAATATTATTATGTATACTTTTATATAAATGATTATAATTTGTTAATAAATCACACAAATTCTAAATGATAAAATACTAAATTCATACACTCTTTGCATTTGCATTTACCTAAATTATATTCTTTGTCTGTTCTTGATAAGTTTTTCATTTTTTTCTACACAGTATGCTTTTTTCTTAAGAAATAAAATTAATTTATTTCGAAAGAATAATAAGACTATTTGATAAAGGAGAAGTGATCTTGTCTTTTTAAAAAGTGTGTGAGTTGAGAAGAAGAAGAGAAGAAAGAAAAAAAATACAGAGAGGAGCACAGAAAATAGATATATCTATAAATCATGTATCATATATAATATGTAAGTAAGATTACAGATAAAAACAATTGTGATATATAATAATAATACATTAGATAAATTAGAAATTATATACGGTCTTCTTACTTTGTTGTCACCCCGTTCATTTCAAGACCTTACCATCAACAATTTCTTTGTTTTCACCATTGACAACAACTGGCTTATCCCAAGCCCACATGTTGTTAACGAATTCCTTGTCGTCTTCATTGGTTGGGTCTAATTTAGTGTAGGAGTAAGATTCCCAATCGGGAGCGACATCGAAAGCTGGGACGTTGTCTTGACCTCTAACCATAAAAGCACCAATGATACCGTTGTTGTTGTTTTCACCATAGACAACCATGGAACCGAACATGTATTTGGTGGAACCAGTTAATCTGTTGAAGAAACCACCAATCAAGTTATTAGACATGAAAGTTAAAGTTAATTCATCGTTGTATTTGTATTCAACCTTCCATAAAGAGTATTCTTCTGGGTTGTAATGTTCCCAGAACCATGGTAAGGCAACTGGTCTAGTATCTTCGTTGGAATACTTTCTCTTCCATTCGTCCAAGACGAAAGTAGACTTACCTAATAATTCCAATGGATGCTTTGGTTTCTTTTGTGGAGCAGCATCATTAGATTCAGTAGATTCCTTCTTTGGTTCTTCATCCTTCTTCTTTTGTTGTTGTTGTTGCTTGTTAGATTCTTTCTTTTCCTTTTTTGGTGGATTATATTTGATTGGTTCATCAATCAACTTATAATCAGCATAGGTTTCAGAAACGATTGGAGAAGCAAGAACAGTGTTGAACCATCTGACCAAGTATGGGTGGTTCTTTCTAAATTCAGAACCACAGATAGAGCTGAAAGCAAAAGCCCAAGCAGAGAAACATTGAACATCACCAACAGAGATGTTTTCAGTGGCTAAGTATGTGTAGTCAACCAATCTTTCTTCAAAGAATTTGGCGTATAATTCAATAGTTTGCATATTAGAATCGACTTGTTTCTTGTTGTATTGATAGATACCAGACAACATCAAGAAATTACCAGCAATAGAAGAGAAAAGGTTGGAATTACCAATGGAATACCATCTTAAAACTTGAATCTTTTCCATTGGTGTGAAACCAAATAATAATTTTTGGTCCTTTTCTGGTAACAAATCAATCAAATAGGATAAGATAGCAGCATTTTCAGTCAATCTTAAACCCTTTGGACCTAAGAAAGCTGGGACTTGATGTAAAGTGAATTTTTCTTGGAAATCTTTACAGACAGTAGACTTGATGTTGACAACTTCAATGTCTAAATTATAGTGGTTAACGATAGCAACAGCTGCCTGACATCTTGGAGATGGAGAAATGAATAAAGTACCTTGAGACATTTTTTGAAGATGTTCGACGAGTTATCTTATCTTGAGTTATCCTAGTGACAGAAAAAAAAGGGAATAAGATTTCTTAATTACAAGCAAGAATACAACTACACACATACATACATATACATATATATATATATGAATAATCTAAGTAGATGCAGATGAGATGATCAGGAAAAAACCCGAGAGTGAAAAATTTTTTTTGTCTTTCTTTCTTTTTGCTCTCGTGTTAGGTTGTCATAGCAAGTTTCCAAAACAAAAGTTGATTTTTTTATTTTTTATTTTTTATTGTATGGTGTGTTTTATTTCTTGGTAGGCATTGCTTAGTCATCATGTTATCTGCTATCAGGCGGATTCAAACGGTTTCTAGTACCGTTCCTACCGGAATTGTACAATGTTTCAAAATCTCTTTTTCTTTTTGATTTATTTCACCACAGAAGATCGTTTGGCACGGAAAGATTGGTTGTCTGACAACATCCATACATTCAAACACTATGTTGCCTTTTGATCTTTTTCTTCGCTACGATGAGCTGAAATGAAAAATTTTTGCTTTGGTTATTATTATTAAAAGGATGTCAATATTGATGAACTACGATGAGACGGATTGTCATTATTCCATTAAGAATACAACAGGGAATAAAGTTGTAAAGTTAGACATAGAATAAGAGAAATATATATATATAACTACATTACGAAGAAATCAAGAACAACAACAAAAAGAAAAAAAAAATAGAAGAAAATGAGTCAATCATTGGAAGAAAGACTTCGAGCCAATTCTAATGCCTTTGATGGTTTATTATCATTAATACCAGCAAAATATTACTATGATGAAAAGACACAAGACCAGTGGAAAGCGAAAAAGAAAAGTAAAATGCAAATGAAAGAGGACAAGTTGAAAAAGTTAGATCCTGAGCAACAAAATGATGAAACTGGAACTGCTTTGGATGTTTTGAAAAAAAGAGAAAAATCGGCCAAACCTGTTAGATTACCTGGTCAAGGTCTTAGATCTTCCAGAATTACTATTACTTCAGAAGACAACAGCAAAGAAGGAGGAGAAGAAGAGGAAGAAGAAGAGGACGAAGAAGATGTTGAAAAAGCACCAATACATGTACAGGTCGAGGAATCTGAAGATGTAAGTGACAATGAATCTATTAATATTATTTTTGATGATGAAGGCAATGAAATCGAACTGAATAATAATCAATCCAACATAAATAAAGCTAATGATGATGAAGGTGGAGATACGGATAAAGATAAAGATAAAGATAAGGATAAGAAAGATGAATCTGAGAATGAAGTAAAATTACAAAAACAAAAGAATTTGGAATTGTTACGTGCAAAATTACAAGCAAAAATTCAGAATATGAGAAATAAAAGAAAGGCACCAGGTACTAACGTTGATGGTGCTCCTGTATCTAGGGAAGCAATTCTTTTACAAAGAAAACGCAAACAAGAGTTGAAACAACAGAGAAAGTTACAAGATTTAGACAATTCTGATACTAATTCGGAATCTGATACCGATGATGAAAATGATTTAGATATCGAAAGCGGCCCAATGGCTAAAAAATTAAAGAAAGATACTAAAAACAAAGAAGAGGATGAAGCTGCTAATGCTGACGGTGTCATGTATCAAAGTATTATGTTTAATGATGGTGTGCGTACAACCTCGGATTTACAAAGACTAAGAAAATCTAATCAAGGTAAGAAAAAGGGTCCATCGAAACATGATTACAAAGCACAATTGAAAATCCTAGAACAACGGAAACAGAAATTACAATCAAAGGATGAATTAGAACAAATCAAAACTATAGAGAAGAACAAATGGCAAAAAGCGATGTTACAGGCTGAAGGTGTTAAACTAAAAGATGATGAAAAATTGATTAAAAAGGCAATAAAGAGGAAAGAAGCTAAAAAGAGGAAATCTGCTATTGAATGGAATGAACGTAAAAGAGCTGTTGAAATAAATAAACAAGAAAGAGCCAAAAGAAGAGAAGAAAATTTAAGGATTCGTAAAGAAAATAAAGGTGTTAAAAGATCCAAACAACAAAAGATGAAACGTAAATTTAAAAGTATTATAACACCAAAGAAAAGAGCTGGGTTTGAGGGTCGTTTAAAAAGGAAATAGTCATATCATCTCTTAATAAATTTTTTTTGTTAAATATAATAAGAAATATAATGTTATACTATGCATATAAACGGAATATACGTACAAACACATACACACACACGCACACGCACATATACATACAGATATATATATATATTATAAATATTGTAATAAAATGCAAGAGAAAAAAATGAAAATAAACATACACCCATTTAATCACTGCCAATAGATGGTATGTTTTCAAAATAATAATGATAATGCAATTCACACTTTTCATTAAAGGGATGTTTACAATATTGGCAACTTAAAGGAGTTGAGAAGCTTAAATATTGCTTAAAAGTCAGTTCCTTCCCACAATGACCACACAATATACATTTTAAATCTGGATTTGCACCAACATCAAATTTCTGTACTGAATGAGAAGTCAATTCATTGTGACATTGGACACATGGATAATAATAGTTTGGACAACATTTTAATTTTAATGCAATTATATCATTTGCACCGTTCCAATGTTCACAACGAGTCTCTGCATCAACTAGTTTGCCTCTAACCTCAGCCATATGATTCTTTCTTGATTTTTATCAAATCAAATATGCATATATAAACATATGTCAGATCAAATATATATACAATACTCTATATAAAACAGATTACCAGCTTAAACAAATAAATGTAGATATAAGTTCCTACAATACGGGTAATATAAAAAAAAATGCAGAAAGATTATAACCTTGAGAAAAAATTTAACCTTTTCTGCTTAACAAAATAACAATATTACACATGTTAAACACATTAAGCATACCTATAGAAAAATATCTGTATCTATATAAATAACTATGCATACAAACACACACACACACACACACACACACACATATATACATATACATATATATATCTATGGATATATATTGGAAATAGAATTTTTTTTTGTATACAAGAAACATATGAATATTTATAGTCGTTATCGATGAATAATGATAAGAAAGGAAAAAAAAAAATATATATATATATACATTATAGACATGAATTTGTTATTACTATTTTTTTTTGCCTTTTATTTTTGTTTTTCTATAGATTTGAGAATTGAAGATCGGAATCCAGAATTTATTAATCTCTAGCATTAACAAAATCCTTACCCTTATTAATATTCTTCTTCAAAGCCTCCTTGCATTGATCTAACAAAACTTTTTCTTCAGAAGACAATTCACCGATAGGTAATATTTCTTCAACACCTTTTGGACCTAATCTGACTAATTGCGCAAAGAACTCGATACCTTCATGCTTAAAAATCGGGGATTCAACAAAAGTTGGTTCAACAATATTAGCTTCACCGGAAAGACCTCTCAATACAGCATCAGTGAATTGGGCACCTGCTTGAGCCATGGATAAAGTAGCGGAACCAGCACCGTTCTTAGCCTTAACGACTTCGTCACCACCAAACTGGACTCTGTGAATCAAAGTTTCTTTCTGCTCTTTTGTCAATTTGGTGGAAGCCAATTTATCTTGAGATAATAATGGTAAGATGGTTACACCTGAATGACCACCAATAATGCTGATTCTTGAATTCTTGGTTGGATCTGTGTTAGTCAATTCTGAAAGGAATCTGGCCGACCTAATTGAGTCTAAAGTAGTGACACCGAACAATTTCTTTGGGTTATAGCTCCCTGCTTTCTTGAACACTTCTGCCACGATTGGAACAGTGGAGTTAACTGGGTTGGAGATCACTAAAACACAGGCGTCTGGTGCGGCCTCGGCTGTGGCTTTAGCCAAATCATGGACGATCCCTGCATTAACGTTAAACAAATCATCTCTTGTCATACCTGGTTTTCTTGGAACACCGGCTGGGATCACAACGACATCGGAATCCTTCAACGCATTATGTAAGGCATCTGGTTCATCGGCATTGAAACCACGGACGGTGGAATTTGTTGGGATATGAGAAAGATCTGTGGCTACACCTTTAGCATTTTTCAAATCGTATAAGTTCAGACCAGTGACTTTTTCATTTAGCTTCAAAAGTAAAGATAATGGTTGACCGATACCACCACAAGCACCTAGGACAGACACTTTATATGGATTGATCGTGGTAGAAGAAAAACACCTCCTGACGGCAATTCTCGAAAGCATTATTATTATTTATTTTTTACTAATTTATTTATTTATTTATTTATTTTATTTTATTTTATTTTATTTTATTTTATTTTATACTGCTAGTTGTTTGTAGTATAACTAAATAAAGATACGTTTAAAAATAGTTTAGATGATAACGAAACAACATACAGATATAAGAAGGCCAGAAAAAAAGAGCGAGGAGGAAAGAAGCACAGTTTGAAAGCCATGTAAGATAATAGTAATGAGCTAAACGGCAAGCGTTAAGACGATTGAGATGTAGTTCATCTTACTTTAGTGTATTTTATTTATAATAAAATCCACTTGTTTTAGTTTACTGTTTTCAATACGTAATCTTTACTTAACATCCAATGAGGGGTGAGGTAAAAGAGCGTCAACCGTATCGGATTTTCTAACTCTGTTTGAGTTTTCCACGCATTTTCTGCCTATTTTACCAAGAGACAGAAGGAGTTTTTGTTGTTCTTTGCTGCTCTGCCCCGGTGTAAGACCGTTCGCTTAAACGGCTCTCACACAGCATCGCCCAGAATTTCCTCCTTTTCGGCTATCCCTGTTCCTGGGCCCGTTCCTCTCCCTCTATTTCCCCCCTGTTCCTTGTTCTTGTTCTTGTTCCTGTTCCTGACCCTAACCCTAGCCCTAGCCCTAGCTCTGTTCCTACTTCAGTGGCAGTGAGAGAAATGGAAGATTATTGATAGAAAGGAAAGAAAAAAGAAAAAAAAAAAAAAGAAAAAAAAAACAGATGTTGTTGGCTCACCGCTGCTATCCCTCTATACATAGGAGGAAAAAAGAAGAGAGGCGGAAAAGACACATAGTAAATTGAAATTTTTCTCTTTCTTCTTTCTTCTTTCTACTTTCCTTTTTTTTTTTTTTTTTTTTTTCCTTTTGAGAAGTGAATGGTGAGGGGGGCGCGATCCTCTGCGTTACTGAATAAGTTTTAAAACACGTAATTGCATATCTATATAATATGTAGTTTTATGTAATATCTTTTATTTTACTCTTTTGGGTTAAGATAAAACGGAGTTTAAAATGAGTAACTTCTCTCTTTTCTCTTTTATTTTTTTTTCTTTTTTATCTTTTATGTTTATTTAACTCTCTATATATTAAATAAATTACTTTTTATCTTGGTTAAATTAAATAATGAATTCATTTAAATAAAGAAAAAGCAAGCAAACAAGGGATAAACATAAATAAACAAATATTAAGATATGATGTATAATCTTGCTAAGGTGTAATAGCTTTCTTGTCTCGTCTCTGCTTTTTTTTTTTGTCCAGCAACCACCAGCAACCAACAATTTAAACAAGAAACAACAACAACAAAAAAAACAAAAAAATACTTGCACTTCTACAAAGAATTTAACCTAAGTTTAAGAAATACAATATCACATCAACTTTTGATTAAAAAACAGTCAAGACCCCTATTAAAACTTATACAACCAAATGCCTTTTATTTTTTTGTTTTCATTTCCTCTTCGTTTCAAATCATGTTCATTCTTATCTTTTCTTCATTTACCTTTAATTTACATTTCAATACTAGTAGCATCGTTTAGATTATTTTGCACTTCAAAAAAAAATAAAAAAGAAAAAAGAACTGCATATAACCTTAATTACAATAACGTGGTTAAAGTAAAAGGGATAAACCCTATAAAATTAAACACGGATCAATATTTCACTTTAAGGTTTTAAAAAATTCTTCTTCTTCTTTTTTTTATTATTAATATTATTATTATAATCGCTGTTGTTGTTGTTGTTGTTGTTAATTTTAGTTTATTTATATTTCGATAAAAGGATGCTTTTGAAAAGAATAAAAGAAAAATACCCTAATAAAAAAAGTAGAGGGACAAAAAAAATAAAAAAAAAAAAGAAAAGAAAATCCGACTGGACATCGGTATTGTTTTTTTTTATTTTTTAGATTAAATAAGGGAAATCTATATTGATATATATTATTTTATTATTTTATTATTCTACCACTCCATTGTTCTATTGTTTATTAATCTTTTTTATAGATTTTTCCTTTGTTCTCTTTGCTTTCTGCCTTCCATTTGATGTGTCTTTTTTATTTTTCTTCTTCTTCAATACTAATGTTTTGTCTCTTCTCTATTGTGAATAGCAAGATAACTTGCTTCAGCAAAAACAACAACTAGACAAGAAATCTTTTATCATTTTTTTCTTTCTTACAACACATCTTTGGAGATATGAAATAAAGAAACCGAAACAAAGGAAAGTGAAATCAATTAAAAGAATACTGAAGCATGAGATGTTCAATGCTATATATATATATACTTATCGAATCCAATTTATAAGGACTCTCTTATCCTTTCTTGAATCCACTTCTTGTTATTTTCCACATCATATGTTATCTTCAACAAAAAAAAAAAGAATAATAATAATAATTTACAAAAGACAAATAATCAAACTGTTTAATAAAAAACAACACACCTAAATATATCTCCTCATTAACAATATGTCGACCTCATCTGTTAAAGATTTGGAATCTCAAAACCCACCAATAGAAGCAGTTTTGCCCTCGGCTGATGATGCTTTCCCACAAGCAGATCTACCAAAACAAATGCATAAAAAGTCTAGATTCGATATAGGCCCAGATACATGGCATAACCATTTCATTGCAGCTTATGGTGAATTCGTCGGCACTTTTATGTTTCTTTTATTTGCCTATATAATTTGTAATGTGGCTAATCACGCTTTGGAATTGAAAAGTAGTGCAAATACCCCGACTACTTCTCATCCCTCTCAAGTCATTATGATCGCTATCGGTTTCGGATTTTCTCTTATGTTCTCTGTTTGGTGTTTTGCAGGTGTCTCCGGCGGTGCTCTGAATCCTGCTGTATCCTTATCTTTGGCTTTATCTAGAGCCATCACTCCTACTCGTTGTGGTGTCATGTGGGTCTCACAAATTGTGGCTGGTATGGCCGCAGGTGGTGCTGCTCAAGCTTTGACTCCAGGCCCTGTTCTTTTCACCAATGCCTTGGGTCTCACTTGTTCAAGAACTAGAGGCTTGTTTTTAGAAATGTTTGGCACCACTGGCCTATGCTTGACTGTCTTAATGACCGCTGTTGAAAAACGTGAAACTAACTTTCTTGCTGCTTTACCTATCGGCGTTGCCTTATTCATCGACCATATGGCTTTAACTGCCTACACAGGCACCGGCGTTAATCCAGCAAGATCATTCGGCGCTGCTGTGGCCGCCCATTATTTCCCAGGGTATCACTGGATCTACTGGATTGGCCCATTATTAGGTGCTTTCCTAGCTTGGTCCGTTTGGCAAATCTTACAATGGTTAGACTATCAAAAATGGGTTGAAGCTGAAAAAGCAGATTAAACATCAAACCAATAAAAAAAAAAAAACAAAAAATAAAAAAAAAGAAAGAGTTATGAAAAATAAAAAACAACGACAACAGAAAAAACAAACAAAAAAAAATAAATCCTTAGAATACATTTCACCTGCCCATTATTATTTTGAATTTAATTGCTCATTTTCTTTTTTCTTCTCTCTCTCTCTCTTTTTTTTTTTTCTTTTCTTTTCAATCTTTTCTTTTCTCCCTTTTCAAAGAAGCTGTGCCGGCCAAACAATCAAAATACTGTGGCTAAAAACTTTTTTTGCTTCACATCAGTATTATGAAAAAGTAATATATATATATATACCACGAACCCACTCACATATATCTTAGGCATATTCATATTTACATCAGATCTCTGTACTCCTTAATGCTTAATAAATATCATAGTTATAATTATGGTAACATTAATAATATCCTATCTTCTATTTTATTGCCAACTTTAAAATTAACACATTTACTTAAATTTTCCTCATTAATAGGTGGTCCAAAAACCGGTTCCACAAAAACCGAAAAGTGCAATAATTTGAGAATATACCTATCTCAATTAATGCACTTTACTAAACCTCTTCAAATTGTGTCTATTGATACAGGATTGGTCAACTTTGCATGGTCACAATTTCTTTTAACTGATGAAGAGAAACAACCACTTTTGAGCCAGTGGGGGAAACTGAATTTATATAGAAAATTCTTTAATGAGGTAATCCCAGAGGGCACCAAATTTTCGCCATTGGATACATCTTATCTGACCTCGCAATTGACTAATTTCATTTTGAATGAATCCAAAATATCTACAAATATTCTTTATACTATAGAAAGGCAAAGGCTGCGTACCAACAGCTCTAAATTTGTGACTGACCCAATTTTAAATGTTAATATCTTAGAACATTTACTATTTTATGCTTTAAAAAATTTGAGCCCTGGTCATGACACTCTATATCAGAATAACTTTGTTATTTCATCTGATCCTGGAAGAATGACAAACTATTGGTTAGCTAATCAAAGATTCAATTCCAAAGATTCAAAAAAATTAAGAATAGCAACAGCTGTTAATCTGTTAGCTTATAGTCAGAATACAGGCAACTTGTTTAAAATCGATTCTGAATTATCTAACAAAATGTTGACTTTGAAAGAGAATAAATTAAAGAGTAAACATGGAATTCTATTCGATACACTGGAAATGAATCAAATGCTTAACGGGAAACGCAAGGATGATGATTTAGTCGATTCCTTTTTACATGGACTATCATGGTCTACGTGGATACAAACCTATAAAAATTTATTATATGAGATCGATCAAAATGGCGGTGAAAGATTCCCATTGTCTAAATGGATAGATTTTAGTTGGCATCAACATATTAAACTGTTGGATTTAATCAAAGAAACTTAATAACAAGTTAATGATTGAATAATCTAAGTAGAACGGTTACTGTTGTTTAATCTTGGATAGTCCAGGCATAACCCCGTTGGGATTATCCAACATCAAATAGCAATCAACGATTTTATATAAGAAATAAAATAAATCATGAATACCTGGGTTTACAGTAGCACCGGTCTCAATGAAGAAATTCCACAACTCGCCTTGGACTATTTTATGAATTAAATTAATAGCTTTAATACCTTTGAAAGGATATTTGGCTGCTAGTGTCAACATATCAGTTTTCCAATTATGAATGGACTTCGTAATTGAACTGAAAGAGGTGATAATACCTGTACCTGTGATATTAGATAAAACTTTCTTTCTAGCAGATACTGCTTGAGAAGGAAATAAGGAATTAACTATGAAGCCAGTATCGGAAAGTTGCTTATCAGTGGTAGTTTATTCTTCCAACAAGGTCAGTTATTTTGTATCTTTTGATAATAGTATCCAATTTGTATGGTACCGAGCTTTTATTAACTAAGCAATTATAATTTACTTTGAAATATACGCCCTGTTGGTACCCAGTCTTTAATTCTTCAATATATTCAGGTCTGAATTTGGTTAGTAAAGTGACCTGATTAGGAATACTCAATTCATATAAATATGTATCATAACCAAAATCATCCGGAATATATGTTGGATTTGGTTCAGAATTCTGGGAAGAAGGGTAGGATGGGGAATTCTGTGGTGTTATAATTTTTGTGTCTTTGATTTCTTTCAAATCAGACCGACGACTAAAGCCATCCGCTTTATTTCGTTCACCCTTAATATAAACGATCTCAAAGTCAAATGTAGCAATAACATCTAACCAACGGCCGACTTTTAGACTGCTATTTTTCTTTAAGTGTAAATATTTCAATGATCCATGATCTGTATGTTGAATGCAGTGTCTACCTTTCAGGTAATGAGACCATTGCATCAACACAACCCAAATAGCAAATCCTCCTTTTTCACCAGTGGGTCACCTTAATTGAGAGTTGCGCAACTACCCACTTGAATAAGCAACTACACCTAAACTACGATCTGTTGAATCAATGTGTTCTAAGACAGCACCTACAGCAAAATCTGAGGCGTCAGTAGTAACCAAAACACCTTTTGTTTCATTGAATGGTAGTAGAACAGGAGTTAAAGGCAACTTCTGTTTCAATGTGTTTAAAGAAATGTTACAGTCATTATTCTAAGTGATTAGTTTTCTATTAACCAACGCACATAAGGGCTTACTAATTTCAGTAAATTTTAAAATAAAGCTTTTAAATATATTTTACTTCATTCCTTATAAGAATTTAAGGCCAAAATGATATAAAATCCTGTTTTTTCCATCAAGGAAAAAATCATTAAAAATATCGAATCACTCTCGACTACATATTTACCAATTTAAATATTGTTTTTCAAAGGGAATGGGTAAGATTTTTTTTTTTGGAGTATTATCATTCTTTTATTTCTATCTTTTTATATTAAGTTGATCGAAAAAATAACGCTATTATACTTATTAATTCAAAATCTATTAAAATTAATATATATAATTTACATTATTAATATATATTTATTTAGTGGTAGTTTTCTTTCACAAAAACGTGAACTCACGGTGTATGGAATTTTTTTACCTTATTCCACTTTACAAACTATGTGTTAATCTTGTTTGCCATCATTACAATTAAATATTCTAAAGAAAGCAGACGGAATTTACCAATACCTTGCACTTTCCGAATTTATTCCGTTGTTTTTCTTTTTTTTCTTTCTTTATTTATGCGTCTTTCACAGAAAACAAAATTTATGCTATTAAACGACAATCTCAGACAATCTAGTCGAATTTACAAAATAGAGAAAACGTTAAGAGTATTCTTTTTTAGTGAGGAAGTACATTGGTTTTGCATCTTACTTAAATTGCACCTATCATTGAATTAAACCAGACTAAAAAGGAGGAAAACTTTAAATAAAAAATATTGCACAAGCAGGATTAACAGTAAATACCCACGTATAGGTATCCTTTTTACACACCTACCCGTCAATTAAGTCTTCATCAATAAAAAAAATGAATCTGAGATTAGAACTAACCAAATTTTTAAACTTATGTTTTGTCTTTGCTTCTGCATATATGTTTTGGGAAACACTTTCGTTAGTAACAAATACACATTCTCCGATAGTAGTAGTTTTATCTGGTTCGATGGAACCCGCATTCCAAAGAGGCGATATCTTATTTCTTTGGAATAGAAATGAAAGAGTTAGCGTCGGTGACATAGTTGTGTATGAAGTTGATGGCAAAAGTATTCCAATTGTCCATAGAGTTTTAAGAGAACATCACAGCCAAGCAGATGAGTCTAAGCAACTTCTTTTAACAAAAGGTGATAATAACGCAGGTAACGATATTCCTCTATATGCAAACAAGAAGATTTATTTGACAAGAAATAGAGATATAGTTGGAACTGTGAAGGGTTACTTCCCCCAATTGGGCTATATTACAATCTGGGTCTCTGAAAACAAATATGCTAAATTTGCACTACTTGGCTTCTTAGCATTAAGCTCTTTGGTAAATGGAGAATAGATTATAATATTCTAACAATCTAAAATCCACATGCTTATTCTGTCTCTATTCCTTATTTTTATGTTACAAACCGTCACATATGCAATATCTTCTGATATATAGTACCAACCAGCTTAACATGTATAATTTTATATTATTAAACTTAAATTAGATAAATTAATTTGTTATACTATTTCATCAAGTATCGGATTATCTTACGACACTACTATTCCAAAATATAGTATATCTTTCTTTCTTTCTTTTTCTTTTTTTTTTTTTTCAATGAACACATGCTTAGGAACTATAAGGTTATCTATCAAACCTCATATCAATAAAAACAGCTAAATCAATGGATGTTGCTAGTGTAATTGATTCCTAGATCTAATGTCGTCTTCTAAGCCTTCCAACTCCTAAAAACGATCAAGATGCTGGATTACAGAAACCGAGACAATTCCGCTATATACGGGAAAATTTGCGGAATAAACAATGATAAAGAATGACAAAAAGAAAAAAAAAATAGGTAGGAGAAACCAAAAAAAAAAGAGGGAACAACTGTTAATTCCAACTAACTCCACTTATCGTTAGTTTAAATAATAAATTGTAATTGTTGTCTGTTCCTACTTGGTTGAAGATACGGATTGTTAGTTTTAACTCTGCATTAATAAATTGTCTCATCATTCATACTACAGTAAGCTAATATTTATTGAGATCTTTCCCATTATTGCGAATTAGGATTGCTGATTTCCATTGTTGATAAAAATAAACATACACAGAAATATACAAATAAATAATCATTATGTCTCAATCATTACGTCCTTATCTAACTGCTGTTCGCCATTCTTTAGAAGCTGCTCTCACTTTATCTAATTTTTCTTCACAAGAAGTAGAAAGACACAATAGACCAGAGATTGAAGTACCCATTCAAAGTGCGGAATTATTGTTGCAACCTATGCATATCTCGCGTAATGAGCATGAACAAGTATTAATTGAACCATCAGTCAACTCTGTTCGTGTTAATATAATGGTTAAACAAGCAGATGAAATTGAACAAATTTTGGTCCACAAGTTCACAAGATTCTTAGAACAACGTGCAGAAGCCTTCTATATTTTAAGAAGAGTTCCAATAAAAGGATACAGCATTTCATTTTTAATAACTAATAAGCATACAGAATCAATGAAGAATGGTAAGTTGATAGATTTTATTATTGAATTTATGGAAGAAGTTGACAAAGAAATTAGTGAAATGAAATTGTTTTTAAATGCAAGAGCTAGATTTGTAGCTGAAGAATATTTGAGTGAATTTGTTTACTAAAAATTTTACACATTGCTCAACCTTCATCCACATATATCTCATATTCCATATTTTCTTTTATATACATCACTTTCCTATAATGAACAATGCAATGACTATGTAAAAAAAATGATATAAAATTTGGTAGAACGTATAAAATAAAGTAAATTCATTTCATATTATATATCATATCTTTATAAAACATATCTGTTTGTATTGCTGATGTTGGATCCATAGTATCACCCAGCCACATAGCTTGATCCGAAATTTCCTTCCATAGTTGATTATCACTTGAACTGACATGTGTAATATCATTTAACATTTCATCTAAACTCATTAATGGTGCTGTATTATGTGGATCCAGTTGATCGACATTTTTGGCAATAATTTCAGAACCAAGTTGTGTTAATGGAGGTGCTGTATAAGCTTGTTGTAATGTCAGATTTATCATATCAGACAATGAATCTAACGATGTTAAACCTGTATTGTCTTTTATCCCGTTAGTATTAGTATTACTATAGTTATGATGAGGGTCAGATAATTGTGTGCCAGATATCATATTATTCGTATCGGAAAAAGAATTAACATCTTCGGATGTATCATTCAAAATCGCATAAATTGATTCCTTTCTCTTATATCTCTTTAAATCTTTTGACCTATTAGGAATTTCATTATTTTCATTTTTGGAATGTTGGATAATATTTAAGTTGATGCCACTATAGCTGCTATTATTGCTGTTCATACTGGATACACTAATATCATCCTTACTATGCTTCAATATTAAACTATGCAATGTATCATGGAAGTCTAGATTTATCATTAAAGTTAACAATTGTGCACGTCTTAATTCTGCTGGTTGATTTCCTGCATTTTGCATTAAGGTGAAAATGGTTAAAGCTTGGTCTAAATATTTGTATGTTTGTTCATGGATACCAAATGCTGTGTTAAATAAAAGCAAAGTACATGAACTTGTAAATAAATATTCACGATCCATATACCCAAATGTGGCTAACAATTTCAATTTTAACATATACCAAAGACATCTGATTGTATTGACAGAAGCCTGAAGTGAAAAATTCAATAAAGTAGTAATAGTATTAGAGTAACTCTCTAAATTCAAATAAGTATTATTGTTTTTAAATCTTTTCAATTGAATTGATGTAAAATGAAATAGCAATGGCCTAACCAATAAATTTATACCTTGAAAGTATTCTGTAAACAAATTGGCTGCAACACGGCTAATTTCGAAACTCTCATCATCTTTACTAAAATCAACTTGAGATGATATTGATAATTGATTTCTCCATTGAACAAGTTGTTTAAAGATGTTTTGGATTATAGGTAGAATATTCGAGTTTGGTTGTCTTTGATACATTTGGTTCAGAATTTTAGCGTTGATCCTCACAATGTTAATGCAATTTCTAATAGGTTCAGCTTTATAAAAACTATAATGTGGTTCATCGAATCTAATATCTTGAGGTAATTCTGTGGATATAGTGTTATCTGTTAATCCCAAAGGTAACCCAGCTTTACTACTTGACATTCTTTCGAACATATAAACTGTCCACCATAACCTCCTATGATGTTCCAATTGACAAGCTGACAATGTATCACTCTGAGAGTCAACATGCATCCCTAATAAAAGACAGGCCCGTAATGCTTGACCAAAATAAAAATAGGATGCAATGGTTCTATCAGCCACTTGTAAAAATAGTGCATACAAGAGTAAAGTTTCTATACTCCCCTCCTTCACACTACATTCAATACTAGCATTGCAGTCAATGTAATGAAACAATTTGGAGGCTTGGTTGAAAAAATCCATCCCAGGTAATTTCGTATCCTCCATTTGAATATTATTAAATACACGCTTTGACATTAATTTATCTTGTAATTCTTTTGTACCTAAATAGGATTCCCCTAATCCGAAAATAAGAAACACTTTCACAAACCATATTGTTTGTAAAATTGGATCACCGTTCATGATACCTTTATAACCATCGATCTGTTCATATAATTGTTTCAATCTAAGTTTTTCCATACCCTCATTGAAGAAATAAAAACACCCATCAAAATACGTTAAAAATGTGTCCATTAGGAAAAGTGAATAAGCATATGTTGGAAAATGTAAAGTTGTTACTACTGATGCATCATTTATAGGCAATTTTATTATAAACAAGAAAGATAATGTGTCTGATCGAAGTTGCTGAATTATAATTTGTAATTTATTAGAAGGTGAGAGATAGAGTACCGTAGAATTTGAATTGATATTATCACCAGAACTGTTTAAAGATAATGATTTAGAATGTGCAGTATCTTCTGATGAAGAGTGTGATAAATTTCTTTCTGATGGGAACGGCGGTGGAGTTACAGATGTTGTCGGTAAAGGTTTTACAATCTTTTCTGTTAAATATTTGGATATTAAGGATTCAATTTCCAATCCGAATAAGGTCATAGAGGAAGACCCGACAAAATATGTCTGATCCAAGGTGGAATTAATCAACCTCCCACTTCTTTGAGCAAAAGTAGATGCAATTTCTTCGTTAGATTCGGTTGGTTTAGAATTGTTATCATCTGTAGGCTGTAAAATATTTTTCTGCTCAATCATTTTAGAATCACCAATATTTTTCATTGATTTAATCTCGTCTAATTGTCGCAACAACTCAATGTTTTGTCTTTTCAATTCCAAGATATCATCCTGTAAACCCATTAGATATTTCATAGAGGTAACTATTTTCTTCTTTTGTTCACTGTACTCACAAGTTATACCTTTTTTTTCACATTTTGAACATGGTGACCCACCAGGACATTTTAGATGCTTATTTCTACATGATACACATGCATTTGCTGTTTTCTTAAGTTTTTTAACAGGAGTAGGTTGTTGATCTGCAGATTTCGATCTCCTTTTGTTATTTTCATTGGAATGTTGTTGTCTTTTAGTTGGTTTATTTAATTTGTTAGGCTTTCTTGAAACATCTTCATTTCTTTCAATCATTGAATATTCAATATAATAATGTTAGCGGATTGAACTATGGAACTTTATAAAGCTTCTTTTTTTGAAGATTTTTTTATTTATTTATTTTAATCTTACCTGTATTCAGTGTATTAGAAACGTAGATACAAAGATACGTGCTAAAAGAATGTTCTCTCCAAGGACAAACTAATCTCTATTACATCTTTAATTCAATATAAACAAGAAAAAAAAATGAAATTTATTCATTTCTACACTGATACAAAATTTTTGCGTTTTTTGTCCTTTAAATTTTGGATTTGTACAATTTGAGGAGGACAGATTCGTAGAAAAGAGTAATGCAAGATTAAGTGATTGCATTAATATAGACAATGGTGTATGTTTATATTGGGAAACATGTTGATATAACCTATTGTTCATAAATAAAAACAATAAAACAGCATAAAAATGGTCCACGTGATCATAATATCACATGATCACCAACAAATCAACTGAATATTTTCCAATTTTTATTGGTTAAAAAAGAAAAAAAAATTATAAACAAAATTCATGCATATCTTTTTCTTTTAGACGAAATTGACTTGTGAAAGGGAAATTCCGTGATTCCTTCTCTGTAAAACAAGCCTTTTCTGTTTGCTGGATGAGGGGGACAGAAGGGAAGATGGAAAACTGTGTTATACACCAAAATAGTAGGAGGGTTGTTGTGCTGTTGTTTAAAGCACCTTGACCCAGAGCATTGAAAGGAGAAAAGTTAAGATATTCGATAAACTAATATAAGTTTGGTATAACTGTATTGTAAATAGTATTGCTTGCTATAGAAAGTATTTTGCATGTGTACATTGTAATTCGTATATTATATTCCACTATCACTAGAATTATTCTATATTATTTAGAGTTTCAGACCGATTAACAATTTGCCTAATTCATTTATTTTACAATTATTTGTTTGATTAAACTTTGTCCTATCATTTCCATCCTTCAGATTTCTAAAGGACTACAAAAAATTTTTAAGTAAAATTTACTCATAGTTTAATCATTATAGTTGACTACAAGTAGTCAAGCAATAATACAAGTAATAATAATACCACGAGATACTGAACTAAATATAATCAAGCAATGTCTTTAGCTAAATCTGCTGCCAATAAATTAGACTGGGCCAAAGTCATCTCTTCTTTAAAGATCACTGGCTCCACTGCCCAACAACTATCCAGTTTTAAGAAGAGAAATGATGAAGCCAGACGTAAATTATTGGAATTAGAACAACAATCATTAAGTGTAGATTTCGATAAATATAGAAGTATTCTTAAAAATAAGGAAGTTGTTGATAAAATCGAATCCCTATTCAATTCATATAAACCAGTCCAGATTGACACTCAATCCCAACTAAAGATTATTAACACTTTTGAACAACATGCCATGACCAACGCCAAGGAAACTGAAGTATTAATTGAAAAAGAATTAATTACTTTGAAGGAAAGTCTAAACCAGATTGAAAAGGCTAGACCGTTTGACCAATTAACTGTAGAAGACTTAGTCAAAGCCAAACCAGAAATAGATGCTAAAGTTGTTGAAATGGTTAAGAAGGGTAAATGGGATGTTCCAGGTTACGAAGAAAAGTTTGGCTCTTTGAATGCCATGTAAGTAATATGATATTCACATTTCACGACTTCTTTTTTTTTTCCTTTTTTAGCCTTTTCATTTACATTTACCTAGTCTTTCTTTGTTATATACATATAATTTTTAGTTATTCTTTTTCATTCCATTTCTTTTTATTTTATTTTGGATTGCTACTATATCTTTACCATGTATAGCCACATAATCGCCTTTTAATATTCTCCCTGATTATTGTATCTATAATTTTTTGAATCTTTTTTAATTATTTTTTACTGCTATTACTACGTGTATTGAATTATTATAACATGTATATGTATTTATAGTTTCTCTAAATATTGTTATTTTTGTATATACGTTTTCAAAGTTTCTCTTTTACTATTTTGATCTGTTACTTTTCCTTTAGAGATTGTATTACTATAGAAACAGATATTAACAAACATATATGAGGAAAAAGCCATGCTTATTAATAACAGATCACACACATACATGTGCATAACATTAAATCTTTTACAAGATCCAGGTCCCAGCTTATTGAAAAGTTTACGAATATTAATACACTCTCTCATTTACCCCTTCTACTTTATACACTTACCACACATAATACCAAAAGCAAAAAAATATTTTAATCTCTTATAATTAGCCACTGATATCAGTATTGACGGTATCTATAAAATGAATAAAGATTTCGCCATTTCTTTTTTACAGTGTATAGAGCATGAAAGAGATCAAGATGTCGAACAAACTGCACAAATTCTAAAATCGTTACCATTGACTAAATTAGTAGAGTCTGGTTATGCAATTAATAATTTGATTTTACAGAATATTAGAATTGGGTTAGCAGGCAAAATTTATGTTGAATTAGGACCAGATAATGCTATAACTGATGAAATAAAACAAAATGATATTAAAGTCGGTGATATTGTTATAATTAAAAATAATCAAAAGGATTCACAAAGTCGTTCCATGCACTCAAAAAGGAACAATAATAAGCATAAAACTAAAAATAAGTTAAGTGATGGTACTTCTAAAAATACAGAGCTTGAAGATATCTCCTGTAGTGGAGTTGTTTATAAAATGTCCAAACAGTTACTTGTGATCTCTGTAGATGAAGCTCAAGAGAATAATGTTACAATGCTTTATAATTTTAACAGACTATATATTGTTAAAACCACTAATACAATAGTGTATAAAAGAATGGAATCCACAATGAGAAAACTTTTTGAATTTGAGGAAACACCATCTAATCATATTGTTCAATTGTTATTGAATCTTTCTTCTTTTACTCCTCAACCCATAACAGAAGATGTAACCTTTTTCAACAAAGGATTAAATCAGTCTCAAATGGATGCAATTAAATTCACTCTATCAAACGATATCTCCATTATCCATGGCCCTCCAGGTACTGGAAAAACATATACGCTTATTGAATTAATATTACAATTAGTGAAAAATAAGAAACAGAGAGTGTTAGTCTGCGGACCATCTAATATCTCTGTAGATACTATTTTGGAAAGATTATCAAAGCATCTTTCAGGGGATTTATTACTCAGGATTGGTCATCCTGCAAGGTTGTTAGACTCTAATCTTTCACATTCATTAGATATTCTGTGTAGAAGTGGAGAAAATGGTCAAATATTAAAAGATATTTATAAAGATATCGATAACACAATAAAGTCTATTAAAAAGATAAAATCATTTAAGGAAAGAAGGGAAGCATGGCAAGAAGTAAAACAATTAAGAAAGGAACTAAAAGTCCGTGAAAGAAAGATAGTCAAAGATTTAGTTATGGAAGCTAGAGTAATCGTGGCGACTTTACATGGATCATCGTCCAAGGACCTATGTTCTTTATATAATACTGAACAAAAATTGTTTGATACTATTATTATTGATGAAGTGTCACAGAGTTTGGAGCCTCAATGTTGGATTCCATTAATTTCCCATTATAAATCAAATTACACAAAATTGGTACTTGCAGGTGATAATAAACAATTACCACCAACAGTAAAGACTGAAGATGATAACAAAATTAAATCAAAATTAGAAACTACAATCTTTGACAGATTAGAAAAGATATATAAGGATCAATTTAAGAATCTTTTGAATGTGCAATACCGAATGAATTCACAGATTATGGAATTTGCATCACAAGAAATGTATCAAGGCAGACTAATTGCTGATGAATCAGTGTCTAGCAAGATACTTTTAGATTTACCTGACGTGAAAGAAAATGACGATACTATATCTCCAGTTATTTGGTATGACACTCAAGGTGATGATTTTACAGAAAGTAAGGAGATGACTTCAAACCATAGTAATAGTAGTATAAATAATATTATTGGATCAAAATATAATGAAAATGAGGCCTTATTAGTTAAATTACATGTTAAACATTTAGTTGGTTTGAATGTTCCAGAAGATGCTATAGGTATTATCTCACCGTATAGTGCTCAAGTATCGCTTTTAAAAAAAATAATTAGTCCAAGTTATCCAAACATTGAAATTTCTACTGTAGATGGATTTCAAGGTAGAGAAAAAGAAGTCATTATATTAACGCTGGTAAGAAATAATGAAAACTTTGAGATTGGATTTTTAAGTGAGGAAAGAAGATTAAATGTTGCAATGACAAGACCAAAAAAACAATTATGTGTTGTGGGGAGCATTGAAATGTTACAAAGGTGTGGAAATCAATATTTGAGGCATTGGGCTAATTGGAATGAGGAGAACAGTGAGCTGAGATATCCTGATATAGATGAATTATATGAAATGAATGAGAGTTAATTTCTGATATAAAATAGCATATATATATATATATATAGAAAGATGAAAAGACAAGAGAGAGGATGGTGATGGTATTCTATCATATATATTATTTATTAAATTATATACTTTAATTATTCTCATATACATAAAAATCTACATTTTCATCAGCAGTGACAAACATGGAATACTTTGGATTAAATGCTATTGTCCTTGGACATGAATCTTGTGCAGCATTTATAGAAACCATTGGTTTCAAAACTTTATTACTTATCGTATTAGAATGATTCCAAAATACTATCTTGCCATCATAATCAGTCCCGACAGTAAATTTCCCATCCGGTGTGAAACATACAGAACCACTATCCATAAACTCTCTGTTGGGGAAAGGTTTTGTCCCAGATAATTCAAATAAAATTTCACCACTGAATGAATCTAAGATTAGATGTTTGCCATAAGACGACCCTACCAAAAGATATTTACCATCATTAGAGAATTCTAATTTATTCCAATTCTTTTTAAAGTTATTTGCCAAAGAGAAATTGTTTTGAGTATCCAAATTTATTGTTAAAAATGGGCCTTTAATCAGCTGTCTTAAATTGTATAAGCCAATCTCCATGGACTCAGGGTTACCCAGTGCAAATACAAGACCCGAAGGATCATATGCAATGCAATTTGGAACTACACTTGGGATAATTGCCTGGGCCTTTGATGACCTTAAATCCCAGAGTCTTATGGATTCATCATACGATGCAGATAAAAAGGTATCATCCAAAGGGGACATTTGGATATCATGAACTAAAGCACCATGGCCAGTGAAATAGCGTAAATATTGGTTTGTTTCTAAATTCAAATGTCTAATATCGAATGATTTCATCGTTGAAGAATAGATACATTCATTTTGTGCATGCGTAAATTTGGCAGAATGACACCCATATTTCTTTGAACCAATTGTGTTTAAAAATTTACAGGATACAGAATCATAAAGATGCATATTATCATTTGCAGCTGCTGTCAATAAATATTTACCATTATCATCAAAATTTAATGAAGTGATGGGACTTACCTCCTTTTCTTGTAATCTGAAAGTTTTAACTGCCTTAAATTTAGAAAGACTCTCACGATCTAGAGTTAAAGACATTATCAGTAAAGTTGCTTAGGCCGGAATATATGCTTTGTCTAGTTGTTACTAGGGGGAGAAGTATATATAGTGTTAATTACATCAGGATTACTTTGTAAAATGTCTATATAATGTATTTTTTACACACAATATTTAAAAATAATGTCTAGTAAATCACTTTCTTAGTCTCTAAATATTTTCTTTTTTTTTTCTTCTACAATCTTTTCTTTCCTGGTCTTTGTGCTTTCATTTTCAAATAATAAAACCAATTGAAGATCTGAAGACAGAGAGAAAGAAAGATGGGAATATGATAGAAAAAACAGTATAAGACATCTATACACAAGCATATAGTTACTAAATAGTAGCAAAATCAACCTAAAAATATATATATTTAAAGATGAGTTTTGGCAGTTTATTCAGAATTGGATTAGAGGTTACTTTGGTGGGAATGTTATTAGCAGCTGTTAGAAGAAACACAGGTTATATATTTGCGTATGAAAAATATGGAATAGCTAAATATATATACAATTTCTTAAGTTATGGAGATTATTGTTATAGAATGTTTAGTGATTATTGTAGGACAAGTTCATATTTCCGTAAAGTATCCAAAGATCTTGATTAGAGAAAATGAATAGTAGGAAAAAAAAAAAAAAAAAAAACAGAATATTTCCATATACTGTTCCTAGATATATATATTCGTAATGTTAACTATCACAGTCATATATATATATGTTTATGTATGTATGCATGTATTTATTTAGAGGGGTTTAGGCTGATAATAATTTAATTTTATGATTCCAGTAATTCTTTCTAATAGGGTCATATTTGATTGAAAGGTATTTATAACATAACTCAGACATCTGTCTTTCACCCTTCAGTGCATATATATCAGCTAAAAACTCTAATGCATATGAAGATTGAATATCTGGCAAACTCGAGATATCCCTCACTTTTGAATTTAGTGGTAAATTCGATAGAAATTGCGAGATAAAAGTTTCAATATTGTCGTTGCTATTATTATTGGTATCATTCAATTGATTTGATGGTAAGATGTTTAGTAATCCATGTAGATAATTCCATGAGCTTACATTTTGTGGTGCCAATGAAATCTTAGTTTTAACGTAGTCAAGTTCCTGCGAGAGAAATAAAGGATCTGGGCGGATCTGTTTTAGGTAAAACATTCTATGGTTCCATGCACTGTTATTGTAAACATCTCTATCAATCATGTTATTGACGAAACTTAATTCATTTGTATAATCGCCAATTAATTTGACCACCCATTTTCTATACGACCACACATGATAATTTTTGGTATCATCATTCAACATTATCTCAATTATGGGTAATTCGTGTTTTAGTGAAGGTTGTTCCTTTATTAATTTAGTTAAGATAGACTGTCTATAAGACCAAATTTGGTAGTTTTTAGGGTTGTTTAAAGTGACTTGATCCAACCAATCCAACTCCTTCATTATGAAAAAGTCAGAACTAGAATCTACAATTTGTTTATGATAAATCAAATGAGACAAAATATTGAAACGGTAGTTCCAAATTGTATAAAATGCAGGAACCAAATTGATTAGCTGACTTGTTAACCTGAATGCTCTTACACTTAATTCATTATTAGATAACATAGATCTAGCCAAACCCATCAATTGTTTATATTCATCGGTATATAGAATCTTGCATAATTCATCATTACCGAGACTCGACTCAATTGTCATTGGAGTAATATCGTCATAATCTTGAATATTGAACTCTTTATAAGATTCCTCTTCTAATGACATCTTCTCAACTTTCTATCGAGTTGTTAAGCTCTATTGTTGTTGATATCACACTTATAAACTCAAGAATTAATCACAAAAACACAGATACATATATTTCCAACTCTCTGCTCTTCTCTAAAAGCAAACATGACGCATTATATACGACATCTTGAATATATATATGTATATATGGGATAGATAGATAGAGAAAGAGAGATTGTTCCCCCATACCTTTTTTCATGATTTCAGCCATTGTGAAAAAGAAAAGTTTAGGGTTTCCTCGTTTTTTTTTTTTAATTTTTATTTTTATTTTTATTTTTTTGGTTTCAGCCTGAAACCCTAAACTAAAAACACGCAGACATTTGTCTTGACGGCATAACTCAATTCCGCACGGGTTCTGTTTGCGAATAATGCGGTATTGAACGCGGGTTTTCCGACATTTGGCACATGGCAATTTTTTTTTGCCGCAGCCATTTGTCGTTACAGTATTGTTTGTCGTTGGAGACGGCGGTGAGAAGAGGGACAAATAGATCGATTTGTCTATAAAACAAGAGATGAAGAGTAAGAGAAGCTGAGTAAAAAGAGGCCTGTTGGTAAACAGACAGTGGGAGAAGGAAGCTGGGTAAGTGAAGTTAAACAAGCGTGTGAATGTTGCAGGGAAGATAAACGGTTTATGAAGAGTCGAGAATTAAACCACTTCATATTCTCTGAGTTATCTTTTATTAATTTTTTTTTTGATTATTTTATTAATTCATCCATTCATTCATTCATCAATTGTCTCGATCGTTAATCAATATAGTGTTAATAATAATAATAATAATAATAATAACAAAAATTGAAGATAAATTTATTAGAAATAATGATTAAAGAAGAGACTACAAGTATACCATTAACAGGAGATTTAGATGCAAATCAGCCTTCTTTAGATATTAATGATAATCTCAATCAGATGCTGCAGGATTTGATGAATCTGCCATCTACACAAAATGAAATAAGTCATGATAGTGCTGCTAATATTACAACCACTAATAATCCCAATCAAAACTATAATGGTGTTCCCAAGAATATAGATTATGAACCTATAGGAAGCAATATTAATACTAATGACAATATACCCGCTCCTAAGGATTTAACTGACAACTATTTAAAAATTAAAAATATCTTTTCTAATATTCTATTTGGTAGAAATAAAGATATTCTCCAATCAAATATTCCTGATCCATCTGTCTATCTAAATATTAATTCAAACAAATTACCTTTCATCCTAAATATTTTTGGGTTACCTCACATATCCAGAGCAGAGAACCAAATGTACTTAACTCTATCACTGTCACAAAATCCTTCCATAGAAAATAGAAACAATATTACCCATAATTGCAATTATCCAATTTATATCCACTTACCAACAAATTCGATAGCAAAAGAAAAATTCTATTTAAACGAAAATTATGAAACGTTACAAAACTTACCTCAAGTTTTCACAGATCGTGTACTATTCATCGAGGCTTTCTTATTTTCAACTACAAATCACGATTTGATCAACGTTTGTTCTAAATGTGTTCTTAGGGAAAAGAAGAGGTATTCAAGAAGAAAATCAGGTCTCTGCGATAATATCCTATGGTGTAACAATCCAAATAGAAATGCTATCTTGTTCTCCAGTAGACAATTATTCCCTCTTCAACGGCACAATGTTAGATATCATCACACCAATGGTCATATAAAAGAGATCACCATCGAATTAAAGACAAGAATTACTTGTTATTGTAAGCATCACACGAATACAGACAGCTTCCAGATTCTTTTTGTTATCAGAGATTCTAAGAATAATATTTTGGCTAAAGAGTTATCCGATTCAATTGTTATCATGGGTAAAAAAACAGAAAACCCTAATAATAAAGTAGTTATTACAAATAGCACTCGAGACTTTGCTCTTAATGTCACCACTCCAGATAGTTCAATATCTAATACAGATTCTCCTATGACAAAATCGGCGGTTAAAATAAATATCAAAAATTATCCTCTTCCATCGCCAGTATCATCTTTATCCTCTGTATCTTCGAGTTCTTCTACTAATGGTGAAGATTCTAATTATGATAATTTATCAAATAATTGCGGCAATATACAAACCGAACGTATTTATAATAGTAACATTTTTTATAAACAAGAAGAATTAATAAGTAACATGAATTTTATCACAGGAAACATAAGGTCAATGAACCAAACAGGTAACTTTAATCAACAGAATGGTGTTTCTATACCCATCACAAATCATCCCAGTGTTAACTCTAGTACGCCTCCAAATCATATTAGCAATTTTAACCGTAGTCAAATGAATAACAATAATAATAACAGTGATATAAGGAAAAGAGTAAAACATAGTCGTGAATATAACCCTTCTTTGTCCTCTTCAATAATACCATTGAATAATGACTTACCTTCTAATTCTCTTTTAAGTTTACAACAATTACCCAAGTCTATACAGGATAATGTTTATAATAAAAGGAAAGCTGATACTTTTGCATCTTCTTTCTCATCTTTGCCAACTTTAATTCCTTCCATCCATAAAATTATTCCATCACAAGGCCCGACATCTGGTGGTATTGAAATAACTTTATTGGGCTCAAACTTTAAACCAGGTCAAATTGTGGAATTTGGTAATAATCGAGCATTATCATCAGAAGTTTGGAATTCTACTACTATGATAACGTATTTACCACCATCACCAAAGGCAGGACAAGTGATTGTTACTATAAGAGATTCCGATTCTAGAGATACAAATAAAAATAGTGTCGATAATAATAGTAACCTTGGAACACACATTACTGGAAACGGTGTTAATAGTCATAATATCAATAATGATATTATTAATCTGAATAATGGTCCAATATTCACATATATTGATAATACTGATAAACAAATGATTGAGTTAGCATTACAAATTGTAGGTTTAAGAATGAATGGTAAATTAGATGATCCCAGAAACATTGCCAAACAGATTATTGATAGTACAAATTATGGGTGGAATTTTGAAACAAGTGGTGCTTCAAATAGTAACAATAATACTACCAATTATTCTGTAAATTCTGCTTTTAACAAATATTCGGAAAATACTGAATTATTGTTATTAGATATAATTAATAAATCCGAAAATTTTAATATTATGTTAAGAGATGAAATGGGGAGAACATTATTACATTATTCATGTCTAAAATGTTATGTATTATTATCTGAAACATTAATTAAAGTATCCGATTCCAAATTATGTGAAATTAGGGATAATTTTGAATATTTACCCGTGCATTTTGCTGCTGTTAATGGGAACCATGACATAATAAATTTAATGAAAAAGGCTAATGTATATTCTAATAATAGTAACACTATTCTTAATGGTTATACATGTAGAGATTTATATATTATTAACCACGCGCATAATGATGAAAAGTCTTTTTCAGAATGGTCAGAATTAGAGATTGAAAGTATTTCTGAAAATATGGTGGTGGATCGTGAAGGTGTATCATCTAATGTGAGAAATGTCCATGGGGAAACAACAAATGTAGAACAAGGCGAATCATTATGGAACAAGCTGATGCATAAATTAAATGATGACATTCTACCAAAATATGAAGACATTTTTCCCAAAGAATATATTGATTATTCTATAAATGGCAAGATGAATCATATAATGGCTACTACAGAAAATGTTAACACAAAAATTTCGAATTTAGAAGCGACAATAGTCGATGAACATAGGGAACAAGATGACTACGAAGATCCAACTGAGAATAATGAGGATATATTTAGAGAAATATTGTTCTTTGAGAGAAATGACAATTTCAAAAATGACAGAATGTTATTATACTTTTGGTTGCCACTTTTAGTTTTATTGTCCTCATTTATGTTATTGTATATCATGGGGAATAAAGATGACTGGATCCATTATGTTAATGACATAGTTTCCAATTTTTTCAGAGGTATGTTAACTAAATTGTTTGTTGGTAGACAGAGTATGAGCACTTCAATAAAAAATCGTTTGTCTAACTTCCAACCAAGTAAACTTTTGGAAGATTTTCCAAAATCCATTGATTTTAAACTAGCTGTTTGAGATCATGAAGACATGTAAATATAAGTGTGTATTGGTGTTTATGTATATTTTTTCTATAGTGACTAATCATTATGAGTAATCAACAAGTTCAAGAACAAAAAAAAACTTCTTGAAAATTAAGAATTGAAAAAAAAAATTTTAGTTATATTTACAAATGGCATAAGCAGCTCATCTGCTACAACTTCAAAAACTTTAATTTTTGTACAGCAGTTATAACTAACGCCTAGAGGAAGCTCGATCTTATCATTTAGCAAAAAAAGTGAAAGTCACGCAAATATATCTATCCTTTTAAAGGGGAAAATGAGCAAAAATCAATTTAGAATTATTGTCGGTTCGTATGAGCACAATCTTTTATGCCTTTCGTTAGATCTTTCTACTACAACTAAACCAATTTTTACACCAATCTTCCATTTTCAAGCTCATTCTTTAAGTATTAAATGTTTGGATATATCAAAGAGGTATTTAGTGAGTGGTTCCAATGATGAACATATCAGAATATATGATCTTCAGAAGAGAAAAGAACTAGGTACATTGTTACAGCACCAAGGTTCTATTACAGCATTGAAGTTCTCTCAAACTGAAGATAAAAGTAACAATAAATGGTTACTATCTGCCAGTGAAGATCATAAAATTATTATTTGGAGAGTTAAAGATTGGGAAAACTTTGGCACATTAAAAGGTCACACTGCAAGAATTAATGATTTAGATATTCATCCATCATCTAGGATTGCAGTTAGTGTCTCTGATGATCATTCTATTAGATTATGGAATTTAATGACTGTTAAGAAGGCTGCTGTGTTGAAATTAAGGAAATATAATCAGAATGGGCAGTATGTTAGATGGTTAGGGGAAAATGGAGAATATTTTGCAGTTGCATTGTTAAATAGAATATTGATATATTCTACTAGTGATGCCAAGGTACATTATGAGTTAGATACGGGTAAAAAGACTATTTTGCATATTGAAAGAGTTCTTCTAGATGAAGCTAAAAATGAATACCTTTGTGTTGGGATAAGTGATGGTAGTATTCAATTTTATCCAACGAAAAAATTATTTTTGGATGAACCAAATATTAAAGAACCAGAGTTCTCTTTACTTGGTCATACCAATCGTGTTAAGGATTTCCAATTTTACCAAAATGAATTTGGTACTTATTTAGTGTCAATTGGTTCGGATGGTAGAATTGTAGTATGGGATATGAAGGATAGAGAACAAATTGCAGTATATGATTGTGGTGAGAGGTTGAATTGCCTTGCAGTATGCGATGAGTCTATTGAAAAGTACGAGACAATGAAAAAGAGGACACTGTTGGAAAATGTGGAACAAAGTGAAGCCGAACTGAGCGATACAGAAGAATTGAAGAAAGTGATGTTCGGTACTAAAAATAAGAATAAAAAGAAGAAGAAGAGTAAAGGACAGAATAAGAGACAAAAGGTATCTGTTGAATTGGAATAAGACTTTCGATTGTGTAAAAATATATATTCTCTAGAAGTTATAGTGTTATATATTTTTCCAGTTTATGTGTACCATTTATAAAATATAATCATCCGGATTTTTCAATCAAGAGAGGGCAGAAGAAACAATATTTTTCAAGTAATTCTATATTTTCTAGAAAACTGTAAGAACTTCTAATTTCTACAGTGTGAGATATGTTTGATATTAAAAGTTATCTCTTCTAGTTTAAAAGAATCCTAGGTGTGTATGTAATAAGTACACGATGATTTTTTTGGAGTGAAGAGACAAGGGATTGCCAATCAAAGTAGGTGTTGTTGAAATAGAATGTTCTAGAATGAAATAGATAGAACAATAAGATATTAGCAGACACTAAACGATAAATTGTTGGGTAATAATTGTTGAGAGGTCACCAAAAGTTGTTGAGTTTGTTTATTAAATATCTTACTGTTCGTAGAGGAAAATGGCTTAATGTTAACATATATAAAGCCAAGGATTTCATCATACATCATTTTTTTCTTATTTACAATCTTTGTATATTATTATTTCTATGTTGTATATAGAGAAAGAAAGTGAAGAACTTTATTATAATTTTGTGTACTAAATCTATTTAATATGATATTGAGAACGTTTACTATATATCCAATGACTACAGGTACTCATTCTCAACAGGTGTTGTCTACAAATATTTACGTAGATATTTCTATATTATCAACAAAACTAACATCCACCCCTCCCTTTTTACATTTCCTTGTATTTCTCTGTTTTAATATTAATCTTTAAGCCAAGACCGTGTTATTCGTTAATCTCTTAAGTTCCCCTCAAATAACTTTTTTAATTTTAATGTTTTAGGAAGGAAAGAAAGGGAAAGAGAAAGTGTGTATCTGTGCAATAGGGAGACTGTGTATATACATGAAAGAATTGGTGCGTAATATGTTACAAGATCAGTAATATAGGTAAAGGGGTGGTTGCAATTTTATATATTTTGTTCATGAATTAAGGACTTCACAAATAATAATGATAGGGGGGGGGGGGGGTGTAATTATTTCTTTTACTTTTATATTTTTAGTTGCAAAATATTGCGACCTTTCTCTTCCAAATTCAAATCTTTTAATTGTATGAATACTATCCTTTAGTACTTCTACATTATATTGTAGAGATATTTCAAATTTTTATCTTTTTACAAGCTAAAATATGATATTAACTTCCACCTCTCCTAAAAGGTAATTGCTCTTAGCTGACTATCTACAAAGTCAAATTCAGATTATTAAAACTGCTACATTTAATTTCTTTTGTGTTGATATTATTCAGTTAGCTATTAAACATTTCATATTAAAGTATTATCCACTAGTTTCTATTTATTCCTTGGTCTTCCTTTTTTTTAAACTATTTAACTAGTGATAAGATTTATATTGTGTCTGTTAATCTACTCTTTTCTTTAATAATAACAACAGCAACATAGAATATGTCTACCATATGCAAATTTCCGCTAGTTTTATTCACAGTATATTTTACAATTGCATATTCTTCAAAGGTTCAAATAGCTAATAATAATAAGATTAATAAAGGCTATATTGACTTTACATTTAAAAAGAAATATGGGGTTAATTATGATACTGCTACAAGTCATTCTAATGTGGAATTAAATTTACAGAAAAGAGACACTGGGTTTGAATTAGTAGAAATCACAAACCAACAAAGTTTTTATTCTGTACAATTAAATATTGGATCGCCATTCCAGCAAGTTGAAGTGTTAGTTGACACAGGATCATCTGATTCGTGGATCACTGGATCTGATAATCCATATTGTTTGGGAAATAGAAATTCACAGATTTTACCAAGCGATCAAATTGATTGTAGTCAATATGGCACATTTAATAAATCAGAATCTTCTACTTGGTCCCAAAATGAAACAGCTCCACCTTTTTTTATATCTTATGGTGATACTACATTTGCATCAGGAATCTGGGGTCAAGATCAATTACATTTGGAAGATATTAATATCACTGGACTATCATTTGCCGTGGCTAATAGGACAAACTCTACTGTTGGACTTCTTGGTGTTGGTTTACCATCATTGGAAGTTACAAATGCTGGTAGAAATGGTTACCAATATGATAATTTTCCAATGATTCTAAAACGTTCTGGTGCTACTCGTTCTTCTGCATATTCACTTTATTTGAATAGTTTAGATGAAGAACATGGGTCGATTTTATTTGGTGCTGTAGATAATTCAAAATATACTGGTTCACTTTACACCATACCATTAATTAATACTCTACAAAATTATGGTTACGATAAACCAATTCAATTTGAAGTTACTTTACAAGGAATTGGTCTTTCTAAAGATGCCAACGGTTCTAACATAACTTTAACCACAACAAAAATTCCAGTTTTACTCGACTCAGGAACTACTCTAACCTATCTACCAAAACCCATCCTTGATTATTTAGCAGATAATATTAATGCCACTTTTAGTCAAAATCATGGGTATTATGTTGTTCCATGCAACTCTGATGGAAATAGCAGTTCATCTTTTGATGATAATACCCACTTAGTCTTTGATTTTGGAGGATTCCATATCGACACTCCATTAAGAGATTATTTAATTAATATAAGTAGAAACAGGTGTATTCTAGGACTAATACCTCAAGATTCTAATTCTGGTATTCTTGGTGACACATTTTTGTCTCATGCTTATGTAGTTTATGATTTGGAAAGATTAGAAATTAGTATGGCTCAGACCAGATTTATTAATAACTATGACGCTGATGATGCTAAGGGAACAGACGTTAATATTATTGATGGTAGTAATGCTGTTCCTGGCGCAATAAAAGCTGCAGGATACTCTAATACTTGGTCTACTACAGTAAGTACAGTTGGCTCCTGCGGCAATATCTTTACATTGCAACCACATGTTACAGAAGTTGATTCACAGGTTTCTGTTACAGATTCGACAGCAATCACACCTACCACTACTACTCTGAGTATGACAGTATCAGGATCTACTTCTACATCAACCAAAAAAACAAAAAATTCCGCCATCAAAGAATCTATTGATTACTCAAATTTATCAGGGATTATTTTCTTAAGTATTGTTTACCTATTTAACTTGTTCTGATATTTCAGAGAAGAAATATTATAAGTTAAACAAAGAGAAAAGGTGCTATTAAAAAATAAAGGACAATTTTTTAGTCTTCCACATGATCTCAATTTTAACATGATGTAGAAACAATTAATATATCTTCCACTCTAACTCTTGCTATATATACATATATATTTAATAATATTAGTAACAAATAAGTAATATAAAAATATTCTAAACATAATAAATCTTGCAACCAATAATCTAACAAGAACAAAGATTATATTATGTACTTTATTCATTAAAAATGGTTAATTTTGTCACTCTAATCTCTGACAGTGTCAAATCATGATCAACCTTTTAAATGGAAAGGCTAGTACCAAAAAAAATAAACACTGGTAGTAATATGTGTAAACCTAGTAACCTAAATTTTTTTTACTTGATTTTTTTTTTGATTTATCAATTAGAGTGGAAAATTTAAAGAGACAAGAGCAAATATAATAATATCTCCCTCCATTCTAACTAGACCGCCAAACATCTTTTATGCCCTCGATCGAAGTGATAACACCGAAAAACGTAATTAACAAATCATATCCTTCAATCAAATTCAAAAGTTTCAAAACTACAATAGCATCTAGGAACGTTAGAATTATCTTTCTGAATACTACCGTTATCTGACAATAATGGATTCTTAAGTGCTTCCTTTTAGTTTTTAATAAACTATTATTCTTTGTAGAATTTATCTTGTGAAAACTTTTTTTTGTTAATCTAATATCTTTTTCATGTGCATAGAGATAACTTATATTAATTGCGAGCGTCCAAAATAAAGTAGATAACCAACAATAATTAGTGATTTTTTGCCATTTCTTTGACATAGGTAGGGATAATACTGTAATTTCAAAGCATTGTAATACATTCAATACGTCAAACAATTTCCATAAAAACAAAGAATAACACTTAAGTAAGATCATCCAGGCCATTAAAGACCACTGTCTAAAATGTTCTTCCGCTTTTACAACTTGATTAAAGGAACTAAACAATTTAAATATACTAATGCATTTAAATAAAAACCTAAAATGGCTTGTTAAATGGTTAACAATGGGTAGCCCTATGTAAAGATAAACCAATTTTGAACTATATTGGCCTAATCGAAATAGCTTCTCTAAACCTTCAGTTTTAGATACATATACATCACATTTAGTAATAAATTGACTCTTCAATATGCATTTAAACATCACTGGCTTAATTATAGGTAATGCATAACTCTATTTATACGTTCTTGTTTTTCTATTATGAATTTATATAACAAGAACATAAATGGCCCCCCTTATCAGTAAAATATCAGAAAATCAGAGTTTCTTAAACTTGATTTTTTATTCTATTTTAGATTGCAACAATAAGAAAAAAAACTCTTAAATAACAAACATTATAAATATTTCTTAGACAGTGTCCAAAGAATGTGTATTATTAATATTAAGAATGTTGGCCCAACTGTTATTATGGAATTATATACACATATTTTATTATCTAATGCATTTAATCATATTCTATCTTATACTCTGTTTAACATATATACTTTCTGTTTAGTCTATACTTATATGTATATGTACAAAGTACCTAACATAACAACATTATGATGCTAAAACATACTATGAGGTCTGTGTGAGCGATCTAAATGTGGATTCAATTAAATCCTTTAACTCTTTGTAACTGATAATAATACAATTCATTTCATCTGGTGTTACTAAGACTAATTTTTCCGAAGCTCCAGCATCTAATTTATTTAAACATCGTAAAACATGAGTCAAATCCATCACAGGTTTACCTGTTTCATCAACTTGATGAAAAACAAAATCATAAAATAATATAATAGGGAACTTTTCACCTGATTCAGACCAATTAATATCAATTCTCGATTCAATTCTGCCAAAAATGAAATTCAATTTGCAAATTAATCTGAATAGTCTTGCATTTTCTAATTCTGTCGCTAAATTCTTATTTAAAAATTCATCATATTTTTTCAATGCATTAAAATTTGAATATAACTGATCGATGAAAAGAACTGTTAAATCCTTGATATTTTTATCTTTATTATTTTCATCAATTAAATATTTCAAAACATCTTTAAACGAACTTTCGACTTGTAATTGATCAATCTCTAAATCATCTTTATGGATCTTGCTTATTTTATTTTCCACTGATAATGAACCGGAGTTATTATTATTATTATTACTATTTCCATTTCCACTATTAGTAGATGATTTTATATTGGATGCTAGTTGAATCAATAATTTGCCTAATTTTAGATAATCCTTTTGTTTCAATTCTTGCAATTCAAGAGGTGTTTTATTTGAATTATTCGATAATAAATCATTTGCAGCTATACTGGAAATTTTTATTATCGCAGGGTTGTTTGTTACAATAATCTTTTCCCAATTCAACAGATTCCCCAAGATCAAGTCTAATTTATGCGCAGCATTAATACCATTACTTAACTGGATCAAATATGTCCAAAGATATTCTTGAGTAATTGGCAAAAGTGGGAAATTTATAAAATGTGCTTCATAAAGAGAGATGGCCTTTGGATAATAATCATAAATCAAACATAGAGATGAGTCATTAAATTTTGTAGTAATAAAGACATCTTTAATTGAAACGATATTAACATTATGCAATTTTTTCCACATTTGGAAAACCTTTACTAAATGATGTGGATCTATTAAATTTGATGAAATATCATGAATTCTTCTCATTACGTAATTTCTACCGTCAATATTTGAAAATACTTTATAGAGAGAGTTTTTGTGACCTTTATACCTGTCAATGTCAGTTTTCTTTTCATGAAAATCTAGTGGTACAAGACCAAAATAATCTTGAACCAAATCTGGTAATGGACCACCAGGTGGGAAAATTTGTAGAGACGCCAAATTTTTTTTAACCAACTGTTCTCTTAAATCATTTGGAATAAATAAGTCATCCGGTGTCCTTTCATTTGGTTTCAATGAGACCTTCAACTCTTGCGGTGTATCTGGGAAATACAAATGGTATTGTAAGATGCTATGTGGTGGTGGATAAATTGTTGGGTAATTCAATCTTAATGGAAGTCCTTGAGTAGCCATAGAGTTGTCAATTGTTGTGGTTGTCAAAGTATTAGTCATTAGTGAACCTATTCGATTAGTGTTATTCTCGTTAATTGGTACCATATTATCTCTGTTATCGATATTTGTTGCTGTCATTATATTTGTAGTTGACATATGCGGAAACGATAATGACGGCATTACAAAATTACCTAATTGTTGTGATTGCAGGTTTTGAGATGTTTGTGTGAGTGACGGAAGGTTAAATACAGGAGAAGAGGATAACCCCATCTGATTGAAGCTATCTATTGTATCAGGATTGACATTAGTAGAAAGATTAGATATGGGATTGATATTATTATTACTATTGTTATTGCTACCGCTGTTGTTGTTGCTGTCATTATTGTTATTGATATTGATATTGATATTGTTATTGTTGTTAAAGGATACAGGTGTATTAGGTTTTGTATGGTTATACTTATCGATTGATAAACTGGAGAAGTTATTAGCCAGAGGGATATTGTTATTATATGAATCCAAGTTATCATTACCAAATGACATTGGGGTAAAACTTGCAGCAAATTTTGCATTAAATCTGGTGAAAGAAGGTGATGATGTAGTGGATTTTTTTTTATTATCATTGGCTGGGTTATTCAATTTTGTCAAAGAAGGTAGATCAGATAAAGAGATGCCTTCTGCAGGACCAATAATCTTAGCAGATGGTATATTTGGAGTGGATTCTTTCATATAGCTAATATTGGCACTATTTGTGTTATTAAAAGGGTTCATTTCATAGTCATTATTAGTGTGTTTATTGACATTTGAATGTGGTGGTTTTATTGTGACAGGGTTTATTATAGGAGTGCTGATATTGACGTTGTTAACATTATTTTCATCCTCATGTTTAAATGGACACCCATCTTTTTGTTTTTTACAATATCCATAAATTATAACGTTTCTACATGGGATCTCCTTAGCCCATTCATGATTGATTTTATCCATCTAGAGTGCAATATAAAATAATATATATATATATATATATAGGACTTAAAAAAAAAAAAAATAAAAACAATAACAACAATAATTAAATATGTACAAATTATTTGTAATACTAATAGTAATAATAGTAGTAGTAATAGTAGCAATAGTGATAGAAATAATGGTAATGGTAGTGCTAAATGTAAAAAAAAACTAGTTTGTCTATTTGTCTATTTGTTTTTTCTTTTTTATTTTTTTTTTTGTTTTTAATCTTCTTCTTCTTCTTCTTGTTTATAGACCTTATTTTCTGTATGGTTCTTTAGAAGAGGAACGGAAAGGGAAGAGGAAAAAGAAAAGACAGTAACGAATATCAACAGTAAATTATAAACATATAAATACAAAAACTTATATTTAAAATTATAATTATAATTATATTTGTATGTATGTATATATGTATGTATTTTATGACAATTGATTGATGACTATGTATACATGGTGTTTTAATTCATAATACAGTAAAGGATCATATACTATCATGTCAGTTTGATTTGCATCCTTTAGATGTGTTCTTTTGTTTTCTTTTTTTTTTTTTTTTTTGTTTTTTGTTTTGTTTTACGTTTCTCAGTTATTTCACTTTTTGGTGCAAGTTGGAAAAAAGGATGGCCGTCAACCGTGACTTACACGAAAGGCCATGTCTTGTTATTCCAGATTAGTCTCTGTGTGCTATAATCTCATTACATACGAAGGTGCAAATGCACAGCACTATGAAGACAAGAGAAGTGATCGATTTACAACAGTCGAGATGTTTGAGACGAAAGAAGAAAAAAAAAGAAAGGAATGGAAAAGGAAGATAGATTGACACACATACACACACACACTCTTTTTTTTTCTTTCCTTCTTTCTTTCCTTACATAACTCCTACTATATCTTCCAACCAGAGTACATTAAAATATAACCGTATATGTAGAGGATGCTTAATACGGTATATGTATGGCTTGTTGAATTAAAAGCATTAACACTCTTTGCTTGAGAAGTGTTCTTATATCCACCACAATCACTTCAAACGGCGACAAACAGTATAATAAAAAGGGTAAATAATACTGGAGAGTATGTGTTTTCTGTGAAATTGCTATTATAATTTCTGCTTTTGTACTTTTTTTGGCGCGCAGTCAAATTAACTTTTTCCTCTTTTTCTTTTTCTTTTTCTTTTGTCGGGAATAAAACAAGAAAAAAACAAAGAAAATGCCACTATGAAAAATTTCTTAGTTTTCAAACACACCCTACCTGGTCGTCAATCATGATCTTCAATTATTGTGAGTGCCCGTATTGTCCTCCCACATCCTTCTGGTTGAAATCTCACTATTACAATCGCACTTACTAAGTCTCTCTCTCTCTCTCTCTCTCTCTGTATATGTCTACTTTAATGTGAAGTAGTAAATGTTGAGGAAGAGGGATCCCCGAGTCAGTCAGTTAATCAATCTGTGTTCGTATGCGTTTATCTTCACTCCGATGATGCATTTTACTATTATGATCTCATTTATAATTAACAATATGTAACTAGCTAGTCTCACCCTCTTGTTCTTTCTTCTTTTCTTTTCTTTTTCTTATTCTTATTTATATTACCATTGAAGATTTCTATTGTTGTTGGTTTTATATCATACTAGTATAATTTCCATATAACTGAAAAATATCACCATTCATCAATCCATCTCTATTACTATCATTACAATTACATCCTACACACACATACATACACTCACTCACTCACTCACTCACAAAAGGTAATATATATACATATATACATGTTGGTGCTAAAATCTTCTTGACTAAGTCTTTCCTTTTGCTTGCTTTTTAAAAAAAAATATAGAATATATTTGTAAAGATAGATAACAAACCAAGTGAATATATATCTTATCATTATTTATTGCATTAAATTGCCATTAAATTAAATCGTTATTAACATAAAATAAAAAAAATAAAAAGAATGGTTGATAAAGTTATTATTGTCACTGGTGTGTCTAGAGGTATTGGTAGATCCATTGTTGATAGAATCTTCACTCACAGTGACGATGCCGTCGTTGTTGGTATCGCCAGATCTGAAAAACCTTTACTAGATATCAAGAACCAATATGGTGATAGATTTGAATTTGTCGTTGGTGACATCACTGACTCTGACAAATTGAAACAATTAGTTCAATTGGCTTTGGACAAATTCGGTAAGATTGACTCTGTGGTGGCTAATGCTGGTGTCATTGAGCCAGTCCAAGATATCTTTAATGTTGACATCGAGGCTTGGAAAAGATTGTACGATATCAACTTCTTCTCTATCGTCTCCTTAGTTAACATCGCCGTTCCATATTTAGTTAATTCCAAGGATACCAACATCATCTTTGTCTCCTCTGATGCCTCGGATACTTACTTCAGTAACTGGGGTGCTTACGGTTCCAGTAAGGCTGCTTTGAACCATCTAGCCATGACTGTTGCTAAAGAAGCTAAGCATGTCAAATGCTTGTCTGTGGCTCCAGGTATCGTTGATACTTCCATGCAAGTCAACATTAGAGAAAATGTCGGCAAGAACATGTCTAAGGAACACCACGACATGTTCAAGAACTTTCATGCTGATAACAAACTATTAGACCCTAATGTTCCTGCTAACGTCTATGCCCAATTGGCTTTGAAAGGTATTCCGGATGAAATTAATGGTACTTATATTTCTTTTGATTCTGAAAAATTAAAGGACTATCAAATATAAAAAATAAAAAAAATTAACTAATCTTTATGCATAACACAACTAATTCATTATTGTTAATTAATTAAATCATTCTATCAAAATAGTTGAGTCTATATATATATATATATATACTTTAAGTAAATATTATTTATAGAAATAAATATTAAAAAAAAACATAACAAAAAAGATCAATTTCAAGATGCGCTAAGCTATTTCATTTTTCTTTTTTTGATCTATCTATCTATTATATAATATTGTCTCAAATAATACAAAGTTTGATTTTTCTTTTTATGTTTTCTTTATAAATAAAAATTCATATATATAATACTTGTATAAAAAACCAAGTTTATATTCTATCTTTAATGCCTTGTTGAACATCTCTATAAACAGCCTCAACAGATTGATCACAATTAATCTTTACAACTTTATTCTTTTCTGCAAACATATTAATAACAGGCATACTAGTTTCTTGAAAAGTTTTAAATCTTTTCTTAATCGATTCAATGTTATCATCAACTCTGCCACTGGTCTTACCACGTTCCAGCAATCTCTTCAACATGACATCTTCTGGGCAATCAAAAAACAACACGAATTTGCTTGGAACAATAATTTGTTCAAAAGTAATTGCCTGGTCCATCTTTCTTGGGAATCCATCTACAAGGAACTTGGTGTAGCCCTTATCGAAGTTGTTTTCGATACTTGTTTTTAAAAGTGTGATAGTAATCTCTTGTGGTACAATCAAACCTTCTGTAATATAATGGTTAATTAAGGCCCCATATTGAGACCCCTCACGTTGTTGTTCCTCACGTAACAAATCACCTGCAGACAAATGAACAAAGTTGTAGTCTTCAACCAATTTATTACATTGGGTACCCTTACCTGCACCTGGACCACCGAGAACAAAAACCACGGTGACCTGTTCTGGAGAGAATCTTGGACCCTTTGTGATATCTAATTTTGGTAATTCGATTTGCATAGTCATAGTGATCAAAATAAAACAAAGAAAGAATAATGAAGTTTTAAATCAAAAATTCCCAAATATTTATTTATATCGATATACAGGTATAACAATATACTAGGAGATACAACTAAAGAAAAAGAGCAAAAAAGAGAGAGGACCGTTCGTATTTTTGATCTTGGTTTCTTAGAGATTGCGGCAATTTATTCCAAAAACTCTCTAGGTTTAATGTCTTTCCTTTCGTAAAACACAGAAACAACACTTGTGACAAGGGTTAACCCAGTGATAATAGATAGAGTTCTGTACTTGTTTCTCTTTCTTGGTTTGTTGTTCTCATCGCTGTTCTTATCATTACTTTTCTTGTTCGAGGAATGGAATGTCTTCAAATTTTTTCCAGCGGTGGAAGAATATTTCGATATCGGCCACAATCGAGAATTCACCGTTTTACTGTTTAAAATAACACAATTATAAAAGCCATGGAGTGATGGTATTATGTCCTGTAAAAGTAGTGGTCTGCTGGCTGTTTGGACAAATAATATATATCTGACAGTAGCTGTTGACATGGTTAACAGTGTCTATGTGATTTGGACCACTGTAATTTGTGTTCAATCAGTTTGTGTTTGTGTTTGTGTTAATGGCTTTTTGTTCTTGTAGGGAAGAGAAGAGCAAACTAATTGAAAACATACTATCTAGTCTTTTTTTGTTAGGTCTTTTATCTTTATTTTTATTCTTTTTTTAAAAACTCAAGATAATATTAGGGTTTCTCTCGTTTTTTGGAAAAATGTTTTTTTTCCTTTTTCCCTTTTTTTGCCTGTTTTGTTGCTTTTGCTTTTGAATTTCATTCAATGCGATGAAAACTTTTTTTATGCTACACGGGTTGGCATAAACAAAACAGACCATTCATCAGTAGATCTGTATTGGACTAACAACGATGTAATTCAATAATACCTTTGTATTCACCTGTAGATTCATAAATAGCAGTTGAGAAAAGGAAAAAAAGGAAAAAAAAGGAGAGTATTCAAATTGGAGAATCCCAAGAGATTCGTGAAACAAAGGATAAACTTTTCAATTTCAAATAATAGTTAATATAGACTCTAGCAAGAATGGACGACTGCGAGTTAGTGGAGTTTTTATTGAATGATGATTTCAATAAAGAAAAGAACCTTTTAAATGGACCTTTGGATGAAACTTCGAATAACATAGACAAAAACGACAACATTAGCAAGGATGATGGTAATAATAAGAAGAAGATAACACAAGAAAACTTAAGAGGTAGAAATGATTTGAATTCAACAAAGAAAGAAAATGATGATAATGAGATTACTATCACCACTGGTATTAGGAATGTATATAAGAAGGAGAAGGATGATAATACAGATAATTTAAGTTCAACAGAGTCAGAATTTTTGGATGATTTGGATAATATTATTATGTCAACAAACTTTACTGAAAGTTCTAAAAGAAATAAAATTAAAAAAGATAAAACCATAAAAGAAAATAATAGAAGGCATAAGAATGACATCACAACAGAAGATCAATCCATTCAAAATGAATCAAGGTCAAATATATTCGCCTCAATAAACGAATCTGATCTAATTGTACTGAATGCAGATGCACAATCGAAAATTAAACTAAATGATCGAACAGCCGTAATTAAAATTCAAATATTCAATAATGATACTGGTAAGCTTGATAAAGAGACGCCCTTTAGAATAATTAATGCTGATAAATTAGTATTGAAAACTTTTAAATCTAAATCTAATTCAAAAGATGGATCAGAGAAATCCAGTAAAAAATGTGATAATAAATCTAATAATAAGCCTAATAGTAATAATAACAATAAACTTTCCTTTCAATTTAAACTAACTGCATCTGATATGACTCCGAAAAAGATCAATACAAATAACGATACATCACAAAATACTATAAAGAATAATGAATATATTGATCAAAAGAATAAGATAAATCAAAAAGATAGTAAAACTAAAAAAAGAAGAGATAAGAAAAAAAATATGAAGCAATCAAACAAAACTAGCCCAAAGAATATGGAACAGAAGAAGGATAGAAATAACTCTTCCAGTCATGGAACACAGAGGTCTTCAAAGGAGAGAAAGAATGATCGCAAGCAATCTGATAGTACTCAATCTACACTAAAAAGAAAAATTGATGACTCTACTACAAAATTAAGAGAAATTATGGAATCAAAAGTCCCAACCGATGAATATTCAAGAACTACAATCGAGTTTTGAAATGTCCTTCATTAATGTAAAACATTGAAAAAATAAAGATGAAAACAAAAGATACACAATAACACCATGCCTCTTTGATGTTTCTTCTAATCTTTTTCCTGTAATATTATGACAATCTCTCTTTCATCAATTATTTCATTTGCATGCAATATATTGAATATATTATTAGTTACTATAGTTTATAGCGAATACGATAAACAAACTTATATATGTAACATTCTATTATTTGTGGGCATTCTTGTTCTTTTTTTAAAGACATTATTATTTTATTCGTAATCTATTCAACGTCCATAGGTTCGATATAGTTATCGTTGATACTGGTATTATTGTTTTGTTCTGTGGAATTCTCATAAAATGGCCGTTTACTAGATCTACTTCTAGATTTTTTTAAATATGGTGACGGCTGTAAAGCTGGGTTTTTTGATCTTTTTCGTTGGATTTTATTCACTATTTGATCATTTATTTTTGTATTTTTATTTAATTTATCATTATTTGGATCATATTGGTCTATATTTAAAATCAAATTTTCAAAATTTGTTCTCACAGATAAAAGATGATCACCATTCAGCGATAGGGAAACATTCAATTCTAAAGCATGTTGTAACAAATCAGATGCATACTTATTTGAGGGACATACTGCCAGCGATTTATGAAGATAGTCAATAGCCTTCTCAAGTTGATTTGTCTTTAAATACAAAAACCCCAATGTACAATATACATCTGAGTCCTTTTCTGAATCCTCCAATATATATCTGAAACATTTAATAGCTCTTTCATTTTCACCAAGTCTTTTATATGTATGCCCTAAATTTGTTTGAATGGAGATGGATGTTTTTGATGTTGGACTGACATCCTTTATTTCTTCTAAAGCTCTATTCAAATATTTTTTAGATTTATCAAATTCTTCCTTTTTATAATACAGACATCCCATTTCATTTAATAACAACGGATCACTAGGACAAATATCATAAGATAGATTGAAATATTCTTCTGCTAATGACAATGTGTTTGAGGTCATATATTGCATCCCAAGAAATAGGTATGGTAAATGACTACCTGGGAAAAATCTTGCAGCTGTAGAATAAGCTGCTAATGCTTGATCTTGTTCACCTTCAAGAGCATACGTGTGTGCAAATCCTAGCCATGCAGGTGCAAAAGTAGGATCCAAAATAGATGCCTTTGAAAAAAATTTTCTAGCTTGATTAATTTTATTCATTGTAAGATAGTATGTTGCTACACTAAACCAAGTAATTGGACTCTTCGGTAAGTTTTCCGCTAATTTATGTGATAGAAGAAATAATTTATTTTTTGCTGACAATTCAAATAAACAGGTAATATATGTTGGCAAAAGCTTAAGATTAAATGAATCTTTTGATAAATATTGTTCACAAACATCAAGACACTCATCAAATTTACCCTTAAGATGTAGAAGTTCCACTTGACTACAGACAACATCTGAGTTCGAGTCTAAATTATACTCGTTGGAAAGTAATTGTTGTGATTCCCTTATTCTATCTGTATTCACCAATTTGGAAAGCTTTAGTGTGTAGAAATTTCTGATTATTTCTTCATTATCATCTAGAATAGAAAAGTCTAACTCATGAATAAAATCCCATTCTTCTTGTGGTGTCAATAGATACTTACTTGTCAAAGTATCAAATGCTTCAAAATTCTTAATATCCACCTTAACTGCCTCTTTAAAAGATTCTCTGGCCTTTTCGAAATTATTTAATGCACAGTAGATTTTACCCCTCAGGTGACAAAGTGATGACTCTAATTTAATCCCTCCATCTGTCTTCTGTCTCTGTTGAGTCATAAACTCATCTTCACTTATCGATTCATCCGCAAATGGATTAGTTTCTCCCACAATATCCAAGGCTTCTTCATATTTTTGTAACTGAACATAACAAAGGGCTACCAGATATCTGCACATGATATTGATTGTAACTAGACTTGTAGAAGGAAGATTGGCATAATCTAAATCATCTGTGCTTGTAGTCGTCAATAAATCAATCGCTCTTTGATATTCCATGCTATCATAATAAACCTGTGCCAACCAAAATGCATCATTTGGATCGTTTGTTATGCTATATATCTTATCTCCAATATATTCTGCAGTAGTATACATATGCTGCATCAATGCATCGTGTCTCCAAAGTCTTAACCTTTCAATAGAAGATAATTTCGTTAAATCTATTTCATTTAGAGTAGTTACAGGTGCTGAGTTTGTAGTCAAAGTAGTTAGTAAAGGATTATCTTTATTAATATTTGTCTTGTCATTATTATCAATGGCTGAATCAATAGTCATATCATTGTTATAACAATCTTGATTATTATTATTTACATCTTGTATACTAAGATTCAACGGGTTTTTGTGAAGACTGAATTTTCGCAATGTTGAAGACATGATATGATTTGGGGCTCCAATTGTGTTATTTGATACATTGGAATTGTATATATTATTGAAGGAAATATTTTTCGTCTGTCTTGGTGTCGTTAATCCTGATTTTGAACTAAAGTTTTTCGAGACCTTTTGAACTAATGGACTATTTATCACTGTCTGAAATGGGTTATTATTGATATTGTTATTTGAATTTGAAAAAGGTATATTATTTAAATTATCAATATTGGTAGAAGGTTGATTATTTGAATTTCTTCCTTGGCACCTTGCAGTTCTATTAACCATTAAAGGAGAGATAGCCAGTGTTGAATTATGTTGGGAGGGTGTCCCACCTGGGGAAGCTGGATTTCTCATAATGTACTAAACCTATTTTGAAATAAATTAGTGGTAGTAATAAGAATAATAAATTATGCAAAAAAAAAACCTATATCCAAATAAGAAAGACTTTGATCAAATTGGGTATATGTTAATGTGTTGTATGGTATTTCAGAATAATAACGATTTATGTTTCAAAAGTACAGTTGAATCTTAGTCTTTTAAAACAGATAACATTATGAGAATACCTTTTTTCTTGTGATCATCTCTTTTAAAAATTAAAGATTTTTTTTTTTGATAAAGTGAAAATGTGAAATTAGTTATGACGCAGTGTTAATCAACCTCGTGAACAATTGATAATACAAGTATCGACTCCAATTCTAGAATTTTCTATCGTAATAAAAATTATTAATAGTGAATGCTTTCATTACTTCAGTACCAAATGTTGAAACAAAAATTATTACTAAGATAAGCTCTTAACTTGAAACATGTATTTGCCTAGACTATGGGATAAGAATTGTTACTATTACTTTGCTATTCGATTCATCAGAAGTTTTTGTAATTACCACTTCTACTGTTATTATTGATACCTGTTTAACTTTAACTAAAACTACATATAATACTTATTATTATAAGGTAAAATGAAGGCCCTATTTCTAAAACTGTCAATATGATAATTAAAAGATTAACACGATAAAATGGCAAATTTTAAATCACTATTTATGTTAAAAGCAGTTTTAGCAGTGAATCTCATTTAGATTCATTGAAATCATCGAGCAAAAAAGTTTCATTTTCCAATTATGTCATAGATGAAATATCTGTTTTGCTGTTGAGAAATGTTAAAAAGAAGTCTTAATTTACAAATTTAATACTGATAAATTTCATACTCTAGACTTCAGATCTATGAAAAAAACTATTTTTACCTTCAATTTGATTTATGAAAGATCCTGTTGTTTCATCTCCCTCTTTCTATCAAAATAAAAAAACACAATAAAGAATCTGTTTGAGACCTTTAGAGATCTTATACAAAGTTTGCACTAAAATTGTTGTTTATGTTACTCCTTTAATGTATAAAACAGCTAAACAAGCTAACAACGCTGTTTATCTTACTGAATTGTATGTAATTGTCAAGATACTATAACAACTAGCAAATTCTTTCCTTTTACTTCCAGCTTCTTGTCTTATTGGTATCAAATTATTAGTGTATTTTTAATGATGCTATATCAATATCTTCATGTATAAGTTTTCCTACTATAACCATCGTAGTAACCATTATTACAATTTGCAGCTATCAATGTTTTTGTTTAAAAATTACAGATTATGGCAACATTATAATTACATATAACAAGTCAAAATAATGTTATTCCAGTCTCCAGATTTGTTGAAGATATAAAATTCTATATGATAGAAACTCAAGAGTATAATCAAAATATTTTCCACCTTAACCCTTGAAGTTGCAATTAATACTAATCTTAAACAAAATAATGTTGAATAACATATATCTCTCATTTCTTCAATAACCCATAGGTTTTGTTAATAAGTTAAAAAGTTTGAGAACAGTATTGTTTTAAAAAAGGTCGGACTGTCTGTAAAATAAATGCAAAAGAAACAAAGTACGTCTTTAGAACTCTATAACATTTTTCTTTAAAAGGTAAGTAAATTTAGCATATATTGTCCTGGTGTTACGGAAGATGATCTTAAAAATTCTTTAATTGACGACTACAAATGCAACTATATCTGTATATATGTGTAACTTAGCTTACTCCTTGTATACAGTATAGTCTATGCATCATGTATAATGGACAACAATCAAAAATTATTTATTGTATTCTATACTTTAGAAAAGTATTTCTTTCGTGATAGGTGAACACCTATCACAATTGAATATCTGCTCATTGTCACAATGTTGTCTCAACAGATAGGACTCAAAAAACAACTACTCAAAATACAGTATATTTTGTTTCGTGCTACTACTTTTCCAATGATAATCCAATAAATGTTGTTTTATCCTTATATAAAGGTGCTGACTGTACTAAGGTTCATAGGTATATAACAATGAACTCTATTTAGAGAAAAAGTTTTATAATGATCCAATTTTTAATGAGACCTTCTTTAGTATAAAATAAAACAGATTAATAAAAGTGCAACCATTACAAATGAAATACATTGCTAGAATAACAAATATAGTTCTCACAGAATGTTAAATGAGCTTTCCATTTATTTTTATTGATTTACATAAGTGCTCATCTTAATATTAAATATCTAAGCATTAAAAATAATATCTTTTTTCTCTTCAAAGCTATGAATGAAAAACCGAATCTGCCCATCATTGTAAAAATTTTAGGATATTTATTACCTGTTAGAAATTCATACAATAAAATTTAAAGCTATGAATAGTGATTTTTTTTTCAGGTATGTCATTAAATGAAGGATTTGATTAGACAATGGTGATTTTCAATAGATTCACAATATCTACAATTTTTAAGGCTATGAGTAAAAAATTTCAAATGTATTTTTAACTGAAGTCGTACTAAGATATTTTATTTTAACATTTAATATATTTAATAGAGATCAAAAGTTTGTCAACTCAATTTGAGAGGAATTTACTAAAAGACCGGAAATTATTATGGGTATTTTAAAATCATACAGTCCTTAAATTCATAGACAAGTGAAGTGTTTGAATGAAACAATTGTAGAATATAATATAGCTCATGTTCTGAATAAACTTAAGTAGGAAGAATACTTATCAGTGATAGTATTTTTACATTATACTATACACCCAATTTTATAAAGTGTATCTCCTAATGCAGCTTTAAGAGGGTATAGAAAAAGAATTGTTGATTTGTATAATTGTAAATTAGGAAATCCAAAATATCTGACTCTAAAGGGTAATACAGGAAAGCAAAATGTATTTAAGGTTATGATATCATATTAGCAAGATGTGGAAACTATGTATCTGACGTTTAAATAATTAATAACCGAAGTATAAAACCGATAGTCGTTACACTATATTAAGAGAAAAAGAAATCTAGATTTATTTAAATTCAGAGGTAGAGTGCTAATTCATGAGGATACTTATCTAAAAAATAGTATTGGTTGTAAATTTGACTATATGTAATTTGAATTATTTAAAGTGGAGAAAATGAGAGGAAATCAAAATATTAACAGTAAAAGAGATGCCAAATATATGAGTCATCATTAATAGTACACTAAAATATGAGTGTTAATTATATATATAAATACTCACAAATTATATAATAGTTGCATATAAGTTAATAAATAGATTATTTCTATGTTCCTCAAAACATAATGTACTACTGACCTAATGTTAAGCTGCTGAAATGATATATTATCTGTTTAGGAAGTCAATAAATATATCAAGGAAGAAAAATATTTGTCATGCATATTCAATACTACGGAGATAAGATCAAACAAAATTAACATAAATCAATACATTATAAAAAATTACCAAAAGGTTGGCATATATACGTAGACGACTTTACTTATTAATTTTTCAATCTGGATGAATAATATATATACATTACACAGTATTTTTTTTTATATTTATATTATTATTAATTCCTAAGTAAGAAATTAAGGGAAATTTACTCTACATATTAACATAAATAATAATACAAAATAACAATATATAAATGATCATTGATGCTAAAAACATGTATACTGATATTATTCATCCAGAGGAAAATTAGTAAAGAGCATTGTAGATCAAAGAGAAGGTTGCGGCCATGAACAAGAACTAAATAGAAAAGCAAGTTTCAGAACAGGAAAATAGATAATTAGTAGAAAAATGATGTTAATATTGTGGGTAATATAAAGAAAATATCAGAAAATAATAAAAAAATGGGAATATAAGAGAGTGTAGAAATATCTATAAAAAGATATTTTTGTTGTAGTCCAAATAGAGCTTAAAGTAAAAGTTGATCAGGATTCGTGAATTTTATATGATAAAAAAACATCAGTATAGCGGTTTCATAATTGCGTATTTGAGTTCGAACCAGTTATTACTAGAGTACTACTCAAATAAAAATGGTACTTACTATATTAGTAAGAAGTATTATCATTATGACTAGGTAAGAATTCACCTGGACAAGCAGTATTTTTTGTTTATATGACTGAAGAAGAGACACTGGTTATTTGGGCTGGTAACATATCGTTGAATATGTGGTAATGTGTTTTATTAAAATTCAAAGCAAGTAAAATATCAAAATCTAGATAATAATGTTTTTATTGACAACACTTCTTGTGTATATACAAAATAAACAAAGTAAACAGAAGCGACTTTGTAATATAATATGTTTGTATTTAATATTATGCATATATGTTGAATAACATATTTCCAAGTATAAATTAGAAGACGGTTGTAAATATTAGGGATATCTAAAAGATGCGGATAAATAGAGAGGGTGGTAACCAATATTCAAGAAAATAAAATGATTATGGATTGTTATTTTTATTTTTAGAATGTAAAATATTGAACTATAGATGGGACAAAAAGATAGGGGTTGTCAACTTGTAACATTGAGAGTTAATAAAACTGATAGTCGAATTAGGTAAGATTTTGATTAATGTAAATATGGGTGTTAGGGAATAACATATCAGCATATATGTGTTGACATTACTTGTTGATGCAAGGCTTTTGAATTAAAAATTCTAGTAGAGTTCATTTAAGATTAATGTAATATGATATTATAACTTACAATTAGGATATTGGCGATATTATAAGCTTTTTGGTTATTTATAATAAGAAGTTAGTGGTACTATAAATTGTTATTGTATTGCTTAATCTTCCTTTTTTTTTTCTTTTTCTTTTTTTGCATAACTAATATACAAGATACAATATTAACAGTATATTCATTTTATCTTCAGGTCTTCTTTAATATAAATTTTCATAACTTTTAATCACTTGGTAAATGATAATTATAATATATAGAAGTGAATTTAAATTATCAAATATAACTCTAATCATATTTCAATAAAAATAATATAAATAATATTGGTTTATCTGTGTAATGACTGATATTATGAAAACTATTGTATACAAATCTGTTTATTTAAACATTTTCTTTTGGTGAATTTTAAAAAATTTCACTGGTTTTCAAATTCTATATACCTTTTCAAGGGCATATTTTTTTGTTGCAAGTATTATATTTTCTGCTTGAAGCAATAATTCCATAATAAAAATTTTTCTATTGCAAAAAGTCTGATTTTCTTTTGAATGATAATTAAATAATCCAATATACAACTTTGTAGTATCAATTCGTTACTGCTGATACAAGTTTCTAATAAGAAACAAATAATATAGTCCCATCATATCCTAACTAAAAGAACGTTTCTACATTGAATGATTCCATGGAGAAGATATGGGAAGAGATTGAATAGTTTAGTTAAAAAAACAATATGGATAGTATCAGATGCATCTTATATAAATTACCAATCTAGTTCAGGGGAATTAAAAAAATCTACTTAACACAAAAATAAAAAAAAACAATATATGACTTCTTCAAAAAATAACAAGAAAAAAAAACATCTGTTCTTTTAACAACTTTTAGTAGTATAATTTTTCCGAACAGAACTAAAATAGCGCATTCACATTTTCCTGAATTGGCTAATGTAAACTAAAGAGGAAATATTGAATCCTTTAGGAAGTAATACCGTACCACGGGGTCTTTTGTTTTATCAATTGCTTTTTTTTCTCTTGAAAAAAAAAAATATCTTTAATATATTTTCAAATTTTGAAAAATTACAACTTTTAAGTTAGAAGTCTTTTGCTATTTAATTAACATGCTTTGTATTTTACATTCTGATAATATTTTAAATAATATTAAGACAAAAAGTAAAAGCAATATTTATCTTTTCGTACGATTAGGAATAGTGATTTTATTTTTCGCATACTGTGTTAATTATGTTCACCTATTCTTTACCAGTATAACGTATCATACTTCCACGAATTTATTAAACTATTGTTTGTTATATCTTTTGATATAGCTCTTCTTATCCTCAAAAATATCTAAACGAACAATTCTGAAAAATCTTTTTACGAATGGAACAATTGAAAGAAGAAAAAAACCAAAAAAAAAAACAATAGGAAAATAATAGAACTTAGTCATAATTCACGCCTCCACTTTACTTCTTCATAAATATAAAGTTGGTGCATTTAATGTTCCGAGAAAATTAAAAAACAGTCAACAATTAAATTTTTTTTCTCGATTCGAAAGAAAAATTTTTAATACAATAACCGTTACACACAATAAGATTCAAAGGAATAAATTCTTGTTTCATATTTCCATGCTAGATATCGGAGTGATCTGAAAAAATCCACTTTTCTATTCTTTTAATTTTTGTCAAAAAAATCTCACAATGTTTTTTGTAAAACCTATTTTATTCTCCTTGAGAAACAAACATTTCTCGACAATTTAACTTGAGAAAATTAACAGCCTTATAAAAAACGAAAACAATAGGAGATGCAGATCTTTTATACCATCAAAAGACCACCCTGACATCGTCAAAATGTACTATATATATTTTCCCACAGAATAATAGATATTACTAATTGTTCTAGTTTCCTTTTCTATAGTATCATCAATGTTTATTTGTCGTAAAAACCTACGAAACTTACAATATATAACTGTGTGTCTATATTTGCATTTATACTGTATATAAACTACTCTTTATATCTTTTTCCTCTTATTCTTCGATAGACAGTGTAGAAGCTTTTTTCATCACTCTTACTTCCACGTGTTACCCCCCCCCCCTCTTTCCCCAAAAAATTTACAAACAGAAATTAACAAAAAATCGATACGGTCAAACAAGAAAAAAAAAAACAACGCAAAATAAAACCATTATTCATTTGTTATTGTTAAAATGCAGACATTAATTTTGTGGTCACTATTGGGATTGCTTGTGACCAAAGTCAGTGCTGCTACTACCACTATTTCAACACCAACAACCTTGTCTGGTGATCAAACGTTTTCTGATGATATCGTAATTGAATCAGGTGCTACTCTTGCATTAGTATCTGGTTCTTCATATTCTTTCAATGGCAATATTGACGTTAAAGGTTCTTTAGATATTATCGGTGATTCAACAAACGGGTTAACTAGTCTACAATTTGGTTCTACTACAACAATTACAAACAGTGGTAATATCAACATCGAAAATATTAAATCAGCAGGTTCTGCTAGTGATTTTGTTATTGCACCTGCAAGTATAAATAACTCTGGTACATTTACTGTCTCACAATTAAATGCTGCTGCTACTGTGCCAGGTACTAATTTTACTATAGCTCCAACTGGTTCCTTTATTAACACAGGTACTATTGATTTTGACACAGCTGGTAAAGGTGGTACCACAAATGGGTTCCTTTACCTTGGTACCATGACAAATAATGGCGTCATCAAATCTGGTGGGTTTTCGGACTTGATATCTGACCCATTCTTTTTTACTCGTAGTAGATACAAGATGAAAGGTATTGTCTTCAATAATCCTATAGAAGGTGAAGGTGAAGTCACCGGTACTAAGGGAGCTGTAATTGTTCTTAACAAGAGTGATATTGGAGAGCAAACTTTCAGTGTTCATGAGGGTATGTATATTCTAAATCCAAAAGTTGTACCAAGTTCGTTTAAAGTTGTGAATTTTATTGGATCAGAGTTTGTTTTCTTAGGTGTAAAGTATGAAGAATGGAGGACTGAGAATTTTGGCACGATTAATGGTCCACACTTTAATGTTGGAATAGATGGTCACCATTACTGGTTCAACACAACCTGTCCAGTCAGGGAAACCGACTGTTTTGAAACTGATATTGATGTTACGCCATATAAAGCGCCTTATCGATTTTATGGTGCAATTTTACACATAAACAATATAATAGAACAGAAATGTCCATTTTCTGATCCAATTACAAAGACAACAGTTACTACTATGAATTCTGTTAGTGAACCTACAACTTTTTCAACCATAACAACATCCATAGTTAATGAGTATAAATATACCGTACCTGAAATTATCTATTATGTTGCTGTACCTCCATTATCTACCACCTATACAACCATAACTACGTTGATCTCCAATCCTATCACATCAACATACACCACAACCATTAATAATACAGTTGGGTTTACCACTCAAGAAGTTGTTGTTGTTGTGATCACCCCATCACCATCGACCTCCTACACTACTACTACTGCAGATATTTCTGCCCCAACAACATCTACTTACACTACTACAGTTGTTGATAGCAATGGTTCTTCCTCTCCAGAAGCTGTTGTGGTGGTGATTACTCCATCTCCATCTACCACCTACACTACTACTACTGCAGATATTTCTGCTCCAACTACAACCACCTACACAACCACTGTCACTGATAGCAACGGCTCTTCATCTCCAGAGGTTGTTGTTGTAGTTATTACTTCTGCTCCATCTACCACCTACACCACTACCACAGGTCCAGTTTCTGCCCCAACCACATCTACCTTCACCACCACTGTTACTGATAGCAATGGCTCTTCCTCTCCAGAGGTTGTTGTTGTTGTGATCACTCCAGCTCCATCTACCTTCTATACGACCACTACTGGGGATGTCTCTGCCTTGACCACATCTACCTTCACCACCACTATTACTAACAGCAATGGCTCTTCCTCTCCAGAGGTTGTTGTTGTTGTGATCACTCCAGCTCCATCTACCTTCTATACGACCACTACTGGGGATGTCTCTGCCTTGACCACATCTACCTTCACCACCACTATTACTAACAGCAATGGCTCTTCCTCTCCAGAGGTTGTTGTTGTTGTAATCACCCCATCTCCAAGTGGCCCAACTATCTACACCACTACTACTGCGGATGTTTCTGCTCCAACTACAACCACCTACACAACCACTGTTACTGATAGCAATGGCTCTTCCTCTCCAGAGGTTGTTGTTGTTGTGATCACTCCAGCTCCATCTACCTTCTATACGACCACTACTGGGGATGTCTCTGCCTTGACCACATCTACCTTCACCACCACTATTACTAACAGCAATGGCTCTTCCTCTCCAGAGGTTGTTGTTGTTGTAATCACCCCATCTCCAAGTGGCCCAACTATCTACACCACTACTACTGCGGATGTTTCTGCTCCAACTACAACCACCTACACAACCACTGTTACTGATAGCAATGGCTCTTCCTCTCCAGAGGTTGTTGTTGTTGTGATCACCCCATCTCCAAGTGGCCCAACTATCTACACCACTACTACTGCGGATGTTTCTGCTCCAACTACAACCACCTACACAACCACTGTTACTGATAGCAATGGCTCTTCCTCTCCAGAGGTTGTTGTTGTTGTGATCACTCCAGCTCCATCTACCTTCTATACGACCACTACTGGGGATGTCTCTGCCTTGACCACATCTACCTTCACCACCACTATTACTAACAGCAATGGCTCTTCCTCTCCAGAGGTTGTTGTTGTTGTGATCACTCCAGCTCCATCTACCTTATCCACTACTACCACTGGTGCAGTCACTGTCCCAATCACATCTACCTACACAACTGTAGTCACTGACAGTAATGGCTCTTCCTCTACTGAAGTTGTTGTTGTTATAATCACACCATCTCCATTTAGTAGCTTTATGACATCACCAATTTCTGTACCATCTCCTCTCTATGGAAACTCCACTATATCTGGTGAAAAGATTGAATCTACTTTGAGTGGCACTCTAGTTGTTCTGACTACGGTTGTTAATGGAGTTACTATGACTACAACTTATTGTCCAGAACCATCTGCAACTTCTGAAACAAGTATGACTGCTATCATTGGACATAGTTCTATTGAATCTGTTTATTCAAAGAACCAACAAGAAGAGACTAACTCATTTACTACTGCTACAAATGTGACTCCAGTTATTTCTGTTACTTCTACCACCCCTGGTCCAGCATTTACCAATGGTAAAAATCACCCAACATCTAGAAACTCTAGAACATCTACCACTGTAATCGGTAATAATGAGTCTAGAAGATCAGAAACATCGATGCCTTTAATGGTGCCACAAGTTTCCCAATATGTTTCTGAACAGCCATCCTCATCATCAATTGCTATCACAGTACCTCATGAAGGTGTACCTTCTCTTGTATCATATGAAGGTAAAGGTAGCACCATGTATATGATGAAGTGGAGTGTTGCCCATTGCATTGGTTTATTATTATTCATGGTAATTTAAATTGATTAAAGGCAAAAAATTTTAAAATAAAGAATTCTAAATAATTTAATAATTAAATATTTCTATATAAGTATATAGTATTCTAATATTTTTTATATTGTGTATTTTTATTATTTATTTGATTTTCAAATATCTTATACAGCACAAATAGATTTACTCATTCCTAATAAACCGATAATATCTTCTCCCAATTTTAAGTAATTTAAATTATTCAATACAATTATACAATCTAATAGTTGCTATATAGACATTTTAATACATGTATGTTTTTGCTACATGTTTTGGCAATTTTTAATAAAGAGATTGTGATTAGGAAATTTACTTCTGTATAAATCGATTGATCATGGTTTAAAGGATGTAAGGTCTTTAAATCTTTTCTAATTAAGAAAAATTGTAATTGTGAAGATTTGATGCTAGTTTAATTCAAAGATCATAATAAAAGGTTTGACACATGTCTTAAAAACAGTTACAATCTTTCTTTACCTGTATTTACTGAAAAGTTAACTAGACAAATGTATTTATTCCCACATTCCTTAATTATTTTCTTTCTGTCCTCTGTATATACAAATACATCCATAGGGAACACATAATACATACATATATACATGGATATACTTTAATTAAATACCACTATATATTGCTAGGTCAAATAACTATATATATATATTTGTGTTAATATGGTCACTGTTATTAACTCGCTTAAACTTATGGCTATACTTCTATTTCTTTTTTTTTTTGTAATATAGTATTCAATTGTACGTAAGCCAACATATTCAATAACTATTATATTCACATGAACAGTAGAGACATGCTATAGAATTACTCTAACAATATTTAAAGAAATGGAAACTTCTTTTAAGTAGCAAAGGGAAAAAAAGAGAAATAAGACACTATTTCCCAAATGTACAGAATTGCACACTGATGACATATTATACTTACTATATATGTTAAGAATATTATACACAAAAATGTAGATACACAGCATACGGTAACAGTTGTACTTTATTGATCCATTACTGTATCATATCTCTTCCTGTATTTTACTGAATGTAGAGATTTCAAAATTTCAAAAGAGACAAGAGAATTTCTCTCCCACACTTGAAAAATATCGTGATAATAATTATCCTAAGATTTCAATAATATAGGAATTTTCTTTTTAAATATGGAACATGTAACAATGTTATAACACATTCATATTTTTGCAAATGTTGATCCATAATTATAGTATGTCTTGTTATTTTAATGTTATAATGGAATTAAACTCCTATTTTTTTTTTTTGAATTTCAATATCTTCTCATGACTCTTGGTTACAATTAGAGATCCATACACAGTATTAAACATCCAGCTATAATAATGTCAGATTAACTCTTAAAGAGAATAAATTTCCTGAATAGTAAATTGATAGATTAACATGTTAATACTCCACCATAGTATATTCTTAAATGTTGTTCAATGTTCAAAGATCGAGATAAAATTTCTTTTTATTACGTTATTTTTCAAACATTAAAATAAGATCATTTGAGCAAAAGATAGAACAAAATTGTTGAGCAGGGAAAGCAGTACAGTAAAATGAAATAAAAATATAATCAAAATATTATTCATTATATTAAATCAATGTGTCTTTTATCATCATTACCATAAGCATTGAAAATCAAACATAAATCAAATACATCCATAATAAGATTGGAATTAGTAAGGATAAATATCCTGTAAGATATAAGTAAAAAGATGATATAGTAAATTTGTTTATTGATATAGTATAATTATATCTATGTTTATAACAGTTATCATGATCTGTTAATTTCAAAAGAGTATTGCATATGATCATAAATTATTATAACAGTATCATTCGATGGATAATGAAGTGATATAGAAGATATAATTATATTTTTCATATTGAAAATATTAGTAAGGGATGGTGTTCATGTGTTATTGGAGTATACTTTAATAGTTATATTCATAATAAAAGTGGTAGTGACACAAAAAATGGTCATAGTTTGTCAATAAATATCTTCCATAGTCACAGTCTATGCATGGAGTAAGTCATTATGAGGTTATTTCTGATAGTCAAATATAAATGATTATTAGGTATACAGTGGTGTAACTATGCCATGTTAAATAACTGTTTGATAATATTCAATATTATATCATATGAATATGTAAAGAAGGTAGATAATAACTGGCTATTTATAAGTAAAGTTGGTTACTTATATGCTTGGTTGTCGATGAGAGTGGCTATTATTGTAATTGATTTTTTTTTCGAACTATTTTTTCAGATTTTGAAAAAAGGAAGATTGACAATTGAAATTTGAATGAAATGAGATTGGTGGGTAATTAAAAGAAAATGATGGCTGATGCTAAGAGTAATTAAGTGTGATATGTTTGTACAGTATCGTTCTTGTCTAAGACATAATATCAAGAGAAGTTGTATATTAATGAGGAGTTCATAGTTTAAGAGTGATACCATACAATCTACCAGTTATTAATGTCTAAATGAAGTAAGCAGTTTAAGAATAAAAACATAATTGAAAGTAATAGTGGTTGATATGAACTTAGTCTACTATGTATAAATCCATAGTAAAGATACATGTTAATATCATGATAGCAGATACTGTGAATAACATTGAATGTTATAGATTTAAAAGAGCAATAAAATTTCCTAGATGATATTACCATAATAAACCTAGAAATGTAAGTGTAAATATAAGATGCGACAGAGTGACCATTAATGGATCACACTAATCCAGTGTATTATGTTTATGTTGTTTACATTGTTTCTATATCTTACATATGAAAAGAAAATGGTCTAAATTTATTGATCTATTTATCATAAAACAAATGACTCTATCGTTGTTATTACATTCTTGGTTTTTAGTATGGCTAAGTGTGTATTTGACATAGGTTACAGTTTATCTATTACACATTCATATTGGAAAATATGTATTTATAACTAAATAACAATGTGATTTTAAGAATTATAACCTGATTATTGCATTACTTTGCAACTCAGCTACTGTTAATAAGCTTAAGTGTTTGAACTGTTGCAACATATACAATTTTCATATTATTTCCTTACGTTTAATAGGTAGAAAGTACTTAATGATATAATTTGTGATAGTATTATCAGTTAATAAAGAAAACGGTACAAGGTAAAATCCAAAGAAATAATGAATATATCTTATATTTCTAGTAATTTGTATAATTTATTAAGTTACACATTATATTCTCTTCTCTCTATCATACATTTAATATTTTGAAGTGCTATGTGCATTAATACATCTACTTCTACTGATATCCTAGTAATAGCTCTTATTAAATTACACTACCCACTACAACTATCACTTTGCACAATACTATCTTTTATTGTGTATTATGCCATACCATAGCAAACAATATAGAATAGCCACTTATTCATTCTTACATGACTTTTTTGATCTATACCTACTGGTTGGTTAAAACAGCACTGTTTGTAGAACTGTAACTGCCAACATATGCTAAAATTGTCTTCTTATCTTTTCATTCTTTTTCTTTCCTGAAATCCAATTTTTCTTAAATTCCAAAAACTTTTTTCAATCAAATAAAAACAACTCAAACAGATATCAATCACTACACCATGCAAACACTGATGTAAACAATACAAAGGAGACCTGCTTACAGACAAGAACACATCCTCAGTTGAGATCTATGCATTTCACAAATTCACATTATATAACATTGAGATACTACCATTCAACATGATATAATTATGCCATAAATATATTTGATACAGCCAACCAAGATATCCTTAACTATAGAGAGTATATTCACGACAATCCACTTTGTACATGGGTTATTACTAAGGAAGATATTTATAAACAAAATACATCTATCTTTATGGTATGGTTGCTCTATTGCTATGAGTATTTACAAATACATAAACACAAACACTTACAGTATCTTCCACCTAAATGATATAATCTGATAACATATCAATTTCACATAGTGATCACTTCAATACTACTACCATGAAACCTATCCATATAGATGAACCTCACAGTATAATTATCAACACTATGCCAACTACCATCGTACTACTACCCAACTATATCACAAATATTATATCCAAATCACTCACAAAAATACACCCTACCAATAACCAAGATTATATTTCTTCCTGAAAATCAATTCATTATTACTGACTGTCAAGTGGTAAAATTCCATAACACTGTTGTCAATTCTCACAACACCAATATAATATCTAACAATGAACAATATTAAATCAAATAATACACATATATGAACATGTAATTATACTGTAATTAAAAACAAAAATGGTTTAAGTGCGAGATACACAACAGAAAGTAGGTTTTTTGCTGATCTGTGGGAATTATTTTATCTGAGTTACCATATTTATATACAATTGAGAAAAGTGGAATAGTATTTGGAGACATATTAAATTTTTATGAAGGTTTATAATAATACCAGTAGATGCCATTCCTGTTGGAAATTAAACAACTGTTACCACATGATTTATTAACAATCAAGTTATTTTATTTGTACATCAGCATGTATTGAAATGATTAAAAGGTGAAATGTTCTTTGATTAATTAAAATTTACTGAATTTGAAAAAGATAAAGAATGAGAAAGAGTTAGGGGTATAGTATATGGAGACCTGTTTGAATTGGTGTATTACATAAGCCAGAAATGTTTAACTTGTTAGATAGTAAGATGTTATTTAAGATAGTTGCAATGATCATTATTGATATGTTACCTGATGATCAAACAAACATATTAATATATAAATTTCTATTAAGAGTATAAAAGCATTCTAAATAATGATAGCTTTCTTGGTTGGAATATGAATAATTAATAATATTAATAACACCAAAAATATATTCAGTAAGCAATAGTAGCGGGTTTAATTATTGTTCATATAGATTGTTATCTTTGTCTATCTCATTGTCATAGTGTTGTATTAGTATTGGGATAATCAAAGAGATCATTTTAATATAATGAATT